GCATTTCAATAATTGCTTGTAAAAGTCATACAAGCCTGTCTTGTGATGCTCATAACTTGCTCAAATCTTACCCATTTGACAAGATAAGAGGCTCAAAATATTTGTATTGATGAGGTCATTGGTCCTGGACCGGTCTAAAACCGGACCAGTTTTTTGCAATGGCACGAAAATGCAGTTGCCATCAGTCCAGTCCGGCTTTTGGAATATTCCAGGATCAAAAAAACCGGTCCTGGTCCGGTTGCCTCCAAAATGAATGCAGAGAGACAGACAGTAAGCAAGGTGGAAAAGTGTATGACCAGTAGCTGGAGAGCAGTGATCTAAAAGGAGATAGGTGTAGATTCCAGAGATGAAACTGGAGCACCAGACAGAAATTAGGGCAGAAGTCCAGATTTCACAGGGAAGGATCTGGAGTTCCAGGTTTGGACATGCAGGACATGACACAGACTTTTCTTCATGGTGGTGAGGAGCAAGGAGAGCTATACATGAGGGCAGCAAACCTGGACTTAAAAATGCCCTCAAAATATGCTTGCCAAGCAGTGGTTGAGGTCTTTCATGCTACCATATTTGATCCATTCAGGGACTTGCATTTTCCCCCCATTCGAGAGCCAATCTATTTTGGAATGGTAACAGGGAACCACATACTTGGACTTCACTACTAGTTGCACAAATGTTATGAAGCCCAACCCTATGCCAAGGTTGCTAGGACACACACCGGGATGACGAGAATCTCCTTCCTCACTAAGTATTGCATGTTTTGCACCTGTAATAGCAGCCAAACAGAATGGTTTCTTGACATTTTCACACGAAGGAATCTTCAGTCTCGTTGTGACTGACACCCGCCGTTGAACAAACACCTGTGATTTGTATTTGAAGTTCATACAGCTGAGGAGAGGTTTGGTAAACAGTGAAGCTATCTCGGGGTACAGTTGTAATAACTACTTCCCTATAACATCCGCCAGCTGTGTTGTCGGAATTGCTGCAGCGTAGGCTTTCCTTTGTAGCCTTGTTTGGGTCTTCTGTTCGTAGGCATATGCAAAACCGACAAGGCTATACTCGCTCCATGCTGTTCCAAGGAACGAAAGTCCAATTGGGACACCTGGAGCTGGATAGACAGTATTGGGCCCTGCGCTGGCAATCGTAACATTCTCTGGATAGAAGCCCAAAGGCACTGAGGACGGATAGGGTTGACCAATCAGATGGCTAGAGATTGAGAAATCGCTTACCCGTGACAATCGGATATCCTGCGATGGCTGCGAAAGTACCGTGTTTGAGTCCATAGATGAACATAAATTTTCAATACGAACCTGCAGGAACAGTTGTAAAACCTGGTGCAGGGAGCACCAGAGCGTCGAGAGCATACATCTTGAGGGCTGCATCGATGCCACGAGTGGCGCCAAGTTCCATGTCAAACGCAAGAGATTGGTAGTAAGATGCATTAAAACCAGTAGTTGCTTGTGATTCGATCAAACTGCAATAAGTTCAGTGAGGATAGTTGTGCCCTTACAGGGATACCCACATAGACTGGTCTGCGTATCCCGTAGGCTCTTCGAGCGTTGGGTTGTTGCTATCAAAGACGATTAACTCCTCAAGCGAAGCCACCCCTGATGGGTTTGCAATGAGGCTGTCAAACCAGGCGTTGAGTTGGACCTGCAGAGAAGAACCGAAGTGTCAGCATCAAATTTATACTTTCACTGTACTTAGATACCTTGAAGTCAACGTGCAGAACGACAGTCTCATTATCGTTATTAGACTCGTAGAGTTCGTACGCCGAGGGTAAATCAGCTGGGTCTACGATTGTCGCGCCCAGGACCTTTAACATCTCCAGCGCCTGTTCAAATGCTTGATTCACGTATGGATCATTGCCAGTCATGGTGTCATTCATGAAGACTGCACGGGGCACTCCAATACGCTTGCCAGCGAGCGATGTGTTACTGAGTGCCATGGTGTAGTCGGGTACGGGCATTGGTTGCGCCATCGTAAAGTTGTCGTTAGGGTCTGGGCCGGCGATGATGGAAAGGACAATGGCAGCATCTGTAACGGAGCGAGTGAGGGGACCGACTGTGTCTTGGTGCTCCGAGATCGGTATTACTGGAGATAAGATTGTGAGCTTAATATGAGGTGAGGCGGGACGTGACTTACCCCCCGCACGGGATGTCAACCCTACAGTAGGCTTGATGCCTACCACATTATTTTGATTCGCGGGGCATGTGATACTCCCGTCCGTCTCCGTCCTGCCTCTCATATCAGTAAAAGTTCAGTGCAAGAGAGTGAACTGGAGGCAAACCCAAGAGTGACAGCAGCCAGGCCAATAGATGCAGAGACGCCAGAACCAGCCGACGAACCACATGGGTCGGCGTTTGGGTAGTACGCGTTCGTGCATTGTCCTCCGCGTCCTGACCATCCGGAGGCGAGGTTTCCACGGTAGTGTGCCCACTCGGACAGGTTTGCCTTGCCTGCAGTAGCAATATGGCTGTGTTGGATTTTCACGTTGACCTGCGCCATCAAAAAACGCACCGAGAATAATGGCTCCTGCCTTGCGTAATCGTTTCACTACACCTGCATCATCCGGAACCACAGAGTTCAACAAGCTATATGACCCCGCAGTCGTGTTCATTCCTTCAAACATCACTATCATCATCGGCTCTCCATTCCACGTCACTGAAACACACCTTCAAATGCTACAGTCGCGATATTGTCCTTCACAAGCACCGGGATCCCATGAAGCGCACTCCGCAGCCCGTAGGTGAGCCGCTCGTGATCCAGCGCCGCAGCTTCCCGCAGCGCAGAGGGATTGGTCTCAATCACAGCACGAAGCATCGGTCCTTTCAGATTGACTTCTTCAATACGGGAGAAATACGCCCGTCATACCAAAAGAGCAATTCCACAACTTCATCAGTATCATCCCAGGCTATTCGTGACTATGCAAGACTGTTAGCTTACGGACCTTGATCAGATCGATGCTTGTGAACTGCCCCGAAGTAAGACCCGCTTGGAGCTCGATCACAGATGCCTCGTAGAGATCGGGTAGAGGCGTTGTGATTGCCGCAGAAACGGAGACATAAAAGATTCCGAATGGCTTAGCGCTAGCCATGCCCAGAAGAGGGTAAGTAGTTTTGTACCCATTTTTTTCGTGTAGAGGGGGATGACAGAAAGCGGAAGGTCAACACCTAGCGATAAGAGGGTGGCGAAACGGGCTTGCCTCAAGTAGCCCCAAGCGGAGCATGACGTAGAGATCACTTGAGCGATAACAACGACAAAGAGGCAATGTGACCTTCTCCCACGGCTGAGCAGACCTGCATGTGGATCTTGTCAGATGTTCAGAACTTCAACTCTAGCAGCGATAGCGGCTGTAGATCATGCGTTCCGGGAGACGGATATTTGAACATGTCATTTTCTCGCTCGGTGCCAATGAGGGGCGCCTTCGCTTAGCTCAGGATAGAGCTGGAGGACGTTCCAAACCATTGTACATATCATTTTGTGCCATTCAGAATCTGGACTGGGCGCTTTCAATGTTAGCAGAAGCTAGTTGGAAGACAACATCGGTCATCTTTCCGTACACAGTCGCAGACAGTGACCTGCCAAGGAGAACCCGGAATACGAAACATAGTGTACATATTAGCAGTGACAGAAATTAAGAGTGTAGTATGTACAACCCAGCGAAACTTACCTCACAATGTCCCCGGTCTAACTGTCACGGTTCTACGCCTGCAGCAGTTCTCCCGTCATCGAATATCACTATCCATAACATTCCCATGTACAGTCCGTTGCCCGTATTCGTTTCCTGCCGAGCCTCGGTGAATGCACACATTCCGTGCTTGGCATCATACGGGCAGGTGCGAATCCCGTGGAGAGGAACGACGCCATGGTTGAAAAGGAGGCGTGTGGGAGACGTACGAACGTTAGAAGGAAATCAAAAGTAGCTTAGCAAGACTCCGAAACACAAGAAACCACATCACTCACGCTGGAACTGCATATTCGTCACGAAAGGTATCAGATCTGCGGTGTGGGACGAACGGTTATTGAGGGTATAGTCGGCAGAGAGCCGTCGGCTTGCTGAAAGCGTATTCGGGGTGAGCGCTATGATCACTGCGCGCCAGTATATCATCCGCGGCCATGCGTTCCGAGGATGATATTGAGTAGCGCATGGTCTAGCGAGAAAGTGTCGGGCAAGTGAAATGTGGCATTTGTGCTGCTGTCGTGGGTCACGATCGGGTATAGGTAAGTCACGCAACGAGCTCTTGAAGGCAATCGATAGGCTGGACGCGAGCGACATGGGGCCGAAAGCAGAGTCATACCCAAGAGTGTTAGGAACATGATCAGGGTCCAAGCACGCGGAGATGAAAGAAGGAAAAGTACCAGACGGTTGAATCTGGCACTTGTGTTGAATCATATGATGTTCAGAAGATCACGGAATGCATGGTGACATGGGAGTGAGTTCTATAGGGGATAATAGTTAAGGTTCTGAAATGCTGGCAGCTTTTTTCAAAAACTTCTCCCATGTCAGTGTAGCTAGGTAACTTACGAATGGGTCAAGTGCATAAGTAACGACGACATTGTAGAATTGAGCATCCCTTAAAGTCCTTCATGAAGGATCAGATCAATCAAGCTTCAAGTACGTACCGTACATATAACGACTTTGTGTGAAATTAATTTAGCGCCTGAGGTGCACTGAATCTGAGAGACGGCCTAGTGTACGTTCACATTTGAAACTTTCTTCAGCCATAAGCGTGCGCTCTCTTTTCATGTAGTATTGTTCGTGATACTACTAGGGCATCTGTTTTGCTAGGGCAAGTTTTGAGTAGTTTAAGCAATTTTGCATGCAGTACTTCCAGTACGGAATACTATTATACTACTATGCCTGACAAGGTTTAGGTAGCTAACTTTCAAAGGCTCTGACACTGTGTGGAACGTCTCCCATGCAAAGGTTTAGCCGACGCAGTGGTGGCCAAATCAGGAAAGGTTTAGGGTCCGCGTAAGTAATTTACGAGAGGTCAAGTAGTAGACATTGACAACGACATTTTAGAATTGACCAGGCCTCATAATGAGCTGGCTGTCAACGAGCCGATCGTGTTCGTTACTTAACAGAAGACTCATGTGTGGGCATAAAGGCAGGAGCTTCGCATCTACACAAGTTGTGCTCCCCCTTCATATCCCACCCCGATGGCCACCAATTCCGCTGAACTTATGTGGGGGCCGGGGTTCATTGGTGAACTTTCCGATTGCTCGTCTTCACTACCTCACAGCTGACTCTAGGTCGAGGATTCATGATAGCTACAGTGTATGGGCTCGTGCCAATCATTCCTCTACTACTTAAAGTTGACCTCCAGAATTATAAAGGTTCTATGGGGTGGGTTTTGGGCAGTGCATCTACTACATGCGATATTTTCCGCAAGATTCGAGGAAACTCAAATTATTTGTGAGCACAACTTATGCGCACTAACGAAAGGATTGTTAATTGTTCTCTTTGATAACTAGATATTGATGGTTTTGTGGGTGCTTTCTGCGATGCTTGATCATACGCTGATACCAATGACGATGTCTCACAGTTGTTTGGAAACGATACACCAATACACATTGATAGGGTCATACTTGTCTATCCTTGTCTCGTGTCGTCGAAGCACGTCCCTTGAGTGCACGACTGAACTTCCGTGGTACGTTGATAGACTTGTTCATGGATCCCAGATTTGCTCATCAAGAGGATAGGCAGATGCCGGCAAGTAGATTTACATTGATGTACTAGTTTACTGCCTATTGAATATTGCCGCAGCTGGGGGTACATGTGGCGGTGAGTTTTTCCATTATCGTTATCAGGGTCTAATATCAGACGAACAGTCTTGGGTCATGTTCGCAGTTCAGTGGTATGTGTATGGTTGGCTTTTTACGATGTCACGTTTACTTCAACAGTTCTACTGTCGAAAGCTTTTACGCACACCGAGTGTGGATAAGTGAGCTCTTCAGGGTCTACGAGAATAAATGTCTCAATGCGCTCCTTTAGTCACTGCGAAAAATCGCGTTATCACAGGGATAATTGTGAGACCACGTCTTAATCATTCTTGTCGCGGAAAGTGACACCGATCCCCAGAGCACGCTCGCAACTACATCATTTGGTTGGTTCTCTCGATTTCAGCCACATAGCCCCTGACTTGTGAACAGCTTGTGGCATGAGTGACGTCAATCCTTCAACTCTGGTATTAATTTTCTGATCGTCGCTTTTAAGTCTTAAGTGGTTTGGTGTGAGTTCTTGTCTATCAAGTTTACACGATCTCTCATAACATTTCCGAAGATTACACACGAGAAACCCTGAAATTCTATTCGGCACAAAGGTCCGGTCAACCATGAAATAGTTTTGAACAACCCTAAGGAATTCATATTTCGAATCAGTGGTCACAACTCGCAACGATCGCAAGCGCAGCGTGCGATTTTGTCATTACAGGGACGATTTGGTGGTTTTTGCGACCGGAACGAACAGACAATGTTCGGTGCGAGTCTCTAACATACCTTGTGTTTTAACATGCTCATTCAGTGTTCTGTGATTGAAGGTCAAAGTCAAGCAATTATATCAAATCAATCACACGCACTTTTATTCATATGGGTCTATTTTCTTGGTATATATAATACCACATATCTATTGAATCATCCCCTCATTATTTTCCCTTAGCCTGGTGTCGATTTCGATGGTCGTGCTCGTATGTCCTATTGTCCATGCAATGTGGGAATTAACGATCAGCATTCCTTCAGTATCAGCTCCAGGATGGCCATTTCTATATCGCTGCGCCGGGAGCGGTGATAGGAAAATGTCAGTATATTTCATGTGAGCTGCGCAAACACCGAAAGTCTGAAACCCTTGTCATAGCCTATATGAACTCGATGATGGCGGTGTAAGTGAAGGTCATTCTTTCTACGACGCTAACCCGCTAAATTGGTGGCCAGGCTCAATGCTAGGAAGTCCATTCGCGAACGAGAACAACTTGCCCGCAACGCTATGGTGGTAGAACTTCCTACACTACATACAATTCGTTAATCTTTCGCTCGTGCTGGTAGACATCGGGTATGATGTTTCTTACTTATGTTCTTCATAATCATTATTGCCGATACATACAATCTACTACAGTCCAATTCCGCAGTAGCTAAGGGGCGATTTCCTCCAAGCAAACGCACCTCTGTATGCTGGTCTGTGACAGTACTAGTGCTGACAGCGAGTGCGCTCCGCGAGTCGTAAACACCGTACCCAGGTAGTTTAACAACTCTTGGGGCACACGATTCTTAAGGCCTCATCGCATGCTTCAGAAACGTACAATGATTGACAGCCCGAGCTCTGGTCAAAATTGGGCATAGGAAAAAGGTAAACGAGCCAGGATGATTGTAGTCGCATGCGTATACATGGCGTGGCATGTCATAAGCCTAGTGTAATACCGGGAATATACTAATTACCGCCCAGCGCCAGGGACGTTGCGCCTCTCCCGTCGGGGACGCTCCGGTTGTTGGATAACAGTCTGTACAACGGTTACAGGGATGGAGTCAAAGTTCAGTGCCTTGAGAAGCTCCTAAATAGCATTCAGATATTAGTATGAAATTCTCATCAGAGATAGCAGATGTCAAGGGAAAATAGAAATATGACTTACGGATGTGTCCTTGTCAATCTCCAGGCCTGTTGCACTCGTGTCAAGAGCAGACACCTCAGGCACATAGTTGTCCTTTCGCTCGCGCTCTTCCTCCTGGAGCTTGAACGAGATACCGCGGACGGGCCCGCGCTGAATACGCTTCATCAAATGGGTGGTGAAGCCGGAAACCTTGTTCCGGAGGCGCTTAGAGGGAACCACGGCCTGTGTGAAAGGAATAAGATGGTGCGAGCAAACGGGGTGGAAAGGTACTGACAACTTCATCGATGATGCGCTTGTTGGTGTGGAAGTCGAGGGTAAGGCGGGGGTAGCTGGGTGTCATATGTCAGGATCGGTAGTGGAATAGGACTGCTCCAGTCTACGGTCATTGGTCATCTTGCCCATCAGACCTCTCGTCCTCCATACCCCAAATACGAACCCCAGTCAACTGTTAAAGATTAGACTTACTATTTTTCGATGAGCACACGGGCAGCCCTCTTCGTGGTTTTGGTGCGAACACGACCCTGATCGCAGCCTCAATAATGATGACATTGGTCTAATACAAAACGCACCATTTTATCGGATTTTTATTGTCGAGGACGTTGACGGTGTCGATGCCTTGGGGCTAGGATCGTGCGGACAAAGCTCGCGGTAACTTCCGCAGTGGCTGAAATGTACTATACAGTCGCACAGCCACATCTTCACCTTGCAATAATTAAATTGGTTCGAGTCTATAAGCCAGTCATCCCGCACATCCTCAAGGCCAGCAAGGTGAGCCCGCCCTTATGTCTACGTGTGACATGATTGCGCTGTGTTCTGGGCTTGACCGGCTCCATGCCATGCTTTCTCGCAGCTCGTCTTGACTCGCGCTTTCCGTAGCACGACACTCAGACGAGTATAGGTACTTACATCGCATTCGATAGCCATACCATCCTTCCGCGACCCTCGATCTTGTAATTCAAAATGGTCCGCGTCTCTGTTCTTGTGAGTATTTCGTTTGTTTCGATAACTGGTATGGTGAGCCTAATCGTGATATTGTATTAGAACGACTGCCTTGTAAGTCGACGCGTCTAGTAGGGGAGCTGTGTTGATTTGCTGAATTACTAGAACAACATTGTCAATGCTGAGCGCCGGGGAAAGCGCCAGGTTCTTATCAGGCCTTCGTCGAAGGTCATTGTGAAGTTCCTATCTGTCATGCAGCGTCATGGTGGGTTCGCGTTCTCTACCGATCGTTCTCCATTCATTGCTTCATACCGTTCTCCTCGGAGTTATAACTACGATTGACGAGGCTTTCATTTCTACCCGGCCTTCGTTTTAATGCTCCGAAACATAAACCTGTCTCTCAAAACCAAACAACGCTGATCTTCTCCGTCTCACGGATCGGGGTTCACTGTAGAGTCTACATCCCTATTTGTTTTATGGCACCATTTTCCATTTTCCATTTTCCAACTTTTACTTGTTCTTAGTAGCATGGCGCGGAGCACTGACTTTGTTGTGTTCCCTTGCAGGCTACATCGGTGAATTTGAGATCATCGATGATCACCGCTCTGGCAAAATTGTGATCCAGCTCAATGGCCGGCTCAACAAGACGGGTGTAATCTCACCACGTTTCAACGTCCAAGTGACCCAAATCGAGTCCTGGGTTAACTTGCTCCTCCCTGCCCGTGGTTTCGGGTACATCATCTTGGTGGGTTGTTCTGTATCTGAGATTCGAACGCAGGCTGACTTTGATCGTGATGGCAGACGACTTCATCAGGGATTCTTGATCACGAGGAGGCTCGTCGCAAGAACGTTGGTGGGAAGCTTCTCGGATATGTCTACTAGAGTTGTATGCTATGTCGCCCCAAAAACCATACAATGCATGCTATGCATGTTTACTGAGCTCAGATAACTGCTTTTGTGTGATTTCCTGTATGGGCTGTACTTGGAGCTTGAGTCGAGCCATGGAAGCACAACGTAGCCAAACAGAACAACATGTCGCTTGCTGGCTGTACTTGTACCGAATATTGACCTTATACATATACGCGCCTTCACTCTCGTTAAGTTACGGGAATGACACTCCCTGCAAACGACGCCTTCTCGCTAGGTCTCGCGCACGACCAACCTCGTCGCTCGAGCTCCCGTTCCCGCACCCCTTCCCTCCCGCGTCGCTCTTCGTCCCCCAAATTATCTTTTTCTTCGCCTACTCCACCTTCCTCCACGTCAAGCAGCGTTGTCTTCTCACCACAGCCAGTAAATGGAATGCCTATGAAGAGAGGACATAAGCGCAAGGCATCTGCAAGAAACGGTTCTCAACAGCTGAAACAGAACGGAGAGCCGACGATAGAGGAGCTCGTTGAGGAGGTGGATGCGCGGATAGCACGCGAACGCAAGCTGTCCCCTGGCAGCTCACCCGATAAGCGCCAGACAGTCAAAAAACAGATTGATTGGGAGATTCCTCGCAAGGCGTTGCATTCATCCATTGGTGTGTATATTTTCACTCCCCTTTTTGCCTGCAGTAGTGCAGCTTTGGTCTGACGAGCAATTTTTGGCAGGTTTCTTTACGATATACCTATACACATCCAAAGGCAATCCACAAACGGTTGTTATTGCCTTGAGCTCTGCCCTTGCTGCTCTTGTTCCAATAGATATTCTCCGTCTCAAGTACCCTCTCTTCGAACGCGCTTTTGAGAAATGTGTCGGGATCTTCATGCGCGATAGCGAGAAGGCAAGTTTGATAGACACCATGCATGCACTCTGACGTCACGTATCCTCAGAAATCATCCAATGGTGTTATATGGTATATTCTTGGCGCTAACACTGCGCTAATAGCGTTTCCGCTTGACATCGCAGTCGTATCTATCCTTATGTTTGTGTATTTCCTCTGTTTCGCCCTCCCCCTGTTCATCCCACTCCAACAGCCTTTCCTGGGCTGACACAGCCGCATCTACCTTCGGCCGTCTCTGGGGCTCACTCACGCCCCCGCTTCCTGCACGACTCCTTGGTCTCCCTCTTGCCCCTCGTAAAAGTCTGGCAGGCTTCATCGCAGCCTCACTCACAGGCGCCGCTGTCGCTGCCGGATTCTGGACGTGCTTCGGCCCGATAAGAGACAACTCGACGTGGTCCTGGGACGCTGGTGTATCAAGTACATTTAGTGGTGGAAGTGCGGATGGTGGGAAGGTCTTCAGCGGTTTGACAGGTCTCGCTGTTGTGACTGTGTGCGCGGGGTTAGTCTCGGGCGTTGCTGAAGCACTTGGTGGGTGACATTTATTCGTTGCCTTGCTTTGGGTGCTCATTTTGGCACGCAGATTTGGGTTCCGTGGACGATAATCTCAGTCTACCAATAATCGCTGGCGGCTGCCTATGGGGACTCTTCAAAGTCCTTGGCTGGCTAGGCGATATACTTTTGTGATAGATTCCCCTCTTCAACTTCTCCGCTGTGATCTTCACCTTCACCTTCAATCATCGAAATACTTGCAATTTCAGTGCTGCATACGTTCAATTTTCCAGTGGTGGATATTTTACTTACCTGGCTCACGATAGTGATGACGAGAGTGAGACGAGACGATTATGATGACGACGGATAGTATATTAACCGATTTCATGCGTTTGTCCGTGCTGCTTATAATGTGCTAGTTAGTAGAAGTAGAGTTACTATAGTCATGCATCCATATACCGAATTTTAGGCATTTTTGTTGTCCCTGTCAGTGTCAGCGTCCTAAGGAATCATACTACATACCGGAGCAATTAGATCTTGCCCAGAGGACCATAGGAATATCGGTCACCAACGTGCAAATGTAATTAGGAGCAGAACGAAGTAGTAAGTGTGAATGTACCATAACATCATGAAGCAATCCAAAGTGGTTCTTACAAACGCGCCCAACCCACCCAGCAACGCCAAAGAATAAGCAACAAAGCAAAGTAGAGTCCAAGGCAGTATGATCTCTACCCACTGACGCGGCCCGTATACCCTGCAGCACCGACATACACCCCCTCGGCTGTCATCACAGCTGCATGCCCGCCAGGGGTGATCATTGCGACATGCCCAGTTGGCGTCGCGCTCGCTGTGAAACCTGCATGGGTACGATATAGTGACCCTGCGCTCGCATGCGTCGACCAGAAGCTGTCGTAGGTCAGCGGGCCGCTCCCATTTCCATTTCCAAACGAAGACTGCGAGTTGGCGCTGGGCTGTGAATGAGAGATTTGAGGGTTGGACTGATTTTGGAGCGAGGTTGCGTGATAGGATTGAGTGAAGGAGTACTGCGGAGGGGGTTGGGGAGTAAAGGGGTTGGGTTGGGGCTGGGAGGACTGTCGAGTGAGGGGCATGTAGGGGTTGTAGGGCTGTGGTTGAGGTTGTACGTTTGTTTGAACCTGAGTTGGTGTTTGGCTCTGTGGTTGAACCTGAGATGGAAGTTGAAGTTGGGGCTGTATTTGCATTTGCGTGAACCTCGCTATCGTTGCTGGGTCGCTGAAATCGAGGGAGCTGTACGAAGCGGCTGCTGCTGCTAAGTTTTGGGGTTCCTGGGGGGTAGTAGTGGATTGCGTACTGGGGTGAACAGGAGCGGGAGTAGGTTGAGACGGCTCCTGGGAGGGCGCCTTCTCGGGGAGGGTTTGTGCTGTGTGTAGGGGCAGAGTAACAGATTTCAAAGTGGTATTAGTGAGCGTATGCTGCCCGAGAGTCGATGCTGATGCAATAGGGGAATTGGATGCTCGCTGCGGGGACGTAGCCTCTCGGGAATTATCTACAGGAGGTGCCTGGCTAATGGTAACCTGCTGCGATGTCTCATCGACTACGATGGGTGCGAGAGGTTCGGGTGCGGGTGCAGTGGGAGGCACGGAATTCATAGATAGTAGAGGGACTGCTTTTGAAGGTACGACAGGACGCAGCCCGCGCACCTGCGAATGATGGAAGTAGAGGTTCTCGACCTCGTTCAAGTTTTGGCGTTGCTAATCGACGGTCAGGCAATCAACCACCACATTAGCTGACGGGAAATAATAAGATAGCGCACCCAACCGTGCTCAACCTTGAGCTTTGCGTACTGCAGGCGCATCTGTAGTTGTTTCGAGAGCTGGATTACCGTATATTAGGTACTTATTATATGCAGGGAGCATGTCAGCCATCTAAAGGCATGGAAAACTTACATGATTTGCTTTTGCGCGCTCCAAGGTCTGCTTTCTTTTCTTTTGCTCTGCTTCGTTTGGCTGAGGAGGTGTTATGGTCACCATGATATGGACTTGCAGGCAAGTTGAGCTAGCTGGTAAGGTGAACCAAGACAAAGATCTCAATAGTAAAGTTTCCTCATTTGGACTTCCGCCGGGATCTCCTTTCCGAGTTCATGCGAGATCACTGCGGAAGACGATGAGCAGGCTTTGATGGACAAGTTTACTGCACTCGAACCGACGCGGCTTTATTCATCCTCGACGTCGGCACAAAATAAGAGGGCAAACAGAGCGCAAACGATTTCTCGATGGATCGGCAAGTTGCCTGTCGATATTCACTTACTTGTCCTTAACCACCTCCCCATCCCCGACATCCCTGCCTATGCTCGAGCATCGCGGGCAACCGCTGGTCTATCTCGCGATGAGAAAGTATGGGAAAGAAGATGGAACGATCTAGCTATTACTCGACATGCCCTGGATGACACGTTAGACGACCTTGAATCCAAGCAAAAGCCCAAGGCTGGCACTCGTTCCCGTTCGCCTCCTACGATACCTGTAGATTCTCTTGATGATGACTTCGGAGAATTCACGTCTGCCCCACGCACATCAGCTGTCCCATCTCTCTCTGCTGCATTCACGTCATTCGCGCTCACAGACGCATCTCCGGGAAAACAGACTTTCCGCGCTCGCTATACACGCGCCCATTTAATTCTTAAGAAATGCTTGGCTCCTCTGAAGGAGCCACCGCATGCAGTCCTTTCCGCGCTCACACCTCTCATAGGCACATCTTTGTTGTCTCAGGCTCGTTCTCTTCGCCTACTCAGCTTCTTTCTCTCCCCCCGCGTCCGACCCGTAAGAAATTGGGACATTCTTCTCGCCGCTCTGAAGGCCGCAACAGAACGTTTTGACGTATCACTTCTGACTGCCTTTGATGCTGCTGATTCTCGTGGAGATGAAGTGATGATGAGGGAGGTGGCTCATGCCAGCTGGGAGGTTTGGCCTGGGATTGGGGATTGGGAAATGGGCAAGGTATGGGCTGAGAAGCGAGAAATATTGTATGAGCAGGGTCGCTGGAATCCACTAGCTAATTTCACGTGAGTAACCTACATGATCTGTGTCGTTCCGGTGTTTAAATGAGGTGCGCAGAACGGAAAATACCCTTGACTTCACACCTATGGATGAATTCATGGCTAGCGTCATACGTGCGCTGGAGGAACATGGCACGAGGGCTGTTTTCGTCTTTCCGCCAGCTGCTGGAGTCCTCATTGGGTTCGCAGAGCGTGTTGCCAACGAAGTCGTACGTCCATATCATGTCCATTTCTCTCCCATTTCATAACTATGTGCGTGTGCAGGTTGGTGAATACATAGCGCCACTGCTAACCCGCGCCAGAGAGATATCGAATGCTCTCTATCTTACTGCAGTGGCTGCCAGTTTCCGGGAATCATGGAGGATTGTCGACGTTCTCACTACGGTGTCTAGTAATTTCAACGGCAAAGGTAAAGACAAGGCAGAAGATGTTGTGTAAGTGATATAATTCTTGCACACTCGCTCTTTGTTGCCGCAATTTTTGTTCTCCCGGAGTATGTCAGAAGTATAGCTAACTACGTGAATCTGCAGATTTATGATGTTTGAGCCGAACATGGACGAATACCTTGACGAGGAAATAGAATCATTAAAACAAGCATTCGAAGTTATATGCAAAGAGTGGGACAGGTCGGTACGTGCCTCTTTTCCTACTCCCGACGGTCTTTGTTCAACGCCAACCTTTTATCTCTTGCAGACATTAGCACTTGCATCGCATAGTACATCCCCGAAAGCACAACAGACCCGCTTCCTTACTGCGCAGAACCCGGCTCTCATGAAGCGCACCGTTCTAGCGTCCTTCACTGACATGCTCCTATTACCCGTGACCATAGTCCCGCGTACCGTTGGTGCTGGAGTTGTAGCTGTAGGGGGAGCTGTAGGAGGAGCTGTCGGTGCCGTCGGCACAGGCATGGTCCAAGGCATTGCGATGCTTAATCCGCAGCGGTGGGTCGGTGGCACGGGATCGGTAGACAAAGCGAAAGAGTATGCCAGCTTCAGCTTCGGGGGCGCCGAAGGAGAGGACGCTATTTTTGAAGTTGGCGCTGGCGATGAAGAGGGAGGTGATGATGGTGTTGACGATAGTTCGATCTTGCCATGTAAGTATTGATTGTGATGTGGATTAGAAGACTAATCAGCCACAGCATCCACGCTAGATACTGCTTCGATTGCTAGCGCAAGCACAGCTGCAACTTCCTTCGCACCTGAGGCTTCCCCTGCATCTGCGACAAAAACGAAGCTGGCGCCAACAGAAAATCTTGATCTTCTTTTATCCCTTGATGTCGCTCTCCAGTTGATTCACGCAGACCGTGATGCACTCAAACGACTGGAGACTTTTGCGTCGTACCCCAGCCAGTATGGGGCAAGGGTAAGAGAAACGATCGAAGAAGCATTCTGTGAGATGCTTGGGGTACTGTGTAACAGACATCTGGAAAAAGGTTTTGGGATGTGAGTGGATTCTATTTTTGCATTTTGCGGATTCGTCACTCGTCCGTGTGTGTATCCTAAGTTTACCCTTTGCATTGGCAGAGCAACGGAGCGGATGAATTCATACAAACCAGCAGAACACGAACAAACTGTCAGTGTAGCATCGCTGCTACAATTCTTCGAGCTCGTCCATATCGGGGATACTATTCAAAGCATGGTACAAGTATTCTTTGACAAGGAGCTGGTATGTACATTTTGAAATCACGGACGTTTTTCCCGACTCGGCTATTTGCGTCAGGCTCCGTACATCGACAAAACAGACTTCCTGAATGTGGTTGTGAGAGAGAAGAAACGGTTTGAGAACACGCTCGATGACTGCGTGGCTGCAGGGCTTAATGCTGGAACACAGGTGCTAATGAATCAGGTGCGTAGTCGTGCTCCCCGACCCCTCCTGATCCTTTCTAGCAAGTTCACTGGTTCCTTAGGTGGAGCACATCATCCTGACACTGACAAAACCACGGGAATATTATCCACCTGAAGATGCTCCCCTAGAATTGGGCTCCACTGAGGGTTGTACGGAAGCTATACGATGCCTGGATACACATTGCAAGCTTCTCAAGGACAGCACGAGCAAGGAGGTGCTCGAAGTGTTCTACCAAGAGGTCGGAATCCGGTTACTGGCGTGAGTGTTCAGATCTTGGGACGTCTTTTTGTGGGAACATGATATGGCGGTACAGAATACTACAGAAACATATCAAGCGCCAGATCATCTCTCTGAATGGCGGTTTCCAAGTCATTGCCGACCTCAATGCCTATTACTCGTTCATAGCTTCTCTCAAGGCCGGTCTATCTCCGCTGCTTTCAGTCGATGGTGTCTGATCCCTTGTGAACAGGTACCCAATATCACTGCAGATTTCTCGCATTTGAAGATGTTGGGACACGTCTTTGTTGTGGAAGACGCAAAGGACCTGGCACAGATCGTGAGAGATGTAACAAGATATGGTGGAGCATATCGACCCGAGGTATGTAGTTTTCGCCGCTATCTCGGAACGAGTAACGATGATTTTCGTTAGGATATCTATGAATTTATTCAACGACGTGCTGATTGGAAAAAGATTGAAAAGACGGTAGATAAGACGATGTATAACTTAAGCTTCAAGGAAGATTGTATTGTCTGCTGAACTCAGGGCTGGAGCGTACCATAACTGTGCTCTTAATGCGTTCTGATAGACTTGGTGGATTAGAAACTGGTACCTTTTGAAAATGATGCTGCTGGGCCCTGGCAGCTGAAGTACGAGATTTGGACTCACCCCGCCGAAGTGGGGTTTGAAAATACATCTGTTCAAGTTAGTTGGTTGAACCTCCTGTATATGTGAGAGTGATGCGGTCAGATGGCCCTTTGAATACCCGGCCGTACGACCGCACAGACTAAAGTGCTTCGACGGGATTTACTCGTTGTAATGTTTCTTGAAGAACTTGTTCATGAATAATTTCGGAGCGTCTAGCGGTCAAGGATTCACTTTCTTTGTGGACCCACCGGCCTCTATATCCTAAATTTGCCTCCGGCCAGAAAGATATCTGCCAGGACATGTAAGTTACTTAGTAAATTAAATAGTAGGGTGCACAGCGAGAAGTATATAACGCATATTCGCAGTCAAACAGTAGTTCCATTCAATTTCAGGAGGACTGAGCAGTTTTGCGGAGCTGGGCCTGCATGGAAATGCAACGGGCCGAAGAAAGATTGGTATTCGATCCGGCAACCAAACCCAAGGAAAGGCTTGTCTTCGTTCTGTTGATTGGCCTCCTTATACTAGAAGGCTCGAAGACTAAGAGGCTTACGGTATTACTTATGATAACAGTGGGCGGCACCCAGCGGCACATCCTTTACAGAAATTGCGCGAACGTTATAAGGGCATGAGTCTCGCAGCTCACTCGCAGTGTTTCTCCCTCATCACGCACGATGGCAGCCAACTCCGCGGAGCTAATGTGGGGGCCAGGGTTCGTCGACGAGCCTTCCAATGTTGCTCGTCTTGGACACCGCATAGCTGATTATAGGCCAAGGATTCATGATGGCTACAGTGTATGGACTTGCGCCATTCAGTCTCTACTACTGCAATTTGACCTGCAGGATTGCAAAGGTTCTGCGGGACAGCTTTTGGGCAGTATATCATCTACGTGCGATGGTTTCCAGAAGATTCGAATTATTTGTGAGCACAACTAATAAACACGACACATCTCCAATTTTTGCCCTGAGTCATGCCATCACACCCTGACTTAAGCCAATGTCGGTCTCCAGCGCAGCAAACAAACAATCGGCCGTACTTGTCTTCCGCCCATCGCGCCAGGTCCGCCGCAATCGGCACCTCAGAGAATTGTGGTGTGAGAAAAAGTGACAAATGTGGCCTAGTAGGGGCAAAGAAGGAATTGCGGCACACGTCCAGATAAGACTAGTATCCTCATTCTATTGGGTCTGGCTTAGGGGAGACCTAATAGGGGGAGACTACACATCCTATCCTCTTCTCCTCAACCCGCAAGAGATATAGTTGCGAGCTGCTTGATCGCGCTGTCGTCGGAGACGTACGCTCAAATGACAGTTGAAACGTTGATGAGCCATGAATGCGAGCACTGCAGTATAATATAGGTCCGTAGTACAAGTTTTTGTAGTCTATCACCGTCATCAATATTACATAATGAATAGGAGTACAGACTAGTCAAAATGTAGGTGGCGTGTTGTCGTCATTGAATCGTGAGCGCTCGAGCTCCGGCAACGGCACTGGTAGGTCATGAAATTTGAAAGTCGGTGCATGGTGCTAGAGGAGACAGGGTGTAAAGGAGTAAAAGAGCAAAAAGCTAGAATCATTGTTTAGAGAGAGAAAATAATATTATGACGAGGCAGATGCCGAGTTGTCATGATGGTGTTGACAACTGATTTAACACCGACGACCGCCGCGGCAAACTACCCCCCGCCTCCAGGCGGACACAGTGATAGTACATACATAATTCATTAACTCAACAACAACAGCATGGACATGGAACGAGACAACATATTCCGCCCTGACAATTAAGCTTGAGATTGTCTTTATTACTGTTCAGAACAACTTACAGGGCAAGGAATGCAGCCACCTCTCAAACGCATCGGCGAGTGTGTTTGCTCCCCTTTCTGTGGGAGTCTGTCCTGTGGAGAGGAAGACAACAACATGGATGATGGAGACGGTTGAGAGGAAACGATTTCTCGCGGGACAGCATGAGCTGCGAGCGGGTATGTAACAGAGTCTGTATGAGGTGCTGGGCTGGAATTCATTTGGGGGAAGGTCGAGTAAACACTGAAGGTAAAGTAAAGGGTACTTACTCCACATTCTTTGATATTTAAAGTATTTCTAAAAACCAATGACGTTGTAAACCCTAATTATGATAACCTCAGGTACCATACATAAATGTAACCCAAACATAGGTTCCATAGCCAAGATAGTATAAGTAAGGAACAACTTGAGACCAAGTACTGCGCAGCTGCAGTCCTTATCGTCGGACCATCACCTATCCCTCCTGATCCTTCTTGAAATCAAAGCAGTACGCGATGTTAACCGAAGATCGAATCATTTTCCGTCAGGGTGAGTACATGCCATGCTGGATTAAATGACGCTGTACTGACTGTAGCTAGGGATCAGCAGCGGCTTCGCTGGACTGGAGGTCGCCAATTTTGAGCACAATGTTGCCAGATCAGCGGCAAACCCACATATTCTCACTATCACTTCTCAAACACGCCAACAACATGAACCACTGCTATCCGCTGCCGTTACACCCCTTACCATCTCTGATGGTGCTGCTGAGATCGACCGGGTCATCAATATACTCCAGAAGATCTGGAACCCGGTCAGGAAGGACCTTGCGGTAGAGCAAGGCGCCCCGCCACTCAACTACTACAAGACGTCTTATGGCATATGTTACATACGCGGCGGGGAACTGGTGTGGTCAAACTACCTGCCAGAAAGGGGGGTCCGTCCACCGATCTCCGAAGAGACAGCAAGCATTGAGGAGGAGAGTCAGTTTGGGGAGGTAGTGAAGATTCTTCAGAGCTTGGTACAAAGGCCGCAGACAGCTTGAATGGCGACACATAGAGTCATCAGGAGGTGGATTAAATGGGAGACTAATATGGACATCAATAAATACCATAACGTGCACGACAAGTATACATAGGATAAGAGGAACGAATAAAGATCATATCTCTGGCATCATAAGCGAACAATCAACGTATAGTCGGTATAGTAGGAAGCTCCGTTACACTACGGGCAAGTCGTTGCCGTTCGCGAATTGACTTCCTAGCATTGAGCCTGACCACCAATACAGCGGTTTAGTGCATTTCTTGTAAAGGATTCCATCCACTCACACTGCCATCATCGAGTTGAAATATGCTAAAGGCGAGGATTTCAGTGTTTGCGCGTCCGTACGAAAACATACATACTTTTCCCTAACAGTGATCCGGGCGCAGCGGAATAATAATGGCCATTCTGGACCTGGTACTGAAACAATCCTCATCGTTATTTTCCGCATGTCTCATGTCGCATGGACGACAGGACTTACGAGCACAGCCATCGTGACAGCCACAACGCTGGGGTCAACCGTATGACGGGGTTGTTCGACAGATATGTAACATGACGCATACCAAGAAATCAAACCCGTGTTAACAAGAATTTGTGTCAGTTCTTTGAGATAATTTCTTGACTTTGACCTTCAACCACACAACCCGGCATGAGTTAGACCACAAGCAAGGTAGACAGACTCGCACCGAACATTGTCTGTTCGTGCCGGATGCAGAAACCACCAGACCGACCCTGTAATGCCAATATCACATAAGGCATCAGCGAAAGCAGCGAATTGCGTTCGCTGAGTTGAAGTATGAATTCCTTAGGGTTATTCACTATTTCATGGCTGACCGAACCTTTGTGCCGTATAGAACTTTAGGGCTTCTCCCGCGGAACCTGTCAAAAAAACTATCTGAGAAATCATGCGAACTCCACAACAAAAAAAATCACATTAAACCACTTGTGACTAGAGACGAAGACAATAGCATATCAGCACATCGACACCAGGGATGAAAGACGGACGGAACTCATGCCAAGACCTACAGTGTTCAAGAGTTAGAGGTCACATATCTCTGGGATCGAAAGGGCTGACCGAATGATATAGTGGCGAGCGCGCACTGAAAGTTGGTTTTATGGCTCTCCGAAAAGAAACAATGAAAATGTAACCTTACAATGATGATTGTGATGAAGCGATTGTGTTCCGTGACTGAAACAAGGCATTGATACCCTCAGTCGAGCAGATTCTGCATAACTCACTTATCCATACTCTCTGTGCATAAAAACTTCCGACGGGTAAAGCGCGTTTGGCATCATGTACGAAACCGGCCATAGGAAAACACATACCAATGAACTGCGAATACAACCCAAACCTTATTGACTGTTATTAGAAATCGATCACGACGATTTACGAGAGAATCAGTTACCGATACAAATACCCCCAGCTGTGGCAATGTTCAACATGCAGTACTAAATCAATGCAAAATGTACTTGCTAGCAGCTGCCTATGCTCTCGATGAGCTAATTTGGGGTCAATGAAGAAGTCTATTCAACTTACCACGGAAGTTCAGTCGTGCAAGTAAGGGACGTGCTACGACGGCACGAAATAAGGATAGACCAGTTCATCCCTACCAAGGCGTATTGGTTTATTGTTACTAGACAACTGCGAGACATCGTCATTGGCATCAGCGTGTACTTGAGCATCGTGGGAAGCACCCACAAGGTCATCATTATCTGGTGATAAGATGTCATTGTTAGTAAAGTTCTTGTAGATGCACAGAAGTCTCGCTCACAAATAATTTGAGTTTTTTTGGGTCTTGCGGAAAAGATCTCAGGTAGAAGATATACTGCCCGACAGCTGTCCCATAGAGCCTTTATAATTCTGCGTCAACTTTGAGTAGAGACTGAATCATGAGTCCATACACTGTCGCTATCACGAATCCTTGACCGAAAGTCAACATTGAGGTTGAATGAATGACCATTGGAAGACTCACCAATGATCCCCGGACCCCACAGAAGTGTGGAATCGACCATCGTGTAGAGATACTATCACTATGACTGTCAAAGTCTCGAACCCCAAAATTCTCAAACCCTCAAATTCTGCGACCATTAAGTATGCACTAGGCTGGGCTTCTGCATTGTGTAAACTCCGCTTCTGGCATCATAAACGTTAGTATTGAATTGAATGGTCAGGCTAGGTACTAGTAGTATCAAGACATGAGCACACATGGCTGGCCAAGGCTCAATAAATACGACACACATGTCCAATTTGCCCTGAGCCATGCCATCACACCCTGAACTGGGCCTGAAGCCAATGTTGGTTTCTACTAGCACAGCAAACAACACAAAGCAAAGACTCATATCTTCTGCCCCATCGCGCCCGGTCCGTCGCAATCGGCACCTCAGAGACGGCGCGGGGGTTTGGTGTGAGAAGAAGTGACTTCCAACTTCGTCTGCTTTCGTCTGCAGCTGTCGTTCTGTCTGTCGCGTGGTGCAACTAGAAAGGTTGGGCTGTAACCAGAGTGTCAGCAGACGTTTCCCCGCCACAATATTGTCAGTCTTGTAAGCTTTCGCAGCTTTCGGCCGTAAAATCTATAGTAGTCTTGGTAAACTAATTATAACGAGTCATAAGTTATACTTCACGTATAATATTTTTATTCTCCTCACCACCTTCACGGGTTTTGTCCTCAAACCGCCAAGATGGCCTCGGACTCGGATGCACTCTCTAGATGGCTGGGGAGGTTACAAAATCTACCCGTGATGTCTCTCCCCACAGATTATCCGCGATCGACTGGTGCTAACAAACTCATTGAAGCCGCTCATCTCGCAGATCTTTCAGGACAGACCTCACTCAGTCTTTTAAAGCTTGCACTTCATGGCGAGAGCAAAGATAGTGAAGAGGACGAAACCTCTGAAATTAGACCATCAGCCTTCCATCTACTCCTCTCTGCTTTTCTCGTCCTTCTACACAGGTACACTGGCGATACAGACTTCGTGATCGGCTCTCCTCTGCTGCTGCAAGCTCTCCTTTGATTCTCCGCCTTTCCGTAGAACCCTCAGATTCTTTCTGGACCATCGTGCGCCGTGTCCAGCACGTCGAACGCGAGGCCGAAGCAGATCTTCTGCCCTACGAGACAATCGTACGGGCTTTGCAAAAGGACAAAGACGATTCCGTCGAAGCATCCCGTCCCCTCTTCCGTGTCCGTTTCTTCGATGAAACAGATCAGCCGAGGGATAACTTTATCCGATCTACCAGCTTGACATCTGATCTCACCATCTTCGTCACGCGACCCCCCGCTACGACACGCGCCTCCTTAGCTCCCCACATTTCCCTTCGAATCCTTTTCAACTCCTTGTTATTCACGTCCGCCCGCATATCCTTCATCGTCGATCAGCTCTCTGTGCTTTTAAGGAAGGTTTCCACTAATCCAACTGCAGCGGTTGGTTCTGTTCCTCTTTTGACGGCCGCCCAACGTGAAAGTTTGCCCAACCCAACAGCAGATCTGCATTGGTGTGACTGGAAGGGGGCCATCACAGATGTGTTTTCGCGTAATGCGCAGAAATGGCCTGATAGGCCCTGTATAATTCAAAGCGTACCTGCCTCGATTCCTAGCGAGCCTCAGACGAGGCGGACTTTCACTTACGGCGAGATCCGAAGAGCCTCCAACATTCTAGCGCACCATTTATTAACAGGCGGTGTGAAGAGGGAAGAAGTTGTCATGATTTACGCGCATCGTAGTGTCGAGCTTGTCGTAGCCGTCATGGCGGTTCTTAAAAGCGGCGCGACGTTCTCAGTCATAGGTACGATCTTTTGTGTTCCTTTCAGTTCCTTTGTAACTCGGGTCAGATCCCGCATATCCGCCTTCACGGCAGATAATATACCTTCGGGTAGCTCAACCTCGTGGCCTTGTTGTCCTCTCAGGTGCAGGCAAGATCGCATCTTCAGTGCGTGAATTCCTATCCACGGAACTCAAGATCCGTGTGGAGGTCCCCGCGCTTGAATTTTCCCCTACTGGCCAAATCCTGGGGGGCGCAAACGACGGCATCGATGTTTTGCAGTCGCAGATCCGTCTCGCCGAAACGGATCCCAACGTGATCTTAGGACCTGACAGCATTGGAACGCTTTCCTTCACCAGTGGAAGCACTGGTATTCCTAAGGGCGTTCGGGGGCGCCATTACAGTCTCACACATTTCTTCCCCTGGATGGGCAAGCGCTTCCTGCTCACCGAAAATTCGAAGTTCACAATGCTGAGTGGGATCGCCCACGATCCCATACAGCGTGATAGTACGTACTATATTTTCGAGCGCATACGCGTCCGCTGACAATGTCAACGTTACAGTTTTCACACCCTTGTTCTTGGGCGCGGAGCTTCATGTACCCACCGCAGAAGACATCGGCACGCCCGGCCGTCTCGCAGAATGGATGGACGACAGCAAAGTGACGGTCACGCACCTAACCCCAGCAATGGGTCAGTTGCTCTCCGCACAAGCGACGCGCCAGATCCCTTCCCTGCTAAACGCGTTCTTCGTTGGCGACGTCTTGACTAAGCGTGACTGCCTCCGCCTACAGGCCCTTGCCACGAATGTGCAGATCATCAACATGTATGGCACGACAGAAACACAGCGCGCGGTGTCTTACTTCGCAATTCCCCCATTGTCTGTGGACCCGACGTTCCTTGCCACCCAGAAGGACATTATGCCTGCTGGAGAGGGCATGGTCGACGTGCAGCTCCTTGTCGTCAACCGCAGCGACAGAAATGTCCCTTGCGCAGTCGGAGAGGTAGGAGAGATTTATGTGCGGTCTGGAGGTTTGGCAGAGGGATACCTGGATACCGAAGCTACCACCGAAAAGTTCGTAAACAATTGGTTTTCTCCTTCCACCCTGCCCTGGAAGGACACCATTTTGCATCCCCCTCAGGGCCTTGCTGGGCCTGAGTCGAGGCATTGGAAGGGCATCCGCGACCGGATGTATCGTTCAGGCGATCTCGGTCGGTATCTCCCCGATGGGCGTGTTGAATGCACGGGGCGTGCAGATGACCAGGTTAAGATCCGTGGTTTCAGGATCGAGCTTGGGGAGATCGATACGTTGATGAGCCAGCACCCGCTCGTGCGTGAAAACGTCACGCTCGTGCGAAGGGACAAGGACGAGGAGAAGATCCTTGTCGGTTACTTCGTGCCGCTGCAGGGCTCGAAGCTGGATGGGTTCGCCAGCGAGCTCACAGAGGACGACGACCATGTTGATAGCAAGAGTCCAAAGTATAAACGGCTCATCAAGGATATTAGAGAGCATCTCAAAAAGAAGCTGCCTAGTTACAGTATACCATCATGTACGATTTATCGCTGCCTTCCTTTACGTCCTTCACTCAACTTTCTTTCTGCACAGTGTTCGTTCCGCTGCATCGCATGCCCCTCAACCCTAACGGTAAAATAGACAAACCCGCACTTCCCTTCCCCGACACAGCGCACGTGCACGCTGTGCACTCCGAACCCAAAGAAGCCACCAACGGGCGCACAGCGAGCCCCACCGAACAAAGCATGCGCGCCATCTGGGCAAACATCCTCCCGAATGCGCCCAAACCTATCCCCCTCGAAGAGAGCTTCTTCGATGTCGGCGGTCACTCCATCCTCGCCACGCGTCTCATCTTTGAGATCCGCAAAATCTTTGTCGTCGAGGCTCCGCTGGGCCTTATCTTCGACCAACCAACTATCACAGGCCTCGCTGCAGCGGTGGATGCGCTTCGTAATCCGGACTTTGGTATAGCATACAAGGATGCTGAGACGCGCCCGGCGACACCTGTAGTCGATGGTGTCAAGGCCTCTGCGAAATTATCCGCTGCTATTCAGTACGGACAGGACTATGAGACCCTCGTGCACCGCCTGCGACCCTCGTACTCGCTGATGTCTGAGGAGTTCAAGTCGGGTGCTGTCACTGTGTTCTTGACAGGTTCTACCGGCTATCTCGGGGCCTTTGTCCTGCGTGATCTCCTTCAGCGTCTTGATAGGGTTCGGAAGGTCATTTGTATCGTACGTGCATCCAGCGTCGAACAAGGAGTCGCGCGCCTTAGAGAAGGGTCCAGTGATCGTGGCGTTTGGGATGAGCAATGGCTCACTTCGGGTAGACTTGAGGTTGTGGTCGGAGACCTTGGCCTTGATTTATTCGGCATGGGTAATGAGGTCTGGTCACGAGTCGCTGCTGAGGCGGATGTTGTCTTGCACAACGGTGCCCTGGTGAGCTACTCTGCCTCTTCACATGTAAACATTGATACCTAATAATTATTGCACAGGTACATTGGGTGTACCCCTACGAGAGGCTTCGTGCACCGAATGTGATCGGTACCTTGACTGCCATCGAGCTCGCCTCCACGATGAAGCAGAAACTACTTGTTTTCGTTTCATCGACGTCGGCGATCGACACTGAGCACTATGTGCAGCTATCTGACTCTCGAGGACAGTCACAAAACTCCCAGAGAGGCATTCCTGAGGACGATGACCTCGACGGTGCGAAAGTGGGTCTCAAGTCTGGCTACGGTCAGAGCAAATGGGTTTCCGAGAAGTTGCTCTTTGAAGCTGGAAGGAGGGGTTTGAGGGGCCATATCGTGCGGCCCGGCTATATTGTCGGCGACTCGCAGACGGCAGGTACGGATGTTCCTCTTCTACGAGGTAGTAGATATATTGATCGTGGCGCTCCATAGTGACAAACACCGACGATTTTATTTGGCGCATGGTCAAGGGGTGCGTTCAGCTCGGGCTTGTGCCAGATATCAACAACACTGTAAACATGGTGCCTGTGGATCATGTTGCCCGCTGCACTGCACTTGCTGCCGTGGAGCCCCTGCCAAATGCTGCGCAAAGCGTGCTGCACATCACTGCCAAGCCCCCTCCGACATTCAACAATATCCTGTCGTCGCTTGCCGAGTACGGGTTCCCTACACAGCAATGCGAGTATCTCATATGGCGCCGCAAGCTGGAACAACATGTCATGGAGGTCCAGGACAACGCCCTTTTCCCCCTCCTTCATTTCGTCCTTGATGACCTACCGACGAGTACAAAAGCCCCCGAGCTTGACGCCACCAACACTATGGCCCTGCTGCGTTCCCAAGGGCAACAATGCACATTCACCGTTTCGGACCAGCTAATGGGAAAGTACCTTGCGTGGCTAGTTGGAGCGGGTTTCTTGCCAGCGCCTACTTCGTCAGCGCCCAACAAACCATTGCCCCAGTTGGCTGATGGTGCCGTCATCAAAGCTGCAGGTCGGAGTGGTACTTGAGTGGCATATCAGGGTCGGTTGAATAGGCGATTTATCCGTGTTATTTTCGAAGCACAACAGTTTTTAGCGAACGAAGAACGACGAGAAAGATTATCATATTGTCTCGTTCTGCAATGAAAATGTAAGACGGTTGCTACGTCAACATGTCAGCATGCGGTGAGCATATATGTTTATTGGTCGTTTGTCGCATCCCATGGGAGAACTGAACCTTCCGGTGATGATTTTGAGACACGAACAGATAGGAATTACGAGAGCTAGTTTGATATCACTGATACTTCCGCTTGTCTTGCTTCACAACTCAGTGCTCAGGGCACCGACGACATACAACCCTTCTTGCATTGCAATATAGGCTATATAACGGAGTGATTCCTACACGGTATTGCTATCCGCGAAACCCTCGGCAGGTACTGTGCTATGCTAAACATTATAGGCGCCAACGGCCCGAGGTAGAAATCTGGATAGAGGAGTTCTTCAGCGTGGAACTCTCAGGCCTCATGTACTGTAGCTGGCGCTCTGCTGAACACCATAGTCACCGACGGCCGGAGGTAGAAATATAGATAGATGAGTTCTTCAGTCTCGTTTCGGAAGTCAATTGAAAAGTGCTTGTTCGTCTTCTCTCTCACTTTCAAATCCGACTCTAGAGCAGGTACATAATACATGCGAGGGGCGTGTCTGCGGCGGAGCGCGCCCGCAGCAATGAATCAAGCAGCTGGATCAGAATTCGACGGATGCATGCACACGCGATGTATTACTGTGATACAATGATAAGTAGATCTGTGTAAGTAAGTTCTACGACTAGAGTGGGATTCGCGGTAGCTGACATAGATCTAGTGCAATGATGTTTCCAACACGGTAACGCGACGACGCTGGAAATGTTCATATCATTACCGTCAGGACAATCAAGACATAAGACTTCAAGGGTGAACTGAAGCCGTTGGAAGAGGTTTGGGATGACGAGAAAGGCGTCACCCTCGAAAAAGGTAATCGTATCTACAATTTCAGTTCAGTTGGCAATTCATAAGTAGCCAATTGCTAATTCACAATATAAGTATTGTAGGTTGGGTGCCAATATCCGGCCCAGTGTTATCTAACTGCGGCTGAACTTACACCTGCTCGACCTTGTGACTAGGGAATGGTGCAAATTGCAGCAAGCGAAACGAACGTCGGATAAGCCAATAGATTCTCATTCATATACGAGGGTGCGTGCCACCCCAGAACTTGACTGCTCTTCGCTCGGGATTACCATTCATTCCGCTTCTTCCGCTCTGTTCACCTCGCACCCGCAGGAATGACCCCCGACGCTTAGAAAATGTGGTCGTCGCGCGTCCCACACATTCTGCGCGGAAGAACGTAGTTTCCGGTCTCCGCATATAGTTCGACTCTAAAAGCCAATCTAAAGGACCATTGATGCAGAGTTCGCGCCCCCACCGCCATGCAATGGGTCGATTCGTTCGCTCTCGTACCTGCAGCTCGTACCCGCTTACTAAATGCATTGGCATTGGTATTATTCAAACACACACGCGTTACGGGTGATCCGAACTTTGAAGGCACTGCAAAGTTTCGATGCTCGTTCACTTGTGCGGGTGCGTACCCTCATCAAGTTGTGCGCTACTTCGCAAGATCATCCAGCGATAACACACGGACGGGTCCTGAATCCTGGATCCCATAGTCGATGGCCAAGCGAGCGCGGACAATCGTGTAAGGCTTGTAATGGGTTCGAAGGGGAATTGTAACGAAACGAAGTAGATAGGAGACGAGCACAAAGGTAATCGAGACGAGTAGGAAAACGTATAAGACGAGGACTTTCTGCGAGGCTTTTCGGTCGTGTTTGGAGCGGGGAATCACGTCTGGGATTCTGCTATCGATATGAGTGTACATGAGCTGTATATATTTTCGAATGGCTTACTAGGCCATAATGAGCAGGAGAGCATGTGGTCCAAGTGAAAATACTCGGTGAAGGCAAGGGGCTCGTGAAAACGGAGCACAAGGTATGATAAGAGAATGAAGTACAACGGGATATAAAAGAATGTATCCGCGTGACTCGGATGCGAAGAGTAACGGAGGCACGTCGTCTTCGTTTTGAAGCGTGATCGGTGCGTAGAGGATATGCAATCGTTACAACCGCAATCCCATGAACACTTCGACCGGCAAGCTGCCAAGCACAAAAACGATCTTCCTCGCAGCTATCACTTCAGAACCAATCAAATCAGTGTCTAGCCATCGATCCGACACCAAAATTCTCTTCTCTGTCAAACCACGCGCCTTCTTCCAAAGAAGCTGCTCTTAACAAGCAAGTACGCAGGCCCAGTACATCCCCAGCGCCAGTCCCAAGATCCAATCCAAGAAGCGAGTTGCATCGATGGAAGTAAGTATCAGAACGCATCAGAACGCATCATCACATCGCATCACCTCGTTACGGAAATGAAGCCCCTTATCGCCTCGAATTCGACCCACGGATCATATCAGGCCCAGGGATAGCGAAGAGCGAACTCGGGTGTCACGGAATGGTTTACGGTAAGGCTTCATGTATGATGGATTCGATCTTCGGAAGGAATGTTAGCCGTGTTCGGGGATAACTTATCTTGCAGGTCCAGGAGAGCGTTTGGCTCGGACTTTTCGGTGCATCACCGCGAGAGTAAGTGCTACGTGGTACTGGATGGTCTTCCGTGAGTGCCGGAGCTCCTGGTGCAGTACTAGTGGCTGGAGTCCTGGTCGTAGGGAGTCCACCATGGTAATCTGTCCTCGACGGATACATACATGGAGCCGCCGCCACCCGCCTTACACAGAAGTTTAACTTGGGGATCCCCCTCGCATATGGAAGATATCATGGCCACTACATACAGTGGATTCGACTTTAGAAAGGATTTTTCATTTTTCGGCGTGTTCGGAATAACATGACTTATCATTAGAGGTGTTTTGCAGGTCCTAGGAGAGCGTTGGTTCGGACTGCCAGTGCATGACCGCGAGAGTATAGTACTACATAGATAGTACCGGTGAGTGTCGGTCATGCCGAGAAACGGGTGATCTGCATTTTTGACAACGGAACATAGAACACGGACACGATGCTCCTGCAACATTAAGCGAGTCTTCCGTGAGTGCCGGAGGTCCTAGCGAGTAGCTGGAGTCCTGATGGTAGGCATGGATAGAGCGGCTAGCTCCTGTTGGCCCGGGGATTCCCCTCGCATCCGAGTCCGAGTCCGCGTGATGTCCACTTATGCATCAAGTCGCTTACGTCTTCGTGCAGGATTTCGAAATGCGGTGTTCGGTTCCTCGTGAATAGCATAAATAAATCATGATATTGTGCACGGGAGCGTCGTTTCGGATGGATAGCCTAGATCACTGGGAGAATACCGATGAGAATGGATCTTCACGCCAAGGACAGGGTCTGTGTTGTTGGTCACACGGTGTTTATGTTGCTCTTGCGCTTCGTATGATAGTCGAACATACAAAGGGCGTAGTAGAGAGAGTGGTTAAGTAAGCGTATGTCATGCCGATTGAATGGATAAAATATGGAGCGAAGAAGGGGCCGGCTGTTGATGAGAAGGCCAAGAGATGCACCCTGCGAATGATAGCGGTGGACCTGATAGAGAGCGTCATTCCTGAATCCTGAGTGTCGTCATAGACATGTTACATGACAATGACGCGAAACGTGAGAGTACATTGAAAAAGAGGGTCGAACAACCGGGCCAATATGATTTCTGACAATCATATGTTTGGAACTTTAAAAAAAAAAAGATGTGAAAACTTGACGCTTGTTGGATATGGGTAGATTTGGTGGTGTAAGGAGTGTGAATACGATAAGCTGAAGTCGTATGTAGAGTGGATCATGTCAGTATTCGATGAAATCTATTTAGGGAAATAATGGTACTGAGGTGGATATGAAAGTGGGTTGAACATTTAATATCAAGTAGTCAACTCTCGAGCTGGGTCCAGCGTGAACGTTATGTTCACTGTCGTTTGCGTCACTGTACAGGCGGTGGATATTGTTACGAGATGAATAAGGTTCCGCGGTAAGGGCAAGGCGACCCGGTAGTACCTGGGAGACCAGGAACGGGGGGGAGTATGGATGTGGGGCGTTGTAGAATTGAGGCGCAGGCCGCGCAGTGCGAGAAAACAAAAGGATGAACCGATATTGGACCGATAAGAATGGAGGTACGGGATGGCGGATATAGAAGAATGAGGAGGAGGGGACACGGTGGAGATCAAGGTAATGAACGGGGACAGTGGGGTGTTGAGCGGTGGGTAAAAGGTTTATAGAGAGACAAGCCTTTTCAGGAGTAGGTATAATAGAGTTGAGTAGTCTAATTAAAGAATACTTGATCGTGAGAAAGTTCTTTAGTGAATTTCCTTTCAGTTCAGCAAGTAACTCGCTTTCAGGTCTCTCGACCTCAACCACTAGGATGGCGACAACGACGGTCACGACGACGGCGACAACGACGACGGTATCGAATGAACAAGCACCGGTTCGTTTAATAAGTAAACATGCACCCGTTCCTTTTCTACTCGAAGCGTTCCCCGTACCACCTTCTCATATCCCACCTTCACCCGCTGTCTCTCCATCTTCTATAAATCCACCACCTTCTCTACCACCTTCTGCACCACTTCCACCCGTACCCTGGTCCATCACCACTCAATGAATGCGACACACTACTCCTTGTTACCCGAAGACCTTCCTCAAAACTTTCCATCTCTTCTTCAAGTTCAGATCCGCAATCTCCTATCAGAACTCGCACTAGAAACGGAAGTCTCTCCAGTCTGCGTTCCTTTCATAGCGCCACAAGGAACCATTCCTATGACTTTGCAAATACAATATCAGAGGAAGGTCCTTATGACGTACCAAATATACTCCCCGCCTCTCTTGAGCTCCATACGCGATATTCCAGATGTCCTCAAGCCTTCTTTCCCTCCACTCGACGACAGTTTAGCTTGCATCGACCTAGACGCGCTAAAATCTGACCGTGACGCAGAAGACCCAATCTTCTCATTCCCTTCCCCTCCTTCATTCCCCCCTCCTCAAAATAAACATCTTCGCAAATCCAGTCGCACTTCAGAACTCGCCTTTCCCTCAGAGTTGGACCGCTCAGTCAGCCCAGACGTATCAGCTATAATCCAGGCAACATCACGTCCACGCTCTCGTCCTCGTCCACGCGTCTCCAGCCAGCCCCGCTCCCGCGTTTCCAACTTGACAAACGAACAGTCACGTTCCAGGGCCGGTAGCCTTAATGGGAATAGATCATCAGGGTCCTCAAAACCCTTCCTATCTAAACCTTCCAAAGACCCTCGTGAGTTGGAGGTTGAAGTAGAGCATGAAGATGGTCATGACTCTGATTCAAGTATTGATCTTCATACCCCCCTGCCGTGAGTCTTTTTGTCTTTTTGTTCCAGTGCTTTCCACTCTTCTTCGCTTCCAAATCCGGGGCTTTTCTTCCTTTCGTAATGGCCATGACGTGCATCTCCACTGACTCTCTATCCAGGCACCTCATGCTCCGACACGGCCTCCTTTCCCCGCATTCCAAGCTCCTCCCAACATCACCTCCAGACCCAAGTCGTCTCTCCATCGCGTCAAATTTCTCCCAAACTTCCCTCCAGTCCAACTTTAGCGCTTTCTCGAACCAGTCGGACGCCTCTTTGGTCACCAACAGCTCAACAGGGAGCAAGCACCCCAAAGATTCGCGGGACACCCCCAGCAGGCGCGTGAGGCATCGTGATGGCAGGTTGTTGAGAGGAGGTATTGGCCTTACCACGGGTTTGGGTTGGAGTGATAGGTGAGTCCTTTGTTCTTGCGTCGGCTTGGTTTTATAGCATGACTTGAGAGCTCCGGGAAAGCCGGGAGTGGGCACCAGGAGTGTGATTTTCTTCCTCTCCCATGTCGCGCTTTTATCCCATCTGTCTGTTCGCTTCTATCTGTGATTTCGCTTCCGTTGTGCAAAGAGCGGCGGTTTGCTTTGGGAGTGGCGACCTTCCCTGTCACTGGGCGGTTCTTGATGCCCGTATTAGCACATCTTCTCTCAAGTCACCGCTCGTGCCTCCATCGGGTCACGCCCCAAGTTCTCATTCACAACTCTCGCGCATTCTCGCCTCATACTAACCTCTTCCACAGCGAAGACGAAGACGCTCCCTCCCCACTCACCCGCCGCCTCTCAGCCCTCAACCTCTCCCGACGTTCATCAGCCACCTCCATATCCACCTCCCACTCCCACTCCTCCCTCCGCTCGCCACATCCGCTCTCGCGGAGCATCTCCCACTCTATCCTTCGCGAGGAAGTAGAGGTGGACGACGTGGACGAGTTTGGACGCGTCGCACGAGCCAGCGAGTCCAGACGCATCGCCGGCCGCGCCGCAAGCGGAAGCAAAAGTCTACCACTCGGCGGAAACAGAAACGCGCCTCCCAACTGGACGAACGCCAAAAACACGCACGAGTAAACCAAAAGACGAAGTCAGGTGTTCTTTCGAAGATGGTGACGGGGTGACGCCCACCCGGGCTGAGTTTCGTGATAGTGCTGGGTCGAGCTCGAGCGGAATTGGGCCGGGTATTGGGAATGGGAATAGTTCGAGCACTGCTTCTACGTCCTCCTTGTCGCTTCCCTTTCCTGCGACGCCTCAGAGCCCTGTAGCGTTTTCGGCTGTTCCAAACCCGCTCTTAGGTTCTTCCTCCATCTCAAACACGGGTTCTTACATCCCCAACCCCTCGATCCCAAGCCGCTCCCCAACTCCAAGCCTATGCAATGTCGACAAATCCCTCCCTCCTCTCCCGCTCACACCCCAAAAGTACCCCCCTTCGCTCAAGCGCCTACGTACCTATTCGAGCGCGTCGAGTATTGGGTCTGTTGAGTTGAGTTCTGCGGGCTTGAATGGAGCTGGTGAGGGTTTGGGTATTGGACGGCCCTCGTTGGGTGGTGTCCCGAGACCTTCCTTGGGGGGTGTTCCAAAGCCTTCATTAAGTGGTGTTCCGAGACCTTCCTTGGGTGGCGTCCCACGACCATCGCTCAACGGCACTCCCCGGCCATCCCTATCGTTAGGTGGTGTCCCCCGACCATCCCTAAGCACGCCCCGACCATCAATAGGCACACCCCGACCCTCAATAAACACGCAAACCCACCCCTACCCATCTGCATCCAACAGCTCTCTGTCCACGCCCAATCCATCCATATCCAGTCTCACAGCGCAAACCGGTCACACGAATCGGGAATGGGCGGGTATCCTCTGTACCTTTCATAACCCGCAACTTCTCATCCCCCACCCAAAGCGCCCACCCCCTCACTCTCCCCCTCACACGCCCACTCAAACTCCTCCAACCAGGCGAACAGCCTCCACGTACAGGGGGAGTGTTGATGTATAACCGGAACGTGCATGATCAGCTTAAACGCACGCAATCGCACTCCCAATCACCACCCCACACACAAATACATCCTCAGTCGCCCTCACAGCCACAGTCCCCCATTTCCATCTCAGTAACACAAGCGCTCGTGATGCCCAGCGAAAGACCAAAGTCGAGGACGGGTACGGGGATGGTTTATAGGTCGTCTTCTGGTCCTGGGGGGATTGGGGGGAGTAGGATGAGGGTGCCCAGTGTTGTTAGGCCTAGTGGGGTTGGTGTTGCGTTGTGAGTTGGGGTGGGGATTTGGTGTGGTGTGGTGTTGGGGGAAGGGGAAGGGGTGTGGTGAGTGTGTTTGTTCTTTTTTGGGGGATATGGGGCGTGGTGTTGATGCTGCGTTTTTTTAGGGGTGCAAGGGAGCTGTGTTGTGCTGTGATGATGGGTGCAACCATCAGGCTTCATGATGATCAGGATCAGGGGCTGTTGATTCAACGGGGAGGCCGTGTGCATCAATTTTGTACAGATTAAGATCCAAGACATGGTCGGATGTTGAGTGGGACGGCTTTCCTCGGTGCCTGAGACTTTTCTACGCTGCTCTGGGGAACATCTTCCTACTGTCCCGTGGGCGTCCGAGTCTCCTACGCACGCACACCTCTATCGACCACACACTTCCCTCGAAACCAACCACCCCACTACACATCGGAGCATCACAAACATATCGACTTACTGCGGATTCATTTCACCATGCGGATGATATACTTTTTTTCTGTCTAGGGACCTGGAGCCTTTTTTCATTTTCTAGTTGTGGCCTGGCGCTTGCGATTCATCTTCACCATGGGCCTGGTTCATGGCTTGGTGAATTATTTCTCTTTCATCGTGGAACGGATTTGGATTTGGATTTATCGCGCTTTCATCTCGTGTTCCTTTGCATTTCATCTACATATGTGGCACAGGCCGCCGCACCCCCTTGCATTTCATCTTGGCATCAAATATATCTGCCGCCGCCACCATCACGCCACTCCCCTACCCATACCCTTCCCAACGCCACCCCTTTCCCTCATCGCGCCATCCCCAAACCATAGTACCGCCAGATAGCTATAGAGTGCCGCTGTCACATACATCATACATGGATACATACCTTATGCCGTTTTTCTTTCCTTTCTTTCTTTTTTTTCTTTTTTCAATCATTGGAAGCTTTCTGAACATATTGCATTATTGATACTGGATGGATTTTCAAGTTGGATATACATACGTATACTTTGGATGGCATGGATTTTGGTGTATGGAATGGAAATTGTATACGTTTTGAGTTTTGAGTTTCGAGGACGTGCATGCCATAATCCATTATTTCTACTTATATGGTCTGACTATGTATTACGGAAGACTAGCTGCAGTGCCAGGACGTGTGGTGTCAGCCTGACTGGATCAACGAATGTCTTCCTTCTTCAAGCTTCAAGGTCTGACTGCGGGGGACTAAGCTGGATCATTCACTAGGTTGTTACCAACTTGCGATGTCTGTTGCCGGCGTGATACCTGTCCCGCGACGCCCTGTACTACCCATCGCGGAAAACGTGTTGGTCCTCGAACGTGGTCGATTGGTGCGACAAAATACTCGGCCCTGGCTTCAACTTGAAGTAACAGTGGTCGTCATGTCACTCGTTAACGTTGCCGCTTAGCTGCAGAGGTCTTTCTGTCGCATGTTCGACATCACTGCTACTGCCTTCGCTGATAACTACACAGAGCTGATCACCCATTTCTTTAGCAGAGGCTTCTCCTAATTACGGTCGTCTGTCGTCTTTTGGTCTCAGCGCTCAGTGGAATGAAGACTGGCGTCTATCGTGCCGACCGGCCGTCAACGACATAGAACTACACGTGCAGCATGCCCTGAACGTTCAGAACCCTCATCTGATTCTGAATGAACAGTTATCTTCCTTCTATTGTGCCACGCATTTCTCCTCACCCTCTCACCTGATCTACCGCTCATTCTGCCCACCACTCAGCCCCTTGATCCTCCGTGTCCCTTGTCCCTGCTTCATTGCGTCATCATGAGCGGTAGCTTGCAGGGCTGTCCCATCAGACTTGCAGGTCGGCAACTCCACAAATCCTTTCGTGATCTTCACGCTTAAAGGGCTTCTCCAAGCCTCACCCCGCATGCCCCGAGGCATTTACGTATCCATCAATCTCGACCGCTGGAAATCAAATGTCCGAGTTCTATCATCCGAAAGCAATCTAACGTGGGGCGATACCGTGACCCAGTAAAGCATTCTATAAAGACTTGCAGACGTGGTTGGATGACTGATCTTTGGTTTGCAGATCACCAGATTCGTCACCTTCATTATTGCTGGTGATCAGGGCATCCTTTGAGCTCGGCTGAATGTTAGGCAATGAAGAACTCATTAGTAAACTTGAAATGCCATGGGATGAACTAGTGCTCGACAATAGAGACGAATATTTTGGTGAATGATCTGCTTCCCATTCGTGTACTTCTGCTGACTTGTCATAGAGCTGTCCTTCCCACCTATCCGTGGTGTCCACCCTTGAGTCCGTCACGCTGAAGGTCGCTTTTGTGCATACTTGCAGAAATGAGGACGGTGCACTGCTTCATGTAAGCAGCACTAGCCCCGCACTGACAATTTTTGCTAAAAGACTGCAAGCTGTAGCCTGTCGTTGACTGTGACATTACTCAGCGCAATGCAGGCCACACGCAGCTATACCAGGTGGTTCTGGACCTGTGTCCGGTTGGCCCTCTTGGCTGTGCTGCCGCTCTTACCAGTCTCGCGTGAGTTGACATTATAGGCTATAGTAGAAGGGACACGATACACTAACTTCATCTCTCGATTTCGTGACACCCTCACCCTGATCACGTGTTCTCTCTCTATCATTTCGCTGAAGCGTCGCTGCAACCTTCGAGAATCTGCCCGACTCTGCCCGACTCTGCTACGAGCTATTGCCTCGTTGTCCCGAGGGCATGTATCTTCATAGTATTGCGGTAGATGGCGCAGATTATGTGACCCACGAATGCGACGATACTGAAGGTGACGCATCCGATGAAGGGATTCACCATCGATGAATCGTACTCGAGCTTTATCCTCTGGGCCATCCACTTCTTGAGATGCTCAAGGACGACTTCACAAAGGCGGTATGGAACACCTCTATCATGGGCCCAAGGGACGAGATCATACTGCCCATTGTCAATGTGCTAGAGCGTGATCCGAGAGTGCCGTGCCGCTCTCGAATCTGGTTGTATCCGACCGCAGCTTTTACTCCCATCCCTACCATTCCTTTCGATCGAACGCAGATGGCTCCGGGCAGGAACTACGCCTGGGGGATATCTATATCTGCTCTTACACGCTGACACTCTCGGCTCTGGTCAGAGCTCGCCGGACAATGAAGACCCATGTAACTCCATCCTTCGTGGCAATTTGATAAGGTCAACCAGGCGCAGGGCAGGGGAAGGCACCCGCAACTGTCGACAGCGAGCTTGACCTTGTTCGGGAACTCGTTCCCCCGAAGGTCAAGTTATTTCTGGAGAAGGAGCCACACAAGCAGGTGCATTCGAAGTTTTACAACGCAACACCTGGGTGCACCTCGCTTGTCATGGCATGCAGGACCACGAGCAGCCTTACAATTCACGTTTCGCCATGAGAGAGACGCCTGACACTGCTTGACACTATGAAGAACAACGCTCTGAAAGCCGAATTTGTTGTGTTGTCAGCGTGTCATATTGCTGTCGGGGATGAACAAACGCCCGACGATGCCATCGACCTCGCAGCTGGTATGCAGTTTTCGGGATTCAAAGCGTCATTGGCACTATGGGTAGTCGACGACGATGTCGCAAAACATGTTGTCGAATTTTCTATGACAATATGTTCAAAGATGCGGTCATTGACTGCACGAAGGCTGCCTCAGCACTCAACAAGGCTACGTACGCTGTAAAGAAGAAAGTGCCACTCGAGCTTGGCTCGAGCAGAGAATAGTGTTCATTCATATTGGTGTGTAATCCCAAGTCGCGTGTGTTTTCATCTACTAGTACAATTTTACTAGCCTTTAATTCCCACAAGGTTACTCTTGGGCTCTAATCTTTTCTTTTCGCATTCTCTCTTGCGTTGCATCTGTTGTAGTGATCTTTGGGGAAATAATCAGGGTACTGTGTGTTGCCAACATTTCTTTCAGGTCGTTCTTGAACAGGATGCATTGGCCCCTGTAGGGCCGCATGTCTGCCTAGGGGGAGATTAGAGCAAATATCCGCCTGAGATATAACAATTTCGTGCGTGGGCATCAGAGGACCTTGTTGGCGATTTCATCTGACCTTGGTCATCAGAAGAGAACCCGAGCAATGCATTGCAACAATCAATCAAAGCAGGCGTACCAGTCCAGCGTGGCTGCTGAGCGCTGAATTTCCGTGCCAACGATCATCAACTCGCTCCCTGCGTACACGAGTCAAAGCGGTCATGAAGTGCTGCCGCCTGCAAGTCATCATTGGTATTGTGAGTACGATCGGCCTTTGTCTCACATTTAATCCGATATCTCTCAGTTTCCGGATCTTCTGATTGCAAACGGTAATGATGGGTTTCGGCATATTTCTCCCGTGGCGTTGTTCTGTTCTTGTAAGTATATTTTGATACTGGTGAGGCCTTGTTCAGTACTAGTGTTATCAGTTGGCCTGAGGACTACCATCTGAAGAAAAGTTCATCCCTGTACTTCCAGTGTCCAATCCGCTTCGCTATCAGACCGCTGTGTTGCATTGCCCCTTTACCCCGAGCCTCGCGCATCCTCTAATATTCCGATTTCATGGTTCTATCTGGCTGGCTCGCACCGTTCTGCCGTAGCACCGCTCCGTCTTTGTAAGTCTTTCAAACCCTCGGAGCTCTTGCTGTCAACTTTAAAACCCGTCATAGCGCCACACCCAGCTGTTGCCGGTGCCTTCATTCTCTTGACATCTCTATAGGCTATTCTAGGTGGGTCTGAGTTTATCCACCCGCAGCCCCAAAGAGTGTTTTCATGTTATTGTTATTGGACGTGGTTCATCCCTCGTGAGGTACTTCTTGCTACCTTGGCCTTTCTAGTGGGCATTCGATGCACTTGTTGTGAACGAGTTCCATATCATTGACTGCAAATTTACTCAGGCCTTGTCTCTCAGGGTCGATCCTGGCTGAGAATGTCCATTGAAAAGATCGCTAGCCCGATAGCTCATCACTGTGTTGATGTTCGATATTTGGTATGTATGTCCATTTTTGGAGGATAGGTCGTGATGCTACCCCGCGTTCCGCGCCTTGGGTTACTGGTGGTGCTTCTCCTGGTTGCAACAAGAATGAATAACTCGTCTGCTTTCGACAGCACTGGCGTTCTCTTAAACAGGGGGGCTCTTGTGCTATGACGGAGGCCTCGGGAGGAGAAGGCGGATGCAAAATTACATTCCAAATGCAACTGAACACTCAACTTTCGACAATTTCGAGGAGAACACTACAGTCAAAGATCTCTTCATCGCGATACCTGCATTATGAAGTCAAGGAGTGCCCCATTGATAATGTCATGGGTTGTGAGTGTTATTTCTCCGTGTTTCCCACTGCTTATCAGCTGTGCCAGCACCCATCAACCTTTAGCGGAATTCTTCTAGGCGTTCGACAGATCGCTGTTCCTTTGCAAGGGTTGACAGACCGTCTTTTTGGTTCGGCAAGTACCCTCCGCGAAGGAATGGCGTTATCATACTGCAGGCAGAGAAGGAACGAGCGTCTTCGCCATGAAGAGCTGTATTATTCAAGTTGCTCGCCAGGATCCGACGTTTCTGGACGACATTACGGACAGTGCACTGTAAGTCAAACATTGCAAAACGAACGCACTTGTCCTTCCAATGTTCCTCACTAGGCACCAGAAATACTCGTACGGTAAACGCATTACACCACATGTATCCGAGATCACAAGGTCGGTTCCTCTAGGCAATACCCGTCCGCTAAGTATCGCAAGAAGCACAATCTGGCTTATTTCACATGCGACGTCGACGGCTAGCTATCGCAGCAAGACCTGTTACGCAAGTCGCAGCCAGGGGTAATGGTTTTACGATCCCACATACTGCCCAAATTACGGTGCAAATATATTCCGACATGAGAACGCCAGGCTCCGAGCGCCAAGTTACTTTCCGAGATGTCAAGAACGAACCTATCAGTCCTGCAGACTGGCACTCGCAGCTTCGTCGTAGAACCCTTGGTGATTGCGCTAGACTCATGTTCACATTTTGTACTAGTCACAATTGGACAACTGGAAAGCCACTGCATGAGTATGACTCAGGTGTATCTACATCAACTTGATGCTCTGATAATCGCTGTCCAAGATAGACGGCATCGCTAGTTTCCTCATGCGTTAGCATCAGCCGCTCGAGCGAGTTCCATTTCGATATACAAGTTGCTGTTCCTTTCCTATTTGTATTACATATTGTTCTATGGCGGCGGTACTTAAGATGCTATTTCCACGACGAATGTCTGGTATCAACAAAAGTTGGCTGTATTGCATCGGATAGGGTGTCATCAGACTTACGTGTGCATGTGAGAGCATAGAGCCAAATATGGCAATGGTGGCTTATCTCATCTGCAATCTCATAAGATCTCGCAGGATCTAGACATGGGAACAGGTCAGTGATTCATGATTTCCCGCTTGAGATCGGCCTTCGGGATATACCACAGCTGTAGGTGAGCTTGTCAGTAACGCGTTCGTCCGGCTCGATGCTTATACGTCGGGTAGTATCATTTCTCTTTGCCACCATGGACTATATATATTCAAAGCTTACCAGCCACTCCCTCCTGTATCCCAAGCTTCACAATGATTCCTCCGGGCCCGCACGATGACCCTGATGACCCTGAAGCACTCAGACCCACATTACATGCCAAAGATCAAAGTGCACCATCGCATATTGAGTTCCACCCTACCTTCGTACAGAGCCATCACGACACCCTCGAGATCGCATCCCTTGATGAACCCGAGCCTCATAAATCCGTTTTAACCTTGGTCTCGGAGGAAGATTTCAACTTCGAGAAACATCTCAAAGACATCTTCAAACGGTAAGTTCAGGACCCTTTCGTGCACGCCTTGCTGTGACTGACAATCAATAAAGTTGTGATGAGGAAGAAATAAAATGGCGCGAGCTCGGTGTTGTGTTCAATGACCTACGTGTGGTAGGCATTGGTGCGAGAGCATCATTGCAACCAACCATGGGGTCCTTATTTAGCCCTACTTCCCTATTGCGCACAATTAGTGCAATTCGTCATCCACCTGTGCGAGATATATTGACAGGCTTCGAAGGTGTCGTTGCACCTGGCGAAATGCTACGTGAGTATTTGTGATTCTCACCGCATGTACTCTATGAAACTATATTCTTTCAGTTGTCCTTGGAAACCCTGGGTCAGGATGTAGCACCTTCCTCAAGACCCTTGCTAACCAACGCGGGGAGTACCATGCTGTGGAGGGAGAGGTTTCGTACGACTCGTTTACTTTTGAAGACATCCGGGATCATTACCGCGGAGATGTCATATATTGTCCAGAGGACGACATTCACTTCCCTTCCTTGACGGTCGAAGAGACATTATCTTTTGCCATCAAAACTCGTACACCTCAGACTCGTCCTGCCAATCAGTCAAGGAAGCAATTTAATGCCGAATTTTTGGACATTCTCCTGAGAATTTTCGGTCTTCACCACGTTCGGAAAACCGTCGTGGGAGATGCTGCGATTCGAGGTGTTTCGGGTGGAGAGAAGAAACGTGTTTCTATTGCGGAGGCAGTGTCTTGCAGAAGTATGATTGGCGCATGGGACAAGTGAGTTTCTACTGCGGCAGGCTGTTTTGGCGTTAACTCAGCACATCTAGTTCTACACGCGGCCTGGATTCCTCTACAGCACTCGAGTTTGTTCAAGCTTTGCGTTTGAGTACAGACATCGCACATCTGACAACTATCGTGTCCATTTACCAAGCCGGAGAGCAATTGTACGAACTCTTCGACAAGGTATGCGTCATTGCTGAAGGTAGAATGGCCTATTTCGGGCCGGCCAAAGCCGCCCGCCAATATTTTATCGATATGGGTTATGAACCCCACAACAGGCAGACTACAGCAGATTTCCTCGTTACTGGTATGTCCTATTGCTCAGCTACGTAATTTCTCTCTCACGTCCCTGATTATCAGTTACCGACCCAATTGGCCGGAAGATTAGGTCAGGGTTCGAGGGCATAGTGCCCAGAACGGCGGAGGATATGGCTGCCCATTTCAAGGCGTCCCGGCTTGGCCATCTTAATCGTCAGGCAATTGACGAGTATCGGGCGCTTCATGTTGGCAAGCCTGACCGCAAAGATGCATACCGGCTGAGCGCAATCAAGGAACATTCTCGTCATGCACCCAAGAGCAGCTCGTATACCATATCTATCCCTATGCAAGTTAAGGCTGTGATGGTTCGCCGTGTGCAAATTATCAAGGGTGACCTCGCCTCGCAGGTGGTGCAACTAGGGTACGGTGTGATACAACGTTTACGAGACGACCCCTGACTCCACTTGACCAATTAGTGCCCAGTTCTTCCAAGGCATCATCATGGGCACGGTATTCTTGAAACTGCCTGATGCAACTTCGGGTTTTTTCTCTCGGGGAGGTGTTTTGTTCTTGTGAGTGTCTTGTTCGGCCATGCGAAAGCACGATCTGACTTCATGTAGCGCTCTCTTTATTGGCGCATTATCTGCAATGGCAGAGATTCCTGCCCTGTTTACCCAGCGACCTATTGTATTGCGTCACCACAAAGCAGCGATGTACTACCCTTTCATCGAGGCTTTCGCTCACACAGTGGTAGACATCCCAATCAGTTTCATGGTCTTAGCTGTTTTCAGTGTCATTCTTTACTTCTTGGTCGGCCTTCAAAAAACGGCACCCCAGTTCTTGTGAGTGCATCTAGCAGTGGTCTGTAGTTAAAGCGTTGTTGACTAATATTGGTCTGCAGTATTTTCTTTTTGATCATCTTTACCATGACTACTGCGATGAAGGCTTTCTTTAGGATGATCGCGGCTAGTTTTAAGGATGTGTCTGGTGCATTGTCCGTGGCTGGTATCGCTGTACTCTTTGTTTCCTTGTTCACCGGTTACACTATTCCTCGTCCAAATATCCCAGGCGGCCTCAGATGGATAACATATATAAACGTGAGGACATCTTTCTCTGTTCATGATCCGAGCTAAACCGCCTGATGAAGCCTCTTCGTTACGGCTTCGAGGCCATCATGGCGAATGAGTTCCACACTTTGAACGGCACTTGCACTACGCTTGTTCCCCAAGGTCCAGGATACGAGAACATTTCTTTGGCGAACCAAGTTTGCACGACTGTCGGATCACTGCCTGGTATGACCACCGTAGATGGCAACAGGTTTATGAACTTGTCATATGGCTACTCGTATAGCAATCTCTGGAGAGTAAGTTGACCGTCTAATCACAATCGTCCTCGCTAAGGTCTCATGTCCCCCAGGATTACGGTATCATGTGTGCCTTCGGCGTTGGCTTCTTCGTGATGTTGCTCTTTGCTACGGAATACAACACCAGTTCCGCGTTTGATACCGCGGTGACTCTCTTCAAGCAAGGAACATGGGCACCAGAAGCTATTAACACTACAGAAGACGAAGAGAAATCCAGTCAGCCAGCGCCTTTGGACAGCTTTGCCACGGGGACCGCGGGCGCAACTGCCCCCCACGGTCTTCTCGAGAAACCAGAAACCAATGGTGTATTTACCTGGCAGCACATTCAATACGTCGTACCGGTATCTGGGGGAGAACGGCGCTTGGTCGACGATGTCTCCGGGTATGTCGCACCTGGCAAATTAACGGCTCTTATGGGCGAATCGGGTGCCGGAAAGGTTCGTCAGTATATTTGTTTTCCGAGCTTTTTTCAACTCCTTACCATAGACGACATTGCTTAATGTTCTGGCTCAACGGACCGATATCGGAGTTGTCGTTGGAGAACCGTTTGTCAACGGGCAGCCCCTTCCTGCGGACTTTCAGGCTCAGACGTGAGTGAATATGCTATCAATCACACTCGTTCCTTAATCGTCCTTGCAGAGGCTATTGTCAACAAATGGACACTCACTTGCCGCAATCAACTGTTCGCGAGGCTCTTATGTTCTCCGCTCGTCTGCGACAACCTGAGTCTGTCCCATCTGCGGAACTCGAATCATAGTATGTTTCCATGTTTTTACAGTGCGCGCACGGCTGAAGCTTGTGGATAGTGTTGACAAATGCCTCATCATGTGCGGCCTTGAGAATTATGCTGATGCTATTGTTGGATCATTGGGTGTTGAGCACCGCAAGCGCACGACGATTGGTGTTGAGCTCGCAGCAAAGGTAACTCTTTTGGGGGCCATATTTTTTTTCATGCTTGCTGATAATTTTGAAGCCCAAACTGCTCTTATTCCTTGACGAGCCAACGTCCGGTCTCGATTCCCAGTCTGCCTGGGCAATAATGACGTTCCTTCGTGAACTCGCAAACAATGGGCAGGCCATTCTCTGCACGTAAGTTGTGCTAGATCTGGGATTTTAATGCGAAACTTAATCGCTGCAACCAGAATTCACCAACCCTCTGCCGAGCTCTTCCAGGTGTTCGATAGACTGCTGCTTCTTCGCAAGGGTGGTCAGACTGTTTACTTTGGTGATATCGGCGATAAATCCTCGATTATGCTGGATTACTTTGAGCGCAACGGCGCCCCTCACTGTGATGCCGATGCCAATCCGTAAGTTATTTTGTTACACCACTGAATCATTTTTCATATTGGAATCAAAGTGCTGAGTATATGCTGGATACCATCGGAGCTGGCGCAACTGCAACCACCTCAGTCGACTGGCATGACATTTGGAAGCGATCTCCAGAAGCTGTTGAACTTCAAGCGCAGATTGAACGAATACACGCCGATGGTCGCGCACAGCCATTGGTGGAGACGGAGCGTCACACTGAATTTGCCACCTCATGGATTCACCAAGCTGTCACCCTCACGAAGCGCAACTTCCAAGCATACTGGCGTGATCCGACGTACCTCATCGCGAAGATCATTCTCAATCTCGCGGGTGGATTGTTAATTGGGTTCACTTTCTTCCGCAGCCAGGATAGCTTGCAAGGCACGCAGAACAAACTTTTTGTGCGTTTCTTTACCTCTCGTTCGCAAGCCATACGCTCATCTCAGCGTAGTCAATTTTCCTCGCATTGATTCTCTGTGTGCCCCTATCGCAGCAACTCCAATCCAAGTACATCAATATTCGCTCCATCTACGAGATCCGCGAGCGTCCGAGCAGAATGTACAGCTGGACCTCATTAGTTACATCACAGATCCTTGTCGAGATTCCCTGGAACATATTTTGCTCGTCACTCTTCTTCGTTTGTTGGTACTGGGCGGTCGGTTACGCCATGGATCGAGCGGGCTACGCATATATCATGTACGGAATCGTGTTCCCCATCTATTACACTACCATCGCAGAGGCTATCGCATCTATGGCACCTAACGCAGTGATCGCATCGTTGTTGTTCACCATGCTATTTTCATTCGTCACCATCTTGTAAGTCCAACGCGTATTTATGCCGATCCAGTCGCTAACGCCTCTGAAGTAACGGTGTTTTGCAGCCTTTCCGTGCGTTGGGTTGGTGGCAATGGATGTACAGAGTGTCCCCATTCACATACCTCGTCGAGGGCCTCTTGGGTCACGGTTAGCCCACGCTCTCCTCCGTAGATTGTGACCTATACTGAGATTCCCCACAGCCATTGGCGGACAACTGATCAATTGCGCGTCAGAAGAACTAGTTCCAATCAATCCTCCCAGTGGACTCAATTGCTCGACATACATGGATCCCTTCATATCTTACGCCGGGGGCTACCTCACGGACCCCGGTGCGACGGCGGAGTGCCTCTACTGCCCGTACCGCACCACCGACCAGTTCATGCTCAACAGTTTCAACATCAAGTATTCTGATGACTGGCGAAACTTGGGCATTATAGTGGGCGTCGCCGTGTTTAATGTGCGTTCCTTTCAACTTGGCTACCCGACACACGTACTCATTTGATTGGTTTTAGGTCTTTGCGATCTTTGTGCTTACATATATATTCCGCATCCGGAAGGGCATACGATGAAGATACTACATCATAGAACCAACGAATAATACTTATCTACTCACGAGAAAACTTGAAATTAGATTATTGCTGTACACTTACAACACAACCATAATTAGTACATCCTTTTATAATGCGTTGAAGGTTCTTGCATCCAGAGCCGATTCAGTTTGCGGAGGATTGACTCTGCACTATTTGACTCAGATGCTCATGCATTCACAACTCGTCACTACTCTGGGTCATATGAGCAACATACATATAACAGCTTGTGCAGGTAAAGTTCCGTAAAGAATGCGCCAGCACAACTTGCAGATCACCGTATCGACAAGATCCCCGACCTCGTTGTCGAACTCGACCTCTCCTTCCCCTCTTTCTTCTTCTTGGCGCCCACGCCCTCCCATATCCTCCAAAACTTCAAATTCTCATCCCCCGCACCCGTGCACACGACGTCGCCCGCAGGCCCTACCGCCGTGTACAGTACCCGCGAGTCGTGTGCGTCCCGTATCTCTGCGATGCGCTCGAGTGATGGGTACGCATGTACCATAATTGCATTCGTCGGGTATCCATGCGTCGTGAGGATTTCTTTTTTGTGCGGTGACCAGATGATGGAGGTGACTTGGGATGGCGTTTTGAGAGAATGCAAACGGGCACCGGTGCCGCTGTTCCAGATATGGACAGTTGCGTCGTTCGTGCCGCCGCCACTGGCCAGGAGGGAAGATTGCCAGGGGCACCAAGCAATCGCCTACAAACAATGTTAGATATACCAATCTCGTACAATCAAACGGCTACAGTTTACCTTTACGGCTGCGGTATGGTTCCGCTTCGTCCACTTCGCCTGCCCACGAGCTCCCTCCGTAACATCGCCTACACGTCCATCCCAAATATTGACGACATTATCGTTACCCCCACTTGCTAGTAGTTCGCCATCTGCTCTCCACTTCAGTCCGCAGACTTCTCCTGTGTGTCCAAGCAACTCCATAACCTTGTGCCGAGGGACACGGACGTCATGGTGCCATATGCTTCCATCCCCGCATCCAGAGCTAAGTATGTGGGCGTTCCAAGAGAGCACAGCGATTTGGCCTTGGTGTCCACCCATTGTACGGAGCTTTTGTCCGGCTTCTAAGTCCCACAGCTCAACTTCACCGGTACCGAGACCAATACCGAGGTAAGCACCATCATTCGAGAAGTCAACCGAGGAGACATATGTGCCCTCAGGCGCTTCACCAAGGTGGGAGACGGTCCCCGTATCGGCCCGCCAGACGTACGTGCTCTCAGCAAGGGCGACAGCAACAATGTTCTGGACAGACCATGACACGAGATTGAGGTAAAAATCATCAACCATGCCTGGAGCATCGAGAACGCGCTCGGGCTGAGTGGGAATACGGCGGGACTTGTTCGTTATAGAGCTGGTTGACGAAGGGAGTTCACCTGGGCGTCCGTACAACGGACGAGCCAGTTCACGTTGTTGGGAAAGCGTAGAGTCTGAAGAGGAAGCTGGAGGCGCCTCGTGATAAGCCAGCACGCGGCGATTAAGAGGGACACCTGCAGCGGCCGCAAGGCGAGCAGTGTGTCCGGGTGATGCGGTTTTAGGATTGAGACTCATGAGCTCAAGCGTAGCAGCAACGTCATCGGCTTCACGAGTGGTAATGAAACGATCACGGTTGTCGCTAGTGGATTGTGTGCGTTCTCTGGTAGCAGGGGTTGATCTCGAGCGTTTGAGCTCTGGTCTAGGCTGTGATGTAGGGGGTAAGTAGTCGCGTGAAACAACGTCCAAACGGGTCTCGATGCCGCCTTTTCTGATGACGCCTCCACCTGCCTGACGCTGAAATGAGTCTGAAACGGCAATGCCACCTCCAGTTGCACGTTTTACGGGAGATGTGGCTCGCGATTTTGTGATGAATGGATTTGAGAGGTCAGCAGGATGAGACCGTTTCTGCGGGGAGATGGAGATACTATTGAAGGCAGAAATGATAGATGGAGTGAGCGGTGTCTTTGCATCTGATCGTGATCTATAGCGAGATGGTGTCTTGGGTATCGAGGTCATCGTGATGCACAGTGAGCACAACAATCAGAACAACAGAACAAATGAGAGGCGCGAGCAAGGCAAAACAGCAATTGGGTGCAAGATTTGAGTTCGGCGTGTTTTGAACGTGTAGGCACGTGTATGTCACGTGCGTTGTTTTTCGCCTTGATTTCTGTTCACGTGCTTTTATTTTCGACGCGTTCGAGTCTGCTTCCGAATGTCAGCCGCTTTCCTTTGTCCTTGTAGTTTGTCAGCCAGCTTCTTCCAGGCAGTATGAAAGCAGCCTATGTACGAATTACATGACCTCCTTTTTCTCATCGCGACCACGATTATTTCCCTTTCTGTCGTTTTCACGACAACACCACGTTCATTACCTTAGCACCTGAATCATGTCCCCCACTAGAACCCTCCTCCTATCACTTCTTCTCCTTACCAGCATAACCCACAGCCGTCCTATCAAATTACCCAGAGATAACGTCCAGCAGCCAGAGACGCTTCCCTTCACCGGGGTCGATCCCACAGACCCGCGCGTGTCGCATGACCCTGACGGCCTCCGCCCCGCCTCAGCAGCAATGGCAATGATTATTGGCCAATCCCAAGGGCACGACGCTCCCGGGACCATTCTCAACCCGTACGAGCATCCCCACACTACCCCTGCCACACCCACACCCTTGTTCGTTTCCCCCGCAAGCACGGTCACCGCTCACGCGCCAGCCTCGCCCACGCCCAGCCTCCGCGCCTCCGGAAACACACCCGGCATCAACCCCGCGCCACAGTCAAGCAAATCCCAGCGCAATGTCCTCGTCCTCGCTATCGTCGTCAGCACCGTTCTCGGCCTTTTTGTCGTCTTCACTATCGGCAAGTACACCCTCGAGTACCTCCGGAAGGCGAAGCGCAAGTTACGGCTGTCGCAAGAGTCCTGGGGACACAAGGAGAAGCCGTTCTCCTCCATAACCCCTGAAGTGCCCGTACCAGACACGGATGCAGAAGGCCAGAGCTTGAAAACTTTTTCGTTTCCCGGTCGGCCGGCCCGCAAGCTCGTGCGTCTATATGACCCCAACGAAGCCCCATCCAAGCCCAGCATGCGCACTCGATTCAGCAACCTTATCGCGTCTACTGCGTTCAGGCACCGTGACCACGACAGCATCACCACCCAGGATACCACTTCCTCCACGCCGTACCTTCTCAATGTCCCGGGCCATTCAGATCACTCGCGCACCAGGAGCGCACCCATCATCACACACCATGAATCTATGTCTACCGTGAAGCCTGCCAGGTCCACGGAATCAGAGTGGGACATCGCGAGGTCTTATCGCGTATCTCAGGCGAGTGTCAACGTCCCGAGCTCCTTGGTTCCTTCTAGGGGTAGCAGGTTGTCCATAGTCGAGACGAGGTGGTAGTGGCGACAATCCATTTCATTTCAGATGTTACCCTACAGGAATCATTGGTAAACGGTTACGGAGTGCAGGTATCGAATTACTATCATGGATACTTAGTGTGAAGGCCTGCGGGAAACAGACTATCTAGCACAAATCTAGTGTACATGTAAGCAAAGTGAGGCCTCGTGTGTGAAGTCATTAGGTTCAGATCAGTATCATGAATTACTTCCGAAGACTAGCAAGCTTGCTGCTGCAAACCAGCTAGGGGGTTGCCCTTGCGGATGCGGCAGATGTACGTGAACATAAAAATCGCAAAGACCTGCAAGGATCGTGATTAGCTCGATATAAGCACACCATGACAAACCAAACTCACGTTGAAAACAGTGACGCCGAGCATAATGCCTACATCGCGCCAGCGGTGAGAGTACGAGATGTTGAATGCGGAAGAGCATAAATTCGTCTGTCGTACGGTAAGGGCAGAAAAGACATGTGGAGGTGGCGTTGTCGTCAGCGAGGTAACCGCCAGCGTATGAAATGAACGGTTTCATATACTGGCCGCAAGTGGATCCACTGGGAGGGATAACGGGGACAAACTCATACTGATCGCAGTTAATGTTAGCGCCACCAATGGCTAAAGAAATGTCAGCGTCATGCGCACAATCTCAGCGCAGGAGACCGACCTTGACCAAGCATACCCTCTATGAAGTAGGTGAATGGGGAGACTCGGTACATCCATCGCCACCAATTGAGTGCACGGTACGGTTGCAAGACACCGTTGCTACAAAACAGTAAGGGACAGGGTATATCGAGCGCATCTGCAATACTCACAAGATAAGAACAAACGAGAACAGCGCACTGAACAGCAGCGATGCGATCACAGCATTTGGAGCCATGGAAGCGACAGCCTGCGCGATCGTTGTGTAGTATAAGGGGAAGACGACGCAGTACATAAGGTACGTGTATCCCGCGCGATCGCTGGCGAACCCGACAGTCCAATACCAGCAGAAAAAGAAGAGAGACGAGCACATGATGCTCCATGGAAGCTCGACCAGAATCTGGCTAACGATGAGAGCAGTCCAGCTGTACATCCTGCTTGGGCGCTCCCGAATCTCATAGATAGTCCGAATGCTGATATACATCGTCTGGATCTGCTGCGCGAGGGGGACACAAAGCACCGAGGCCAAAAAGATCGCCTATCAAACATGTCAAAAACCTGTCATGGAACGCAAAATACCACATACAAAGAGCTTGTTCTGGGTACCCTGAAGTGAATCGCTGGTCTTAAAGAACGTAAAACCAATGAGTAAACCGCCAGCGATGCAAAGCCCAAACTTGGCCATGAGGTAGGTTGGATTGCGCCAGTAGGCCTGGAAGTTACGCTGGGTAAGGGCTAGGACCTGGTGACCCCACGATGTCGCGAACTCGGTGGGCCGCTGTGCCTGTATGACGGGGCGAGAGCGACTTTCATTGTGGATGTTCTCAATATCCTCTTGGAGTGTAGCAGCCTCTGATGAATTCTTCCAGATGGTGTGCCAGTCAACGGTGGACGATGCCGTTGCACCTGCGCCAATGACATCGAGCATGTACTCAGCCCTACACCATTTGTCAACTCAAGAAGGGGAAAATACGACCAAGAGCACTTACGGGTTAGCGTCAGATTCACATCGAGGGGCACCATTGCGCTGGAAGTACTCAAGCATGGTAGAAGACCCTTCGCCAATGTTACCGAAGTAGACAGTCTGGCCACCCTTCTTGAGGAGCAAGAGACGGTCAAAAACCTGGAACAACTCTGCAGAAGGTTGATGAATCCTAGACAAAGGTTGTGAGCAAATGGGCTATAGTACTCTCCAAGACAAACTTACGTGCAGAGGATGGCCTGGCCGTTGTTGGCAAGATCACGAAGGAACTTCATGATGGCCCAGGCGGACTGAGAATCAAGACCAGAGGTAGGCTCGTCCAAGAATAGGAGAAGCTTGGGCTATGCCACCCCAGCATCAGTACATTACTCGATAAAAAAAACTCGACAACGAGGACGAACCTTGGCAGCGAGCTCGACGCCAATAGTCGTGCGTTTGCGGTGCTCGACGCCCAAAGACCCGACGACGGCATCAGCATAATCCTCGAGGCCGCACATGGCGAGACATTTGTCGACGCTGAAAGGATATGATCAGCCAATAGCAAAGGAAGCGATGACAACTCACTATGCTTCCAATTCGGCCGTAGGAACATTCGCGGGCTGGCGAAGGTGCGCAGAAAACAACAGAGCCTCTCGGACGGTGGACTCAGGGAGGTGCGTATCCATCTGCTGGCAGTAGCCACTAGCACATGATTTGTTTTAGTACTTGACCGAACTCTCAAACGGTGCACGTACGTCTGTGCCTGGAAGTCCGCAGGGAGTGGCTGACCACTGACCAAACGATCACCAGTCACGACACCGACATCGACACGCTGCGCCAACACATTAAGCAGTGTAGTCTAGAAAATATATCAGATGGTGAGGAATCTAGAACATCGTAATACTTTACCTTTCCGGCACCCGATTCACCCATGAGGGCAGTCAGTTTTCCAGGAGCAACATAACCAGAAACATCGTCCAAGAGGCGGCGGTGCTCTCCTCCTGAGATAGGAACCGTGTATTCCAAGTGCCTCCAAGTAAAGATGTCCATCGCCGAAGGCTTCTCGAGGTCTGCAGGACTGGCGTCTGTGCTCACGGGTCCAGCTGGCTCAGGGTGAGCGCCTTTCTCCTCGTCGTTGGGCTCATCAACAGCCTTAGCAGCGCGCGTACCCTGCTTGAAAAGCGTAACAGCCGTATCGAATGCAGAAGCGGTGTTGAATTCGGTTGCAATGAACAAGATGACGAGGAAACCAACAAGGAAGACACAGACAATACCGAAATCCTGAAGAGCTTATATTAGTGAATCCCTATGGCACGGAATCACCCATGACCTTACCTTCCATAGATTACTGTAATAGTAGTCATAGGACAAATTCGCGAAGAGGTTGCCATCGACATAGTCCTGACCAGGCTGAGCACCGACCGTAGAGCACACCTGGTTAGCCAATGAAACATTCTGATACAGGGGACCTGACGGGATGAGCGTAGAGCAAGTGCCGTTCAGAGTGTGAAACTCATTCATCAATAAAGCCTCGAAACCATAGCGCATGGGCTGCAAACTAGCTGTGAGCACACGAACCTACGATTGCAATCCAGGAACGCACGTTGATATACATGATCCAGCGGAGAGCACCAGGGATGTCGGGCTTTGGAATGGTATAACCAGTGAAAAGCGACACCACCACAACCACGACACCAGCAATAGAGGTAGCCCCAGATTCGGCCTTAAAGCACGCAGATACCATTCTAAAGAATGCCTTCATAGTTATCGTTATAGAAAATATGAATAGGAAGAAAATGCTGCATCTGCATTCAGCGAGACACGACAGCTGCATCAGGTGCAACACTTACAAGAACTGGGATGCCGTTCTCTGGAGGCCGACCAGGAAATATAAAATAATTGCGAAGACAGCTTGAACGGCGAATGTGATCGGAATATCGACCACTGTGTGCGCGAGGCTTTCAATGAACGGGTAGTACATTGCTGCCTTGTGGTGGCGGAGCACGATCGGACGCTGAGCGAAAAGAGCCGGAATTTCTGCCATCGAAGCTATAGCTCCAAAGAAGATAGCGCTGAGGACAAGTTAGACTCATGCCTGAGCAACCTCAGAAGCAAAATACACACAAGAACAGGACACCGCCACGAGAAAAGTAACCAGAAGTTGCATCGGGCAGTTTCAAGAACACAGTACCCATGATAATAGCCTGAAAGATTTGCACGCTGGAGCGAAGTTGATAGTTAGGTAATTGATGAACGATAATTGTCTGCACACATACACAAGGTTGACGACTACAGCGCCCAAGTCTCCTTTGATGATCTGCACGCGGCGAACCATGACGGCCCTGATCTGCATAGGAATAGAGATCGTGTACGAGTGTCTCTTGGGGGCCGTTTTGGCGTGCTCCATCCCGGCACTCTGCTTGTATGCATCCACACGCTCGGGCTTCCCCACATACTGGGAGCGGTAGTTCTCAACGGCGTCACGGTTAACTTGACCAAGGGGAGAAGTGAGGAATGCAGCGGCCATCTCCTCTGACGTTCCGGGAATTTTGCCTTCAAAACCGTCACGGATCTTGCGCCCGCTTGGGTTGGTCACTGGAAATCACGACATAAACTGCTAAATCCCATAAAACCAATATGGAACATACCGGCCACGAGGAAATCAGCAGTGGTCTGCCTATCTTGCGGCTCGTAGCCCATATCGATGAAATACTGACGCGCCCTCTTAGCCGGGCCAAAGTACGCCATCTTGCCCTCTGTAATCACGCAAACTTTGTCGAAGAGGTTGTAGAGTTGTTCTCCTGCTTGATAAATAGAAACGATGGTGGTAACACGAGCTATATCAGTGCCAATACGTAGCGCCTGAACAAACTCAAGAGCTGTGGACGCGTCGAGACCGCGCGTGGAGCTAGAGGAATATCGTTGTCAGCACCACGATGGGCATGAAACAACCCAAACTTACTTGTCCCACGCGCTGATTAGAGCGCGGCAGGAAAGCGCCTCTGCGATCGAAACACGCTTCTTTTCACCTCCTGAAACGCCGCGAATTGCTGCGTCGCCGACAACAGTGTTTCGGGCATGACGAAGACCGAAGATGCGAACGAGGATATCAACCACCTCATGATTGAATTGTTCGCGGGATTGGTCGGCGAAACGGACATGTGGAGTACGCATTTTGATGGCAAAAGATAAGGTTTGTTCAACGGTGAGGGTCGGGAAGTGAATATCATCCTCAGGACAGTAAATCACATCTCCACGATACTGTCTTGTAATGTCTTCGGGAGTGAACGAGTCGTAGCAAACTTCGCCTTCCACAGCATGGTACTCGCTTCGCTGGTTTGTGATGGTCTTAAGGAACGTGCTGCAACCCGAACCAGGTCGTCCAAGAACCACTATGAGGACACGTGATTAGCGCACACATTTAAGCTGGCGTTAATTGATTAAAAGTGACTGACGGAGCATTTCACCAGGCATAACGACTCCCTCAAATCCTGAGAGAATATCCCTAATAGGTGGATTGCGCATTGCAGAAATGTTTCTCAGAATGGCGGCGGGATTAAACAAAGATCCGATAGTAGGCTGCAAAGATGCACGTGCGCCGACACCTACGACACGGAGATCATTGAACATAACACCAAGCTCGCGACTCTTAATGGAGTGCTCGCCACGACTAAAGATACGTCAACAACGGACAACCAGTTTATTTTGTAGAACCCACCGTCTGACAAGGTTTTTAAGGGTCTGTTCGAAATCGAAACTATCATCAGCACCAGCCTGATCGGAAGCCGAAGAGGATGAGCTGCGAGCGTCGGTCTGCTTAGGTGAAGCAGGGTCCGCAATGGAACGTGATGTCATTGTACGCCTAAGTTCACCGACACCAACTGGGTCGAAAAAATTAACTGGAACACGGGATGGAGTTGAGGGTCCAGAATCATCTCGATGGGGCTGGTCCTGAGGAAGATTAGTTTCCAGCTGAAGGCCCGAAGTACTCATGGTGGGCGACGACAAGGAAGGGAGGATGTAAAGTTGATTACCAATGCTAGGAGAGTGGAGAACTAAATAGTCGCCCGGTAAAAGAAGGCATATGTAATTCCGAAGTTAGGGTGACTCAAAACGGTGTACTGATGCACAATACATACAATTACATCATGAAACCGAAAAGGTCCTGGCACTTATCGTCGCGGACTTTAAATGACCATGCCGCCGGACGGGAAGAACCGACGCAAGTATTGAGATACTCATGCCCGACATCATGCCCGAGCTCATTGTGTCCACGCCGAGAACACTCCTCACTCGGCATGAGGAGCAACAAGTAAAAGGTACTTACCGATGATCTCGCGCCGGGGCCCGGAGCGCGGGCGCAACTCCGATTTCCATATCATCGGCATATAGAAACCTTCTTCTTCTTCTTCTTCTATGAGCTTGATCCGGACGTATGTGAAACATGTAAACAACGTTAAATCCAAGCTTGTATGTACATACGTAGCATACTACTTGTCATTTGAGTAGTAGTACCCCGACGCACACACGAGTAGCCATGACATCCGTCACTGATTCCGTTATCTTCAGAAACATATTCTCTACGCCAGCCATCTCCTCCATCTGGTCAGACACCCAACGCACTGCCTATTATCTCCTCTTCGAAGCGTCCCTAGCGTCCGTCCAGGCAGATATTGGAATCATTCCCCGCCAGGCAGCCGATGCCATCCTCGACTTCTGCCATGTCACCAACATAGACTTCGAGGAACTAAGAATACAAACAGAAAAGATAGGGTACCCCGTCCTTGGGGTAGTCAAGCAGATAGTCCAGAAAGTAAACTGCCTCGAGCCTGGTCTAGGCGAATGGGCTCACTGGGGTGCTACCACCCAGGTACATCACATACACTCTTGTCATACTAGGTTTCAAATCTTCATTGTCTCAGGATGTCACTGACACCGCAACAATCCTGCAACTTCGCGATACTCTCAATCTCGTTTCCGATGCGCTAAACACCATCACCTCTGACCTCCACCGTCTCTGCCAAACTCACAAAACTACACTCATGGTTGCTCGCAGCAATCTCCAGCAAGCCGTACCCATGACCTTTGGTTTCAAAATGGCGCGCCTCCTCGCTACCTTCGAACGGCACAAACAGCGCCTTGCAGAAATAAAACCCCGTCTCCTCGTGCTCGAGTTCGGCGGCGCTGCAGGGACGCTTGCCACTATCAAAGATGGCCGGGGTCTCGAATGCCAAGCAGCTCTCGCCCAGAAACTTGGCCTTGCAGTTCCAGAGATCGCGTGGCACACAGAGCGTGATCGCATCGCCGAAGTTGGCGGCTTTTTCGCCCTTCTCACGGGCACCTGTTCTAAATTCGCCATGGACGTCAAGCTCATGATGCAAACGGAAGTCGGGGAAGTTTCAGAGCCGTTCTATCCGCATCCGCGGTTCTTCTTCAACAATGCCCCAGAAGCGTAATCCTATATCGAGCGTATATATCACCGCCATGAGCGCAACTGTGCGTCAGCTCTCTACTGCGCTGTACGACGCCATGGTCGAGGACCACGAACGCTCAACAGGGCCTTGGGAGATTGAATGGATCGTGCTCCCACAGATCTGTACTCTCACGCATGCTGCGTTATTGAAAACGTCCGAGCTCATTGCGGGGTTGGAAGTTCATTCAGACGTTATGAAGAATAACTTGGAAATAACAAGAGGCGGCGTGGTAAGTGAGGCTGTGATGATGGGCCTCGCTCCAAAATTAGGAAGGCAGTTTGCACATGATTTGGTATATGAACTGTGCAGGCGGAGCGTGCAGGAGGATGTCCCATTGTTGACACTACTCTATGCGGATGATAAAGTTCGGGAGAGTGGGTTGTCGAAGGAGGAGCTTGAGGGGCTCTGCGATCCATCCAATTACACGGGGCTGTCCGTGGAAATGGTTGACCGCGTTTTAGCAGGTACCGAGTAAATTTGCCAATTGTCAGTGTCAGATGAACGAAAACAGGCAAGTCTTTATCTTATCGGTTAACAAGCTCGCCGGATCAACCAGGTCACACACTAGCAAGGTTTGCTGACGTCTAACGTGCGCCAGTCTCGGCAATTGATAAGTACTAGTAATCTACTAGTGTTAGTACTCAGTGCTGGAGACTGCACGGTGGCACCGCACACGACGTAGTCTAATATTAATCTCCGCAGAATCAAGTCGACACCAGATCGAGAGCCGCACTCTCTGGATCATCAAAGCATCATCACCCCATAACCATGCAATACATTAGTGCCTCCCGTCTTATCTGCTTTGGGGTTTTGATTGAACCTACCACTGGCAAAGCTTAGGCCTGATGGACGGCCTACTGAAAGCTGACACGTACCACGTATTAATTAAATAGGCTGTTGATCATACATTGATACAGTTCTGGTACGCTGCGTATTAGATATGATCGACTTCGAAGCTTCACGATGGCGATATGATCATGTAACGATGGTATTAGCTGGTATATTATCTACCGCACAGCTTCGCGATGACGTCCAAATTTCACGAGGCGTACGTATGCAGCTCAACTGGCGTTCTTCGTCTGATTAGTGACAGGCAATCACTATCGTTATACACGAGATTAAGGCATGTCAGATCCCCAGACAGCTAGACAATCCAAGAAAATATCTTCTCGTAGGGTGGGTTTTTTCGGACCGACCAACTGCCCATAGTTAGAAGCAGGGCCTTTTTGCTGCTTGAAGTGACAAGTGTCCTAGCGATCAGTTGTTTACCTACTCCCGTGGGTGTGCTCGTAGATGCCCTCCATGGGATGAGAACACGCGAAGGATGGAGCTACCAGGCAACTACCATCGTTATCCATGAGATTGAGGCATGTCACTCGAGTTTCTCCACGTGCGGGCCTACTCAGGGTCTTTGCCTTTGTGGCACGCGCTCCGGGCGCTCTCGGCATGACGCACATGCTGAGCAATCTCTATCTGAGCGGAGATTCCTTCCTTTTCCTAGTGCGCGCGGGCAATTAAGAGGTCCTCGCCTCTTCTCACTTGCCTGTCGTCACTCTAGCTCTGTTTCTTTTCATTACATCGCAATCTATTGCTCATCCCAAGGCTAATCCTCGCAGCCTGCGCTTCTGCGAGGCAAAGTGAGACCAATTAGATCCCCAGACACAGTGACTCGGGGTGTCCAAGAAAATATCTTTCCTCGTGGGATGGATGGACTGACCAACTAGCATAGTTAGAAGCAGTGCCTTTTGCTGCTTGAAATGACGAGTGTTCTAGTGTCTACTCCCTTGGGTGTGCGCGTAGACACCTGTAATGGGAGGAGAACACAGAGGTAAATGCGCAGGACGGAGCTGATCAACTTGCTCATTAAGTAGCAAGGGGATTCGGATTTGTCAAACTAGGGGGGACGGTAAAGATAAGAGATAAAAATGGAAAACGAAACAAACGGAAATGAAACTGTCGCGCACGTAACAACTGTAAACATAAGTAAGTGGAGCTCTTGGATCAGGAGAGAGAAAGATACCACTCCTTTCGTCCTTCGTGTGCCAGGGAGACTTACTTACGTCTATCGCAAGAGTTATAGCAAGAGCCTGTATAAAGAGAGAACACAGATAGAAGAGGCATTGACTAAAAAAGGCAGGAGACCGGCTGAGATTCGCATAGACAAAGACCGATAGCATTCCCGACAGCAAGCCTGGTCCTCAAATGAAAAGAGTGGAGTAATAACTTCGGCGGACAGCACGACGCACAGTACGAAAGAACAGACCACACTCAACTTGACCGTTCAGGCGAGCTGGCATATTTGTTTAGATCAGAAGTGTCAACCGTACGCTGGACACCGGCCACCACTTGTCGATTATTAGTATTGGAAATCAAGCCTGCAAATGCAGTATCTGTGTGACATCGACTCCAAGTCGTCGGTAGCCAGGCGAAATACATAAAGTGCCGCAGTAGGGTAAACTCCGTTCGACTCTATGCCCACAGAGTCACAGACGGTAACACAGCTTCTGTGCAGCCCGGGCCTTGCATATTCGTGGGTCCACGTGGCGACCTTTGTTAGGCACGAGCCAAGGGGTTCGACGTCCATGCGGGTATTTACCTACCCGTGCGAACGGGCTCGCCAGAGGGCGTAACCAGTTGTCCTAAAGATATCGGTGTCGAAAGAACGCAAACCTAACTGTTCTGGAACATCTTTTTGAGCATAGCGCCGTAGGTCAGTCTTTCTGCAGTACAGATTCTGATGGAAGGGAAGAAAGAACCGATATCAGGTAGCTAAGCGCGTACGTTATGACTGGGTTGCAAACACGATTTTAGATACAGGAAGTAAAATGTGCAGCTAGGACTCACCCTGAGGCACAAAGACTCGACTAGGAAGAGGGATGTAACTTGCTTGGGTCTCCCGACTCCCCTAGCCAGACCAATGGAAGGAAGACAGTCGCTCCTTCGTACGTATCAAGTCCAAGAGTTGATTCCAAATAGACTTACTTCTTGCTTTCAAAACCGTCAAGTGGTCACCATTGGCGGTGCACGCTAGATTAGGGGTGGCTACAGCCTCAAAAGGTTATCGATATACGTGGGTTGCTTCTGCGCGGCTGCCTGTGCATCAAATGTACACCATAATGGCAGTTGGTTTGCATAGGTGGACGACGACCCTAGTACAGCCGCCTTTTGCCGGCAAGTAGCCCACAACTCACTCAAAAAGGAAAGTCCTTACGCACTTCTTATGCTCGACTCAAAAGACTGAGTTCAATCATCCTGACTGCCGTTTCAATCTGTCTAAATCCACCTTTGTTCCACTGCCCAGATGGGCCCAATATACCGACAGTAATGCCTTGGTGCTCTCAAGGATTATAATCGACATGATTGTACAATATGTTGAAATGCTCATGGCGTTGCATCGAGTTATCGCAAATGTACTAATGGTGTGGAACACGACATCCCTCATGTTTTATTTCAGTCAGTGGATCAATGGCACTTCTTCTGAGGCCGTAGTGTCTGGAACGGCACATGGTCCGATGAGACACTTCATCCGAACAGTCACCGGGACTGGGTTCTCCTTCATTCCAAACCGACGAGGCCCACTATTACGACGTCGTGAACATTCTTGGTTCTCATCGTGATGCAACACCATACCTCATTACCAGATATGGACCCTACAAAAGCTCTTTACTATACCGCTTTCTTCATCTTCCGCACCTTCAGCACTCGAGTATCCACTATCCTGTCCCTGGTATACCGACACCCCCCCACGTATCATCTGCATGTCAATGAGCGCCAGTATCGCTCAGGCTGGTATGCTGATACCATGTGGAACAGCTTGAAAAACCTTCCCCGGGGATGAAGAGTTGTGCCGAGGCCACAGCGCACGCCCTCGTTATCGCGGGATCCCTTTATTGATGGTACTTGTCCAGCTTCGAAGTCAAGTTTAGGAAGAAGGTCGCGGCGAGGAATGCAATTTCGCAGGGCAGAACAGGCTGATATTTGCCATCATCTTACTGTCAATCAGTGCCCTATGTGTGTTCATCTCTCTTCCTTGTTGCTGTGCTTCTGCTATAAACTGCTATCCCCCACTATGGATATGTATCCTGACGACTACATTTCACGATCTCATGGACGGATATCCCTTCTACTATGTCATGGTATTGCTATTTCAATTGATACCCCGCATCATCTTCGGTAGAGGGCTCTGACTGTACCAGCAATATACAAGTCCGCAAAGAAGAGATGCGGTCGATCTCTCACATAAATTGCTTCAAGTACGTGGTCGCTTAATTTACTCGGTCTTATACTTTCAGTCGATGGCACGATTTAAATTGCTATCAGTAGTTACTGACAGGTCCAATTATATAGATGAGGCCGTTATCCTCTGAGCACTTCAGGGCAGCGGGAATTTTTATGATCAGGTTCGAGACTCGCCTCCGTAAATTAACACGTACACGCCTCTGCTGCATTTCTGTACGCTTTGTGAACTTGAACCGATCAGTGACACAGACATGCTCACGGCAAAAGGGCTAGCTGGCACGGTGATTCCCTACGACGGTATATACCGACTCAGGTGCCCGAAACAAAACTTAGGAATTAGAATTCATTACCACCATTTGCCGTCATGGCTTACACCTATCGACACATCGAGTTAAGTCATTGCACGTTCACTCATCATCGCCGCAGTAGAACATCCAAGCCACAAGCGTTCGTGACTACATCGGCAACATAGCTATCTCCACGTTAGACAACCGCATGTTGGTGCTGTCGCGAGGACAGTTTTTCTCGTTCCTGAGTTACACTCAGCAAAGTACTTGGAGTGACTGGAATCGTCAACCAAGTAATTTCTACGCCGTGCAAAGCGCCACAAGGCAAACGTCGCATGTGTCGTGAGACATTATGGCAGCTTTGCCGTTTTGCAAAGAAGAAGCACCAAAAAATCCGAGTTGAAAAAGGAAAATAATACCCTAAACCATGACCAGGTATCGATCAATCTGGCAGGGGCGCCTTACCCGTAGGGTCGTCTTCTTTTGACTCGTCAAAAGAGCTCTAATGCTGCCTCATCGAGATGCGCCGAGATGGGAAAGCTGCAGGAGCACAGTGATGCTGGGAACATCTCCTGTAGAACAAAGATAGTAAGTCATGTATCCTTTGATAGAAAAAACACGGTGATAATACATCCATGCAAAGTGCGACATCTTTTCCCGTACAATTTTTACGAGTTCGGCGTAGTTCGAGGAATAGACCGGTCATTGGAGCTAAGTGTCAGTGCGCATAATATCCGGAATAGAGCGGACAGGACCACTCGCCGGAAGCGTTTGTCGTTTGTCATTCCTAGAAATGTTTTCATACTATGTACGAAAGATAGCCAATCGCATAAAAAAGCAAAACACTTACCAGATGTACGATGCACTTATGAAGGAACAATATTCAGACATGTGAATCAATTTAGGTATGGGAAGTACTCGCGCTGAGGGGGATCGACTTAATTCAGGGCAAGGGCTCCCGCAAAGATCAAGATGGGAGCTGCCAATGTTAGTAGTACAAACGGTCCTAGACTGTTCTAGCGTTGCCAACGGAATGGGAGTCCACAGTTGCTTGGACGTCCCTTGCCCGCTGCTCTACATCATTCCAACGCACGCGGTCAGCCAAGGGCATTTTGAAATGCTTCACCGCAAGCACCATCTGCTGTGCACACTTGTCCACTCCGATGCCTCCGGTACCCGTCCCAAACCCTGTCATCAAGACTGTTTGAATCTTAGCGCGGCCGTCGGTGTCAGAGACTTTATTCCACCGCTCGAGTTGCACCAAAAGGGACCACATTGTATTGTAAACGAGGTCTTGGTGCCAACTGACATCCTCTGGGGTGCGCATCGTAGGTGATATGGCAAGAGCGCGTGCATCCCACGGGTTGTCTGCACCAGCGGCATCATCAGGAAGCGGCACTATCATGCAGGAACCAGGGGGGATGTAACCATGCCAGAGATCTCGAATGTAAGACTGGCAATGATTGGTCAAGCGCCACATATCACCTGTCCCGTTGAAAAAACGAGAGAGTTCATGATCAAATCTGCTGTGGGTAAATGGGATGCTCTGTTGGGAGATCAGCGACCCACTCACCCGCCATCCATGATTCCGAATGAATTGGCGGGGGACACCACACAATCGCAGCGCAAGCGTTCAGGATGTACGTCATGGAGCTTACCCTGTATGACGGTGAAGGGTGAGTCGATTGGGTCAGGAAAGTGTTCTTCGATGGCGCGCAGCCAAGCGTCGCACAAGGATGTGGATGAGTGACGTGGTTCAGGAGCTATGAGTGTAAATTTTGGGGTTATGGAAGCTGAGGACTCGGAGTTCATGTATGTAACGTCACGCGTGAAGGTAAGTTATTTGACTTAATAGTACTTTCCTTACTTACTTATGTCCGATAATATATGTAGTAACTCGATTGTCGGCTGTAGCCGAATGTGGTCCTCAATGAGACTTGCTTTGTCGAGTCCTTCTCCTTCAGATCTCCTCGGAATTTGGCGAGGAAGCTCGTTGCGAATTTACGACACTTATGCTGAAAATCGTGATTGACGAGACTGGCGCAAAAGGACAAGCTTGAAGCAGATCGGAGTACACGTTTCATTACACGGTGGACCATCCATGGGATGGAAGCAGGTCAAGAAACAGTTAAGAGTTAAGTACTTTTACTTACGAAGTGCGTTTATTATGAGATAATTAATATTAAACTGAATGAAGGTTGATGGGTCCTGATAGGTCTCGAATGAGTTTTTTTGGTCGGATCCAACGTCCCTTCCGTGCAATTTAACTTCTCTCGTCGTTCATGTCGTTCATCGAAGCGCTCAATCCGTAGAAAACGGCACGTATATCCATCCCACAGTCGATCCTCGATATCTTTATGCCCCGCTCTTCCTCGTCATCCACTTCCTCTTCACGCTCCTTACATTCTCTACCATGATCAATATTCTCCCCTCACATTTCATTGGTCAGTATCATATTAATCCTCACCTCCCTTCCTGACATCCTACTGACTATTATCAGGAGTCATCCTTTCTAGCCTGTGAGGTCATTATAGTCGAGTCCGACACCCTTATGAATAACTTTGTTACCAGGTTCTATGGCTTTACTCTCGCCCAGACCTTGTGGTATTTCCAGACTTATCCAAAAGACAGATGGACTATGAAGGCGTTGGTAAGTACCGTATATGATGTACTGCATCGCCAAGTTTCACGCATCTTTTTCCAGGTAGCTTTTCTGTGGTCTGCCACTTGAAATCCATTGCTTTATTGTAGCTGACGTTCCCTAGGACGTTGGACACAGCACAACTCGCCCTTGTCGCCGCATCAATATATCACTATACCATCACGTGGCAAGGTGACATAGAAATGTCATCCCGTGTATCAAAGTATGTCGTTTTGCACATGTCGTTTCCGCACATATTCATTTGACTAGAACATTTGAGGTGGGCTTCTCGCGTTCCATCATATCATATTACAGTGTCGTAACCAGTTATTATAGGCATCCATGGGCGTGACTGTAGGTTGTTATTATTTCCACTCAGAAGCATACTCAGCCTGTCACAGTCAATAATAGCTTTTCTGGTGCAATTGTACGTCTGTCATTTGCTTCACGGCGATAAGTACTTATTCCCCGTTCCAGGACATACGCTCATCGTATATGGCGACGTGAGGTCTACGCAAACATTCTCGAAAATCTCCACTGAAAGCTCTCTAGTTAGTTTTGGAAACATTCTAGTCACATTTTTTATAGTAAGTCCAGAAAGTTCGCGTCCGTTCCCCGTTTACTTAGTACCGGCGCCACAGGTCCTGTTAGCATCGGTCGCGTTAGGTAAAAATGCCCTGTTTTGGACGCGACATGGCTGATTCATAACTCACATGCAGGATCTGGCGCAGGTAAGCCCTAGCTCTACTCTTTGTTATCTCGTATTCATCGGTCGCAGCAATGGTTATCAAAACGTGAGCTTCCTTGGTCTACTATCCGACATTGACGCTCACATATCCCAAAGTGTCCGCGATCCCCTGTGGGATAGCACTCACGTTAGCAACGTAAGCTTACTTATACTTTTGTCAGTCAGCTTCTGCGCCTTATGCGACCCTCAGCTGCCGGCTTCTAGTTTCTACCTATCTTCGATGGCATGTGATGTCCTCATTGCTGCTACGCAAGTGTACTTGTTTCATAAGTCCCGCACCGGGATAGGAAGGTTCGTCCCATCTCTCTTTTTCTTCTGATGGGCTCATTTTTTGTCAAGACTTGGCGGACTCATCACCCGACTTACCGTGCTTGTTGTCAACGTAGGCTTGATAACTAGGTAATCTTCTCCTCCACACAGCGTTGTTCGACGACTAACTCGTCATTTCAGCATAGATGTCACACTATTTCTCATCCTGGTACGCATCTTGACAGTAGATGTGAGCCCACTCACAAATTGTCCCTTCAGTTTCTCGTCTGCCCCCGCAACGGTGCCTTTCTTGTCCCATACGTCCTCATGAGCCACTGTGCGCTTCCTCACTCCGTCTTTCGTCATCAACTTATCCACTCGCTTTGCAGGTTATTTGAATAGCTTCCTTAGCGTGTAAGTTCATATCTCAACCTCCACAATAAAAACCTCACCCCTACAAGTCTAAACTCTCGTCGTGAGTTACGGGAACTGGTCGATAATGATGACGTAGGCGACCCTGTTCTTCTCATCATCCTGACTGCACCTGACGCGACGCCATTTCAGTATGCTTGTCCCAGCATCTACAGTGCACCTGACGTGACACCATCACAGCACGATTGTCCCAGCATCTACACCGTTGCCTCAGTATAGACTTCAGGTCCCTCTACTCGCGCGCCACTTTGTGTGATGCCCACCGACTATGGTGTACCGCGACACATACAATCATCCCTCTCGTCGGACACGAACACTGCACTGTACATTACCGCACCCAAGCACACGATAGACCAGACTTGTCAGTCACCGCGAGTTGAATTGAAAACAATAGTATTGGCTACCGTGCGCAGATGATGTTGAAGTCAAACAAGTATGTATACTGTACATCAATGAAGCCGCTTTGCGGAAAAGTCGACCGCAGAATCAATCAGAACACACAAGTGGGTTGAGTGCAAGTTGCCATTATCGGAGCACAGTCCTTGGGTCGTGCTAGGAGTGCGTTGGTCACATTGCTCCTCTGCGCGGCCTATCTCCAGGATGCAAGTTTCTGAAAGAGAGAAGCGAGATCTAACATCTCGGATTAAACTAAAAGATGTTGCTCGATGGGCCTGCTAGAGACCGTGATAGCTCAGTCAGCAGGGTACATCTCGAGGTAGCTTGCTCTCAGTCTCCACTCTGCGTCTTGTCTTGGCCAGTTGAGCAGATAATTTTTAGCTATAGGACATATACAATACATGCACATATGGAATTTACATCATGTACAACGTACCGGAGATGTGAAAGAGGGTGGAGCTTGTCACACTCCTTACTTGAACTCCACGCGATAGCACAACTTCAAGTCAAATTGATATCATATTGGCCGGTTATCTACATACATCAAGCACGCGAAGAGTGCAGTGTCATCCACACCGTCATACGAATGATGCCCCAAGGGAATCTACTGAATCGCATACCCCGACGCCACAAGTGCCTGCACGAACGGTTGTACTACATCCGCATCACCCGCAGCCAGTAATTGCTTCACGCGCGGGCCCGCCTTCACCAGTGCCTGTCCCAAAAAGTCCCGCGGATCGCGCACATACGCCACGGGGTCCACAGGCGCGCCCTCCGCTGCAGCGAGCCGCGAATACGCAGCTTGATACCCTGCAGTCTGCTCCTCAAAGTCAATCTCCGTTATACCAGTAGTCTGTTCCTCGTCTTTGGACTTGGAAAGATACTGTGGCTCACTGAAGAGCTTGACAACAGAGACGAATGCCTGGGGCCTGTGAGAGGGACTTGAGTTATTGGTATGAAGGGGAGGAAACGTAACTCACCAGCTCTGTGCGCTCGGAGGCGTAAGCATGATCGTACTCTGTGCAAGCATGCGGATGAGACCGACAGCTGCGACTTTCCTATCTTTGTGCGGCATCTTGGGCACTTGCGGGACGATGAAGTTGACAAGAATCTGTGACCAAAGCCTGGAAAAATGAATAAGATGAGGGATGCAACGGAGATATAAATGGCTAGATGCGCCTCACTGTGGCTGAATCTCTTCAATAGCGGATATGACATAGTCCGGCCCAAGCCCCTCAACATTGATGGCCATCGTGAAGAGGAGGAAGTGCGAAAAGAGATACACATATTTATCCGTTTTGCTCGTTTGCATCCTTGTGAGCAGCGTCATGATGAGCGGCTTGAAGTACTGTTTGAGCTGCGACCTAACCAGCCGGTGCTGTTAATTCCACGCCCTTTCGCCGTAGCAAAACTCACGAAAACTCACGGGGGTACGAAATGCACGACGCCCTGCAGAAGTTCAAAGCCCCAGCCATCGTTTATTTTGGAGGGTATCAGGCGTTGCTGGATGACGGCCAGCACGGCTGTAATCTGCCCTGTGTTGACCATCTCGGTGGCATCACGGGCGAGGAACGCCTTGAGGAGCTTCACGAGACCGGGGATGCTGCCCTTTTGTTGCCAGCATGTGGGCGTGAGGAGGAATGGGAGGAGGGTGCGATATTCGGATGGCACGCCAGTGGAGTGTGCGTCTAACATCTGAGCGAGAATTTGGAAAACGTAGGGGATATATTCTACACGATAGGTTAATAATGAGGGGTAAGTTATAATAATAGGTCCTTACGGTCTATGTCCTGCTGAAGAATAAAAGTGAAAGGGCCAAAAAGTGCCTGCTCGAACGTGGGCAAAGTGGAAGGTGTCCCGCTCACAACAAACCTACACAGCGAGTGTCAGGCAAGATTCCCAATCTGAAACCAAGACGTACCTCAACAGCGCTGATATGCTTTCAAAGATATACTGGTCGAAATTGGGATTACTCGGGTTCTTCGCAATGACACCAAGGATGTTGACCAGTCGCTGGAGGACTTGCTGATAGATAGGAGTGAGGGTTTGGCGTGCGGTGACAATTACGCGCATTGCGCCTGCACACGGGAGTCAGAACCTGCGAACAGGACTCATGTATGTAATTGGCGTACATTTCATCAGGTGGTCATTTTCGGCGACCTTTTCGGGAGCACCAGCAGCTTCTATCTTACTCAGGAGTGCATTGAGCAAGTCAGCAGCGAGGTCGTGGATGTCAGCTTGTGAGAACCTGGAGTGAAGGTGTCAGTGCAAGGTCACCGTCATTCGAATCCGGACCCACAACAGTTGTGTCCCCTTTTTGATGAACAGTATACGATCGATTGTAATCGCAGCATATGTATACGTAACATAGTGGTCCGCATTCAAGTGCCGAACTAACAAAGGGAGCACCGACAGAAGTTGATCGCTCGTCAGCTGCGTGGAGTGTGAGCAGCGCTGATGTGTTAGTTTATATCGAAAAGCACAGACCTGGTTCCTGAAAGTCAAAAGGAATCGAATCGCATCAACATAGAGGATCTCATGAATAGTGCCAGCTGGTGCTTGCAGATCCTGATACACGTGCTCGGAAAAGAACTTCACGACGTCCACCAATGCATTCGTCGACGTGACACCATGCTTTTGTTACTGTCAGATAGTAGCGCTCGTCGAGAAAAACCAACGGCACCAGCTCACCTGTGTCGTCGACGCCTCCGTCGCAACAGCAGTGAGTAAGTATATAGCGCTGTCCTTCGCCTTCCAGTTCTGGGCGGGATTCGAGTTGTACTGCTGTAATCCGGAGGTGATCCACGACCCCACGATTTCCGTGGCCTCAGCTTGGTATCCCGAGCTAACTAACGCTTGCAGCACGTCTGCGGCTGCTTGACGTCGAGTCGCCACTTCTGATGCACTACCTCCGAAAGCCAGGTCAAGCCGAATGAACTCGAGTGGCTCATCTTCAAACTGCTCCATCTCATGGTCGCGTAGTCCAATATTAGGGATGACTACGCCTTGTATCAGAGAGGCAATAGTATCACGCGAAGAGAAAAGCGCTTTGTAGTAACCCGACCGAATTGCGGTGGAGATAAAACGCAAAGATTGAGAGACGAGCTAGCAAGCCAATGCCAATGCCAATCAGGTTACTAGAAAATAAATGGAAAACGGAAATAAACATACAGAGTCGTCCGCGACACCAGGGAGCTTGTTCGACCCTACGAGCTCCCATACGCTCTGTACGAATCCCTCCACAGCAGGCGAGCGTGATAGTTGGTCGGGAAACAGTTTGATGTAAAGCTGTTATGCATGTTAGCGTTGGTTCGCCCATTTCCGACCTGTTACCAACCTCCCCAATCTCAAAAATCTTGGTCTTCAATTGAGCAGGCAGCGATGGCTGTGTTTCATCGGTCTAAACGACGAGTCAGCAACTTGCAGTGGACGACAAAGACGTTGCCCACATCGACTTGAAGCTCTGCAGGGTCCCATGACATAAAACGCTGAAAGATTCCAGTCTGTGGAGCAAAAAAGGCGTCGTGGGCATCTTCGATACCCGGGGGTAGATCTTGACATGTAAAGTCGTAAAATATATCAACGAGGATAATCTGGGCTTGTGTAGTGATAGCAATATCAGGTAAAACGGGGGAAGAGAGCAGTCTTGTTGCAGTCTGGTTGAAAAGATCAAGGAAGGGTTGCATGAATCTCGATAACACGATGTTGATCTCCGTGAACAGCTCGTCCGAACGAACTTGGGCTCGCCATTGGTTGAAGATGGAGTGAGCGGTCTGCAGGACACCGACATTGATGCTGTAGTCCGTAGGGGAGAGTGATGAGACGAGTTGCTGTTGTGGAAGCGTTAGAGAGCGGGTCTGTGGTCAAACAAGGATATCGCACGTCAATGAGATCACTCCATTTCGAAGGAAAGTCAAGCTCAGCGATCAGAGCGACGGACTCGGCAATTTGAGCGCGAATCGCTTTATCTGCAGGATTAGACAGTGTAATCATGGCCGGTACTAGCTGAGATCTGAGGGCTGCCTTGTCTGCTTCTGGGAGAGGCGCATCATCCTGTTTGAGCCACAGACGAGATGAATGAGCATGATCGGAGAGGTCATATTGCACACCTCTTCCCATCGTAGTTTAGCAACATTTTTGAGATATATTCCGCCTGCTAGGCGTATTGGGCGATCCAAGGATACGTTGAGGATTAGTGTAATGAGGTGTGTCAAGAATCCCTGCTGTGACGCAAGTGCATGCAATTGCTGTTCTGCTTGTTTCCTGGAAGCAGGCTGGAGGGAAGCTTGGAGGAGAGAAGCGATATTAGACATCTCTACTTTACTCCAGACGATGTCGCTATACTTCTCGAGTTCACTGCAGATGATCTTTCGCCGGACGCGTGCTCTTTGTTTGGCTTTCCTTTGTCTGAACCCCCTTCAGGCAAACCCCTAAATTTATAGCGCTCTAATCCTACAACACGCTCGAGACTAATTAATAAATCAGATACTCCTTTGATATTCCAGTCGCTGATGAGATAGTTCCAACGCCTGTTGGCTCCCACTTCACATCCCACGTCTGTGATATGTATTCACTGCTGTCCAATGCCCATCCACCCATCAATCTGTTCCCAAATATTCTTCCGTATATCGAGCTACACACGCCGCCTCTTACAAGCCTCTTATGCTGACAATCCTTGCACCACCCCTCATTTTCCCACGAAATGGACATCAACACTGACAGTCCACAGAGCAGGTCATGCCGATATCGGTCGTGAATCCCTGAGTCGTGCACGAGCCGAACCCACGCTTCGCACCTCGCCACCATCGGGAGACAATGTCTGAGCCCCAAAGAGGTCCCCGGGCAGCTGCCTGCACCCAAACACCACTAAGCTATTCTCGCATCCGAACAAGACGCCGCTCACACAGGGTTATCGTAAAACAGAAGCAGTGCCTCTAGATCTTTTCCCTCGAGTTTAGCAAGGTGGTAAATCCGCTCGTCTTCTTCTGTCTTTACGAGGGTATCATTCCCGAAGTGTTCGTCTTTGCTGTTGAAAAGAGCTCCGAGTGCCGCACGAGCCATCACCCTGAAGAGTATTCAAGACTGATGTTCCCATCTTCTAGCCCAAACACTTCATGCCTGGGCATGCGGTAAATGCGTGCGCCTGCGCCTGCGTATTCCCGTTGTATCTGATGTTAAGGCGATGGGTTGGGGTTCTTGGGAGGACTGGCGTTTCCGCTTTGACCCCTTCGCAGGGGTAACGTCGATTGTTGCGAGGCTTGCAGCGCGAGACTTCCACTTGGAAGCTCCATCCTCCTCAGCACTATTATGGCCAATGGAAACTTGAATGTCGGAGTTCGTTTCCAGTCCCATTCGCTCTACACGTCGTGGTGCAAGTTGAAAAGCACACGAAAAATTTAGGGGTTTGTGGATACCGGCCTATATAAGCGTCCCGCTTCCACCATATATCACGTCATGTATCCTTCTTCGCGAAACTTTTCCAAGGTTGTTGCACTCGCCTATAACGTAGGAGGGCTAATCGCTCAAGCGTAAGATGTAAAACTATGTAAAATGACTAGGTGCATATGAATGATACTGGGATGATACTGGTGTACAGAGTCCACGAAGTGTATTCTACCTTACTGTAATTGACATCATCCTCAGACTCTCGCTACACTTGAAGGTCGAACCCGGCCCATCAATCTTGCCCTCTTCATACTGCGTCTTCGAACCTCATCGTAGAAGATTGATCACGTCTCCGACTCGGACGCCAGGAGGGATTGTTTTCCCGTGACGAGTTCTGTCTATAGTACCTCGCAAACTTACGACGAAAGAAAAATACAGGCCAAGCAGCCCTCTGCCACACACCATCTCCAGACTTGTGTATCGAACTGTATGGTTGAAAAGCGATAACGACCCATGTCGTGACGAAAGTCAGCAATAAAGTCACCTCGACGTAGCGCGCAACTGTCTCCAAGGAGCCGGGATTAATTTCGGCCACGTTCATTCCGAAGATTGACTGTTTTATCAGTGAGCGCTTCTGTTCGTGTTGTACATCCAAACACATACAGCAGTAAAACTTGCGGGCAAGAAGACCATGGTCAGGTACGATATCTGCAGAAGGCATGAGCTCTGTCGGCGCACACCTGCCTGCCAGCGCACCTGTTTCATCGCTGCGGAGTCTCGGAGGCTCGCCTGCGTGTCCTCGATATTGACAGTCGCAAATGCCAATTCCGTGGCATTCTTCAATCGATTGATGAACATCAAACATTTCCGTTGCAACCTGTTGATCTCGGAAAGGAGATTCTTGCATTCCCGCTGCATTAACTGATTTGTAGTGTTTCTATCGTCACTGGATTTGATTGCAGGGTTAGGGGTATCTCTAACAAATGCGACCGATTTCTCGAAATCGTGAAGGAGGGTTTGGTAATGGAGTAGGTGCGCCTGAAGGCTGTGTAGCTTATGGTTGAGGTCGGCCGTATGGGCGAGGTCGGAGTCATTCAGGATTCCCTCCTGAGCATGATGAGCCTTTACTACAAATTGCATAGACTGCATACATACCAAATGTTTAATGCGCAAATACAGCACCTCAAATGCCTCATCCCATGCATATAGTGCGTACCACAAGATTGCCAGAAAGAAAAACGTTGGATCTCCAGATGCCTCGAATATTTTATTCCAGTACACACTCCTACCTGCGCGCGCCATGACCTGATGCAAGCGCTTGGCAGTAGTGCGACCAGGCAGGGAAGGATGATACGTTATAATTGTAGATGAATATGTCGCGCGGATCATATGAATTGCCAGGAGGTCGATGAGAAGAACGTGCTCGCCTGTAAAAAGGATCAAACAAAAATTGCTGTAAAAGCAATTATGAATTACCGTGCAGATGGAGTGGCGCCAGAACGTCTATAGTGCTCTTCCTTCCTGTATGTGTTGCGATGAGAAGTGTCAATCGTCGAAACAATGATGAACCTTCACCTAATGGACTACACGGCGGAGTTATATGCTTTTCCTTCCCCATTGTCCGAATAAAAGGAAGGGTGACTGTGATATCTACTCAGAACAACAGGTAAGCAACCTTGGACCAAGAGGTAGTGACCAGACGTACGATCTCCCTTTCCGTGTTGAACCTCTTCCTGGTATCGCGAAGGAATCCAGTTCGTTGAAGATGAGAAGAAGAATGGCTCGATGTTATACCTAAAGGAAAGTGCCGTTCGTGCTTGCAAAACAATCAAGTTAGAGCACGAACCTCGTCCCCAACATCTTCAAAACTGGTGCAGTCAAGTTATCCACGAACAGTGCTCGAACACGGACATTTTCCACCTGATGTTGCCATAATCACTCACTGACGAAACATTCGAAATAAAACTTTCCTTGTCATTTAGTTTTGACCAGAATTCCTCCTCCTTCTCTTGCGACACTTCAAAGCGATCCAGCCCTTGCTCGTGTGGTATCTTGAATTGACCGTTGTCCATCACGTCAATGCCATATACGACGCACGGTCCCTTTTGTGCACACTGTGTCAACATCTTGCTTCGTTCCACTGGGATTGAGGTCCAGTTGCCGAAATGTGTTTGCGGATATCCACTCCATACAGTACTTCCGCCGTCATGAATTATCGAGATTTCTGACGTAGTCGACAAAAAGTCGGTGTCAAAATCTACCCAAGGCCATGGCCCGGAGGGTGCTGCATGACGATATCTGAACGAAGCCCACAAACACATCTTCCTGAATACTTGGAAGGCGGGAAAGATGAGAATTCTTACATTGGGGCTGGAAGCGAAGACATATCTGCGTCTACCACCGTGCTTGATGCGTCGCTGGATGACATATCAAGAAAGCAAATAGTGTAGGTCTACTGTGTTGGTGTCCACTGGACTGGACGTGGGTGTCTACTTGTTGGCGCACGAAATATATCCATCCATTAGCGCCGGCCTAGACTCCAGTGAGGCTAACACACTTCGTCACGGCATTGACTAGGGTCCTTTCGGAGCATAGCAGAAGCGTGATTTCGTACAACGGGATGGGTCTGACTCGAAATGAAAAAGTGGCCTATCAGTGCAACGTGGCGATCAAGGTCACATTCTGAAAAATATCCGGCCAATATCAGTTAGGCCAGAAAGTAGTTGTACTGGTGATGATGTGCCATGCAGACAAGCTGAACTCACTGCTGCGAGGCTCCTGCCTTTAACGTTCATACTGGAAGCTTTCCACAGCACTAAAGAAAACGATCTCATTAACAGAGAGACCTCGACTGTCGCTAGGAACGGAGGGTTCTTGAGAACTATATCAATACGAGCTCTCAATGAACTGGTTTATGAGCGGCTAAGTGTGACGGTAGATCCAGACCAGTTGCAAAGTTGCAACGGTGAATCGGTGGATAGTGACGCTATGAGTCGGGGGCGGTAGTCTGTGCTCGCCACACACATCCATAACAGCATAGTGCTGCAATATTGAAAGTTATTCCTAATACAGTTTGTGTCTGCGGCGCATGGAGAAGGATCTCTACCGTCCCTACCGGTGCGTTTCGGCAGCTTTTCCATTTAGACAGTCACAATTCCATGCGACTTTTCATGAGCCATGGTCGAGGGAGTGCAATGACAGTACATGGATGCAGAGTGGGTAGACCCGTAGGAACTTCCAGATACCGGCGATGAAGATGGGTAGTGACGGGAGGCACAGGGTTTGAGCAGCCTTGCACATCGGCTACACCTCGAAGCAGTGCAGGAACGTACAAGCAAGTTGCGTTTGTTGGCGCTGGGCCGCTGACGAGTTGGCAATGACCAATAATATTGATGCAGTCGTTGGCACACGACCATGTTCAACATTCCTTTTTTCGGAGTTTCTCAAAATGATCCGTCGGCAGCAATTGTTCTATGCAATCGGGTAGTACGCGGAGCAGGAGACAACATCGTGCAACTGCCAGTCTAGCTCTGTTTAGCTCCTTAGACCTGAGGCTCTCAACTTTAGGATCACATTCATGGCGCAAAGTCTCATGTATTGAAATTTACACTGCCACCGAAATACGCCAACGGGAATGGGTGTCTTCAAGTTCAAACTTCTCCGCGAGCCGCTTTGGTGTGGTCACTGCTGCGACCACGATTGGTACGATATCCACAAACCTCCCTTCCCGACATGAGCCAAGTTTTGGGCATTGATCAATATCAATGTTGGGAGATACTTATTGACTTATTGAGAAAGTCGAAGCTCTACCAAAAGTTCTTAGTCTCCCGTAGTCAGACCCTTGGCTGCGGGTGACGAGTCTCGATGCTTCAGGCGTTCATTTTCTTCATCCCACGCCTGGCCCTTGGTGTCTGGTTGTTGACGCAATTGAATGAGTACAGGTTCGTCTTTTTTTTGCCTTTTTTTCCTCACCTGTAACGTTCCTGGTTTGCTCTTAGCTTATGTCTTGAACTCTCGACCATGGGCCTCGTGCTATATCCTGCGATAAAGCGGATAACTGACTGGCTGCAGGGCTTGGTGCGTTGTACCAAGTTCCGAGATTGTGGTTATTACATTGGGGCTGCATGCCAAGGATACTGCTTACGCCCGTCAAGTGAGCTAATCTTCTTTCATTCCGTGCTCGTTGGCTGACCCAACAACAATTAATTAGGACGGAGACGGTCGACTACGGTTATATTTGAATTTTAGAGACCAGATCCGACCATCATTGATTTTCATCGGTGCGGCCACGGGGGCACTTCACCTTGCCCGACCCCTCGCCAGGACTGACTTCGAAAGTAAGAACAATTACGACGCTACCCACCTCAACAACGCTTGGTTTGGCTTCTGAGCTTAGGCGGGAGCTATGGTAGACTTCGTTGTAATGACTTTAGATGCTAGATCAACGACATTTGTTTCCCTTTGATTTTTACATGTTATCTAGATCTTCAATTTCTATACAATGATCAGTGTACATTCTCACGCGCACGAGGGACACGATGTTTTGGACAAATCATATCCACGTAAGCTGGGTGTCGACAGGTGTAGGTTGGTGTTTCAGCGCAGTGACATAGCCATTAAATAACCATTCATCAACGCATTAACCACTAGTTCACAGTCTCCAAAAATACCTAATAATAATGAACTACAGCGACACGTTGTTTCTTGTGACAATGTAAGTTATTATACCTGAGCTTTTGTAGCCTAGATGACCAAAATATAAACATCACAACAACGCTGGGAGGTTAGCAGCCTCACCTTGGACATAGCGAAGAGGCGACCTTCGACAGTGTGTATGGCTTGCCGTTCTGCTGGTGAGCGTACAGGTAGTAGAATACTGTGGGGCTAGTTCAGTTTATTATGCCGTTGGAGCCTGCTAGCCGATCAATGACATTAGTCGGTACGACAGGCTTCTCGACAGTAGAACTCTACATATAGATACAGTAGCAGACAATTTTCACATCAGCAAACGATCAAGGGTCCAACGAGGTAGTGTTACCCCCTTTTGACCATCCAATTAGCTCCCTCATAGCACGCACCGTACCAACGGGGCCCGTAACATTCTTTGCAAGGTTAGCTTCGGCGTGGTCGACACGAATTGGTGGGACGTTCATAAGGGTGGCCATAGATACCCACGCCGAAGGTGCCTGCTCAGTCGCCTTCAGGAACACGCTCGTGCCGAGCCAGCGGGTGATGGACGCACGAGCGACACCATAGCTGCGTGTACCCAGGCCGAGAAGGTAAAGAGGTTGACTGGGATGGTCATCGGCCTAGTCTCGGGGTCATATATCATAGCTAGGAAAAAGAAGCTAGTGTCCTTCAATTATCTGAGTGAAGATGCATCCTCACAAGGGCGAACATGTACTGCTCGATACTGCGGATGATCTTTCTTGATTTTTCTCCGCACCTCTAGTTTGGTCTCTGTGTACCGCACAGATATAGCAGGCCCGTTAAAGTCCTCTGCGGAAATGTAAACAATGGGGCGAGCATGTGTAATTCCTTGGGCGGGTTTACTCGCGGCAAATGTTTCACACATACGGATGGCTTGTACGGCATATGAACGGCGCGCAGCTAACATGAAGGCGGGTTGTCACCTGCATCGCGGTTAACTTTGTCATAGGCCCCTAGATGACGTGTCTCTCGACCGGGCTGGTACCCGTAATGGACTTGAGCAAGCCCACGAAGTCCTTGTCATAGAACTGTTTGCTGTGTATTATCAAGGAGGGTGCCTATAGTGTGCACGAACTGAACGCGCAATCAGACATACCTAATACTGGCGACACCCGTACCCCGCGCAAGAGCAGCCTTGCACACGGCAGAACCTACAAGTGCAACATCAGCATCCAATCCCCGGATGCGATCAGCGATGAACCTCACCGACCAACCCATTACCACCCACGACAAGGATTTTTTGCACAATAGCGGACATAGCGTTAAGACGTTAGTAACGTGAAGTTCAAATCGCCGTCGCTCCAGATATCCAAACAGACGTAACGTTGACGTAACATTGTTCATGCTTAGCCGAGGGCATGCTCAAACTTAGCTTGAGACGTCGTTAGCGTCACCGTCAGTGACTGGGATGCTGAGAGCTGGAACACGACACCGGAATTCCATCATCCAACATAATTTCTAGCTGAAACATGTGTTTCAAAGTTCTGTGTTCAGGGCAGCAGTTCTCTAAGTCCCTCGGTCCAACGTCCAAAACTCGTCGAAATTTTCCTACGCACGGAAGCCGACAAACCTCTACATAGGCGGATTCGGCCTTGAACTTGACTCGAAGATGTATTCATATTGGTATGATACTGGGTCTCTGCGTGACTTAGCCAACAACACTCGATTCGCCAGGGCCGATGGAACCCCATGCTTGCGCGTTCGGCTATGATCGGGTCCTCCAGATGGTCCGACCAATGTAAAAAGTTGAAGAGATCGAGACTAACAGTAAAGGCAGAAGTGAGGTAACACGACGTTAACTTTGATTAATGGTAATCATCGCGTTTGCGCGGTGGACAGATGATGCAAGTGTGGCGAATATTCGGTCAGGGCTCCTTCTTGATTATCATCAACGGCCAGCCAGCATCACAATGAGCTTGCCCGACGGGTAGAGCATCCTGACAGGTAACCAAAACACAACGAAGGCGCTTCAAAATGCTTGACAATGTTTGATGTCAATTGAAGCTAAGTATACCTTGCCACCAGAGTCTTCAAGTTTCGTTCAGGAATGACTGTCCTATACATATGACCTGCAGCCTCGGGGAGACTAAGTATAGCGTTCAGTTCAGTTCAGTTCAACAGGAAGGCATAAGAATTGAAATAGAGGTTACAATACGTATAGGTAGGCTAGTGTGAATAAGATTCTTGCGTGCACGTGCACGTGCATTTTACATCACATCCACCTTCGATAACGTTCTCGCGTTTGCTGGTGGACCGTGGTGACCGGGTTAACTTGCGGTTTGTGTAAGTCCGAGTCTCAGTTTGTTCAGGTTGGTTCACCTCTTGACTATGTCTGTGCTGTTAGTAGTTCATTCTATCCCATTCTCTCGTTCCGCAACTGCGCAAATAGAGCTGCGTTTGGGTTCCTTAGGTAGGCCAGCAACAAGTACTATCCTGACATTGCCTCGTGTTTTTATATACGTCCTTGTTGGTGATTGACCCAATTTTGTCTTCTCTACACGATATCGTGTTATTCCCAGCTACGACTCACGTTGACAGTGACAACGTTGACATCTGGTCTTCTCGTGATCAACGCACATGTCCGAGGCCAGCTCATACCATCGTGACTACCGCAGCCATCCGAGTCCGGACACGCGCTACTACGTAGATCCCGGCGAGCACTCTTCCAGCCCCGTTCACAGAAACAGATATGATAGTCACAGGCGACTGCAAGACGTATCATGGGTCTCTGCCAGCCAGCAGCCTCCCTCGCCAATTCATGACCCGTATGCACGATGGTACCCGCCTCCTCCAGTCGAGTCCGTAGACTTCCCCACGCCTTTAGTTCCGGGCCAACCACTCCCCGTGGCGCACTCCTCGCCCATGATGCGGCGAACTCCGTCGCCTGCCATGCGAGTCACCCCCTCCCCAATCATCGGAGAATACATGACCGTGGAGGACGAAGAGGAAGAGGTGCCAGAAGTGCATGAGGACTATCGGGAGGTTGATTTTGATTTCTCTAACGCCCCTCAACATCGCATGGGCGTGCAGAAAGGTGCACGCCGCTGGGTCGGTGGCTTCGTCAAGGGTCTGCGCAAATTTCCCGGCCTGCGTAAGTCCCCGCACCGTCCATCACCCTCGAGCGACTTCGCATCGTCGCTTGGTGCTCAGCATGAGAATGATCCGCAATTTCCGACCATATCGAGCTTGAATTTGCGCCCGCTCACGCCCACTGCAATTGCGCAGACCGCAGAATTGATGGACATGCCCCAGCCCCAGTTGTATCCGCAACCATCGCCACAACATCATGCATATCCACAGTCGCCACAGCATCATACATATCCCCAGTTATATGCGCATAAACCACCTCCCCCAGCAGCACCATCGCCAGTATATGCTCCTGGAGCGGATGTTGTCCCTCAAGGCCTCTCAACAGTTGACGAGCGCTCGAACGAGCTGACCGCAACACAAGAGTCACATCCTCGCCCACATTCCTCCACTGGTCATGCTCATTCTTCCCATACTCATACTCATTCACAATCACAATCATACTCGCAATCTCATTCAACCGTTCAGCCTGTCGTCCACAATACCAGTGCACACGTCTCTCCATTATACCCGAAGCCGTCAACTGCCACCGTAACCGACTATGTCACAGTTCCCCCGCCCTGGCTCTCTCCTCCCCCGGCCACGCGCATCAAGCGCTTTCTGCACACCCTCGACCAACTCCCCTGGGTCGAGAACGAGCAAATCGTCGATGCCTACTTCCCGGGCCGTTCCTCCCGCCATCGCCGCCACCCAGATTCACCGGTGGATGATGGTAAACCTGCAGCTTCATGGTATAACAAGCGGCATAATTCCCTCCCGACGGAGATGGGAATGGGTCCCAGCAGCGCATCGCTGTTGTACGGATGGCCGGCCCAAATGCAAAAAGGTTACTCGCAGCCAGGGATGGTCTATCCACAGTTCCCATATGCGTATACGCCTGGACAGCCCACGTTCGTATACCCGACTACATTTCCGCCGGGGGCATATGTAGAAGCCCCTCGGGGAGCAATGTGAGCTCCTTATCGTCTCACTAAGTTGTATGTTGGTGGGTAGATACGATGTGTTGCTATGATCTGCGGCTGATCATTCACGCCACGATTCATATCTGTCGTCCATCGCTATCCTCTTACTAATTTCGATTGTACGCACATGTTGACTGTTACAATAGTAGTTGAAAGTGCGCAAAGCTATGAACAAATTTGCTTGTTTGACTGCATCCGCTGCGACACCTCTTGCTCTTCAAACCGAGGACAGGAGATTACAACGCTGTGCTGCAGACCCTAGCTGATATTCTTCCAGTCCCCTGAAAGTGTAATTGAGTGCTTTATGTGTGTTGTGGCACGATTGGACGGAGCTTATTTATAGATACAATGGAGAGTATGAGAGAACTATTGCCATGGCGTGCCTTTCTGCGCAAGCCTGGCGCTTTATAGCGACTGTGAGTGGATCCTAAAATAGATGTAGACCAGTTCAAAGCTTTCTAAGATCGGAGTGGGATGGAAAAAAATTCACAATGAATTTGACGTTGGTGTGCGGATGCGCGTTACTTTGTCGCGGAGACCTTCACCACCGGACTTGCAGTCTGCCCGAGTCACGATTGCTGCCGTACGTGGTGGTAGTACCATAGCACAGAAGCACTAAACAGTACAAACATTTTGGAGCACAGATTGGTTCAACTTTCGTTCAATATCATAGTGTCTGCTAGTCTCCCTTATGCAGAAATAGAATGAAGACAGTCGTTCTTTCTATATTATGGGTATCTGCAGAAAATAGAAATGAAGTCAGAAGAACGTTAAATGTTTGGCTCAACCTTCCGTTTTCAATACGAACAAATATTGAACAAACAACCACGAAACTTGGACCGAGTCACTCAATACCGCGTAAGTACTGTAACGATCTCAGTCCGGCAGAATGTTGCATTGCGACCATTGCGACCATGGCACATATAATCGGACCCAAACTGTCTATCTGTAAAGCCATTCCAACTATTATCCAGTCCTAGTACTGAGGCAACACAGTCAGGACTTGAGGTTCAATATGACATACCTAGCCCGCACGTGCAGTTACATAATAAAAGCTCTGCTGACCGAATTTTGCGGCAATTGCTTATCCGACCCTGATTTCAGCTTGACCTTGAAGTCAACCAAGGATGTGGTTTTGGAGACGGTCCAATTTTACCTACTGCGTTTGAGGAATCAGTGTTTCAAATTCAAGGGCTGAAAACCCGGTCGACTGGTGACGTCTCTCCCTTTCTGTCACTAATAACTCACTTCTGAAAGCAGCATAGCCAGTGGAGTCGTATTTTACCTTATACATAGACGTTCCACAGACATGAAACTGATTCATCAGCACTATTGTCATATAATTAGAAGACGCACCAACACCGCCAACGCCAGCCCAGACACCGCATTACTATCAGCCTATCCGCATGATCCCGGGCCACCTGGTTGCAGCATGTCTTCGCTACAATCGGTATTAATCCCTCTGATATCAACTTCCAAAGCTTCTGCATGTGGAACGCACGGCTGAAATATCATGTCTTTCAGCGGTGTATCTACCTTCGATACACACCATTCAAAGATCTTGATCCGTTAATGAAGGAAGGGGCTGGTAGGCTCATGTTCGCAACTTGGCGAGGAGCGGCTTTCCGGAACACCCCGTAGATCGAGTCATGTTCCAGCAGGTCGGGTGGCGCCTATGGAAGCAACCGACAACATTCTGCAGGCACAATCAGCTTCTTCTTCCATGAAGCAAGATGTAACATTTAGGCGCTTGCAGTTAAGTCTTGCAAGCGTCTAGATAGCAGTAATAGTGAGTCATCGATACAGTAATGAAACCGGTCATGGTTTGACACTCACGCACATGCTTTGATGATCGCTGGGTTATTCAAACATACAAAGAAGCGATTGACAAACCATGCGGTACTTCATTTTCCATGAGGCAACCTTGCGAATCACGATGCATTACAAGGCGCCTTGAAGATGAAACATGACTCCAACTTGCATGTATAGTTTCCACACGGAGTGCGGGGATCCATATGCACAACCCGTCCGCTTGATGTTCTCATAGTTCGTGAATCATCTAGCAGGGTGCAACCGGAAGACCGTGACCTATCCAGCGTTACTACTGAGGGGTGTGCCGAAGAAGGAACAGTCTATCTTCTTGATGGAGGGAAGATAAATACGATAGGTTGACTCCACTCATTTCGGTTGATATATACTGGACTGTTGCATGAGCGCTCGTGTGTTCCTTTCCGTACTGCTGACGGGTCACCTTCTGATCAGGAACCGAAACAAAACAACTCACTCAGTCACTAGAGTGATATCACTCAATATTGAGTCCAAGCTTTGCACTTTGTTTTTTTACATCCAAATTTGGCGAAGTCTTGCGCTGCGTGCTTACTTGCGCAAAACCCTGGTGCATTATAGCCCGAAAATATATAGTGAGTATCTTGTTCTACTAGGAAACTGACTCCTGAAGCTTGAAGTTTTAGGGTACTGGATTGCCCAGAGCTTGCAAATTCCAAAGGCGCTTGCACAACTTTCAGGTGCTACTTTAACTTGGAAGCATCAAACGTTTTCTCGGAAATGAACCTTGGGCAAGGGCAACTGCCATGATTATAGTCAAGACCTGGCGCTTAACTTGACGTTGTATGAACGCACTGATCTGTTGCCGGGTGTTCATCCTCGTTTCTGTTTAGCGGCTAAGTTATCATCATGGAGCCTCAACACTGATCATCGAACGCCGAATCGATATCTCAGATAGCCTGGCTACGTGAGAGGTATTGCTTCTGCGGGTCCTGCAGGTGTCCAGCGTCAAGTTTGTCGATTCGTCCCTGCATGACGTAGTGCACTAAAGTATCTAGCTTCTGTCACATCTATTCGCAATGAGGACTGGTATATATACCAGCGCTGATTTGACTTCTAGTTTCCTGCAACACGCATCGTTCATTCAGCCCCGCCTCTTGCTAACTACGGCATTGCTTCATACTCGCGGTATGATATTTCGTTATCATAATTACTGGCTGGTTGAAATTGATTGAAGGCAGGTAAAGATCGCACTGTCAAGAAATGCTGAACAGCTATGATGATGATGATGACCATATGCATTCAACGTGTGTCATAATCTGTTACTTACTGACGAATCGCATGCGGTTTGTTCACACGGTCCCGGTGACGCCAGGGACTCAAGTCTACATGAATCTTCGTATAATGAACGGTAAGTTTCATCTTCATCTTCATCCAATGATCCGTGATATCGAACAACTAATCGATGCCGATTAGCCAATCGCACTCGAATGTTTCTGAGATAGAGATATCTGGTTCGCATTTCTCTGCATATATTGTTCGTTGGAAGGTTCACCACCGTGCAGATATCTCTCTGCATGGAAACCTCCCGAAAGTTGGGAGGGCTTCGTGGGACGACTTTTTCTGTGTGCGCATCAGTGTTCGCAATCAGTTGCGGACGACAGGCTGGTCCCTACGATCTTACAAGTGGCGCAAGACGCATCGCTTGTGAGTCGTTAATAACTGGGATTTTTGTGAGAATTAATAGTGTGTGGTCTCATTAAGCAAAGTCGATCAGTCATCTAAAGTCACATTCAACGTTGATGCTTGTGATATACGACAGTCTCGGCGTATTGGTAGCTTTGAGGACACTGTTGGAAACCTCTTGGATTGCCCAGGTCGTGAGTGAGGTTTAATTCTGGCCTCAGTACAAATAACGCATCTTTAGCTATCAAACGGACTGTCAGCCTGTATGGATCAAAAGACCAAAAACTCGACATTGAGTTTAGGATTGCCCCATCTTCGACAATCAACAAGCTATGCATTTCCTGTGAGCATTCAAGTATACTTTATTGAACCCTATATCTCAAATCATTCCTGCAGATATTGACTTGCAAGATTTGCCCTCCATCCACCATGACACATTCCGTGTTCGAGTGGCTATAGACGATGCTATCTGGGAAAGCACCTCAAAGTCCCGTAATCAAGGACGCTCCAGATGGACAGACGGATATGAATTGTAGGTCGGTTGATGATGCGCGTATGCCCAATTTGACGTGCTTGTCGATAGTCCATTCCAACACAACTCTCATGCTTCACTGGAAATATTCGCAACACGTTGGCTCCACAAAAACAAGCCAATAGCTGTTGTAAAAGGTTCAGTGAAGGAATGGCTCGCTGCGCCCAACGGTGGTAAGTGATCTACGGACATTTGCGTGAGCCGCTCACAATTTCCGCAGTCGTTCGCGAGACTCTTGAGTCCATGGGCGCAAAAATTCAGACAGAATTTAAGGTCTCTCAGACTTCGGGTGCGCCTACCCTTGGTAATCACCATGCTAAAGAAGAGGTTAATCCTGTGATCGGGCAAAATGATCGTGATATTGTGCTGGGCACAAACCAGATCGATGCTTTGGACATTTCCGGTACATCTGAGTTGACCTAAGGATATCCGCAGTTGCTAACAGTGTGTTCATAGCCGTTATCCTGGACATCGACCGTGTTCCTAAATTCGGAAAGTTGTCTTGGGATGATCGATTCTTCCTCGAAATCCACGTGGCGGACGACGGAGTGTCTCAGAAAATCATGTCTCAAGGACAACAGGAGAAAAAGTCCTTAACGTGGGATACAACATTCACTTTGTAAGTCCACTCATGTCATATCATTGTGCAATAGTTTAGGCATCCTAGGAATATTTCTCGAACGTCCCGACTCGTGTTTCGTGTGCTTGGCTACGATGGAAAAGATAGTGAACCAATTCCTATCGGTATCGCTGTCTTCGACGTCGACGAGATTCTGCTTCAAAGCGGCTGTGAGTCTGATAATTATTGCATTGGTTCATCAACAAACGTTCCAACAGTGATTAAACGTCCGCTTCTATCATCTGCTGCATTTGTGCGCATAGATGGAATCCCCACTTTGTCTTTCAGAGCAACACATGCTGGTGCTGTGTCGTTTACAAGGTCCCTAGGCTCTTTCACGCAGGAGCTTTCTGGTGCAGTTAACCGTACCGCGAGCTTGACTGTCCGACCAAATCAACCAAGAGACTATGAACGTGATAAAAAAATCATTGAAAATGCAATTTCTCGGGCTAGCGAATGCACTGGTGGTGACGCGCACCTTTCCCCCCTTCTGGTAAAGATCAGCGTCTTTATTTCGGTGGCTGAAAGACTGGCTAAGGTGTAGCGTGCCTCTCTCACAACACGCACCCGGAACTAATAGCCTCATTTATTTTTTAGCTCCACCCCTACGCGAGGATCGCATATGCAATACTGGCAACAGGATACGAGGTTTGTGCGCACCATTTTCATGCTTATGTGATATAAATTCTTCGCTTTTAGGTCATAAAGCGGGGGATCGCCTGCGACGCCGGCTTGATTCGGCTGATGCATACGATGCAAAACACTTACGATATTGTTATGACCGTCAAGGCGCTCCCGTATCTGCACGAACGAAAACATGTCATCGAAGCAATTGTGCAGCAAACAATCGAATGTGCGTTCTTCATCCGCGACTATGTCGACACACGAGACAACTGTAAGTCTTCTAGGCGTAATAGGGTACCGACTGACGCCGGACTTCGCTCACGCAGTTGCGCAAGCGATTAAGAACTCGGTACTGAATGTGGAGGCTCAGATTAAAGCATTCGAAGAAGCATTCATAAACTTGCAAAGCAGTTTTCAGACCCATATGGCTGTCTGCACGCAGCTCACCGTGCTCAAAATCTTAGAAGATGTTCAAGATATTGGTGAGTTGCCCAAATTTTCCCTGAATCGATGATATATTATGCTATTTCGAATAGGCGCAAAGGCGGATTTTCGCGATATGGCTTATGCTGTGGATGCCAAATGTGCAGCATCATGTGCTATTGACCAACCGATCGACTGTGCGGCGCCTCCGGCCGATGTCATAACATCCATACAAAGCTGGATTATTGGAGAAAGCAAGGAATCAGAGAGGATCTGTGTCTTGTACGGACCTGAAGAGTCGTGCAGCGCCATCGCGCGGCGTGTTGGCGAGCAATTTCGGTTCGCATCACGGCTTGGTTCTTCATATTGCTTCCGAGGTTCCAGGAAAAACGACCATCGGAGTTATACGAACCTGTTCTCAACAATCGCTCTTGAGCTGGCAGACCGTAATGCTCAGTTCAAGGAAAATCTTTGGAGGGTCGTGGGGGGTGACATGAGTCTGCGAAAGACACAGGTGGTAAGGGCGCAGTTTGAGGAATTCATTCTCGCTCCCGCTAGAAATATCATTTGGAATGGACCGCTCCTGGTAATCATTGACGGCCTGGAGTTGGGAGGGAACGAAGCAGCAAGGAAGGAAGTATTGGGTGTCCTTGCTGATAAAGGCGCCGATCTTCCCAGAAACCTCCGATTCTTGATCACTTGCCGGCTGGAGGATGACATATGCAAAGCTTTCCGCGGTGAACCGCATATTCTGCGCCGGCAACTGGGAGAAGCCAATTTCACTGTGATGTCACGCGTAGATCATCATGAAATTCCTGCGAACGCATAATGCCTCATCTTCCTCGCCCCCCGTTGTGCTACAGGATGACGAGGTTTGTGGTTTATATTATCGTCAATTTCATGAGCTGAAATACCGACTTTCGCCTGCAGCATAGCGCGCAAGTGCACAAACATCATAATCGAACATTGAGATACTATCTTTACGATCGCAACTCGGCGCTATAGAAATGTCAAGCCGGCTTGACATAAGTATGGCGCTCGACTCATGAATCCAATTTCGGCATTTCAAAAGTTCCTCCTTCCCTATCGATGACCCCGTTGCACCCAAATCGTTGTTATAGTCTTGCACCATCCGTTCTGATACTTACCTATCCTTTAGCACATATCAAAAGCAATAATAATACACTTCCCAGGCATCATATATGTCAGAGTAGAATACAGTGGAACCTGAAGCGTCCTGGACGCGTGACGGCCGACTAGGAGACGACTCAGAGAAGGGAGATGCGATTTAAAAATAATCACGAAGAAGGTCCCAATTGGAGCGCCGGTGGTACTGGTATTGCCCCGAATATAATATAATGCGTTCACATCTGTTGTACAATAGGCGTACTTCCTTTCTCAAGAGCAGTTCGAAGGCTGAGACAATGTGAATCAATATCATGAAGCGGAGCCGGATGTATATTCCTCACCTATAATCATCGCCATTCTGGGTTATATACCTGACCCAAGGCAGGGCTTGATATCCGCTCTTTTCCACAATCTTCAGATAGCGAACTTGGATGCCAGACACCGTGAAATAGGGGATCTCAAACTTCACGCTGATAGGTGCACGCTTCTCCATGTCTTGTTCTACCGTAATCATCAGCAAAGCAAATGTGCAAGGTCCGACCAACTCACCGCTTTTAACACTCGGGAGACCAAAATGAGCACGCATTAGATATTCCCGACCACCTCCAAGCTGCTTGATCTTCCAGACGAATGCAGACTTATCAGGAGCATACTGCACACTGCCTGTAGATGCCTAGACAACATACTGCGTCAGCTTCAACTTGTCTAAAATGATCTGGTCGACAAACTCTGAATTTCGGGCTATCTGCATCATCCGGGACAGGAACATAGATCTCAACATTATTCGCAGAGCTTCTGCGCTTGAATTGCGCTTTGCATTTCACCATATATTCCACGCGGCTCCCTTTGTGGCTCTCCACGGCAGCTTCTACCCAAATAAGAGGTTTGACGGGCGTCGAAAGTCGGTAAGACATAAGTTCGAATTCGCCATCGGGAGGTATGAACGATATCGTACGGTCATTTTCAAACCTGGATAGCCGGACGCATTGGTGGAACTTGACGTCCTCCATTTCGATAGCTTTGCCCCGTGCAGCTGTCATACAACAACACGTCAGAGGCAAACGACACAGCACAAGGTGATCATTGCATACTTCTACCAGTGCTTTCAAACATGACCTTGTCGTTCAGCCCGAGTCGTAGTTCTGGCATACCAGACAGGTAACACTTCATTTTGACGGCGCCTAATATTTCTGACCGGACGACATTGCCGTTCGAATTGACCTATGTATGTAGTATCAAGTCTAGCTTTGTCGCACAGGGAGATTGTACTCACCAAGAGGTTCACGCTTTCAATAACGTCCAGGAACACTTCATTCTTCCGGTACCTTATACCCTCCGTTCTCCATGAAACAGCATTCGTGACAGCCATCGGAGGCCTTGCTTGGATCTCTAGCTTGTGTGACTCCTGGGTGATGTACCTAATACAGCATTAGCACTCAGCACAAACGAGCAAGCCTCATACGCACTCTTGCAATATCTTACTCTCTGTCGTCTGCGGGAACCCAAAGTCCATCATCTCATCCATCAGTTCATATATAATAACAAAGTTATCTCTGATAGACTCTTCCTCAAGCTCCTTGAAGTATTCAATCAAGACCTGCGTCAGTCGATGGAGGAATATGATAATCTCAGCAGCATTTGAGTTGCGTTTCGATAAAGCAAGGACTGCGTAAAGCATCAGAGAGGTGGTTCCGCCACCAGATACGTCAAGACGCACTGTAGAGATTGGAGTGTCGGATATGCATGTAGTTGATGCCTTGACTTGAGAAGCATGGCGTTACTTGCTGTCCCTCTTCTTCGATGTCTAATACAAGCGGTAAGAAGCGTTCGATATACGATGGTGGTACGTCGTCTTTGTACGAGCGCTGTATTAGAGGCTTCCCCTTCAAATCGAGAATCGCGATCAGGCTGGCCATGGTGGATGAGACACGCGAACTGCGCGAAGGTAGAGTTGCCTTTTTCAGAATGAAGTAAAACTGCACATGCATGTCATGTCATTAATACGGGAGTTGGTCTACTACTATCCAAAATCCAAGTTATAAGAATTGACAAAAAAAAAGAACGCTCCAACACCACATGCTCATGATCTCAGCCAGCCAAAGAACCTGGACTTCCTGCTCGGACGGTTTGGTTTTGCCAGAAGTGGTGCGTCTTCACGGGCATCTTCCGCATCGCTGTCAAACGAACCGTCGCCAACTTGGGGATCTGAAACTTCGCCAACGACGGTGTCAACGTCATCCGTCGACGGAGTGGACGAGCCACTGTCCAGTGAGTAACCAAAATCATTAATCTTGAGTCTACGCTGACGGAATTTCCATGCGATGCACATGGCCAGTAAGGTGGTTTGCATAATGCCAGAAACGGCATACATCGCCCAACCTTTGACGCATTAATACAATGATAAGGGAAAGGAACATAGACATACTTGTCCAGTTAGTGCCAGGACTTGTATAGATATTAGTAACCCGTCGAATACAGCAAATTAGGCTGCATACCGAAGGGCGATAGATATGGACATCACAGCTGCACCAGGGCTTTGTATTATCATCATGGGGATACTCAGCGCACCGACGAGTTTCAAACGATAAGTCCGCAACAGCTGTGGCGCATATTGAATTGCTGCAAGCAATGCAGAGCTGACGCCCAGGAAGGTCGCCCACAGGGATATTTGACGTGGAACCTCTCCGCTAGGCTCCGGAATGCGCGTGAAAAGGAGGAAGAATGTAACGAAGGTGATGAGAGCACTTGGAACCCCTTATGTCAGAATATAGAATATAGAAAGTAGATCAGGTCACTCAAACAGGTGAATGAGAACAGCCCACGAGACGTTTACAGAAAGACGCCACTCGTCACTTTGAAGCCTTGTCCTGACATGCTGAGGAGGAAGCGTGTCGTGAGCAGGGATGTCAATATCAACGTATTTGAGCCGGGCGGGATAGTAGATCATGTACAGAACGAAGCTGCATTTGATATTAGTCGAACTGCCAGACGGTAGAGAGCAACCGTACATAACGGTGAATAAAGCCCACTGCAGGCTAACTTGTATGACTCCAGCAGTGATTTCTATGCATCTCCCCGCGCTCTAATGTGGTTGATTTTCAGTGGCTCATTCAGGCGAGATTACTGCGGAACGCACCAGCTCATTGCAGCACTGAATTGTAGGCCAGGACAGCACAATCCTGTTGGATGGTTCATCAGAAAGAGCATGCATCAAATCAACGGGGTGCTCACATGTTAAGCATTCCCGCCGCAGAAGACGTGCTACCAAGCAACAAGAACCATGGACTAAACCCCTCGGAAGAGCCCATCCGAATTATTCGCAAATGCTATTCCAAACGAGTCAGATGTTTACTGTGTCCGCATGTTCGACGCCACTGTTCACATTACCTGCGGGGCATAGGATATGAAGAGACCAAAGATGAGAAAGGTGGTAAGTGCATTGGCAAACCAGTCACGATCCTGCAGCACGACCTATGCATGAGATTTATATTTATGCACCTAGTATCAACCTACCAAATGACAGATGTCATGCATTGTATGATGTGGAGGAGCACGAACGTTGAACGATGAACACCGAGGAGCCTCGAGGAGGGATACTGAATAAGTCAACTTATGTAATCAACCGCCACCATTAGGCGTTTGCTCTGAAATTCTGTCCACACCTCGTTCCCGTGTCGCCCATCATTAATGTCGTCCTTCCGCGTACTACGCTCTATGCGGATATATGCTTTCGTCCGCGATCGTCCAGTACCCCCACTGAACCACTGGACACGGTCAAGTAGCGAAAAATTATGTCGTCCCAGCATGCGGAGATGGTTACATGGCTCGCAGAGTGCGTATCTCACCCTCTTGATATTAGAATATTGACCAACCACAATTCGTCAAGTACAGCGTCATGGGAATGTGACCAGACCAGCACCTGGTACTGGGTACGCGACGTACTTTAAAAGCGTCTCGAGCTGACCTTGACCTTGTTTCAGAATCAAATTGCATTTCAAAGATGCGAAGGGTAATTTGTTCAAGACCATAGAAGCAAACGAGGGTGATGATATCCTATCACTCGCACATGAGCATGACATTGACCTAGAAGGTACGTCATGAGTACTTGATACTTGATTTGATGCCATGTTGATTTTGTCGAATTAGGCGCATGTGAAGGGTCAGTTGCCTGTTCGACATGTCATGTTATTCTCTCGCCCGAGCATTATGATCTACTCCCCGAGCCATCTGACGATGAAAATGACATGCTCGACATGGCGTTCGGTTTAACAGACACAAGCCGTCTTGGATGTCAGGTGCAAGTGACGCGCGAATTGGATGGAATGACAGCAACGCTACCAAGTGCGACGCGGAACATGTTTGTGGATGGGAAGAAGCCCACGCACCATTGATATGATAGTACATACTAAAATAGTCTGCTGACAAGTAGATACGTACTTTGTGGAAGAAGTACTGATGGCCATGCGGGCGGTGATGAGCGGTGTGGACAACGTCAATCCAGTACTTCATAGATTGATTGAGATACCGGAACCCCCGGGCTGTGCGCATGTATAGATGTTATATTGATTATTAGTTAAACGGATTCTTGGCTAAAATTACGATATCGATTGACCAGTGCCATTATTGTGCCTCGAATACCTCGAGGCGGTCTGGGTTTTTGATCCTACCCGCGTTAACATAAGTTTTTACTTACCTATATGTACACCTGTTTCCCCCCCGCGAATTTTTCCAAGTTGCCATGTCTCAATCATCTGTGCAGGTCAGTTTGTCCCCGGTCCTATGTTCATCTTACCTTACCTTTTTTTCATAACAGGTCGTGGCGGTGCCACCGCGTCCCGCATTTCGCGAACGCGGAGGACAAGGAATAACTACTCCTGCACTAGTAGGCTATCCTTCCTCTGTACATACTTCTCGTCCGTTGCGTTCCTCTCCCCTCGCCGGGCCAGCATTTTCTAGTAATCCGTCTATCATATCCACACAATCATCGAGTCACTCTCAATCTACGAGTGCTTTTAGCCTTGACGTCCCCTCGTACTCGCGTTCGCGACCGTCATCTGTGACCTCTCACACTGGTTCTCTTTCTGCGACCACGTCCTCGCATGTGCATCGTGCACCTGGACATCTAGCAGGTCCATCCAAGAGCGCTGGTGCTATTCCTACTCTTGGTCTGGACGCCCGTTCGCGATCACCACCGTCATCTGTCATTTCTCATACTAGTTCTATATCTGCCAGCTCATCCTCGTTTTCCTCGCATGTACGCCGTCCTACAACAGCACCAGCCAGGAGCACTGGCGCTATTCCCACTCTCGGTCTGTTCCGACGGCAGCCCAAGGATGACCCAGTGCCTCCCCCTCCTACCCAAGCACCATTGGGGCATAGTCGCTCAGCATCATTTCCATCCCCATCAATCTCCCCGCCAGCCGACGTTCCGCCAGCGCACATTCCACAGACATATTCCCCGGCTGCTTCTCGCCCCACTACAAGCCCTTCGGTATCCCGAAATCCGAATGATAATTGGATGTCATCTTCTCCATTCGGTCCTGCGTCTACGCCCCGCTTTTCTAGGCAATCGATGTCATCACAACCAGTTGTGATGCCTCTTAGCGCACGGGAGTATCGCAAACAAAAGCGCACCAGCATGATGACCAACACGCTCTCTTCGGCCACATATAACTCACCGGCAACCGAGGGCTTGGGCAAGGAATATGTAAATCCGCTACCTCATATCATAGTTTCCGACTCTGAGGCCTCCGGTGCTTCTCCTTCCGCTCCCCCATCTGGAAACAGGTCTTCCAGGCGTGCCTCGACACCCTCGCTTCCGTCCTCACGCATTACCCAATCATCTGTCCTTCCCGATTCTCGGGAACCCGCTTTGTCCGAGAAAAGCTCGATCAGCACCTTCTTCTCATTTTCGTCCAACAACGAGGCAGAAAATGCCGTTATCACTGTGATTGATCCCGGCGTAACACCGCGCCGCAGGAAGTCTTACCCCAGCCCAACTCAGCGTCATTCACGAATTAGTCTCGTAGATGCTGTCAATCGCCTCTCGCAGATCAGCGGGGCAAGTGGGGATACCGTGTTTTACGACATGGAGGACGGTCATACCCCTCATCAGAGACAGATCTCTGTGACCGAGGATGATGGCGTGCTCAGAAGGGCGAGCTCGCGAAGGAAAAAAACGGAGGCGCCTTCCCGCGAAGTGGCATTGACGGTCACCGCGGCAGAACGTATCGCACCACAAGAACGCACTCGCGTAGTCAGGATTCTGGAAGCCAACGAAGTTTCTTCTGCTCCCGTCAGCAGGTTTACCGACGCATCCCATGACTCTGAAGAAGTGGCTAAAATAAGCCCAGAGTGTGGTGTTTCCGGTGACATATCCACCGAGCGGGCCGCTTCTCAATCGAAGATTGTCTCGACGGCGCCAGTAACTTCTTCCACCGAGGTCCAGGTCCGATCTCGCAAGAAGCTTACCAAATCCCGAACACAATCAGTTCAGGCACCGCCTGCGCGATTGGCAGCTCCATCATTGCCCTGGATTCCTCGCAATAGGGGCAGTGCAAAGCAGAACATGCCAAAGGTTTCCACATCGGATGTGACACTGCAGGAAAACGTTCCGCAGGCTCAAGAGATAGGAGATAACGGGAAGGACAACAAACGTCGGAGTAATCGACTGACGTTTCAGTTCATTCCTTCTCCCTCCTTTAACAGGCGCCCCAAGTCGGTTTCAGGCGTTGCTCCGAGCCTTGACTTGAAGTCTCCCATGCGGAATGACACGCGGGAAAGACCTGAGTCCAGGTTCGGAACGGATAGTACATTGAGTAACCTTACTCTCACGCAAGGTAGCGCAACCACAATCACCCTGATACCTCCACCTCCTATCACATCTTCTTCCAGTGTCTCCTCAAGTGCGGGAAACTCTATTTCGAGTTTAACTGATGGCAGCAACACGACAATGGTGTCGCGGGACACTAGCGCTACTTCTATCGTTGCTCCAAGTCTCCAAACCGTTTCTCGTGGCGTAGAGTATCCCCACCCAAAAGTCCCGTCAAACTTGAAGAAGAGCGTTGTAGCGCATCCAGGTAGTGAATCTGACAGTGACGAGTCTGTAGTCCAGCGGGAGGGCTCACGAGATGCGTCTGCGACTTTCATCGGCCCCCCTCCTGCCTCATACGATCAAGAAATGCCAGAATCTTCATCATTTTCCACCGCCTCCTCCTATGTCTCTTTCACCTCAGATTTCTACATCAGGCTCTGTACCTGCTGAATCTACATGCCAAAGATGCACAATCGCCAGAAGTCACCCTCGGCTCGCATGCCTTGCTCAAGTACAGCGATCAAGCACCAGATCCCAATCTCCATCCTATGTGGACGGTCCCCATGGTCACGATTACCCCTGCCTCCCCAACCACCCCTGCACCAGGTATTACGGAAATTCCTCCAACGCTTCGCGAACCTCCTGTACGACTTATTTTAACCCCAGCCCCTGCCCCCGTTCCCACCCCAAAGTCCACGGCACGCCTGAAGCGCCCACGCCCACGGACGGCACCAGCTTCACCCACTGCGTCAACCCTTCCATCTGCGAAATCATCACGCACACAGAAAGCCACCGGCAATTCGTCAGGATTTAAATCTATGTTCCGCAATCTCTTTGGGCGGGCGGGATGATATCATTTCAGGGACATCCATGATACAGGGCTAGAAGTTGATGCTGATCATATCTACTGGTGTCGTTGTTAACGAAAAGACGCCTGCACGTAAATGCGCTCATCGAGATACCCACCCCTGTTATTACTTGTCTTGGGCATACTAGTACGTGATGTTATTCTTGGGGACTGTGTTTTTTTGGACATGACCGTCAGGGGTGATGGTCGTCGGTTTATTTGCATACATACAGTACTATAGATATTCTTGATGATGGCTGCTTGGACGAGGCGATGAAGACATCTTGGAACTACTAATTATAAGTTAATATACTATTGATGGATACCATGCGATGGGAGACTTAAAACGTGCTGGGCCCGACTGGTTTCATGCCGAGGACTTCAGCGGCGTACCGACACCGCTGACGATAACTACAAAATACTAGTACTTTATCTTTATTATATGGAAGGAACGATCATCTTCCTTCTTCTAAGTATAAGTCTCCGCGACGAACAAAACTCACGCGCGTACCACACATTGTTGATTAGTACCATTTTATCCCACTCAAGCACCTCACAGGCTCACACCAGCAGCTTTTCCTCTGTACGAAGTCGGCGTTAGGCTTCTGCCCGATATTAAGTAACCGACGGGGTACACACACGCTACATATTAGACTTATGGCCAGTCCGTCAGATCTATGAGGCAAACCGTCGATAGGCGGGCTGGTATGTACTATGGATAGTGCGCGGGTTGGAGTAGTAACGTGATCTTTAGCCAATCGGAAAACTGTATTTTTGGACGTGAACGCGAAATAATTTAACTTGATGTTTCTGACCCATCGCGCACGTAAATGATCACTATTCTGTTCTACAACATCAATGGATACGAACACCCTCATCCAAGCCGTGAGTCAAGCATCATTACAAGCGCTAGATTCCTTTGCTCGCTCGCTGATACAAGAACAACTTCCTACCGACTACATCAAAACTCTTAGTGAAGGATATGACGGACGTGTTACGTGCCTGCTTGCAAGCTGCGTCACGATGATATTGCAAACATTATTCACAATCCAAGGTGATTAAAATGCAAAAGAACGTGGATAAGTACAATACCACAGTCCTTAACTTTATTATTTGCCTTCACACGTTCTGTGTGAGCAGCACTTGCGATGATTTCGCACAGTACATGTGCATTCTCGCGTGCAACAGAGGCAGTGGTCGTTTCAACATTGAAGGAGAGGAGTTCAGGAGTGACAGTTTTGAGTGTTGCATAGAGGGACCATTTGACATTGTCCATTCATGGTAAACAGTGTTACTGATGTATGCGATAGCATGTGGACGCATCCACTCGAGAACACACGCCTGGCTTCGGGGATCCTCCCACAGAAAATCCAGCACTTTTTTCAACCTTCCCGCACCCAAATTCTTCTCCTTCGCAGAGGGAATGTACACACAATCACGATAAGTCGTGTAAGACATGTCATAAGGGCCCAGTGTTGTGACGAGGAAGTCCCAAATGGATATACGACCGTCCCATAGTATTTGGAGTACGCTGGTGATCCGATCGTGTGTAGACATCCGGTTTCGTCTGGTGCTTGGTGTAGAGGTTGGTGCTGGAGATCCCACGGTAATGTCAACAAAGCCAGAGTCCACGGAGCGATTGAGATCAGTCTCGACCAGTAGACTTCGTGTAAAAGAGCCTGATTTAAGGTAGTATTCATAAATAGAGCACGTCGTAGAACGTTGAGCTGCCCTGCAGCGCTTGGAACAAAAGCTGGTTGCTGCCGGAGACGGACAACGTTACCTGGAACGCCAATGTGTTCGATGTCGACTTGTACTCAATACATTGTATGATCGAAGGAACTTAGCAAAGACTTATCTAAGGCCAGAAAAGGCTTGTCGGTCACGTTACTACTTCCAACCCGCGCACCATCCAAATTCGTACCGAGATTTACCAGTCCGACTATTGACAGTTGACAGTTTAGACAGACTGGTCACGAGTCTAGCTACATATAAGCACAATAATTAGTTCGAGACTCGGAGTGAGCCCCACATCAAATAGCCTAGGCTACATATGTCTGACCCCAATTCAAGGGACATCAACAAAGTACTGCCTAATAGGGTGATATGCAATGTGCATGCTCAATGTATGAATATATGATCACCTTACCACGACATACTTGAAAATGCCGAGCATCGAGTCTTGAATCTTGATTATAGTTTGTCATGCTGGCCCCTGGGAAATGCAGGCGAACATGTCTGGACGCATAGTACGGACTTCTCCAATCTATAGAATTATAAGCTAGAAGAAAACGAAGTTGCGAGACGACTCGGTATAAGTGCACGTCAAAGCTTTGATTCCGAGCTCTCATTCGTCGACAACAGTCTCGAAAGACCTTCCCGCAGCGGAGTGGCCATAGGGGCACTCTTCCGGGACCCCCTTTCAACAAAGACATGCGTATACCCCCCAACAGCGGCGGGCACATCCTTTCCCTCCTCAAAGACCGCGACCTCATACGTCACGGAACTCGTGCCGAGCTTCACTACGCGAAGACCGAGATCCAGAACCTGAGGAAACGACAGAGGGGATAAAAACTGTGTCCCCATAACCAAGTATGTTGTAAGTGCCTGATCGGGGCGGAGAGCTGCTTGGCACTACCTTGTACTTACCTGGCAATGAGACGAGACCACGAGTCCGATTTGGGCAGAGTCAGAGGCGAGTCCGCATTGTTGGATAAGAAAAGTGTTCACTACGGAGTCGAATAGGTGGTAGTAAATAGAATTGTTGATGTGCGAGTACTGGTCGTTGTCGGTCCTTGAATGGGATTGAGTGTCATGGGTATGTGAGATGTGGGAGGAGTGCACTGCACCAGCGAGTTCGGTAAGAAAGGAAAAATAGGTAATCAGAACGCGTGCGGGCACGATACGAACTCATGGCGTCAGGGAAGTGGGTGACTCCACTATACTAACAGTTATATAGTGACTGACTCGACTCGATTGCGAGCTGCACGGATGTCGAGGATCGAGACTAGACTGTGGACCGAGTATTACGTGACTAATACAAACGATCACGTGACGTCCAATTACGTGCGACGCGTTGGTTAATTAACCGTCTTCTTCAACCGCGATCAATCTTCAGCTACCCTAAGCCACCTACAACCATGGAACGACTGTAAGTCCCGCGTCTAACATTTTGAACAATACCCGAATCACTTTCCAGTCGCAAACAGATGGAAAATGACCCTAGTCTATACCCAGAGTTCAAGAAACCAACCAGTGGAAAGACAAATTTCGAATCACCAAGCGTAATCGTATGTCCTCATGATCAACTTTGGTGACCTCTCGACTCATCAAGACATCGCTTAGTCAATTTCAAGCTCCTCAAGCTCTTCGACATCTTCCGCTGCATCAACGGTGGCGCCAGCAGCTCGAAGAGGTCGAACAACAATCGTAATTTCCTCTGACGAAGAAAGCGAGGAACATGTACGTAATCGCCTCCCTCTGTGTTTCTGTGGCATGTGACTCACCAAACTCTTGGCGCGATGCTATTGAGTAGACCTCCTAGCACACAGCCGCAAGTCTCTGCTCAACCCCCCCCAGCTGTTCAGAACAACTTCGTCGTGGACACCTTGAAACAGGCTCTCCCCTTGCCTCCTCCACAACGCACAGCAGTTCCAGCACCTATTCACGTTCCTTCGAATCGTGATATTCTTTCAGGGCCTTCCAAGCCCAACCCGGTCGCGGATGCGCCACAGCAAGCATACGTCTATGAGCCTCGAATGTCCGCTACCGAGACCGAAAAGGCACTACGCGCTCTCGTAGAGGATAGCGTCACCCCTGATGAAGACATTGAGGTCGACATGGAGGAGGCAATCGTGGAGGGCTTCCAAGATGGCATTACACTTCTACCGCATCAGATCCTCGGTCGCGCCTGGATGCGCGATAAAGAAACAGGTAAGAAGAGAGGTGGAATTCTTGCAGATGATATGGGGTAAGATTGGCAATACTCCTGTTATTCGCGTGTAGTCACGTCTTTTCTTTGCGCAGTCTTGGCAAGACCATTCAGACTCTTACGCGAATCGTCGATGGTCGTGCCAAAAAATCTGACAAAGCGGACGGGTGGGCAGCCACGACCTTGTAGGTCCAAGTCTCTGAATACTCTGTATTTGTTTAATCCATAGTTTTTAGGGTTATTTGTCCAGTCGCACTCGTTTCTCAATGGGCCTCCGAGATCGCGAAGATGGCTGTAGGATTACGAGTCATTGAGCACCACGGCCAAAGCCGTACCACAGGTGCGTCACTTCTACTCTGAATGACATCCCATCTAATGCAGCATCAGACCCTCTGCGACTCAAGGCTGCACATGTTGTAGTGACCTCATATTCCATCGTCGCTTCTGAATATGCGACCTTTGCACCTCCAGCAAAGGACGAATCAAAGTCCAAGTCCAAGTCCAAGAAAGCAGCGTCCCAATCAGACTCGGACTCTGATTCTGACGTCGTCGTGACGAAGAAGAAACCTGGAAGGGCAAAGGGCAAGGACGCATTGTTCCGTGTGAAATGGTTTAGGATTGTGCTTGGTGCGTCACCACCCGAGTCGGCAGAATGATGATCTAACATGTGAACAAAGATGAAGCGCACAACATCAAGAACAGGAACACGAAAGCGGCTATTGCATGTTGCGAGCTCGAGGGGAAGTTTCGCTGGTGTCTTACAGGCACACCCATGTGCGTTGAAACTTCACATTGTGCAAAGACAGTTTTACAACTTTCTTTTTAGGCAAAATACAGTGGAGGAACTGTTCTCTCTCATCAAATTTCTCCGTGTGCGTCCGCTGAACGAGTGGCAAAATTTCAACGAACAGATTGCACAACCTATCAAGGCTGGGCGACCCGTACGGGCCCTGAAGCGACTCCATGTGCGTACTTTTGTGGATATTTATTAATTTGCATGTCCTATAACTCGGCATCTTGTGCAGGTCGTTCTCCAATCTATCATGCTCCGACGTACCAAGGATTTCGTCCTCAATGGAAAACCTATCATCAGCCTTCCGGCACGCCATTTATCTGTCGTTCAATGCAAATTCGATTCAGACGAGCAAGCATTTTACCAGACTCTATCACGACGCATGACCAACGAACTCGACAAACTCGTCCAGGCCAACGAAGCGTCCAAGAATTATACCCACGTTTTGCTCATGCTTCTGAGACTGAGGCAGGGTGTGTTGATTTTTGTGTTGACTTTGCATCATACACGCTGATGCCGATTAACTAGCTTGCAACCACCCGTCCCTCGTGTACAAGGACTTACCGCATCGACTCCGAGGCCGCTGAGCCTCGCCCCGCTAAGAATGACGATGCTGAGGAAGACGCTGATGAACTTGCGGCCCTCTTAGGACAGATGGGTGTCTCGAACGGCAAGAAATGCCAGCTATGTCAGACAGAGTATGTTGCTTCCGCTGAAGCACAGCTATGAATCATAATTCATCTTCTTTACGCAGGCTTGCCTCTTATGACGACTCAGACCACTGCCCCGACTGTGTGCAAATCGCTGCAAAGGCCCGACGCAAGTCTGTAGCTGCACCAACCGCTCGTGATCCCAACTTACCTCCAGACTCGGCGAAGATTCGCAAGATGCTTGAAATTCTTCGGGACATCGATGAGCGGAGCGAGAGTGCTGAAAAGACGATCATATTTTCTCAGTTCACCAGCATGTTGGATCTGATTGAACCCTTCTTGACTTCGGAGGGGATCAAGTATGCGCGATGTATGTCTTTTTGGCTTCTTGTCTCTTCAGGCTTTTGATTCGCTTTGATGACTAATTAGATGATGGAAGCATGACCAAGGATAAACGCTGAGGCGTCACTAGAGAAGATCCGAAACTAGCAAGAGCACTCGTTGTATCCTCATTTCTTTCAAGGCAGGAAGTACTGGTACGTGATCCCCAACCCATGGTGAATGACCGTCCCTAATCGTTGCACTCCAGGTTTGAACTTGACTTGCTGCAACAACGTGATCCTCGTTGACATGTGGTGGAACCCTGCGCTCGAGGTCCGTCCCGAGCTCAGAGTTTGTGAATTTAGAATTGACCGCTGTGACAGGACCAAGCATTCGATCGCGCCCATCGCTTCGGACAAACACGCGACGTCAACATTTTCAAGCTTACTATTCCCGAGACTGTCGAAGAGCGGATCCTTGAGGTGAGCTGTTGGTCATTTATTATTCATGGTTAATTTTATAACTGAGCGACGGTTGTGTAGCTTCAAGAGAAGAAACGGAACCTTACGAAAGCGGCGTTGAGTGGAGAGAGGATGAAGAATATGAAGCTTGGCATGGATGACCTGTTGGCGCTGTTCAGGCCCGGGGCGCATGATGATGATGACGACGATGAATGAATGGATAGATGGATGGATGGATGGACGTGCTGGACACGTTAATAGAGGTTGGCGTCTATCATACGGGTTTGCGTTGTTTTGTCACAGTTTGCTGGATCTAAAATACCATATCATAGTTGCGTGCAATTGATCTATGCTGTTTCTCTTCGAACGCAGTTCCAACATTTCCTTTTCTAGTGTTGATATTCAGTCACGTGGTATTCCGCAACCCATATTTCGTGACGCGACCCTGATTCCCCTTCGACTCTTTTCCTCATCTCGCTGAAGTTTTTTCCACTCATTTACCTTGTTAACGAGTTAATATCATTCTAACTCTCACAACCGCATACCAGGCCCATTGTCAAATTGGTAATTACGAAGACCGTCGTTACTATAACCAAAGCAATGCATCTCCTGGCGAGCTTTATAACACGGACTGTACGTTGCGCTCAGGCAGCACTGCCGAGGTTTTATTGACTGAGACCCCCTTGAATTCCACGACTATAACTAGCAGATAGCGCAACGGATGAAAAGGTCGCGCGGAGGCCCAGCTGTGTAGCGCAGCTGCCGCCGGTCAAGACAGAGCACAAGCTCACGCCGTCGGAGACGTCCAACCTGTCATTGATACTCACGAGCCTATAAACAACACTCTCCATCAGTTGCTCGATGAGGGGTATGGTCGCGTGCAACAAAACCTCACACGTGGAGCAGGGACTAGATAGAGTGCTAGATAAAGTGAACCAGAGCCTATATAACATTGGGCAGGAGCTATAAGTCATGGCGCATAACATGGGGCTCGAACTAGATCGCGTACAGGGGAAAATGCTCAACGATTTCGAGGTTACAAGGAGGTAAGTCATGGTAATTTTGTCACCCATATCGTTGTTAATCTTCGCAACATAGACATAAATTTTTGATTCAGGAGAAGTCGACCCACACAGTAATGCTGTTCCAGTTGGCTGATGGAACTCTTGGATTGTTATAGAATATTGGTGTTTTTATTGTTTCTGCATGTCAATATTTTTGACAAGTCTAGATCTGATTCGCCCATCACTACAAAACTGGAACTTCAGAGGTTAGAATCACTGACCGAGCTGGTAAATTGTCCGAGGTGCAAAACAGGTGATTTTTCAACACGTCGCAAGCCCCTGCATTTGTCTAGGCAAACCGATAGAAGGAAGACAAGCATTTGCCCTGTATTCACTGTTCGGTAGCTAGTTGAAACCGACCTGTTCTGTCGGTTACATTCACCACAGGCCAAATCTGTCGACGGATCTTAGACGCATGGCAATCTTTTCCTTCCACCGACAGTCTAGCTCAGAAACTTTCGGAGCTCAGAAAACACCTGTCTGACACTCAGGGTTCCGCAGGCAGTGCAGACCCAGCTGCTGTTGATCAGGCAGCCATAAAGTACAGGAGACTTACGAAGGAATGGGAAGCTGCGGCTGTTCAAATCCGTAAACTTGAAGGTGTTCATGCCATGGCCCAGTCATCATCCTCATTACCAGCAAATACTTGTGCGACGCCATTATTGTGCCGACATCAGGGCAGCCCCGATGAATTCATGGTATACCATATCGCGCCATGGGAGCAGATCGCAGTTCATCATGATGGAGCTGGTAACGGCCGCTGGTTGCGTAATTATAATGTTACAGGGGTGCACGAAGTCCCATTGCCAAATATGGATGCGTGATCCTCGTGCTATAGCCACTTCTTGAGGGCTACTATCATAGACTTAGTGATAGGCTTGAACCTGAGTTGATTCATTGAAGTTTAGATGAACATGATCGATACCAACTCTCAAAGATCCACGTCTACAGACGTTTGGGACCAGCCCAGTGCAAGTAATGATGTTTTATACCGGATGACCACGAGACCTGACGGAGATTTCTCCAGGATTACTCTGGCCTGAGCTCGTATCCACCAGGCGCTGGAACTAGATCACAGCGAACACTCCAGCAAGTCGTCCCAGACGACTGGGATAACGACGAAGACGAGGAAGAAGATAGCGCCAAAGTCTGGGAAGACGCGTGAGTCTGTACCGCTCTTCCTTCAGCTGTTAGCACCAGCGTTGATCCCCTTTGTCATCACTATGCAGAAACAATAAAGCGCCCATGCCAGAACTTATCATCTCCCCGTCAAGCACTGGGACTTGCGTCGTCCCCCCTCCCCCTTCTGCCTTCCAACCGATGATGCGCATCCTGAAACGGCCCTCTCCATCCCAATCAGCCTCGAATTCCACCACCTCGCTTTCTTCGCAGTCGCGCAACACTCTTGCCGAGCGCGAGGCTCAGTATCAAGAAGCTCGTAATCGAATATTTGGAAAGATGAGCGAGCGTGGTGGAGATGACCTGGAAAGTCGACGTGGGGTGAGGGACAGCAGTGGCAAGGGAGCAGACGCTGCGTCTGCAGTGCTACGTACTCCTATAGGTCCGTCGGATGCGGAGAAAGAGGTGGGAAGGACCGATGACTCCCCTCCAAAGGGATTTCGTGACAGAATGAATGGGAAGAACCAGAACAGCTCATCTTTGAGTATGTTACCATGGACTACGAGTTGACTTATCTTCCAATTTCAGCTAGGTCTTTGCTGTTGATCGACTGTTGTAATTTTTTCGTGTACACATCCAGCCCCAGCTTGATATAACGCGCTTTTGGGCTGGAGAGCTTTTTTGCGCCGACTCGACACATGCCAATCACTGTACTACAAAGCCTTTCGAGCTCGGACTTCTCATATACTGCAGGCACAGGGGACGAAATATCAAGCCTCGATACCTTTTAAACCCGGATGATTCGACTACATACATCACATCTGAAGTCACAAGCACGTCTCAAGATCGCCATTCCGTTCCTCCCAAGCAGATCACGCCGTGGGAGCAGCAATTTCGTACAGATAAGTACCGAATAACTTTGTCTTTTGTGATATTAGTGGAAGGCATGAATATTCAATCAATGAAACTCACCCCTTTGAAGAAATTCTCTTTGTCCAGCTTTTCATTCGTGGAACTATACAGGTATTAGAGCGAGCGGAGCCCGAGACGACGGAAGGAACATACTGGGCACCGTCATCGGATCGTCCCATCGGTAGTAACAACACACTCGTATTCTCACCCAGGCTCTCCGCAAAGGCGAGGGCAACTCCGATCGACCCACCTTCGCGTGTGTAGTCTGGAGTCTGCCCATAGACTGCCTATGGATTTGTTCGATAATCAGTCATCCAAATTACCCCGAGATCAGCACAGAACGTACTTCAGTTGCCCTCTGTGCAGCCTTAAAGTTCGAATCCTGTGTGTTACTGGCGACCCACGGCAAGGCCCCACCAAGGTATTCAATCTCTATCGTGTTCTTGGACTTGAGTTTCTCAAATTCATCAGTGAGAAAGTTGGTGACAAGCGTTCTGATGATGTCTGTAGTCTGCGGTTCCACGATGCTGCAGGATTTGATTAGGATTAGAGAAGCGCCAGAAAAGTTGTCCTGTAGGAAATTGGGGCAGGAGGGTAAAATGAGCACATACCGAAGACTAAACCTTCCCTTGATTGTCGCAGGGATGACTGTCTTAGTGCCTTCTCCATCGAACGCCCCCTTAATTCCGTGAATAGAAAGTGACGGAAAACGCATGCGATTCATGAGAAGCTGAGCGTGGTCCTCAGATAGTTCGATCTGAAAGCCGTCAACTGAATGAACGACACAAAAAATGAAAAGGCACCTCTTTTCCGCCAACAGCGTCACGAAGGTCCTGCACTGTGTAGTCCATTGCCTCGTACACTTTCCTGTGGAAGTCGATTTTAGTAAGTCAACCATGTCATCTGTAAGCAGTAAGAACCTCTCGTCGGGAGTCAGTCGATTTACTGTCTCTTCCACACCCGGGACAGTGATAGTGCCATTAGTCTCGACGAGCTTGCTCAATAGCTTGACCATGTCGGTCATAGGCTCGTGCACCATCCTTCCGAATAGCCCAGAGTGTAGATCCATTGCGGGACCACTGATGTTGATACTGAAGTAGGCTACGCCTCTGAGGCCGTACGTCAATGCGGGTTTACGCGTGTTCAGCCAGTAGTTATCAGTCTATTCAACCACTGTCAGCGTATTGGAATAAGACTTCTTCAGATGAGCAGGACGTACGATGCAAACGTAAGAAATACCATCAAACCATCCATCTTTGCCTTTCTTTGCCTCTTCCTCGATAAAATCGTCGAGGCCCTCACTTGAGCTTTCCTCCATGCCTTCAAAGCAGAAGCGTATATTAACGGGCAGGTCAAGCTGAAGTGCTTGGTGCGCCTCCAAGACATTCAGCCACGCCACAACTGGGACCCTTGTCGTCTGTCGCGCCACGCCCAACCATGATTTTGTCGCGGACGTCAAGTTCGAATGGGTCATTAGTCCACCCGTCCGATTTTTGGGCCTGACGCGAATGACTTTAGTACTTCATGATCTACAGATAGGAAGACACTCACAGGCTGCACATCATAATGCCCGTACACGAGCACCGTTTTCTTGTTTGAGTCGCTCCCAATCCGCCCGATGACAAGGGGTGGGAGCTGCAGCTTCTTGTCGTCATCTTCATAACCGAGCCATACAAGTTTCGTCTCAACCCCAAGTGCTTTGAGCTGGCCATTGAGCCATGTTTCCCCCATGTAAATGACATCATCACGCAGTGCGGGATCGCCGCTAACACTGTATAGGGGGTCAGTCTCAGGGATCAAGGATGCGAACCGAATGTACGAATAAATGGCGGGGTACTTGCCTTTTGTGGGATATGGCTTCGCTCAGGCGCCTAATAAACGCCTCCTCGTTATCATCAATGTATTTTAGGAATCCAGATGGTGCTGCCATGTTATATTGAGATGAGATGGCAAGCGACCATACATCCTACTTATACTCCCACTGATGCTATGCAGGATGATAGCGTGTCTTGACTTCCAAGCCGAACGCATTCGCTTTACTACGTCGCGGTGCCGAATTATTTCAGGCCGATCTTCAAGTTATTCAAGGAGTTAGGGCAACGTGTAGTATAGAAGACCAAATTAGGCATTCTAACTTGTACCGCACGATTCTTTACGTCGGGGTGCCGAATTGTTCCTGCATATTTTAGCTGATCTTGGAGTTCTTCAAGGAGTTGGGACAACGTGTGGTATGGAAGAGATCCAAAATGGACGCATTACCTTGCACCACACGATACTTTTACGTCAGAAAATTACTGCAGCAATTCAGTGACGGGGATGTTAGCATTAACATGGCGTAAATGCACCAAATACAACAATTGTAGAGCTTCTTCTGTTACTCGTGTCATGCGGCAGCGCCAACCTCGTATAAGTAGGTACCCAGGACCTTTGTCTGTAAGCGGATCATCAGTTATCATCGATGGCTTCTCGTGACTAAAAACACGTACCCCTTCAATGAAATTCGACCGATCGAGCTTCTCGTTGGTTGAGCTGGGGAAGATCCGATGAGAAAATAGGGGTAGAAAAACAATAAACACGTACTGAGCTCCGTCATCTGCTCTGCCCATGGGCAGCAACAATACGTTTACGCCCAGGCTCTCTGCAAACGTAAGCGTTACGGGGATTGAGCCTCCCTCACGCGTATAGTCGGGTGTTTTCTTATACACAGCCTAAACGATTTCCAGTTCACGACGTAAAAGATAAACAAACGAATCATACACACCTCGATAGCCTTCTTTGCGGCTTCAAAGTTCCAGTGCTTCACGTCTGCAACCCAAGGTTTACCGCCGTGTAGATACTCCTACCTCCATCTTGTTCTTGGTGTTAAGCTTCGCAAACTCAGATTCGAGGTATGTATTGACAAGGGGTATGATCTTCTCGGGCGTTTGAGGGGGAACGAGGCTGGCAAGATTAATATATCGAGGATGTCATAACGAAATATCACGAAGCGAAGCGCGGCTATCAGCGTGTGGAGTTGAATGAAGTGGAGAATGGAGTCACCGAATACTGAACTTCCCGCCTATTTTGGCAGGGATAACGGTTTTGGCACCGACCTCTGAGAATGCACCCTGAATCCCGTGCAGGGAAAGGGATGGCTTGGCGCATCCGACCCATCAGCACGGTAGCCTTGTCTGATGACAATGCTACCTTTACGATTCCATCAGATGTAGGAAAGAGTAATCACAGAAGGAAGGACGCTTACCTTTCCACCAGCAGCTTCTTCAATATCATCTATCGTGTAGTCCATCTTCTGGTACAGCTTCCTGCATAGAATAAGCCTAGGTCCTGATGACAAGTCTGGGCACGCACAACTCCTCCTCGTCATGGGGTGGGATCATGTCGTCAATGCCAGGAATCAGAATGGCGCCGTTATGATCCACAAGCTTGCCCATGAGCTTGATCAAATCCGTCATGGGCTCGTGCACCGTCCTCCCGAATAAACCTGAGTGGAGGTCCTGACCAGGCCCAGTAATATTGATGCTGAAGTACGCAATACCACGCAGCCCATACGTCAACGCCGGCGTTCGAGTGTTCAACCAGTAATTGTCACTCTGTCTCGCGCATCAGCATGTCTCTTGATACCAGCATAGATCACGTACGATGCACACGCAATCAACCCCATCGAACCACCCCTCCTTACCCTTCTTCACCTCCTCCTGGATGCACTCATCCAGCCCCTCACTGCCATTCTCCTCCATACCTTCAAAGCAAAATCGCATATTCACAGGCATCGCAATCCCAAGGTTCTTGTGCGCCTCGATAACATTCAACCAGCCCATGATCGGGCCCTTGTCATCCGTCGAGCCACGGCCAATCAAGCGACCCGAATCTTCCTCCACCACAAGCGTAAACGGATCCGTCTTCCATCCGTCTGTCTTCAGCGCCTGGTTCCCGAGACTCAGTACCGTAATCCCGAATACAGCTATGAAAGACTCACAGGCTGTACGTCGTAGTGTCCATACACCAGCACCGTCTTCTTCGTCGGATCGCTCCCCAGACGCCCGATGATAGCTGGTGGGAGTTGCAGCGTCTGCTCCCTGCATCTCATGCGTGCCTAGGTCCATGAGCTTGGTCTCAACACCAAGCTCGTTCAACTGACTGTTCAGCCAGTTGCCCATCGTGATGACGTCCTGGCGTCGACGGGCATCGCTGCTGATACTATACGCATCGGAGTCTTGAGTTAAAGTGGAGAGCGATAATACGTAACTGCGGAACCTACCTCTTAATAGCAACAGACTCGCCTAGACGTTTGATGAACGCCTCTGCGTGCGTGTCGATATAGTTGCTGAAGCTCGCTGGGGCTGGCATTGTCGTTGTTGATGAAGAGGTATGTGCTACAATCTAAGCGGGTCACTGGACCGATAAGATGAAGCGCACACGCCAAGGATCCTACTTATATCGCTCTGGGATCCGGATCTATGCAGGAACATACGCTCAATCGCCCACGAGTGTCCCCCAAGTTCTCATCCTCTTGCGATCACACCAACTTCGCGCTCCATCACAACACCCTCTCTCATTCATCTTGGTGGATCTATCATCAGCAAAGAAAATGTAGTATGAATAATTTATCTGCATGAAAAAGGTGGTAAAATGTTTTTAACAGGATCAGTCAAAGAACGCAAGTAAGGGCATCGCCGTCGTGTCGTAGTGTATGTTACTGATTGAAGGAAAAAGCAGATATCCAGAATCCTTGTTGATGTATGTGTGTGATTTTTCTCGTTGCTTGCATCATCTAATCTGTATGCGTGTTGTCTTCTTATCTTCTTCGTCGTGTTGTGCCATCGAGTCGTCAATATACATTCACATGAAGGGGGGAAAGCAAGGGAGACAGCCATGCAAGGGTTCACATAGAGTGCACGAGCTCCACTGCGCGCTTGCAGACCTCATCAATCCCCCACCGCTCGCCCAATCCATGCTTCAAGTCAAGGATGCCGCCGACCTCATCGCACGCCCGTAGCACCATATCGATATCCTCCTTCGTGTGCGCTGCGCTAACACAGAACCGTACCCGGCTCGTTACAAGCGGAGTGGCGGGGTAGGCGACGACAACGACAACGATCGGTGTGCTCCGCGAACGCATCATGCGCGCGAACATGCTCATCTTTCCCGGGTTAAAGATGAGCAGGGGAACGATTGGGCTGAAGGGATGTCCGTATGTGATGAAGCCAAGTTTCTTGAGGCCTGCGTGCAGATACCGCGAGTTGAAGCCAAGACGACGAATACGCATGCGAGCTTCAGACCCGTCTGCGAGAGACGAGTGAAGGTTCATCCACGTCGGCAGCATGCTTGCAGGCGCCATTCCTGCGAACTCTTCTGCACCGTCCTTCAGCGTGACGATGGAACTGGCAGGGCTAAGCGTGAGCGCCGACTTGGTCGACTGTGATGCCGGAGCAACACCCATGATGCTGGCCATCGACGCAACAACCTGGGTGACAACGGGGGGCGTCATGGCTTCTGCATACGGACCCGAGTGACCACGCAGCCGGAGAGCATCGATAACCACCTTCGGCCCTGCAATGTAACCGCCAGCAGCACCAAAGGACTTGGTAAACGTGCCCATCAAGATATCAATTGAGCGAGAGGGAATGTTGAAGTAGTCTGTGACACCACGTCCATGAGGACCGAGCGCACCGATCGAGTGTGCCTCATCAACAAAGAGGTAGAACTTGAATGAAATATCAACATTGTTACAAAAAATGCTAGCTTCGAAACAGACCTTGTACTTCTGTTTCAGTTCGACAATCCTAGGCAGGTTCACGAGGGTGCCTTCCATGGAGTACAAACCTTCGACGATGACCAAGATTTTCTTCCACGGACGATGCGTCTTGGGCTGACCCTGGCTTATCACCTCACGCAGAAGGGACTCGAAACTTGACATATCATTGTGCTTGAACATCCGGACCTGGGCACCACTGTGGCGCACACCGACGCGAATACTAGCGTGGTTAAATTCATCGGAAATGACGAGGGAGCCCTTTCCTACGAGTGCAGGGATGAAAGTCGAGTTGGTGGCGAATCCCATAGAACTGATCAATGCATCTTCCATGCCGACAAAACGCGCAACAAGGGCTTCAGCAGCCACATGGAGCTCGTTACTCCCATTCTCAAGACGCGTGCCACAGGTTGAGACGCCATATCGACGGATGCTTTCCTCGACTGCATCTGCGCAGCCGCCGCGGGCCTGGGCAAAGCCCAGGTAATTGTACGATGAAATGTTTAGCGCACGCGTCTTGCCACCGGTGGAGATCTGGGTGTGATTGTTATCGGTGGAATAACGGTCGAGGATAACAATGGTGCGCCCTGCGACACCAGTGACAGGCTGGGAAAAGCAATCATCCATGCGACGCTTAAGTCGTCGGGTGTAGAACGAATCAAAATCCGAGTTCAACGGCGCGTAACCCTGGATATGGCACAAAATCAATTAGATGGGAGGAACAAAATTGAAAAGGGCACGTACATCATGGGGCATAAGGTGGGTGAAGTAAGACTTCGCAAAACGCTTTCCGAAAAAGTCACGCATATGACCAAAACAGAGGAGGATGAGGTAGCTAATGTAGGTGGTAAGGAGGATGTAGTATGGGGGCTCCTCGATGGTGTGCTCCTGGACAGGTTTGGAGTAGTCATGCTTGGAGACGCAACGATAGGCCTCGTTTACACAGTGACCAAACTCCGTGTGAACGGTGTTGAAGACCTGTTCAGAAGGGGGGCGTAAGGGGGTACGCGAGAGTGTTGGTATCATCATCCTCGTTGAGGACGGTATCTTCAGATGAAGCTGTGACTGAAGATGAGAGTGAAAGTGCAGGGGTTGATGCAACAGAAGAGTTGTCGTGACTGCGAGCGCGGGTATCTGCTTGGTGAACGGCAGAAAGGTAAGACGCTGCCGTCGTCATTGATGATAACTGGCCAAGGGATTTTTTCTTTTTGAAAATGGACGGAGAACGTGATGGCGGATTCAACGCCATAGGAGACGGCATCTTCTTGTTCTGTCTAAGAAATAAAAAAAACCCGCAGGACTAGCGGGATGGGTTGAAAAGGGATGGTATAAAAACTTGCTTATGTCAGAAATATACACGCCCCCTGAGAAAGGTTCATTCATCTTTATCATCTGGGGAATAGAAGTGCATCAATGATATCCTAGTAAGTACTCTCTAGATATTCTTCCTTTCATTAATGTACTCTCTTGGGAACATCCAGTATATGCATATGCATATCATTTTAAATATACCTCTCACCTGCGACAAATCACGTCCTGCCATTTGTCGGATTGGCTAATCATCTCCAATGACGTTCAGCCATTGCACCGTCATGCATTGCATCAGCGCTAGCGCAGCTTATTCAGAGACCTGATTGCGTTCAAGTGTAAATCAACTCCAAGTTCAACTATCATGCGGCCGAGAACATCCAATGTGCGTGGCACCACACGTCCATACTTGGAGACTCTTATTGTTAATATCCTAACAGCCACCTCCAACTATAGATTTACTTCCTCGTGGCGCGTCATTGAATCCTATTCTACTTTTGACTCTCGTTCATCAGGTATTGCACGAAATCTCGCTGTAGTACTTACAGAGTACTTAGTGGCACGAAACTGGACCTGCTTCTGGGTGGTCGGGCTACGGTGTGCAGACCTGTATCGGCTATACGCTGTCAACCTCGTGAAATCAGCCTCTGGATTCTGGAACGCTTGCACAGGATAACTTGAAGCTGTACACGCTCTTCTCTTCGGAAGCAATTATGTGTGCTTGGCATCTCACGGCGACATACTTGAATACAACTTCAAGCTTCAATATTCAATGAGCATGTAAGTATGTATTCTGTGATGTTTGTTCACTTTGCTATGAAGGTGCACGAAACAAAGGTGTACAGCAAGCGCTGACTGACTTCGGGGTGTTCGGGTGTTCGGTCCGGGGCTAAAGCATAGAGGCTTGGATCGGTGACTTGGGACATCCGCGAGCCCTTCAAGTGCCAAGACGCGAAGGACAACATTGGAATGAATCACGACGTTGCAGACTCCAGAGGCCTTGTATGGATGACTGACCGCAGATTTCGATTATGTCCGTCGTTGGATTCTCTGGGTTTATGTCTGCCTCTCCTGGTTCGCCTTGACTATCTGTTGCGTCCAAATCATCCTGGACCCAGGCCCCAACTATGTTGTCCTCCATCTTAGATCCCGATTCCCCAGCGTAACTGATAACGTAAGCGTGATAATTATAAAGTGACTTTGCTTGCAAGGCCTACTTAGTTTCCCGTAGTTAGATCTTCAGAAAAGGCTTCAGATCTCGAAGAAGGAACGACTGTCTTCCTTCTTTTCGAGTGCCGGGTCATCCAAAGGGTCATACCATCTCTAGGCTCGCAAGTAACATAACGCACTAGAGGCACTGTTGTAATGCTTCCCCACCTTGACGAACCACCCAAAAGGCTCCCCATGGGAGCTGCAGATCTTGGGGATGGATACGCACTACTCTGCAAGAGAGAACGGACACCCTCTTTTCCACAAGGAGCTGAAAAAGAGGCCATTCAATTCTTCCTTAATGGCCCTTCACCAAGATTCTTCAAGTGGGCTCGGCTCAAACTGCCTAACGGTCAGATTGCGCGTTCACTGTGGCGAGAATCTTTGAGACCTCCAGATAGACTACCAGTCTGTCGAAATGTCAAGGTACTTTTTATACTGTCTTTCCCATGTACATCTGTCACTATGTTTTAGTTCACTCTCGACGGCACCATAAGATTCGGAGAAGTTCGTTATTTCACTCGTCTTGTTGTCCGAGGTGATGGTGAAGATCAATGGGTCTTTGTTGATGTTGCCATCGTCACGGTGTATTCACTCCCTGACCCGAACCTTCTCAAGTCGACGTCTCCCACTCCAGCATCCAGCACATCTCACGGCGACAACGAGATACGCGTGATTAATGTCAAATGTATCACGGACGTTATACCAACGACACTTGTAAAGCCCCCTCCTGCTACCGTTGTTACTGTTCCGCCTGGGGGGCCCTCTTCGACTACCTCCAACGCCTCTTTCGTATCTGGATCGACAGGACCAGGGTCCCCTAGTGACGCCCCCCACGCTGCTGCATCATCAAAGAGACCTCGCAAAATGCGACCAGGTCCTAAGAAGTATGGACGGTAAGCGCATACATTCAGTCGCAGGATCGGTACTTATCCCCCTGTATAGGAACTTATGCGCGTCTCGCTGGCTTAAACAAGTCACCCTATCCGGTTCCGCCCAGGACTTCAATATATACTACTCTCAATTAAATTACGAACAGATCAAGGTCTGTTGTCGCCGCTTTTATTGAGCGCCGCTGGCCTTTTTCTTGGCAGGCTTATGATACTGAGGCCGCGCAGCTAGTAGGCTCAGCCTGAGTGACTCTCAGTTTTTGATTGCTGATGTTTTCTAGGAGCATGAAGGACGCTGGACGAACAACAGCGATGTCGCTGACGGTTCTATGTATTAGATTCGCTTTGCCGCTGCATATATGCTATGCTTCCGCTTTCACATTGCATCATCTCCCTCCTTGCAACTTTTCCTCTTCTCTTCCCGTCTCACATCGTTTCCCCCCGTATCATCTGTATTCTTTGCCGCTGTCGCATTTTCGCATGTCGTGTTTCCTGTAGCCTTTCACGCTTTCTCGCCGTGTCGTGTAGGCTGTCGTGTTTTCTAGTCCTGTACCGTGTTTTCTGCTCGCCTGCATTAGCTTTCGTGTCGCTAGATTACAGTTCTTTGTGCAAACAAATACAGTCAATTTTCTTCTACAAAGTCAAATATTCATCATGATCTACAGTGGTGGATGTGTGGCCACTTTCACCACTAACGGCGATTGTTTGAGGCTGCCCGTCCCATGATATAATTATGTCTGGGTGTGGCACCCCCCCTTCCCTCCGTCAGCTGCAAGACAAGCTCTTGCACTCCCTAGCGGAAGCACAAGTTAATAGATACAATGAACTCGATGATGCCACCCCATGCTATATTACATGTGCTGTCGCTGGCGGCCAGCCGCCAGCCTAGATGAATGGCATAACCAGGATAAAAAAGGATTAAAAATACAGTATTCAGACATTCACAGAGAGTGCACAAGCTCCACAGCTCGCTCGCAGACCTCATCAATCCCCCACCGCTCTCCCAAACCATGCTTTAAGTCCAGAATTCCGCCCACCTCATCGCATGCCCGCAGCACCATGTCTATATCCTCCTTTGTATGCGACGCGCTGGGACAAAACCGCGCACGAGACGTCTCAAACGTAGTGGCAGGGTACGAAACGACCACAACCACAATTGGTGTGCTCCGTGCACGCATCATACGCACGAACGTGCATAACTTACCCGGGTTGAAGATGAGCAAGGGAACAACTGGGCTGAAGGGATGTCCGTAGATGATGAAGCCGAGTTTCTTGAGGCCTGCATGCAGATACCGGCAATTGAAGGCAAGACGGCGGATACGCATGCGAGCTTCGGATCCGTCCGCGAGAGCCGGGTGAAGGTTCACCCACGTCGGCAGAAGGCCTGCAGGTGCCAAACCTGAAAATTTCTCTGCATTGTCCCTCGGCGTGGCAATTGAGTCCGCAGGGCTAAGGGAAAGAGCGGAATTGGTTGGTTGTGCTACCGGAGCAATGCCCATGATACTGGCAATCGAGGCAACAACCTGGGCGAGCACAGGCGGCGTCATTGCTTCCGCATACGGACCCGAGTGACTACGCAGCCGCAGAGCATCGATAACCGCTTTCTGTCCTGCAATGTATCCGCCAGCAGCACCAAAGGACTTGGCGAACGTGCCCATCAAGACATCAATTGAATGAGGGGGGATGTTGAAGTAGTCTGTTACACCACGACCCCGAGGACCGAGCGAACCGATCGAGTGCGCCTCATCAATATAAAGGTAGAACTTTGATGAAAAATCAATATCGTATTACAAAACGCTGGCTGCGGTACGGACCTTGTACTTTTGCTTCAGCTCAATGATCCTAGGCAGGTTCAAGAGCGTACCCTCCATGGAGTACAAACCCTCGACGATGACCAAGATCTTCTTCCACGGACGATGCGTCTTTGGCTGACCCTGGCTTATCACCTCACGCAGGAGGGACTCGAAGCTTGACATATCATTGTGTTTGAATGTCCGGACATGTGCGCCACTTTGTCGTGCACCGACGCGAATACTAATGTGGTTCAATTCGTCGGAAATGATCAGGGACCCCTTTCCCACGAGTCCAGGGATGAAAGTGGAGTTGGTAGCGAATCCCATAGAGCTGACCAATGCGTCTTCCATGCCGATAAAACGCGCAGTAAGAACTTCAGCAGATACATGGAGCTCGGAGCTTCCACCCTCAATACGCGTGCCACATGTGGAGACACCATATCGGCGGATGCTTTCTTCGATTACATCTGAGCAACCCCCGCGGCCCTGGGAGAAGCCGAGATAGTTATACGATGAGATGTTCAGGGCACGTGTCTTGCCACCTGTGTAGATTTGAGTGTAGTTGTTATCGGTGGAGTAACGGTCGAGGATAGTAATAGTGCGACCTGGAACGCCCGTGACAGGCTGGCACAAGCAGTCGGTCATGCGACCCCTGAGCCGTCGGGTGTAGAACGAATCAAAATCCGAGTTCAAAGGTGCGTAACCCTAAATATGACACAAAATGAATTAGATTGCGAAAGCCAAGGTTGAGAAGGGTACGTACATTATGGAGCATAAGGTGGGTAAAATGAGACTTTGCAAAACACTTTCCAAAGATGTCGCGCATACGGCCGAGAAAGTGGAGAATGAATAGACTTATGTAGGTGGTGACGAGTATATAGTATGGAGGCTCCTCAATGATGTGCTCTTCGAATTGTTTAGTATAATTGTGCTCGGAGGTGCAACGGTAGGCCTCATTTGAACAGTGACCAAATTCCGTGTGAACGGTGGTGAAGACGTGCTCGGAGGTGCGTGACATAAGGGGGTGCGCCGGACTGTTGATATCATCGTCCTCGTCGAGGGTGTCCTTGGACGAATTCGTGATGGAGGAAGAGAGGGAAAGGGTTGGGCTTGACGGAGTGGAGGTGTTACGGTGACTGCGAGCGCGGGTATCTGCTTGATGCACAGAAGAAAGGTACGACGCTGTCGTCTTAATTGACGGCAATAGCGATTCTTTCTTTTGGAAGATGGACGGAGAAGGGGAAGGCGGATTCAAAGCCACGGGAGAGGGCATCTTGTTGTTCTGTCCGACGGATAAACTGGGGGACAAGGACGATGAAGGAACAGGAGAGCGGTGTTATAAGAACCTGTAGCAAACTTTTGCCAGCGGTGACCTTCGGTTGGTAAGTGGTGCAGTTGATTAACTTCACTGTCTATATGATGCATGGGGGCAATCTCAACTATGATAGTGCGGGGCTGGTTGAGCGATTGATGACGTGGCGCACCGCATGTTCTGAATGCCAAAATCTCAGCAAGCTGCCACGTACGTCCTGGAATGAAATGGACGGTGGCATCATGAATACGTGCGCATGACGGTGTGATAGGGTGTAGTGCTATATATCAACTGTCGATCATCGAAGAAATAAGGGAAAACGGGTGGATGAGTCTCACTTTTCTCGTGCATCTCACGTATCTGCGTTGTATTTTTTTACTAGCTCCGAACAGTCACCAGAATATAATGCGCCAATGGCAACTGCTAACCGGCAATTATAGCTCGAGGGTCGTCGATGCGGCCAATATTATGGGAATCTGAACTCGAATAAGGGAAAACGAGTGTCTCGCAGCTTGCTGACGTGTCTCGTGCGCATGAGCGACGTGTATTTCGCCAGACTTCCACATACGAGGGAATTCCACAAGCACCTGGTGGCATCCAGTGTACTTCGTTACCGACACCCCGGGTCCTAGACAAAAGATGTTTTTGTACAAGCCAAGCCATGAAGTGATCGAACGCGACGTGTTGAATGAATATATGGTCATGGAACGAGGTTACGATTGAGCCCGCGCGCACGGATCCAGACGCGGAACATCGTATACGGGATTTACAAGTTTTGGCCGGATTTAGGATCTTTACCTCTGAGCGATAATACGTCACGCGGGTGCCTGGCTCCTATGGAATCCTCCCGTCGAGGAAGCGGGTATCACCACCACGACATAAACAGTGACGGGCACTGCACAAGCCCTATCTGTCTCGCTACCGAATGCAAAACACCCCTGCTTTTTATATTCGCAGTGGAGAAATTCAGAGTGACATCAAGACACCACATTCCTGGCCTCTGCACTAGGGGCTTTTTCAAGACGACTGCTTTACGTCATCTGGCTGCATCACGTGCCATTTGCTGTGGCAATCCTAGACTCCTAGCCGCGGCCCACCGTTTTTGTCGTTCGCGACATTATTAAACATCTTTGTCGCTCGCAACTGTAAATTCATTGACAGTTTAGCATGCTTACTGAAGTCCATGATGTGGTTCAAATCTTACATACAGACTGAGATTTCCACTTCTGTTCCTTGTTTGCCTCTGATCTTGAGGCAGGTCTTATTCTGTGGGATCCTCGTTCATGTATTTTTAGTCATTATTGTACCTGTAATTCTATCTATTCTCCAAGAGAGTCGGGGATTGGCGCTCGCTGCCGTTATTATCTGATAGGAGCAGGGCTGTGGTCAGCAGTCTCCTGACTCAGGACCCCACTTGAAGGTCTTGAGTTCATGAATCCTAACTGGCTCTGACAAATTTTCGGAGCAAAAGAAGCTCCCATCTGATGCTCAGGGTTCCGCAGTCGGTACAGTTCAAGCTGCTGCTGATCAGGCAGCAAGTACAGGACACTTGCGACACAATGCGAAGCTGCGAGAACTGAAAATTTTAATCTTCACAAGTTGCTCGCGATCCCAGCTCCCGCCGTCACACGAAGACTTGCAGACAGCATGCCTTGGCAGACATCATCCTCATTGCGAGCAAATTTTTTTTTCATTTGTTCCGGTTCCAAAGCAACTGTCTTGGCCACATGGTCATCGATGTCGTATATATCTCACGGAAATTGAACGCAATCGGCAATTGTTTGTACTTCTCCCGCTCAAATGTCGCCAGTGTTATCCCCCTTGGGGGACCCAGGGGGTGGGGCTCGCATTGCCATCTATTCAAAGACCTGCGTCAACCCACGTACTGCGCTTTATCATGACTTCAGTGGTCATGGCCCATCTGGTATTTCTGCCTTGTGCTTGAATTGTGCGAGTGTTGCATAGACAAAAATATCAAAGCCTTTAAGCAGGGCTACTGTACATATATACCACGATCACGATTGTTCTGCCACCGTATGTCAGTCTTTCAATAATTCCGAGGTGATGTTGACAGACAGACCTAACCCAGTCAAGCGCACCAATACCTTCACGGGTGCATCGGGGAATCGCGGGACAATGCAGCAGGGAAATTTCTCCGGATGACTGAAATAAGAAGAGATCAGCAGACTATCTTCAAGACAGATGGTATTCTGCAAACATAGCGAGTCCAGCGGAAAACTTTGGAACGACTGGGATGTCCATGCCATGTTCATCATGGGCCTTGTGAGCCGAGAAAACAGCGAGGAAGCTCGCAATCGCGATCCAAAGTGACGTGTCCGCGAGATGCCGTCCCACACTGACCAACGGATTTCAACTGAGAGCGAAGGTGCACGGGTATATGCTCACCAGATCCGGCGACCCCAGCCAAATCCTAAAGGCATCGTGTCGCTGGTGAGGGAACCATCTTCATGGAGAAATCTTTCCGGTTTGAATTCATCAGGACTGGGGTACTTCGTTTCATCGTGTGTCATCGCCCTACATCATTAGTCATTTCGGGGGGTTCGGTATAAAGGTAGTGCAGGCTTTCCATGTATTTGTCAATACAAGAACCCCTGACAGTCTCAGTCATCAGCGATCTTCGGTAGATCGGTATGACACCAACCTTTTGGAATGAAGTAGCCTTTGTAGACGTCACTGGTCGTTGTTGCATTTGGGGCGCCTTGATACGTCATCAGAACAAGGTAAAAAGTGTCATGGTGGACGTACCAAACGGGAAAACGGGGTGCCACCTGAGTGTTTCGCGCAAAATAGCTTCTATGTAAGGCAACGCTGGTCTATCATCAAAGTCCGGGAGTCTATCTTTGCCAATGACTCGATCAATCTCCGCTTGCGCTTTGGCTTGTACCTCTGGGTGGAGTACCATAGCAAGAAGGAATACAAGTAACGTGGAAATAGTCTGAGCGGAAGGCAAACTGATTACTATGACAAACATATACCAAGGCGATACTTACTGTTTCAAATGCCCCTGAAGACAATACAAAGAAAAATGAGCATGGAGGGGGAAAAGTTCCGTATCTTGGAATACCTGCGAATGCGATAGCGGCAGTCTCCTTGACTGCAGCTGTAATGACGGTGTTGTCTTCTTCAGACAGCCTCATTCTGTTCAAAGTATCGGTCACAAGGCATGGCGCCGCATCGCCGGTAGACTGTGTGGTTCATCAGTTCGTCGCACCTTGATGGATGGGGTGATTCACCATCCTCTCTTTGACATGTTGAAAGGGTATATCCTTCGTATCATGACCTGCCTTTAAACACTCCACTGACGCTCGCTTGAATGTGGCACCAGGAAACCAGCTGGGTAGCTTCAAAACTAGAACAACCGTTGAGACACAACAACAGGCCATCATTGCATGTGCAAACTTACGGAAAGGGAATGTTTCCATTACCACAGTAGCACCTGGCGTCAGAGCTACGACTATCAGTTCCACATACCTTTTCATGACGTTGGCGATGGGGTCATCCTTGGCTTTTAGTTCGTAATCATATACGATTGGGAGCACGAATGACAAAATAAACCTGGTAAACGTCAGCTTTAACACGAGGCCGGAACGAACTATCGCAGCAACTAACATCTGAAAATGGCTTGCATAATTGTCAGGATCTTGTAGAAGACTGAACAACATTTTGTGGGCGGAACGGAGTTGCACAGCGTGATAAGTGGGTATCTGAGCCGGACGAAATGCTTGATGAAAAATTCGTCGGTGAAGGCGCCACCTGCTGAACATCAGACGTATCAGCATAACATGTAACGATATATTACCTGTCTCCATATGGTAGGAGCCCTGTGTTGAAGTCCGAAGCGAAGCTGACGATATCTTCATGATAGATGCATAGCATACCCCAAGATATAACTCACGGTTTATAAACAATCGACTGGGGTTTATCCGAATATATGTTGGAGCGCCCTTCAAAGAGGTCTCGCGCGACCTCCTCAGAGTTAACCACAATGACAGGCTTGTTGAGCAGACGAGCATAAATGATGTCGCCTGGAGAAAACATGAGTCGATTATAAACAGATCCTCGTCATGATGTGCCAACCATATGTGGATCTCCAGGCATTGAAGGTCAGCCAAGGCCGAGCGGTATCAAGACTGAGAACATTTCCCACTATTGGGAGGGGGGTAGGACCAGGGGGCAGCGGGGGACACGAATGATTGAGCCAATATGTTCGAAAACAGCTTACAACAGCTAGCGCCAAGGTTATTGTGGCCAAGTAAAGTCCGGGTCCATCGTCAAGCATTGTTAGATGTACTTCTGCGAATTTAAAAAAAAGTGGAAGGCCGTCACAGTAGACGGCAAACACTAGCAGATGGTCGGACAGCAGTAACGTGGATGAACGTGTGGATTCAGCGGTTGGGATATATATAGGGAATCAGTACTCAGTATCAACAGCCGAAGACAAGCAGATATAATGTGGTGTCCAATCAGGGTAGACGCGGCGCGTACGCATGTAATTGCGATGTAAGTGTAGTACCTAAAGGAGGATCGTGATTAAAGTGTCCTAGCATATATAGCATTGGGTAAGTGAAGCCAAACAAATTCTGGATCACGATGTCTGATCAACGGACCAGGGTCCGAACAATAACTAGGCATGTGAACCCTGCAGCTGGTCGATAAGAAACAGAAGACATGTGAACTCTGGCCAATAAATAACGCGAAGTGCATACGTACCAGAAATGACTTCTTCACATCGATGCTGGACTCGTGGTCACTGGTTCAGCTCGGATATCAGTCTTGCGAAATTCTGATCTGCAGCACGGCATTATACATTATATCTTGTGATCAATATATAATGCACGCAGAGTTTAGAGAGTGATATTAGCGGGAAGAAACTATCATCTGGAATTTCTGAAGGAGCGTGGGCATTTATTAATATTTAATTATTAAGCGGGCTAAAGTATTTTAAGAGATACTATCAACTCACCGTCACACCCACATGGTCAGGACTCAGCATGCTGCATGGAACTGCTATCAGCCTTGTGTCAGCCTGTGAGGGACATCGCGGTCTTTACATACAGTGCACGTCAAAACTTGAACGACTCAGCGCGGGTAATGAAACTAAAATTGTCGAGCCCGCCCCCCGAGTTTCGACTTGTAGATCATGACAAAAACACAGCGGAGTACTGAGCAGCTTTGCTGGTAAATCGTCATACTTGGTATTAGTAAAGAGGAACGATGTCTTGAGTCGGTCGACGATTAATATTAAACAGTTTTAAACTGGACTGGGTTTGCACGCACCACATGAGTCCCATGACTCCTGTCACACAGCGACTTCCACCGTCACTCTGCTTCTTTAAGATCTGCTTATTCAGATTGTCCCCATCATATCTGGTAGGCATCTGGTGTACTCATCGACTCCCTGACGCAAATCTTCTGAAGTCAGCGCTCATTAGTACTCTAGCATCGTGCATTGCTGAAGGATATCTGTGCTACTGTGAAATATCATGCTGTTGTTTTCTCCCAAGAAACCGCTTTGACAGCCAGGTATCAATGCGGTGTTTCACTGAAACCGAACGTTTTCGGCGATTGTTTGTGATTATCCTTGCTAAAATGTCGGTATTAGGCTAGCCTATATAGAACAAACAGGGTCAAAGTATGGCTGAGGAGAGAACAGGCGAGACAGTAATGCAGGCGATCACATCGAGTGCACAAGTTCCACTGCGCGCTCGCAGACCTCATCAATCCCCCACCGCTCGCCAGCACCATGTTTCAAGTCAAGAATTCCGCCAATCTCATCACACGCCCGCAATACCATATCAATATCCTTCTTTGTGTGTGCAGCGCTGGGACAGAACCGCGCACGGGTCGTCACAAACGAAGTGGCGGGGTAGGCGACGACAACGACAACAATCGGTGTGCTCCGCGAATGCATCATACGCACGAACATCAATAATTTGCCCGGGTTGAAGATGAGCAGGGGAACAATCGGGCTGGAGGGATGTCCATAGATGATGAAGCCGAGTTTCCTGAGGCCCGCGTGCAGATATCGGCAATTGAAGGCAAGACGGCGGATACGCATGCGAGCTTCAGACCCGTCTGTGAGAGACAGAGGAAGGTTCATCCACGTCGGCAGCATGCTTGCAGGCGCCATTCCTGTGAATTCTTCTGCACCTGTCCTTCAGCGTGACGATGGAACTGGCAGGGCTAAGCGTGAGCGCAAACTTGGTAGACTGTGATACCGGAGCAACGCCCATGATGCTGGCCATCGACGCAACAACCTGGGCGAGAACGGGGGGCGCCATGGCTTCTGCATACGGACCCGAGTGACCACGCAGCCGGAGAGCATCGATAACACCCTTCGGCCCTGCGATGTAACCGCCAGCAGCACCAAAGGACTTGGTAAACGTGCCCATCAAGATATCAATTGAACGAGGAGGGATGTTGAAGTAGTCCGTGACACCACGTCCATGAGGACCGAGCGCGCCGATTGAGTGTGCCTCATCAACGTAGAGGTAGAACTTGGATGAAAGATCAACATCGTTACGCACGTGAGCTGCGGTACAAACCTTGTACTTCTGCTTCAGCTCGACAATCCTAGGCAAGTTCACGAGCGTGCCCTCCATAGAGTACAAGCCCTCGACGATGACCAAGATTTTCTTCCATGGACGGTGCGTCTTGGGCTGGCCCTGGCTTATCACCTCACGCAGGAGGGACTCGAAACTTGACATATCATTATGCTTGAACATGCGGACCTGGGCACCACTGTGGCGTACACCAACGCGAATACTAGCGTGGTTCAATTCGTCGGAAATAACGAGGGAGCCCTTTCCTACAAGTGCAGGGATGGAAGTCGAGTTGGTGGCGAATCCCATAGAACCAATCAACGCATCTTCCATGCCGACGAAACGCGCAACAAGGGCTTCGGCAGATACATGGAGCTCGGAGCTCCCGCTCTCAAGACGTGTGCCGCAGGTGGAGACGCCATATCGGCGGATGCATTCCTCGACTGCATCTGAGCAGCAGCCGCGGCCCTGGGAGAAGCCGAGGTAGTTGTACGATGAGATGTTCAACGCGCGTGTCTTGCTACCAGTGTAGATCTGAGTATAATTATAATCGGTGGAGTAACGGTCGAGGATAACAATGGTGCGGCCTGCAACGCCTGTGACAGGCTGAGAAAAGCAGCCATCCATGCGACGCTTGAGCCGTCGGATGTAGAAAGAATCAAACTTTGATCTCAACGGTGCATAACCCTGGACATGGCATTAAGTGAATTGCATGCGACGAGGAGCAAAGAAGATTGTACGTACATTATGTGGCATAAGGTGGGTGAAATAAGACTTCGCAAAACGCTTTCCGAAGAAGTCACCCATATGACCGAAACAGATTATGATGAGGTAGCTTATGTAGGTGGTGAGAAGGATATAGTATGGGGCCTTCTCGATGATGTGCTCCTGGGCAGGTTTGGTGTAGTCATGCTTGGAGACACAACGATAGGCCTCGTTTGTGCAGTGACCAAACTCCGTGTGAACGGTGGTGAAAACCTGTTGAGATGTTGGAAGCGCAGAGTGGTACGCGAGACAGTTCCCCTCATCATCCTCGTTTAGAGAGATATCTTCGGATGAAGCTGTGATGGAAGAGGAGAGCGAAAGAGATGCCACGGAGGAATTGTTATGAGTGTGAGCGCAACTTTCTGCTTGTTGGACAGCAGACAAGTACGACGCTGCCGTCATCATTGACGGCAACTGGCTAAGTAAATCTTTGTCCTTGAAGATGGACGGAGGGGAGGGCGGTTTGAACGCAACGTGAGATGGTATTTTCTTTTCCTGTCTGACGAAAAAGCGCGAACACGTAGAGCGATTGCTGACGTGGGGCACGGAACCTGAGCATGACAGGGCAGACAATCGTCTCCTGCTTATCAGTACACACACTTTAATACCAACAATGCTTTCAATTTAGTGCCACGTAGCGATGGTATGAAAACGACAGGCGATCACCACATATGAACTCTCGTGTGGATGATGGAGTGCTCGACCGTCACACTGGCAGGAAACGATATAACAACTATGACAGTTATATAGTGTATAATGTCAAATCACTTTTGGCTACTTGCTTGGTTCGTGTGCGAAACGCATGTTCTCAAAACCGTTCTGACCCGCTGACGAGACTGGAACTCCTTCGGGTAGTGTAGGGAGTAGAAATTCAGATGGCAGAAGTCCGTAAAAAGCGTTTTCGAACATTGTATAGCTATTAATAGAGTGAAAACTCGGGTCCAGTATTGAATATTGAATTTCCGCCTCAAACTTTAATTCTAGATTGGGATGCTACCCACACAAACCATAACAAAGTTAATTGCAGACACGACGCATTGCATACTTAGTACTTATAGGTACCCACGCGCTTCACGCTTAGATGGCTACCCGCCCGCCGTTTGAGGCTGCTAGCATAATATATTTCAATTTTGTTAAGAATAGTGGCGAAGGCGCGACAGGATGCGAGAATGGTCTATACAGTAGAATGCGAGGCATTCCCGCACAGCGCTCATCATTGTACACATCGCCAACAAGTTGCCAAAACCTTCTTGCTCGCTGTCAACAGCGAGGCCAAGTATCTGAGTGTTTCAACGCATTTTTTCGTACCTTTTCTCTATTGCATTCAATAAAATGTGAGAGTACATGCAATTCACTATCCGAGATTTGGGAAGCTCAGATTAAGTGTACATCGATGTATGAATGCTATAAGGAAAGAATGACTCTTCCACCTCTTCCAGGGACCCTAGAGCTGGTAAAAATACACCATTCAATCATTACAACATTACTGCATATAAGTATATGCGAAATACAGACTTCTTGGGGCTGGGGAGGGCGTTCTGAGGAAAAATATAGGGATGGGAGAGGGGGGGGAGGGGGGAGACTGCATGGGCCTGAGTATCAATACATTGTTGATAGAGGTGCTATAGGCATGAATTACTTAGCAGTGAGGGCAAAGTGAATGTAGAGCACCATAGGTGTAAAAATGCGACCACGCCAGGGGGTCAACTAAAGATCATGCAAAAATGAAGGCATTAGCTACTCACCATTGAGAGGCAAACACAAGCGGTGTTCAGACGATTTATTTTGACCCTCTTTGAGTCAAATGAGCTGCTACAATGGGCGATAAAATAGTTGTCGGGAGTACAGTCAAAAAACATCGAAAACATGAAAAATAAAGAACAAACTTACCAGAGGATTCGGAGCGCAGTACGGGTGCACTTTCCAGTATAGAACATTTCCCCAAGTCACCAGCAGCAGTTGGTGTGAGGAGAACATTCAGAGAACAGGTTAAAACCGAAAAAAGGACAAAAAAGCGAACTATGAGACTCACCGGGGGGAGGGAGTGCCCAGCATAAGTACATATGGCAGTAAGGTCATAAAATAAAGGAAGACACCCTTGAATATCATTGTAGCAAAGGGGAAGCACTATAGACAAGGATAAGACTACTTGAAAGAAAATAAGTTGAACAAGAGTGAAAAACCACTCACCTTGCCCAAAGAGAGACCCTGGGTAGGTACCAGAGGTGTCAAGGGAGAGTAGAATATACCTAGAAATATTAGCATAATGAGTTTCAGGACATAGAACAGAGATGTAGTCGAGTTAGAAGAGGTCAAAAGGTGAATGTGTGGTTATGTGCGTCAGGAAATCACGATTTTGTGACTTTCTCGACTTTGTTGGCTTTTTCGACCATCACTCTGCTTCTCTGCACATTATTGTAGAGACCTTTGCCGTGGTTACGGTGTAATTATTCACTCCCTGACGCAAATATTCTGAAATTGCCGTCTCATGAGTACTCTAGCATCGTGCATTCCTAAAAAAACATCTGTGCTATGGTGAAAGATGATACTTATTGTTCTCGTGTTTCGTCCCAAGAAACCGCTTTGGCAATCATAGTATCAGTGTGGTGTTTCACTGAAACTGAACATTTTCGGTGATTGTTTGTGATTGTCCTTGGATTGTCCCGCTCAAATGTTGGTATTAGGCCAACCTACATAGAACAAACGGCGTTAAAGGGTGGCTGAGGAAAGAGCAGGAGAGACAGTCATGCAGGCGATTACATAGAGTGCACAAGTTCCACTGCGCGCTCACAGACTTCATTAATTCCCCACCGCTCGCCAGCACCATGTTTCAAGTCAAGAATTCCGCCAACCTCATCACACGCCCGCAAGACCAGATCGATATCCTCCTTTGTGTGTGACGCGCTGGGACAGAACCGCGCACGGGCCGTCAGCAGCGAAGTGGCGGGGTGGGCGACGATAACGACAACGATCGGTGTGCTCCGCGATCGCATCATGCGTGAGAACGTGGTCACTTTGCCCGGGTTGAAGATGAGCAGGGGAACGATTGGGCTGAAGGGGTGTCCATGAATGATGAAGCCGAGTTTCTTGAGACCTGCGTGCAGATACCGCGAGTTGAAGGCAAGACGACGAATACGCATACGAGCTTCAGACCCGTCTGCGAGAGACGGAGGAAGGTTCATCCACGTCGGCAGCATGCTTGCAGGCGCCCTTCCTGGGTGTTCCTCTGCACCGTCCTTCAGCGTGACGATGGAACTGGCAGGGCTTAGTGTGAGCGCAGACTTGCTAGACTGTGATGCCGGAGCGACACCCATAATGCTAGCCATCGAGGCAACAATTTGGGTGAGAACGGGGGGCGCCATGGCTTCTGCATACGGACCCGAGTGACCACGCAGACGAAGAGCATCGATAACACCCTTCGGCCCCGCGATGTAGCCGCCAGCGGCACCAAAGGACTTCGTGAACGTCCCCATCAAGACATCAATTGAACGAGGAGGGATGTTGAAGTAGTCCGTGACACCACGTCCATGAGGACCGAGCGAACCGATCGAATGTGCCTCATCGACGTAGAGGTAGAACTTGAGTGAAAGATCAACATCTTTACGTACGTGAGTTACGGTACAAACCTTGTACTTCTTCTTCAGCTCGACAATCCTAGGCAAGTTCACAAGTGTGCCCTCCATAGAGTACAAACCCTCGACGATGACCAAGATTTTCCTCCACGGACGATGCGTCTTGGGCTGACCCTGGCTTATTACCTCACGCAGAAGGGACTCGAAACTTGACATATCATTGTGCTTGAATATCCGGACCTGGGCACCACTGTGGCGTACACCGACGCGAATACTAGCGTGGTTAAATTCGTCGGAAATGACGAGGGAGCCCTTTCCCACGAGTGCAGGGATGGAAGTCGAGTTGGTGGCGAATCCCATAGAACTGATCAACGCATCTTCCATGCCGACAAAACGCGCAACAAGGGCTTCAGCAGACACATGAAGCTCGCTACTCCCGTTCTCAAAACGGGTACCGCAGGCTGAGACGCCATACCGGCGGATGCTTTCCTCGACTGCATCTGCGCAGCCGCCACGGGCCTGGGCAAAGCCGAGGTAGTTGTATGACGAAATGTTCAGCGCACGCGTCTTGCTACCGGTGAGGATCTGGGTGTGATTGTGATCTGTGGAGTAACGGTCGAGGATAACAATGGTGCGGCCTGCGACGCCAGTAATAGGTTGGGAAAAGCAGTCATCCAGGCGACGCTTGAGTCGTCGGGTGTAGAACGAATCAAAATCAGAGTTCAACGGCGCGTAACCCTGAACACGGCACAAAATGAATTAGAGAGGAGGAACAAGGTTGAAGAGGGCACGTACATTATGGGGCATAAGGTGGGTGAAATCAGACTTGGTAAAACGCTTTCCGAAGAAGTCACGCATATAGCCAAAAGAGAAGAAAATGAGGTAGCTTATGTAGGTGGTAAGGAGGATGTAGTATGGGGGCTCCTCGATGGTGTGCTCCTGCGCAGGTTTGATGTAGTCATGCTTGGAGACGCAACGATAGGCCTCGTTTACACAGTGACCAAACTCCGTGTGAACGGTGTTGAAGACCTGTTCAGAAGTGGGGGGCGTAAGGGGGTACGCGAGAGTGTTGGTATCATCATCCTCGTTGAGGACGGTATCTTCAGATGAAGCTGTGACTGAAGATGAGAGTGAAAGTGCAGGGGTTGATGCAACAGAAGAGTTGTCGTGACTGCGAGCGCGGGTATCTGCTTGGTGAACGGCAGAAAGGTAAGACGCTGCCGTCGTCATTGATGATAACTGGCCAAGTGATTTTTTCTTTTTGAAGATGGACGGAGAACGTGATGGCGGATTCAACGCCATAGGAGATGGCATTTTCGTTTCCTGTCCAACGGATATTGAGCCTCGACAAAGGAACGACTCAGAGGAGGATAAAGATGTTATAAGGACCTGCTCAAATCAGTAACAAATGCGGCAAACTCTTACCGCCTGTTGTATACGGCGGGTTGGCGCAAGGACGTGGAGAGATTGATGACGTGGGGCACAGTACAGCATGACGGGGCAGACGATTGTGTCCCTGCTGATGAGTACAAACACTCCCTCAATACTAACAATCCTTCGAATTTAGTGCCACGTAGCAGTATGAAAACGGCAGGCTATCGTCGTGAACTCTCGTGCGGATGGAACCTCTGTTTAGCTGTCACAGGAAACGATATAACGACTATGATAGTCATATATGTTGGATTGATTTTGGCCGCTTGGGCGAAATGCAGGTTCTCAGAACCGTTCACTAGCGAGCTCTGACCATCGACGAGACTGGACCTGCTTCGGGTACATAGCGTAGGCAGAATGGTTTGGGTCTCGTCACTCGTGGCAATTGGTAAGTAGAGCTATCAGTTGATCACGGGTTGACGGTCCCGCATAGGATTACCTAAGTATTGGAAATATCTGAAGGTGCCTTGCAAGGGACCTCGGTAGCAAGAGATTCCCAAGTCAATCGGAAGGGACCTTGCAAGGACCTCGTAAGCGACAGTAAATGATCCTTCTGTCGGAATCCATCCCTAAAGAGGGTCACCTTGCAAGCGCTAATTGAGTCTCGCTCGCAAAAATTTCGGGTCCACTTCTAAACTGCTTCCAAGGCCCAAGGGCCTCGCCACCTCGGTCAATTGGGGGGTTGCAAGGGTGGTGCAAGGGCATACAAGCCATGCCAACCAAAAGCGGACGAGGTAGGTCCAGGAGTGGGACGCGTCTGGGATAAGTAGGGGACGGAAATTACTGGGGACGGTCAGCAGCGGTCGAAATATACCTTCGTGGAGCTTCCGAAGCTTTTTCTGCGGTGCGATCGCGCTGCAGGGAGCTTGCATGATCTTTGAGCTAGAATAGTTCCGGGACGGTGAGCACTGAAGAAATTCACCCCAGAAAAAAGTGTGCCTCATAGAACTTAGCCGTAGGCAAAATAATATCACCGTTACGGTATAGAATTGAATTGTTATAGCGGTCCGCAGACTCGGAAGCACAGTAGTGTACTTATCTTACCTGTGCTGGAGATCTACACAATTTTTCGAGGTGCTGGTCATTTGGATCATTGTTCATATCTGGCGTGATGTTGCCAGAATAAGTACAATTGCATGTAGATGCGGCATGCCAATCTACGACAGTATCAGTAGCTGAAAATCTTGCTTCACCGTAATTTTTTGGAACTACTCTATTATGCTCCGCGTGAAACATTACGAGTATCTCCGCAAGATCCTGGAGGTCTGAGTGATGCAGTGGCGACATTCAACAATTCGGGCACGGCAGTGAATTATTTTGGATACTGCATATTATACCTGTCCTTTGCATCCCCTGGAACGATAGTACTCTTACATTTCTCTAAGACGCAGACTACTTAGTTGAGGGAGGGTACCTTGTGTTTTGCGTTGTCGTCGTCATCCACGTATAGGTATGGCATTCTTTGGTGTTTTCCCTCCTTTTATTCTTTTGTATATCCTTTATATATTCCCCTCCTCTATATCTTTCTTCATTCCTTTCTTGTGCCGTCGAGTCGTCCATACACAGTAGTATGGACCGAGGTGACACCAGGCGAGGCAGGCATGCAGGCGTTCATGTAGAGTGCACAAGCTCCACGGCACGGGCACAGACCTCATCAATCCCCCACCGCTCTCCCGAACCATGCTTCAAGTCCAGAATCCCGCCCACCTCATCGCATGCCCGTAACACCATGTCTATATCCTCTTTTGTATGCGCCGCGCTGGGACAGAACCGTGCGCGAGACGTTTCAAACGGAGTGGCAGGGTACGAAACGACCACAACAACGATCGGTGTACTCCGTGCACGCATCATACGCACGAACATGCACAATTTTCCCGTGTTGAAGATGAGCAGCGGAACGATCGGGCTGAAGGGATGTCCGTAGATGATGAAGCCAAGTTTCTTGAGGCCCGCGTGCAGATATCGGCAATTGAAGGCAAGACGGCGGATACGCATGCGAGCTTCAGATCCGTCCGCGAGAGCCGGATGAAGGTTCATCCACGTCGGCAGAAGGCCTGCAGGTACCATACCTGAAAGGTCTTCAGCACCGTCCCTCAATGCGACGTTTGAGTCCGCAAGGCTGAGGGGAAGTGTAGAATTGGTTGGTTGTGGTACCGGGGCAACGCCCATGATGCTGGCAATCGAAGCAACAACCTGGGCGAGCACAGGCGGTGTCATTGCTTCCGCATACGGACCCGAGTGACCACGCAGCCGCAACGCATCGATAACTGCTTTCGGTCCTGCGATGTATCCTCCAGCAGCACCAAAGGACTTGGTGAACGTGCCCATCAGGAGATCAATTGAGCGAGGGGGGATGTTAAAGTAGTCTGTTACACCACGACCCCGAGGACCGAGCGAACCGATTGAGTGTGCCTCATCAATGTAGAGGTAAAACTTGGAATGATGAAAGATCAACATCGTTACACAAAACGCTAGCTGCGGTACGGACCTTGTACTTTTGCTTCAGCTCGACAATCCTAGGTAGGTTCACAAGGGTGCCCTCCATGGAGTACAAACCCTCGACAATGACCAAGATTTTCTTCCACGGACGATGCGTCTTGGGCTGACCCTGGCTGACCACCTCACGCAGGAGGGACTCGAAGCTTGACATATCATTGTGCTTGAACACCCGGATATGTGCACCACTTTGTCGTGCACCGACGCGAATACTAGCGTGGTTCAATTCGTCGGAAATGATCAGGGACCCCTTTCCCGCGAGTGCAGGGATGAAAGTCGAGTTGGTGGCGAATCCCATGGAGCTGATCAATGCGTCTTCCATGCCCAAAAATTGTGCAACAAGGGCTTCAGCGGACACATGAAGTTCGCTGCTGCCCTCAAGACGCGTGCCACAAGTGGAGACGCCATATCGGCGGATGCATTCCTCGACTGCATCTGAGCAGCCGCCGCTGCCCTGGGAGAAGCCGAGATAGTTGTACGATGAGATGTTCAGGGCACGTGTCTTGCCACCTGTGTAGATTTGAGTGTAGTTGTTATCGGTGGAGTAACGGTCGAGGATAGTAATAGTGCGACCTGGAACGCCCGTGACAGGCTGGCACAAGCAATCGGTCATGCGTCCCCTGAGCCATCGGGTGTAGAACAAATCAAAATTCGAATTTAACGGCGCGTAACCCTGGACACGATACGTAATGAATGAGATGTGAGGAAAAAAGGTTGAGGAGGGCACGTACATCATGGGGCATAAGGTGGGTGAAGGAAGACCGAAACCGTTTTCCGAAGAAGTCCCGCATATGGCCGAAAAAATGGAGAATAAATAGGCTTATGTATGTGGTGAGGAGGATATAGTATGGAGGCTCCTCAATAGTGTGCTCCTGAAAAGGTTTAGCATAATCATGCTTGGAGGTGCAACGATAGGCCTCGTTTGAACAGTGACCAAACTCCGTGTGAACGGCAGTGAAGACCTGCTCGGAGGTGGGTGGCCTAAGGGGGTACGTGAGGCTGTTGTTGTCATCGTCCTCATCCAGGACGGTGTCCCTGGACGATACCGTGATGGAGGACGAGAGGGAATGGGTGGGGCTTGATGGAGCAGTGGATGTGTTGCGGCGACTGCGAGCGCGAGTATCTGCTTGATGTACAGCAGAAAGGTAGGACGCTGCCGTCGTCATTGACGGGAATAGTGATTCTTTCTTTCTGAAAATGGAGGGAGAAGGGGATGGTGGATTCAATGCCATCGGAGACGGCATCTTCTTGTCTTGTCCGATGAATAAACCACGGGTCGATAACGATGAAAGGACGGGGAGAACAAGTAATAATCACCTGCCCATATTATAATATACGGGGCAAACTCTCGCCAGTGGTGACAGGCGGTGACCTTTGGTTGGTCGATGTTGCAGGGGATTTACCATAACAACCCCCTGTATAGCCCGGTATATGATGAATGAGCGAATTCAATCACACAGTCACTACTTACGATCAATTGATGACGTGGAGTACATCATCGCAGGATGATGGTGAAATTTAAATGTCTCCTACTGATAAATGTGGATAAGTATGCATGACCTGAATGCCAAGCATTCCGCAAGCTGCTACCTTCAGCTCTGGTATGAAAAGGACAGTGTCACCGTAGTCTGCTAGTCTTGAACCAGACGATCTGCAAAGCGGAGTCAAAGACAACACCACTGACGCTTCACCCAGAACTTCTGGAGACAATCTGGGATTCGGAAGGACTGGGATGGTAAGCTTGTCACACTACTACGCTTCCCCGACTCGTGGAAGAGGGCTGTGTTGTTCCTAGGGCACGGCCGGAAGTATATGATGATGATCGATGGGTCGGGGCTCGGTACGAATTTTTTATCCAAAGTGGGATCTAGAAACGCTTTCGCTCGTCTGTCAGTACTCAGTTCTGTGTTTGAGCTTGGTTTGAGCTGACCAGTGCAACTTAACGTCCATGAATGTTGGTGTCATCTTCGTTGATTGCACCGTTAAATTTAAACGTTAAACTTTCAAATCTTGTCAATCGCGGCATCAAATGTAAATCACTCACTCGGTATGGTGAGTAATGGCGCAATATGCTTCCCGGTATGAGCCCCTGAGGGGCTTCAGGTCGGTGCAGATTCCAGAAGTGGCTTAGCGTTAATGTTTGCAGAAACTCTGATCAAAAGATGCAGTTGATGTCATCATATTGAATACAAAGTAGTAAGTCCGGATTGTTTTTTAGAGCATACAGGACTATTACCGACCTTGTGGGCCGCAGGATCATTCTGCGCCCTTCGTGCTTGTGTTCAGGTACAATATGATAGCTCGGCGATGCCCTTGATGATGTTCCTGGTGATCTGATTGATCCCCACCTCAATATCGGGATCATTTTATTATCATAGTTCAATTGGCAACTATCCAGTGAGTTATGTTCGGGCATCTGAGCATAGATGGTTTAATGCTCTGTAGAGAGAATGTATACTTCGACGATGAAAGCACTTGCCATATGTACGTGTGTAGTAAGTGGGAATCTTCTCGTTCTCAACGCATTCCTCGTCCAGCATTGACTAACAACTTGTATGGCGGGCTGGCTAGGGGGACTAGCTTCCAGATATCTTAGTTCTGTTAAGAGCCTCTACCCACGGGCGAAATCAATTGACCCCACGTCAACATGGTATCTCACTCAAACTGAACGTTATCGGCGATTGTTTGTGATTACCCGCTCAAATGTCGACATTAGGCCAGCTTACATAAAGCAAAATAAACGGATTAAACGAAAGCTGAGGAGAGAGCATGAAGACAGTCATGCACATGATGCAGTCGCTCACACAGAATGCACGAGCTCCACGGCGCGTTCGCAAACCTCATCAATCCCCCACCGCTCGCCCAAACCGTGTTTCAAGTCAAGAATTCCACCAACCTCATCGCACGCTCGCAGAAATATATCAATGTCCTCCTTTGTGTGGGATGCGCTAGGACAGAGCCTCGCACGACCCTTCTCAACCGGAGTGGCTGGGTACGCTACGACAACGACAACGATCGGTGGGCTGTGCGCACGCATCATACGCACGAACATCAATAATTTTCCCGGGTTGAAGATGAGCAGGGGAACAACCGGGCTGGAGGGATGTCCATAGACGACGAAGCCGAGTTTCTTGAGGCCCGCATGCAGATACCGGCAGTTGAAGGCAAGACGGTGCATACGCGTGCGAGCTTCCGATCCATCCGCGAGAGACGGATGAAGGTTCATCCACGTCGGCAGCATGCTTGCAGGCACCATTCGTGCGAGCTCATCTGCACTATGCGTCGCCGTGACAATTGAGCTATCAAGACCGAGGGGACGCGGGGACTTGGCGGGCTGTGGTACCGGAGCGACACCCATGATGCTGGCCATCGACACAGCAATCTGTGTGAGAACGGGAGGCGTCATTACTTCTGCATACGGACCAGAGTGACTGCGCAGCCGGAGGGCATCAATAAGGGTTTTGTGCCCTGCGATATATCCGCCAGCAGCACCAAAGGCCTTGCTGAACGTGCCCATCAAGATATCAATCAAGCGAGGAGGGATGTCGAAGTAGTCCGTGACGCCACGTCCGTGAGGACCGAGCGAACCAAGCGTGTGCGCCTCATCAATGTAGAGGTAGAACTTGAATGAAAGATATCAACATCGTAACACAAAACGGTAACTGTTGTACGGACCTTGTACTTCTGCTTCAGCTCGACAATCCTAGGCAGGTTCACAAGGGTGCCCTCCATGGAGTACAAACCCTCGACAATGACCAAGATTTTCTTCCACGGACGATGTGTCTTGGGCTGACCCTGGCTTATTACCTCACGCAGAAGCGACTCGAGGCTTGACATATCATTGTGCTTGAACGTCCGGACATGGGCACCACTTTGGCGTGTACCGACCCGCACACTAGTGTGGTTCAGCTCGTCGGAAATGATCAGGGACCCCTTTCCCGCGAGTGCAGGAATGAAAGTAGAGTTGGTGGCGAAGCCCATAGAGCTTATCAACGCGTCTTCCGTGCCCAAAAAAACGTGCCATAAGGGCTTCAGCGTACACATGGAGCTCGGTGCTCCCGGTCTCAAGACGCGTGCCGCAGGTGGAGACGCCATATTGACGGACGCTTTCCTCGACTGCATATACCCAGCCGCCGTGGGCCTGGGAAAAGCCGAGGTAATTGTATGATGAGATATTCAAGGCGCGTGTTCTGTTACCGGTGTAAATCTGGGTATGGTTAAAGTCGGTGGAATAACGGTCGAGAATGAGAACAGTGCGGCCTGGAACGCCTGTGACAGGCTGGCCAAAGCAGTCATCCATGCGACGCTTGAGCCGTCGGGCGTAGAACGAATCCCAATCTGAGTTTAAAGGCGCATAACCCTGGATAACGCATAAAGTCAGTGCGGTGTGGGGAACAGGGTAAAATGGGACGTACATTATGGTGCATGAGGTGGGCGAAGGAAGACTTAGTGAAATGCTTTCCGAAGAAGTCACGCATATGACCGAAAAAGTGGAGAATGAGATAGCTTATATATGTGGCGAGGAGAATATAATACGGAGGCTCCTCAACGATGTATTCCTGGAAAGGCTTCGTGTAGTCATGCTTGGAGACACAACGATAGGCCTCGTTTGCGCAGTGACCAAACTCTGTGTGAATAGTACTGAAAACCTGCTCGGAGATGGGCGGCTTAATGGGGTACACGAGACAGTTGTTCTCATCGTCCTCGTTGAGGAAGATGTTTTCGGATGAAGCTGTGACGGAGGAGAGAGAAAGTGCAGGGGTTGATGAACCAGAGGAGTTGTCGTGAGTCCGAGCAGGGCTATCTGCTTGTTGAACAGCAGAAAGGTACGATACTGCCGTCTTTAGTGATGACAACTGGCTGAGTGACTCTTTGTCCTTGAAGATGGACGGAGAAGGGGAGGGCGGATTCAACGCAATGAGAGATGGCATTTCCTTTTTCTGGCCAACGAACAATCCGTAGGTCAAGTCTCGAGGAGGAAGGAACGAGGAGAACACGGATCTTATAATAACCTGGTCAGGTCATAATACATAAGGCAAACTCTGACCACTGCCGGTCTGGTAGAGCCATTGATGATGTCGCGACTCGTGCTTACATCATGACAGGGCAGAAGATTCTCTGCTGCTGGTGCACCCGCCGTCAATGCCATCAGCACTGTGAATTTAGCTGCCACGTAGCCATCATGATGGTATGGAAAACCAATGACAGCCATCAGCGTAAACGCTGACCACAGACAAGACCTGCTTGGGGGTAATTAAGCTAGGGTGCATCAATTTGGACCGGGGATTAAACACGGATAAGCCATATCGGAACAAGATGCGAGCTGATGCCAATCCACTGACCATATTTTCCCTTCCTTGAGGGTGCGACTCCGGTGGTCCATACGGCAACGACCTAGGACCATCATACATTAATATCATTTCTGTGCCTCAACAGTTACTAGTATGTGCGAAAGCGACTCGGAGTTGTATAAGGTTGCATACATACAAAATAACATGCAACCCAACAGAATGGGTTCGAACTTTGGAGGGAAGTTGGTGTCAGAACGAACAGCAGCATATCACCTGCGGTAGTGACCGATGGTGGTTGGAATCTGGATTAGTTCAAGTTGGGCTATGTGACACTGTGGCCTCAACTAGGATGCATTGTATACATAGTCAGAGTCAAAGAACAGAGACTTTGAACATACACAAACCACATGCATGTATGACCTTTTATTATTAAGTACAAACCCGCAAGTCACCCGACTTACTATTATGTAAAGGTACATTAACTTGTACTCAGGCGTTTCTACGCTTTGAATATTAATTATGCTTTCTCCATCCGCTGGTTCTTCATACACTCGAGTCCTGCGCTCGACCCTCAAGACATCCCTCAAGTCCTTCTCCACCTCAAAGCCCATACTAAGCACCGCCAGCTCAATCAACCCCAACTTCGTAAAGATAGTCGAAGTCGGGCCTCGGGATGGTCTCCAGAACGAGCCCCGGCCGATCCCACCTCCCATCAAAGCAGAACTCATCAACAGACTAGCCATCGCAGGATTGCGCAACATTGAAGCCGGTAGCTTCGTGAGCCCTAAATGGGTGCCTCAGGCACGTCTGTGCTCTCATCCGCTTCAAAACCTGTGCTAATATGCGGACTCCGAGGGTCCGCAGATGGCGGGCACGGCAGAGGTTTTATCTCTCATAGATATTTTCCCGAAGACCGGTTACTCGGTGCTCGTTCCAAATCAGAAGGGATTAGACGACCTCCTAGAATTACTCTCGCCTAGCACCTCTCCAAACTCACACGCAAAGCCCCCACCTCCCGTCACCGAAGTCGCAATTTTTACCTCTGCGACAGACGCATTCTCTCTCGCAAACACTAACATCCCTATCTCAGGCTCTCTCGAACGTCTCGCCCCTGTTGCGCGCAGAGCGCTTGATGCTGGATTAAAAGTGCGAGGGTATGTTTCAGTAGTCGTCACATGCCCATATTCCGGACGCGTAGATCCGAGGCGGGTTAGGGATGTTTCGAGGGAGCTAGTAGAGATGGGGTGCTATGAGGTGAGCTTGGGAGATACGACAGGGGCGGGAACACCCGCGAGCATCCGTGGGATGCTAGAGGAGGTCGCGAAAGAGGTAGATGTGGGGATCCTTGCTGGACATGTAAGATTTATTCGCTTGTGTTTTATTCCATGGTTGATTCAATGGTCGTGTAGTTCCACGATACCAATGGCACAGCGACCGCCAATATTCTGACTGCTCTTGACTTTGGATTGCGGACGTTCGATGCGTCCGTTGGTGGCCTTGGGGGGTGCCCCTATAGTCCTGGCGCCACGGGTAACGTTGCAACGGAAGACGTCTTCTATGCTCTCACTGGGGATAGGTTATTTGGTGATATTGGTGAACCATACAGTGAAGCATCCCTGCCTGCATTTTCCCACTCTGAGCTAATGATATAATATATTGTAGATAATGGCGAGTCCGCAAAGACGGTACAAAGTCGATGGGATGTAGGTCCCGTTGACCTAGTCCAACTAGCAGAAATAGGGGGGTGGATATCCGGAGTACTCGGGCGAGAAACTACGAGTCGTGCTGGCAAAGCGCTGTTGGCGAGACGGAAGGGAGAAGAGGAACGTAAACGAAAGGAAGGAGCAAAGTTGTGACATTAGGATGCATCCCCTTTAGTGAGGTGAGCTCCTCTCGAACATCGACGTATATAACAAGACCACCAGTCTGTGCTGCGTAGTTTCCAACAATTACAGTCCATGTCTTGTCCTCCCTAAAACATTAACTGCTAGGAATTAAATAAGTACTCAGGGTATCACGATTCACAATCAGATGTCTTGTCGTTCAATTTTGTGAGCGTTCGCTCCCCACACTCCGTGCCTGAGTAATCCATACTCTATGGCCCCGCCTCGTCCCACTCAAGCGCTCTTACTCAGGTTTTGAGCCCAATTCCTTTCCAGCTTCTACATCTTCCAACGGAACGCGGTCGTACTTGGAAGCCTGCTGAGACTCGACATGTTTCACCCACGTGTAGTAAATGGACCCTAAAAGAATGATCGCGATGGAGGAGGCACGGCCACTGTGAAAAGAAATGTGTGAATACGAGGAACCTCAACAAAGATAATAGCATGCGGTCCGCAAAGAGCGGAAGAAAGATGAAGACGCAGTCACATGACAATATGAATGCGGAGAACACGCACCCCGAGATGATTTCCCCGAATAACCACATTCCTAACATGGATGCTGCCACGCCTCTTACTGCGGAGGAAACCATGTGCGTGATGGGCGAGGTAATTTTGATGGACAACAGACTTGCAATGCTCATCATGAATCCAAGCGCACCCTGATGATGCGTCAGTGAGCAATGATGTAAATCACCAAAGGCTGAGATGAAGACGCACCGTGATGAAAGACCCCCAAATGAATGTCTGCAACTCGCTCAGCTCTCCTTCCTTAGGAGCAACAACTCCAGATCCAAAAAATAATTCCGTGATCGCCGGGATCTCGCCGGCGAAGATGATGATGGGGACCATGAGCACTGCGCTAAGCAAATTCGTATACCAAGACAAGTGCATGGCGCTACCCTTGACTACATCCAGACTCTTTTTGATGACCACGCTGTGCACCGCTGTAATGGCGGAACTCGCGACGCCAAAACCGATGCCCACGAGCATCATGGGGACAGAATCTAGAAAGACGCCAACGATGAAGCCGAGGGTGACGATGGAGCAACTGAAGAGGATACGGAGGGACGGGCGAGCGGAGAGGAAGAAGTAGGAAGTAAGGACCGTGAAGGGGAGGACGAGGCCACGTGCAACTTGGTAGACAGATGCGTCGACATACTTGAGGGTATAGTTGCTGAAACTGGTAGCAAGACAAGGTATTCAATGTTAAAACTGGTATCGATTGATGGGAGAATTATACCTCAACCCCACGACATTCAACCCAATTGTGGGGGCGAGCTGTATCATGAGCTGCGTGTCTACGTATAAAGGCACAACTAGAAGACGGGCTACATGTGCGCCGATGAAAAGGACCACGGCAATGACAAGCTGGGCAAAGAGGAAGAAGAGCGGAGCAGCGGTTGTTTTGAGAACCCATTTATTCCTGCATTTCAAGAAAAGTGAGACCTGTGAGTGAACTTGGTAGACATTGGAATAGAAAATGAATTACGCCATGACCATCTGCATACGAAGATATCAATAAATGAGATGTTAGAAAAGGGATAGACTTACGCATAGTGCTGCAACGAGGTAGAAGAGCACTGTGCCAGTCTGTAATTACAGTCTCTGGTCACTGGAGAGCAAGGAAATATAATAGTTGGGACGTACAACAAGAAGTCTACTGCTCTGCTGCGAACGGGCATCATGCTTGGGAGACATTGCTATACGAGCGTCGCTCAATAGTTTGAGAGTAAAAGCGGTTGATTATAGACACGTGTTGGTGTATGGAGGTTAGGGGATCTTAAGAAGAGCTACGTTGTCAAACTCATGAACTGAACTTGGCAAGACGAGTGGGAGAGCGAAAAATGCGCGCAAGTAGGAAAATTCGCAGGACAAGCTGCCCAGTACTCTTCTTGGCGCAGGTGGAGTCTCCGGGAGCAATCAATATCGTGACATCTAAACATCCGACGAGCTCGACGAAACATACATTGGGCCACAACTCTATTATTATACACATATATTCCACTATGTAACCCTTCATACAACACGCTCCTGCACGACAATGGTGGTGGCAGCATCGCCATCACCCCCGCTTCCGACCCTCGAGTCGCTGTATCTAGACCAGCAGCTTCCGAGAGCCTCAGGCTCAGGCGGTTGAACCAGAGCTCTGCTGATTTGTATAGCAAGTTAGCGATTCAGGCGGTACAGCGCATCCACGACCGCTCCTCTCTGCATCCATCAACCATGCTCGATGTCGCTGCCAACTTCCCGCTTCCATCTTCACCAGCTCCAGCAGCTTACTCATGTCAAACGGTAGTGACACGTCTGCCTGGATGGCACCCATCACATATGATCTGTTCAAGCTACAATTCAGCATTGAACGCGCATGTAACAATGATGCTACGTACATCACCGTACCCTCTTTCAGAGGTTCCACGCGCCCACCAGTCTTCAACACGTTGCACATCTTATCAAGGGGCGTATTTCGGTGGTGCCATAGGTTATAAGCACGCATGTACTGCGGGCGGGGAGGCACTGGTACTAATGACGGAGAATTCGAATCCTGCCGCACATGTGGTGCCATCACCTTATTACCGCCCACATTGGGTGGATCAACTGAGCTGGTGTACTTTGTCGGGTCAAGTTCTTTGTTGCCGGCTTTGGCCGATTCTAGGAGCTTGAGGTGTACCATCAATGATGCATGCACATCGTTGGCCGCATCTTGACGGGCATAATCAGTCACACTTCTCCTGATTCACGTTGCAGAGCTCACAATGCACCATCTTGTCATTCAGGTCTCCCTCCCAATTACTAGTGCGCTCTTTGCTCTTCACTAAATTGCACCCGAGGTACATGGTAGTCATCTTGGCAAGACTGACTATTCGTCGCTTGTATGTGCTAGAGAAAGCATCATCCGTGACATGCGCAAGTGCACCAAGCTCGACGAGTCCTCGGGCTGTGATTCCAAAGTCACGATGCAGTTTCTCGCCATCATCTATTGGATTATGTCAGAAGACACACAGTGCATATTTCCAAGCTACGCACTGAGAATGTTTGCCCCAGTCTTTACAATACTTGGCGACTCGATTACTTCCTTGTTGGCCATTAATTGATAGCGTTCACACTATGCAACTTAGTGAGCTTACCCAAACTTTTTGCGGAAACCCTGCCACACAGCCAAGTTGTCAGGCGGCAGCAGATCATAGTTGAGAAGACGCACGTTTCATATGGCTTACCTGGATCAGCAAGATAGTCGATTTGTCGCACAGCTGTACCAGTGCTGTTCGTCGCTCTTGCGCACCAGAATTCCAGAGTACGCGCCACTCGAGGTCAAATCCAAGGGGACTATTGGGTGCATGTTCACTACTGTTTTTGTGATAATGAGCAAAGGCAGGCATACCTTTCAAGCATTTGAACCAATTTGTTGGCCTCGTCCTCGCAGCGCGTATAGACAACGGCGGGCGTGGGTGCACAGTAATCCGCGAAGGAGTAGTTAGGCATTGATGAGCTTGCTTCAACACTGAACTTAGACTTCGACGTTGCACCTGAACTACCTTTTACTTTGCAATCTTCTGGCGCTCTCCCCGAGCTTCGAGCCACTGCCATACTGGTGAAGCTCACGCTCTTGCATACTTCTGCTTTGCTAATGTCACCACCAGTTTTCTGTGATGAAATCCTCCGTCTACCCTAGTAAGGATCTACACTCAACTATTGTCCAAGAGAAACTGACCTTGACGTCCCCGTGTTTGTGTAATCCAGGGATCTCTGGAGTACGTTATTGGTTCGCAGCGCGACGCGTTCTGTACTTCTCAAATTCTCGTTGTGCTTTGCTACCTTCTTGTTATCTGACTTCGATGTTGCAGCAGCAGAAGTAACGGGAATTTCACGATTGCACTTCTCGAGAAAGAACGGGTGGATTCTATGGGTCGAAACGTTCAATTCGAGGTATATTATAACAAGCCATAAAACGCGTACGGCTTGGTTTGCTTCTCGTTCTCCTTTGTACCTCGACCCTGCAGGTTCTTCTTTGCGAACAAGTTACCCTCGAATATCTCAATTGAACTGTCAGATTCCACCGCGTCATTTAGGTTGCCCATCGCCTTCTGTGGTCGTGAAGTTTGGTCGGAACCGCGGGTCCCTGCGTTGGTCCTCTTGCGAGGGAGTGATTGAAGGGCACCGTTGACGGCACAGTGACGAGAGACGTTCATTGTATTGTGATGAGAGTATGTTAGATAGCAGCTATTGCGGCTGATGCGATGTTCTGAGCAGATAGTTACGCGTTTTCTGGTCAAGTTGAGTTAAAGGTGGACGCGTTACGTCACGTGATGGGAATCTCCGAGATGAAGTACTTCATTTGATTAATTGATAAGATATGTGTTCGCTCAGCTTCAGATTCATGTAGGTGAGTCACATAATATATGACTCCAGGCTTGCCGCAATCCTCATAATTGATGGGTTCTATACAGGACAAGCTTTGAAACTTCAATATAAAAATCTGAGAATTTGAAGGCAACATAATATTATATGACACCATTGTATGTAAGTTATAGTAACACATGACTCCGGAGTCTCAAATTCATCCCGAAGTCAAAACGATATCATTATGAATCACTAGATGACCCTGGGGTATAATTCCTTCACTTCTCCCCTTATCTTTGAGGACGTTCTGACCGCAGGAGCTCCTTAAAGATTAGTGAAGTTCATTCTACAGGTAAATAATCATTGCAATTGAGCGTCGGTCGACACTCATCGATTGGTCACTGTTCAATCTAGGCTTCTAGCTCCAAAAGTCATTTGGGTCGTGCTTACTAGCAACAGCCGAATAATGTCGCACTTATCTCAGTTATCTGGGACACCATCGTCCCTTCCCCAAGACTATGCCATCCTATCTCGTTTTGCAGCTCCCCAGTTAGAAGAGACGCAGGAAGAGCCTGAGACTTCTCTTGCCAGGAGCGAACAAGATGAATACAGTGAAGAGGATGATTTGCTTCCATCACGGAAGCCAGTTAGGCGCACCAGTTTCCCTTCGTCGTATATCATTCCGCCGCAACCGCCCATGAATATCCTTTCTGCAGCACCAAATGTGCTTCAGCCGACTGAGAACACACCCCTCCTGGCGCCTTTTATGCCACGTATCCAAGAGGATGTGGACTTCCCTCGTGATGGGCACGAGCCAAGTACAGCTCGGATGTACTGGGAAGAACTGTGTATTTTGTCAAAATACACTTTGCCTGTCTTTGGGTGAGCTCATTCATCAAATTTACCGTCAGTTCAAAACTAGACCCTTCTGTTAGGACACACGTCTTGGAGCACAGCATGATAATGTCATCTGTGGTCTCCATAGGCCATATATCAACCGTAGCTCTTGCTGCCGCAACTATTGGTTTCATGACTGCTAACGTCACTGGTCTGAGCATCATTCAAGGTCTCGTGTCGACCTTAGATACAATGCTTCCTGGGGCTTGGACTTCTAATCAGCCGCAACTCGTTGGACTGTGGACGCAGCGCATGGGTGAGCATGATTTACTATTTGTTTAATGGCCGCTACTTACACTTTGTTATTAACAGCGGTCGTCATGGCCGTTCTACTCATAGCAAGTCATTACATCTCATAGAACGCATTTTTCACTGAAACGCGAGTTATTAGCCTATGTTTGTCGTTTGGTTTAATGCAGAGCCCGTCTTGCTTTTACTGAGGCAAGAGGAGGAGGTCGCGCGGCTCGCTGGTATTTACTTGAAATGGGCCTCATTAGGTCTGCCGGCTTATGCATTCAATTGCATTTCCCGGTGAGCTTGGTTTTCTTGACTTACAGATTATCGTCCTGATTGGAATCGTCAGCCGATATTTCCAGTCCCAAGGTGTGTTAGTCTGTTCTGACCTGCGGTCCGACGCTCACCATTAATACCCGCCAAGGTCTTTTCAATGTACCTACTCGTATCACCTTGGGGGTAGCACCTATCAATGTGTTTTTGAATTATCTGCTAGGTATGTTTTGATGCTCGGGTTTGATCACCCACCTGCTCATGTGTCACCGTAGTATGGGGTCCAGAACCCATCCGGTTGGGTTTCATCGGCGCCCCGATCGCGACGTCTGTTTCCTATAATCTTGTTTCAGTAGCCTCTGTCATCTACGGAGTCTTCTTCGTTGAAAAGACAGCTTGGCATCCGCTGTCAAGACGCTGTTTTACCTCGTTGGGTCTTCTCGTCCAGCTTGGGTTAGGCGGCGTTGGTGAGTAGCTGAGAAAATATAGCACGCTCCCAAGCTCATCCGAAACGACCCTCGATATAGGTCAGGTTGCTTCAGAGTGGTGGTCATGGGAGTTGATTGGGCGTGCGTACATTTCCCTCTTGTTCATTGCCTGAAGAAACAAACTGAATTTTGATTTCACAGTTGCTGCTAGCCTGTAAGTGCTCACATTCTAGCATCGTCAAATCAACCGACGTTCCACATACAGTCTTGGACCTACAGCTTTGGCAACTCAGTCAGTCCTTTTGGCGACTTGTTCGTCCACTTTTCAAGCCCCATTTGCCCTGGGTGTTGCGACCTCTGTCCGGTTCGTTCCCAGTCTGCGCAAGTGGCAATCTGGTCTAACTGAAAACACAGTATCGGAAACCTTCTTGGGGAAAAGAATGCAAGACGTGCCGGAGTTTCTGCGAAAGCAGCTCTTTTTCTCTCCGCCGCAATGGCGGCATTCTTTAGGTTTGTTTTGCCTCACTTATGTTTGACGCTGTTTTTTTTTGAGACGTTGGCTAGTGCCGTTTTAATGATTTTCCGCAAGTCGTGGGGTTATCTATTCAATAACGACGCCGGTATGTCCGAATCCTGGCAAAAGTTACATTTCTCACACATGGCGAACATTGACACAGAGGTCGTGACACTTGTGGCATCTATCCTACCAATATTGGCGCTATTCCAGATTCCCGACTTTGCATGCGCTATCACAGCCGGAATACTAAGAGCTAGGGGCAAACAGGTACGCGCTCTAACCACACTCCGGCCGTCATATAACTGACCGATCCTTATCAGCTCACTGGAGCTCTGATCAATCTTAGGTAAATTGTGTCCAAATCCACTCATTTGGTTCGATGTCTACTTATGCATCCTTCAGCGCCTACTATATCATAGGGATTCCCTTCGGGTTATGGCTCACCTTCAAACAAGACCTGCGGCTCGCAGGACTCTGGTATGGTCTTACCGCTGCTCTGGTTTACGGATCAACGCTTGGCATTTGGCTCTGCGTCAAAACAAATTGGAAGAGGGAAGTGGAGAAAGTAGCTGAGCGCCTTGCTGTAGACAGCAAGTTCCGCGATGGGCAGGTGGACCATGAACGTTTGACGCAATGAGTGCTCGACGAGCTAGTTGATGATGCGCATTGGCCAGAAGGGTGGTTTGGTTTGGTTTATTCACGTCTTTAATGATCTCACGAGGCTCACTTTGACTGAATCTCCTTGTGGGAAATTCGTTGTCAGGCTGTGCCTAAGCCGGCTGCGCTTTCATGCAAATGTGAACATATCTCCAGGCTTCTCCCCGTGATTCTAGACTTCCTGAGACCGCTTCTTTCGAAGCCTTATCAGAATTTAACTTGGGTGTTGAGCGGCTTGACAGGGGGAGGCACATCGCATCACTTTTACTGGTGCCCGAGCCGGGACAGCCGACGCCACATTGAACAGGACCTGGAGCAGACCTAGCTTGACGTGGCATTCTGATCAACGGAGCAACGTCACTCGCGACCTTTCTCATGGATGACATTAGGTATCTCGAGGAAGCACACTCAAGATGCAATGTGGTGTTGACCAGGCGTCAACAGTAAAACTGAGCGCGCCGGACCTACCCCCTACCGCATGTTTCTATATATACCTGAACGGCGCACATACTCAGTACCCTCAGAAAACTACGTTGATCAATTCGGCGTACTAAGATTCGCTTATACCTTTTGTAACTAACTCTGGCTCCTTCCCTGACGGTTTCTGTGCCCCTTAGGACTCACTTTCACTTCAAATTCTCACCACTCTGGTGCACGCGTTTTTATATATAGCCGAAGCTGGCGGCTACTGTCTTGCAACGCTACGTTTTGCACTCCTTTCATAAAATTCTGCCTTCTCACCAGTGCCGTACGCGTGTTCTTTGTAGCGGAAGCCTGTCTTCCGACGCTACATTTCTGCTCTCCTTCCATCACGATGGAATCATGTCACCAATCACTTCTCAGCCTTGTTAACGGTAAGATTACGGCTCGATATCCTTCGACTACACCTCTTTATCTCATCAATCTGCCAGGGCAATGTGTAAAAGTCTTCCCGACCAAAATTATCACACGAAGGAGATATACTTGTACATACGAAGATTCTCAATTTCAGTTAACTATTCTAATCTGTTGGTGACGTTCACAGCAGAAACTTGCAATTGCCACTGGTGGAGCTCTGGAGGGTGCGTCTCGTCAAAAATGTCATCAATGTTAAGAGGAGCAGTTTGATGCTACTTATATCCACGATCCACGATCCAAGGCCTGCGTGGGTCTTTATGAGTTTCAAGATCGTGTCACAATGCGGATAGGATTGGGATAGGGCAGTGAAAAGCTCCGCGAAGCACCCACAATGTCCCCTGGCTTCGTGCGGGGATAGCCGTTAACGTATCTTCGGGCTTCTGCTGCCTTCTGATTACTGGAAACCGCTCACCGCAAGAGCGGTATTCAATCGCCATGCTTGCGTCCTCGTGGACCATTGGTGCAGTATATGTGAGTCTGCTCATTTCTCCGTTCGTTCATATTCCCAATACTTGAATGTATTCAACGTTCGGATCGTCGGTCGACCTTGAAGCCGTTTGGAGCTACGGCTTCCAATTGCGCAGCTCAGGAGTCGTATTAAAAAATAGTGTCGTTCAAGTTATCTTGAACGACTGTGGGACTAGAAAGACTTGGTGGCCTTACAAAAATCGGAACTGAGCCGTTACAATGTATAGGGACGTATCGTCACATGAGTCGGTTGGAAACCAAAGCGTTGCCACATGTCATGTTGAATATCGTGTCTGAATGTACCACGAAATCCCAAATGGATACAGTATCTGTGATCATACAAGTCCTATTGACTATGATGTGGTACATGGGAGAGATTGCTTTTGATACAGTGCCTGCCAGAAATCTACAACGGAGAAAAGATAAAACTATCAAAGCTTTGAAATAGTGGGTTGCATTTTGTTGAGGTATGCTGAGGCAACTACACTGCCTGTTTTGTTGTTGATGATCTGAGTAGAGCGACCGATTAATTAATTGTTAATCGATTGAGCAAAAAAACAAACCTCACATCGAGCGCTCATAATTCGCGCGCCCATAGCGACTGAGGTACTGATGATACGCAAACACGATCCACTGGTGATAAGAGTGAGTAGATAGCGACGAGAATCATTAACACTGACGTACGCTGGTGCAGGGGAGTGGAACATGATGTTCATCGACTGAGTGACTCCAACTCCATTGATGTTTTGTATGAGTCCCAAAGCGACCAATGGAGTGCTGCAGCAACTATAGTAGTCTGTCAGAACATCCTAAGGAACGCCAAACCATGGGTACTGACTTGTCAATCAGAAACGCCACACAACCTCCATGGAGCATCCCCGCGCCATTCAACATGCCTAAGCGACTTGTGAGTAATTCTTGAATACGGCTCATACACTCTGACATACTCTTTGAGACGACAATTTCTGCCACAGTCGTTGCCTCCATACGACCTTGCTTTTCGTGACTTTCATGGGCGCTGATGTCAATGAAATTGACTGCTTTGGCAACAGAGTGACCAAAACAGTGCTCGTCACCAGCCCCGTACGCAATAAATGTATTGAGAATGAGTTGCTTGACGTAGGTGGATACGTTGCCCTGTATTTGCGATGCATCCCCACAGTTGGCCAAGCTTTTGGGGTCTACCCATGCCTTACGCGGTTGTGCGTACGAGCCACCGTAGATGATGTTCTCGGAAGAGGACGAAGAGGAACCGGAAGGGGTATATGACTCATAAGTAGGAGAGGCGGCGCTGGCGTAAACGGGAGATGACCTAGAAGACATGATAATTTCGACTAAACGGAGGCTCGATTAGTCGTAGGGATGGCATACCTCAAACGAGGACCTGATATTTATCGAATGCCTTGACTCGCATGAAGACTTTCGCTTGGCTATATTTAAATCAGATTTTCCTGGATGAGAAGGGGTGTTTCTGAGTAAACTTCTTGATGCGGCTTTCAATGAACTGGTTGCCTTCTCCGCGATGCCAAGTGTGGAAGATCTCGTGATGCACGTGAGCAGTGCCACCAGGGATGCAATGAGTCCCTGTGAATCCGAGAGTTAGGCCATGGGTCGAGCATCTTGCGAAATACGTACGTACTGATGGGTCCTTATTCCATTGAATTACACCAGCTCTACTAATTTACCTGTAGAGAGAACTCATCTTCAATTTTCAGCTGAGTGAACAAAAAAAAGCAGTCTGATCTGAGCCTATATTATGCAGCTGGGTCTTTGCGTAAGAGCTTCCTAATTCTGGGGGATCCACCAAACGAATTCCCAAAGTTGGCGATGGCCACGTTGAGCTCGTGACGAGCCCTGTGAAACCGGCGGAACAAGTTGAAACATCGAACTGGAAAGAACGTGTGAATCACTGGCATGACCTGGTCTTTTTTTCCCGACATTCAACCAAGCTGTTCTCAAGATCCGCGTAGTAACACCATCGATAGATGTACACTTGAGATAGACTAACTTAGGGAGTCAGGATACTAAACAGATGGATCAAGGCCCCAGAAAATGCAGGTTCAGGATACGAACGACCCAAGGCGGTCTTGGAACTGATCTCTGATCCTCATTCACACAGGAGACCTTCTGTCAAGGGGAACTCGGTGTCTTACCGTAGGTCCTAATCACGAATGTCATCCTCACGTCAACGTTCCCAAGTCGATGGTTCACTATTTCCTTTCATTATCCGAATCGCAACAGTGGTGTCTCTTCTTAGGACCTTGGTTATCATTGGCTTGCCGCTGTCTCCGAATGAAGCGGTGTCTCCCCTGGTCCTTCGACATGATCGTGCATACATAAGTGCAATTTTCAGCATTCTGAGAACGCAGATTTGTCTATTGTACCCTATTAATGTACCAGTGCAAAGTACATACAGCGTCAATGATCGGGCACCAGGACATAGCGGAGCTTCCAGAAGCGACGTCAATCAATGCCAACGTAAGGTAGATAACTGGTAGATAGTGAATCTGATGGGATATGAAACGACTTCAAGATAAGCTGCAACGAGGTCTGCACACAGCACAGAGTGGGTTCTTCAAGCTTCAAGCTTTAGGTTTAATATTCAAAAATGCGCCGACTGTTCTGATGGAGATCCCCATGTCCTACAAACAGATATTGTTAGGCTTCGAGAAAGCAAATCGGTTGTGCATATCTCAACTTTGCTAGGAAATATAACTTTAAGTAAGAGAATCCCTAATCTATCACAGCACCTTTTGCAAGCATTGCCCATTGACGTTAAACGTCTAAATTCTCGTTGGGGCTCGACTAGAGCTATATGCTGTCGGCCACTAGTCGAGGATAACTATACGATTAAAGAAACAGTTTGAAAATTAGCGGACATGGGTACGACTTACACATGTTAGACATTCGTCAAATTTGCACATTAGACCATGCAGCTTGATCGATGTCTCACGACTGAACGGTCCTGATTATCATATAAGCTTTAGTTTACACCGATAGTCAAACGCACGAGGGCCATTAATTCTGCCTCGCAGGGTCGGAGATCAGCTAAGATGTACGAAGGGGAACAGAGGGGAACCGACAGAACATAGAAGACGAAAATAGACTGATTGAAAGGCGTAATGGAGATGTACTCCAGCTTGCTGCCCACACGAGTAGAGTAAATTTAAACCCCTGAGCACAAAGTAACACGAAGCAACTCACGAATAATTAATGCTGTTCTTAATCATTGATGCGTTCGCGCGTTCTATCTTTTGCCGACTGATTAAGGAAAATAAAACGCAGCGCTGGGGATGAACGTAAGACCGAGTCGCGTTGCGGTCGGCAGATTGCAGTGTCGCATCGATTTTCATGGAAGAAAGGTGACACATCTGGCAAAAAGAGCTGGAACTTTTGCGATGACCCACACCAAATGCATAACGGGGGAAGACAAAGAGAATCGTAAGAGATGTTGTTTTTTTAACTCAACCAACACGATGGCTCCAGCCGTATGCGAAAACGATGAGCCGGGAGAGCGCTCGGCGCAGGAACATTTTTCAGCCTGGAGGGGGTAGAGAGAGCCTGAGGCTCATCTCGCGAGCCCGAAGGCTGGACAACTTGAAAAAAGGATTCGAGAGGAAAACCATTATTTCTGGCATTTTCGATGCTAAGGGGGGTTGGCTGACAAATTAGGCAACAATTGATTGTGACGCGCGTCCTGTCCTCCGACTACGCGTCCTTAAGCTCAACTTAAGCTTCATTCTAACTACCACAAGTACAACATGGAGACATCGTTTGCATTAACTGGAAAGGGCTACGTGATTGTAGCTGCTGACACTACTGCTGCCCGATCCATTGTCAAGATGAAGGTTGACCAAGACAAAATCAAGGAGCTCAGTCCTCATCTTCTGATGGCATACTCGGGTGAACCAGGTCAGGTTAAACCTACCATACCGATTCATTATTTCTGACAACACACGCACCCGAAACAGGTGATACTGTCCAGTTCGCCGAATACGTCGAGCGCAACATTCGCCTGTACCAAATCCGTAATCTGTATCCTCTTCGCCCAGCCGCAGCCGCATCCTGGATCCGCCGTTCACTAGCAGAATCTCTGAGATCACGAAGCCCGTACTCAGTCAACTTGCTACTAGGCGGATATGACACGTCATCGCACACACCGAACCTGTATTGGATTGATTACATGGGGACAGTGGTAGAGGTGCCATTTGCTGCGCATGGGTATGGTAGCTACTTCGCTCTGAGTTTACTTGACCGGTATGTTTTCTGTTACCCTTGGCCACTTTCCGACCTATAAATTCCTTCTTTCTCGCTGCTTGGTGCTGACCGTTGTCGTTTAGGTATCACGATCCAGAAGCATCCCTAGAAGAGGGTCTTGCTGCCCTAAAACGCTGCATCGATGAAGTGTCGAAGCGTCTAGTGATTGACCCAGGCAAATACAAGGTTAAAGTAGTAGACAAAGATGGTGTTCGAGAAGCCGAGATATAATACTCCCAGGCAATGTGCAATGCAATGTACTATCGCCTTCTGCTTTTGTCTGTATTTCTACCTCTACTTCGATGCACTCAAACCAGGAAGATACTGCCCTCCACCCGATCACCTCCAATGATTCGCTCCGTCTTCTTTTCACATGTAAGTAGGTTCCGAATGCGTAAAAGTACACCTTCGTACTGCACCGCGTCCTGAAGAAGCATAATGGTTTGTGCTGCCTTCTCGATATCCGATCTTCGAATTCTGGACCCCCAGATACTCTCGCAGTAGGCATCCACGAGCCTTACCCTCTCCAGGCTCGCCATTCTATTGATACAGAAAAGCGCCGCAACAGACCCTGTACTCAGGAACGTTGCCTGACCCACGTAGAGGTTGCGAAGACCGGAAATCTCTGGGAGTAATGGCGCCACCAAATCGTCAACGTCCGAAAGTTCGGACGAAAAGGCGATGTTGGTGACCGTGATATCTTGAATGTTTGACCAGGTGCCAAATATTCTACATAGACGGCGTGCTACAGGGGCGACGATCTTAAACTCTATCGGATTAGACTTCTATACCCAAGGCCTTTGGATTGTACGCACTGCAGTGGAGAAGTGGTGGTTAGGGTCGGGTCCGGTCCACCGAAAGATTCGGGGACTGTAGAATACAAATATGGTAGCAACAATCAGGGCGATGCACCTCTGGGAACGTGCATGATGCGCAATCTTTACTCACTTGGCAGCAGACAACGCCTCTTCGAACAAATGGTGGCTGGTATCCTGTGCGTATGAATGGAGTCTCAGACAAAGGGTTTCTAGTAAGATCTGCTTCTGTCCTAGTCCCGGTTTCTCAGTACCATCGCACCTGTGCAATGCCTCGCGGAGATATTGCCAGATGTCTGATCTCGCATACTTGCCCGTCAGATCGACCGTCACTGAGCGTGGGACCACCCCCACGTTCTCACTTGTCTGGGCAAAAAGCTTCAGCTGCTCTGGAGAGTGAAAGCGGAGGTTCCTGTAAAGCCATTCCACGCCGGCATTGCGGAATTGGTGGTTGACGCACAGTATATTGCTTGGGGCGGATTCACCAGATAGTGTGTATGCGATAACGGCGAGTAAGATCTCAGGCGGCAGATCGTCGAGAGTCGCATGCATTGAGACTCTCAGAGGGCAGGGTCGGGCTGAATGAAACGAATTAATGGTAAATGAGCGCTGAGCGCCGGGCGTGAGCGTCGGCAACCGGATACCGCTGTGGGACTGAGAACGGCTCTTCGAATTCGATTCAGACGGAGCCTTTGAAAAGGCAAAACCTTACGCGCTCCGCAGAGTTATGCAAACCACTGCTTTCAATTAGGCAAAATTGTTCATTAACGAGCAGCTTGAACTTATGACCGCACATCATCGTCCATTAGCTTCTATTCCATAAACTTAGAGCCTGATCACACATTGAACCTGCGGACTCAGTAGGTTAGGTTCGGTGATCCGGTAAAAAGTGCGACGATACCATTCTCCTGGTGTGTTCAGCTTGAGAACAGTAAACATGTGGAGTTGCGCACGCAATCAATCGCTGTCCACCTCGACCTACAAATCATGGAATCAGTCGAATTAAGTTGAACGATACTAGAATTTGCCTTACTACATTGGCCATCTTGCCCTTTGCTCGTGTTGCCGCAGCACGTGTAGAGGATCGCCCTGACGGCGCAAAAAATGTGCCCTGTGCTGACGACGGCCTTCCCTTTCGTCGTAGCTGTCTTCTTTGCAGGAGCTTTCTTTGCGGGTTGACTAGAGTTGATTTTTTTTTTTAAAAAAGTGTTTTAGTGCATACTATTGTAGGTGAGAAGGTGACCGGAACCCACCTCAATACCGCAGCACGATTTGTCTTCTTCGTAACTTTCGGCGGTGCCTCATCTTCCTCCTCATCGTCATCTTCGTCCAATTCTATGACTTCCTCAGATTCACTCTGCGTTATTCCAGTCAGCGCTCTGTGTCCCATAACATAGTTTGTAAACTCACAACCACAGCTTTATTTCCCCTCCCTTTCTTCGCCGGCGCAGCCTTCTTCGCGGGTGCAGCTTTCTTCTTTTTCGGCGGAGGTGCGGGCTCTTCAAAATCTGACCCGTCCTCGTCCCCGCCATCGACGTCCATGAGCATTGAGTCGGCATCGGAGTCGGCTGGGGCGGAGGCTTTTTCTTTGCCCTGTATGGTGGGGTAAAATGCGAATTCATGTGATGGTGGGACTGACGCACCTTTCCCTTGCCTGTCTTCCCTGTCTTTGCTTTTTCTACGTATTCCTGGTTGTGTCGCTCCTTTAATTTTACGAGCTACATGAACATCGTTGCATTTAGTAACAACTTAGAGGAATAAAAGAGGCATGAAGACAGGAACGTACAACGTCATCTAGATCCTCCTCATCCACCTCCCCATTCTCCTGCACGCCTTTCATGAGCGCGCGCAACGCGCTCGAGACGTGTCCTACATCCATAATATTAGCACAGACAAGTAGGACAAAGAGAGTGACGAAATCAGAACAACATACGCGGTATGATTTTGCCCTTGAAGAAAAGAAAATTGACACTCACGTCTGTATAGCCCACCCATCATCCTTCTCCACAAACATCCTAATCGCCTCACTCATCCCTGCCTCACCAAGGACCTGCAGCTCCTGCACTGCTAAATATTCCTGTACCAACGTTTGCACGCGCACTTTCGCCAGTTTTTCGCTCGTCGTGAGGTCTGGATCATCAATAGACAGCTCAGGCTGGTCCGCCGAGGTCGCGGTACGGGAGCCGGCGGAGCGTGCTTTAGATCGGTGGAAGGAGAGCACGTCGCGTGGGTTTGCAATCCGCCCAGTGAATTCTTGTCCGAATCGGATGGGATTGGACATCGCTGGAACGTTGGTGGTGTCCACCTACAAGTAGCACAGTGGGTGTCAATATGCGTATCCTATATTGTACCAGAACATGAATGAACAGACCTTGAGTCGAACAAGCGGCAGCATACGTGGCAGCTCCTCTTCGCCTTCTTCTACAGCGTGTGCATTGCGCTCGTCCCATAACTGGTTCGCTTGGTCAATGAGAGCGTTCACCTGGATCGTGCGGTGAGTCCGCAACATACACATCAGACCGAAATGAAAACGATATCGTACTCACCCTTGCTCTCAAAAACTTCCCGACAGCAATTTGATCGCTCACATCGAACCCCTCCTCTTCTGCCACCTCCGCGAGAAGAACGTCGCCCAACATGAACGGACGCACGGTACGCAGAGGAAGAGGCTTAAGCTCGAATTCTTTGTGATGAATTTGGAGCAGGGCGACATGCCTTTGACGCAAAATTCAATGTTTTCGAGGGCCGAAGGCAAAAAAAGAAATGGAAGGGGATGGTGAATTAAAGAAAATCTGGGAGTCTCTGGTACTTACTTCTCCAACCCCTCGCCCTCGCCCAAACTCGTAGCCACACTCGACCCCGGCTGCGTGACGTGGTAGGGACGACCAGCGACGGGTTCAGGGACAATGCGACAGTCGTGCTCGTGACCCCAAACAACGAGGTCGATACTGTCGTCAAATAAGCCTTCTGGAACAGCTGGAGTTGGAGGGTGGGGGACACTATTGATGGATCATGAGTCCGGTGAAACGGAAGGGCACGGGAAGGAAGCGAACAGTATACAGAGGACAATGTATGCTTACCGATTTTGGTGCACCACAAGCACGTTGAACCAATCTTCCTTGTCCCTGGGCATGTACATCCGCACTCGATTGCTGCGGAGCTCGAAGTGCATGCGGGCATCTTTGACATTGCCAACTCCGTAGAGGCCAAGACGGGTTTGACCCTTGCGAAGAAGAACGGGGCGGATAGATATACCTAGTTTCCATTTCATTGTTATTAAATTACAGAGATAGGGTTCATGTCGCAACAAGAGATATAATCAAGGCGAAAAAAACATCAGTGTCTAGTCACATCGCGTGCAGAACGTGAACATACCCGAATCGCCCTCTGCAGGGTTCGGATTCGACGCGCTCGATAGTGGGAGGTCGAATTTGCCCATGTAGTTTATGAGCCCTGATACAGAGAGGACGTCGAGTGCACACAGAGCACCTTCCTGGTGAATATGTATTAGTGCTCACGCGTAGTGGCGAGGGAAGGAATTAGTGCAAACGAAACAAGAAAAGAACTAGGTGATGAGAGGAATAGAGGAATGTAAGGACTTTGACATGTAATAGGACTTACAGGTCCAGCGCCCTGTGGGTCGTCATGATTTCCGTGAATGCTAAAGACGGGAATGGCAACGTTGAGATTCGGGTCTTCGTAATTGACTGCTGGGAAGCTGAGGGCCGTGATCCTTCGTTCAGTGAGATCAAAACTCAAACATACCTGTATCCCTCTGCTCGTCCGTCATTGGGATCGCTAAGGAGCTCAATTTGAACTGGCTTGTCGCCAAGTGTGAACTCCCGAAGAAGGGCCATGACCTGGTATAAGCAGTCGCGCGATGGGCGGTTTTCGTGAAATAGATCACCACCGAGTAAGATCATATCGACCTTTGGACATCTTTAGGAAAAGAAAAGGAAAAAAAGGGGAAGAAATACAGACATCGTGCTTGACAGCAAGCTGGAGAATTTCCTTGAACGTATTGATGGAATCCTGGCCACGAATTGGGTCACGCTCGAGGTACCCGACATGTGATTGTCTGTTGCAACCAGTATCTTTATGGTATCCTCCAGATCTGAGCGTGTAGTAAGTGAAGGAGTAGGGTTATGCTAGTGAGAGGGGCGTACAAGCATTGTGGATTGTCGGTGGCGGTGCCTCGTCGTCTGACATGATAAAGTCGTTGAAATGGTCGATGTTGGTCTCACTGGAGACAACGTTCGAGTGTACTCGGTCGACGAGGTGCAAGTGCAAAATGTTGATTCAGAGTTCTCAGTACCACGACGCGTCGCGTCGCGTGGGTCTGTTGTCACGCCGTCACATGTCGCTTAATCAGAGCCCCTGAGCTGCTCCAGCTGCTCTGCTCTAGCTCATGACACCCATTCCACTTGCAAATTGCAATTCAACTAGTCGCGTTTCTCGGCCTCTAGAGTTCTATTCGTGCGGGTTGGGCCAAGCACACACCTCCTTCCGGCTCGATCAGCATCGGATACACCGTGGTCATATAATGAACTGATGATCAGGGTATAGACCATGACATCGCGTACGGGGACGATGTAACGTTTTACAAGAAGTAAAACCCTTGCTCTCAAGCTCAAACTTCGCTCGAATCTGGTTCAAGCTGCTACCAAACATAGTGGGAAGTTTGGACAAAGAGAGTGCAGCAGTCGCAGCAAATGTAAGCTCAAAAACCCTTCGATTGGCAGGGACAGCAGCCAGCGATTAAGGAGGTCGCTTGAAATGACACAAGCGTGATTCTGAATGAAATGTTAATGCCAGAATTCGGTCGAGGACATGAAAATGGAGTTCGATTGGAATTTGATGGAGCGCCAAAAGTCCTACTTGCAGAGCAAAGCAAAAAAAAGACTAAGGACAATCATGTGTAATTGATTGTGAGAATGCCGACCTTCGACTCTGATAGACCTGGTAAGTCTTATTTTTGCGGGGGATAGCGTCAAACCTTAAGGGTTCGCTGTCGTCTATGTCCGAGGATATATGATGTGAACTGTTGTCGCATTCGTGACTCCCTCCTTCACGCTCAGCCACCTTCCCAGTCGATGCTCCTGTCCTAAGCCAACAACTAATAATGCAGGTTGAACTGGGCTCTTTGTGAGAGGCCGCTGTTCTTTTTCTCTCCAGGAGGCATTCTCCAGTGCGCCTTTGGGTAAGACGAGAAGTTGCAGGGAGTTACAAACACCGGGTGCAGGTATCGAGCCAACCAGTGAAAATGATCTGAGTTTCTGGTCAAGCTTCCAAAGACGCACAGCGCCATCCCATGAGCCTTTGAGTTGAGTTGAGTAACATCTCCATTGTGACAACAAGAAATGCACTTACCGGAAGTGAACATATCTGAATAGCGCAGTGATGCAACAGCCGTTATCCAGCGTGGTGTTCGCACAAGCCCCTCGGTTGAGGACTGTACTTCGTGGAACCCATGGCACAGTGTCTGTGTGTAAACAGGTTTTTTCTTTTGGGTGTTCCAAAGACATATTGAGCTTCGGGCGGCATTCAGCAGTATAATTCATACAACGTTGAAAAACATACCCAGTATCTCCCCCGCTCACAAACGTAGTTTCATCGATCATTGCGACACACTCAATACTTCCTTCCGCATATCTGCTCTCCTTCATCTTTTCCTTGCCTTTGTTCGATTTCTGACCGTCAACATCCACCCCGTTCACGTGTTCCTCATCTTCGTGGCCCTCAAACGCACCTCCCTCAAGCAACTCCCGTATTGCACTTTTTCCACCGCCGCGAAAGACCAGCTGACTTTCATCTGCAATTTTCCAGAATCGGATCGTTCGATCTCTAGCTCCAGCCGTAACAGCAGTTTCTCCTCGGAGCGCGTCCAGAGAGTGGATGGTATCCTGGTGTCCAAAGAGTGTTTCTACATATCCCATCACTGAGAGGTCGAACAACTTGACAGTCCGATCAAATGAACCAGTATACAGCTGCTGTGTGCCCTTCCGGAATGCAACGCTCTAGAGGTGAGGTAAATATAAACATCACGGGCTTGTCAGTGTCGTATACATCATGCATATTAGGCATACACACTGAAACCGAATCCTTATGCCCCCCAAAACCCTTCACCCATTCCTCTTTTTCCACATCCCAGACGCCCACTCTTCGATCTTTAGATCCGCTTGCGAGGTATCGACCATCACTGCTTATGGCCAGAGAGAGGATCTCGTCCGTATGTCCTTGAATATCCTGAGGGAGCGCCTTCTCTTTGCCTTTGGCGACACGCTGTTTGTAAAATGTCGCCATCTTTTTCCCGGTCTGCAGGGACCACTTATTGATGGTTCCCTCTTTCCCTGACGTGAATAGATACCTGACATCGTCCGACGCGACCGCAGAAGTAACAGAGAAACGATGACCCCTGCATCGCAGAGTTGATGTCGAGGTGAGATCATACTGTCAAAAATTACATCAGTCATAGTAGGACAAAGACAGAAAATCCTAACAAAGTCTGCCACAAAGAGATGAACTTTGCCAGAGTGCTCAAGGACATCTTGTCGCAGTCGTTCTGATATCAGCTCTCTATCAATCTCAGCCGCATCAAATTCTCCTTCGGCTGCTTCCCGTAATATTGTGAGCAAACTCGGAACACGAATTCAGTCGAACTGTACTTGCCTAGGCCATCCTTCACACTTTCCAGGTAAAGTTTCGCCAATCGTAATCGCTTCTCCGCTGGGGTTTCCTGTTCATCTTCATCACCACTCGTCTCGGGCTCAATTTCCGCGCGCAAATCAATGTCATCTACACCACCGCCCTCCGAATCTGTTCTGTCCGAGTTCAATTCTTCATCTGCAGCTTTCCTCACTCCTCTCCTTGTGCTTGCATTGGTAAGTTTTGCGTCCTGAGGACTAGCTTTGCTCTTGCGGAGGACCTTCTTTACACCCCTGCCTCCTTCGACTGTGCTGACGGACCGCTTCCGTTTCCTGGTTTTTGCTGACGCGAAGAAAGAGTCTGGCATAATCTTGTGTTGCAGATCGAGCTCCCCACATACGATGCTCGACCAAAAAAATCTGGAAGCGGAATATGCCGAGTCACGTGCTACTGGAGGTCTGGTTACTGTATATGGGTGTCTCCAAGTTTCCCTCACTCAAGAAAAAGAAAGTTCAGGCCGAGCAATCCGATGGTCAAGGCATCAGCTGGCTTTAGATCTTTATCGTCCTTTCATCCACTTCCACAGCCAGCATCCTCTTGTACAAGAACCACCATGCGATCTCTCACCGTCGACTCTCTGAACCCCGCCGTTCGCAACGTGCAGTATGCCGTGCGCGGTGAGCTGGCAATAAAAGCAGAGGAGTATCGTGTCAGACTCAAGGAGAGAAGTCAGGACAGCGGTCTACCATTTGATCGAGTCATCTCTTCGAACATTGGAAACCCTCAACAGAAGGGGCTCGATCAACCCCCCATTACCTTCAATCGGCAGGTCAGCTTCGTTTTATGTTTTCCTCCTCTCAAAGATGCAGAGGGGCCGGAAGCATTTCTCACTGTTGTAACAGGTTGCTGCACTCATGGAGTGGCCGCAGCTGGCGCAGCTTGCACCAGATGCATTTCCAAAGGACGTCATTGCCCGCGCGAAGGAACTGCACGAGGAAATTGGTTCCATCGGTGCCTACTCGCACTCCCAGGGCGTTCCTCTCATCCGTCAGAATGTCGCGAAATTTATTCAGGGTGAGTAGCCACATCAGTGCCACTTATTTCAAGTGCAACGGTTACTGGGATGTTTATGTGCTACGTTCCGAATTGACCCGTCCAGCCGAGTTCTGTTAATTTCTCGAGGAAGTCATAACTCGTATTGGATCAGTGTATATGTTATCCGACGTAGCGCTAGCCTTATGACACGCTCCTTCCACCTTTGTAACTGACACGTGATCACAGATCGTGATGGACATCCGTCCTTACCAGACAACATCTTCTTGACAGGCGGCGCTTCTGCGGGTGTTTCGCTTCTGATTTCAATGCTTATCTCGGAACCCCACAAATCTGGTGTCCTTATCCCTATCCCGCAGTACCCATTATATACCGCGACACTGGCACAATTTTCAGGCGTGGCGATTCCGTACCATCTTGATGAGGTACACGACTGGTCCACGTCAATTGACGAAATCAAGGCGGCACTTAAAAAGGCAAAGGAAGATGGTATAGACCCCAAGGCACTTGTTATCATCAACCCCTGGAAATCCGACTGGCGCGTTGTTGAGGGAGGACACGCAAAGGGAGGTGGCAAATTTGTGCGCAGAGCATGGACTCGTGCTCCTCGCGGACGAAGTGTATCAGAGCAATCTGCACCGTGCGGCCGAATTCCCATTCACTTCATTCAAGAAGGTTGTCTGCGACATAGGCTCACCAGTTCCACTCGTATCCTTCCACAGTATCAGTAAGGGTGTGACAGGGGAGTGTGGGCGGCGTGGTGGTTACTTCGAGTGTCACAACATCTCGGAGGACGTCCGCGCGATGATGTACAAAATGGTGAGCGTTGGGCTGTGCCCTCCGCTGCAAGGCCAAATTGGTATGGACTGCCTGGTGCGACCCCCAAAGCAGGGCGACGAAAGCTACGCGCTTTGGAAAGAGGAGACGACGCGAATTCACGAGGTACTCGCGCAACGCACCAAGGTCATGGCGGATCGCCTAAACAGCCTACCTGGCGTCTCATGCGTTGATTCCCCCGGAGCACTATACCTTTACCCCAAGATCACGCTCTCAGACAAAGCGATAACTGCCGCACAGGCTGCCGGCAAGGAGCCGGATGCATTCTATTCACTCGCGCTTCTCGATGCAACAGGCATCTGCGTCGTGCCAGGCAGCGGATTTGGGCAGAAGGAGGGAGAGTACCATTACCGCCTTACCTGCTTATGTCCTGGCGTGGACGAGTATGTTGGGAAGTTAGAGAAGTTCCATCGCGAATTCACTGTGAAGTACCAGTGATTTCGGATATCCTCGTTTTATTAAACAAAGGCTGTATATGTTCGTCAGGTTAGATGTCGCTGCTGACTTTGTACCTTGCTGTGTTGTAGTACTGCTACCTGCTTTCATATGTGCGCTTGGGATACCCACCTCTATACCATCTGTTCATGTGTTAGCAATTAATATTATGGCCGTGGGTAATACCCCGCTGCCAGCTCCCCCAATCTCAAAAACATGCACATTACCCCAAAAGTCAGCACGTAGATGCCAGTGGTTCCAAATCTACTCCCATGTCCTGTTGCCCATCGTATTCGCATAGCATCCCTCATCTCTCCTCTGAGGCGCGTTCGTCCAAGAACTCCATTCTATGAACTCTCTGCGCACCGTGTTCCGACCCTTTGGTCACTGTACCGGGGTTTGCTCAGACATGCACCAGGGGAAAACGCGAGCGATCTGCTTTTTCACCTTGTATTGTCTAACATGATGCACAGATCCGATTTCGTGTGCGCATGCTGTTCAGGAAGAACCAGCACGTCGTGAAGGCGCATGCTGCGAAAGAGCAACTCGTGATGGGATACAAGGTACTACGCTTCTCCCTAATGTGGTGATTGGCATGATACAAAGGATGCTCAGTGGTTAGAATCGTTTAAGCGCGCAGAGCAAGGTGATATCAAACTTCAGAACCTTCTCAACAGGTATGAAAGAATGATTGCCACTAAGTGCGAGAAGACAGTTTGGAAAATGCGCATACTAGAAGCATTCGTACGTATCCTAGTGTCTCTTCGTCGTCGTCCTCTCACAGAACTCGATCAGAATTGGGAAGCCAAGCTCCGCAAGCGTCCTATCTTCAAAGGTTCTTTCATCCGTCCCTCCTTTGAACACAACCTTCTTCCTCGCCTAATTCCGCAGCCTGCTCACATAACTGGAATGATTGTGCGCCGACGTGTCGCGCGCGTACGTCGGTGGGAGCAACGGGAAACATTAAGAGCTGGGCACACGATTTGCGGCATGAGAGTCTCTTTGAGTACTGCGCTGCTCAAGAGTGCACAAGGCGAGGCAGTTGGAGCAGCTCAGTTCACGAAGGGCAGGATGTTGGAGGATCAGTGCCGACCGATGTGCAGGGGGGATTGTACTTCCAAAGGAACGCCTCTTGTGGGACCCAGTGTACACAGGAAGGGCAAAAGCTAAATGGGGTGAGTGGTGTATTTGTCCGGGCAGTCGCAACATTAACAACGTTTTTTGGGTCAGATGAGCCCTTCATCAAGCGCCAGGCTGAGTTGAAGGAATGTCTGATGCGCGACATCTCACGGTACCGTGCTGCCCCGCCCCTGGACTCGTACTGCAGGGCAAACAAGCACGCCGAGACAGGATAGCAAACAAAACAGCTCAGAGACAGCGCGAACGTTCTGGTGAAGTTACTACTGCCACCATTAAACGTCGGCGGAACGCACCCCCTGCACACATCCAAGAGCTCATGACACCAAGGCAAATACTGATGGACAGGGCGGTAAGGGAAGCAAGCGAGGGCGGGTGGTCGGGCACTGTGAAGGCACGCATGGGTGTGCATATGCACATGTCTGAAAAATGGAAGGCCGAGGGTGGGTGGGAGGATCAAAAAACTAAGAAACGGCTGGATGATATGGAGAGGGAGATTCGAGTGGAGAATGAGAGACGAAGAAAAGGCAGTCAGCTAGACCCTGCCCCTCTTTCTGAGTAGTCAAGACTTCGCAAATATGTATGGCAAGAGGTAAGTTGTACAACCCAATGGCTTTGGGATAAACTTCTCCGGAACATCCCACTTTCATCCGAGAAAATATGTCATCCCTGGCTTTCCTCACCATGTGCATTGCTCTTGTGCTTCGGTGTAAACGACCACGTTTCGGGCGCAGGACCGAGGAACATCTCCGAGATTTTTACCCAATCTTGGCTGTTCGGACTTGCAAGGAGTGTTTCTACTCGTTATAAACATCAATTTCAGTTTCCACATGGCCAATGAAGCACATGCCTAGTTCATCCCTTCCTTTGAACGCTGGTGCTCGATCGTTGATCTTGGCCGGGAGTCGCTCGAGTAACCCGATAGGGACGTAACGGTATTGGAATGAAAGCGCTTCACAGAGGAATCGGCGTGTCGTGTTCACACCTGTTGTGTCTGTACCAAAGTGACTGATGATGTACACTTAACCAACTGTTGTCATCAAGTTGAACAGAAGCCAAACCTCAATCCAAATTCAGCGAACTGTCAAATATTATGAGTCAGGACGGACATAAGAGAAAGACGAAGGAAGGTTACCTTGCCAATTAACTGTAATCGCTCCCTCGAGCTGATATCCCATTCTCGGTGCTCCTTCACTTCCGTGAAAATCCATGGTTTGATGAGTGCTCCCCGTCCAATCATGACTCCGTCCACGCCAGTGGATGAAACATTGGTCCAGTAATCATGCGATGAGAAGCAATCGCCACCGCCGAAAATGGGGATCGGAGATACTGGGAGCATTTGCATTTACCGTAGTTGTTGCACATCAGAGCCGACAGAACATCCGTTAAAATGCTAGAGGCAGGTGAGAAGGATAGAACTTACGACCCTTGTCCGCCTCTCGAGCCCGCACGGCATCAACACATTGTTTTATGTACTCCCAATCAGCCAATTTCGTGTAGCGTTGTTGGCGCGTACGGCCATGAAGCTATTTCTGTCGCATGAGCCAAGAAAGTATCAAATGACATTGAAGAAGACGCACTGTAATACAACCAACCCCCCATTCCGTGGCAGCGCGCAGCATGATTTTATGTGCGTTATTACGACCATCCTTGACGCCTGTCCGAAGCTTGATTGTAACTGGAATCTCGCCCAACGCTCTGGACATCCCTGTGACAATTTTGCCAAGTTTTGCTGGTGCATCCAGTACTACGAATCCAAGCAAGGTTATTGCAGTCCCAGGAGACGCAATGTCTAACTCACAAGCACTTCCGCTTCCGCTTTTGAAGACAAGATCGATCGGACATCCACAGTTCACATCGACGAAGTCTATACCTCCCGCATCACCAAATTCGCGCCCAAGGACTTCGGCGGTTGGGACCAATGTGCTGGGCTTATTCCCTGCGAGCTGAATTCCAAAGATGCTCTCCGACGGGTGCCGCCGGACGAGCGAGAACTCAGATGCAGAAGCGGTGAGAAATGAGGTCGCAAGGCCCACTGGATGGGGATTGCGAGTTTAGTGCGCGAAAGTGAATGATACAGGGAACGATGTAAGTGAGATGATGAAAGTAACAGTGAGTGATAACGCACTTTCACCACATGTTATGTCCGCTCCGAGGGTAACGCAGAGGCGTCTGAATGGCTAAGGTACTTGGGTCAACTGATATACTAGTTGTACGGCAACGGTCGTACCAAGTTGCCGACCGTTGTTAACGGCGCGAGATCTGAGTAAAAATCATCCAGTGAACTTTGTTTCAATCTATTATGAAGAGGGAGTATCATACATAATTTACCACTCCAGTCCAGCCTTCGCTTTTCTGATAAGCGAGGCAGAACATCTGGAGTATCAGTCTGAGCACTGGGATCAGAAGCCCCAGTGCGTTTTGTGGTGAGTTCTGATGGATCAGGTGGAAGAACATTAGGTGCATCCATGGCCACGTTATCTGCACCGACATCCGCGCCTTCTTCCAGTCCATTGAAGTCTCCTTTGGCAACTTCCAGTTCTTTGAGGTATGCGTCAGTTATTGGCCTAGGGTACTGCAATGCATGCTTCAGGTCCTGCTTCTTTGCGAGAAATACTTGCGTCCATTGCTAACCTTCTTGGATCTAAGCAGTTTTAAGGTGTCTGCACTAACAAAATTGAGTTCCGTGGAGCTTAGCGCGGTCTGAGCCCTCTTCTCCTCATCTTCGACGAGCGTGATCACCCCGGTGACATCACACTTAGCATGAGCTCCGAGAAAGCGACACTTGAGTCCTAGACGACAGAATCCCGATTCTCCAAAAGAGGGGCACGATGTGTGTTGATCGAGCGAGGAAAGGCTATCGTCGGCTGTAGAACCATCTTCCTCCATGCCCATGATAAAAGGAGCGACATCTGATATCTTCGGAATCGAAGGGAAACGAATATCCCTTGGTTTTGCTGCCAGATATGAGTCGACGTCATGCGTGAAGCGACATCTACAGTGTACACAGCATAAGAAGCCACCAAGGGAACTGGAACAAAAACACGCACTCATCTCCATGCTCGCATACTTTCCCATTTGCGACTCTCCAGCACAGCTCGAGCTGATCGTGTACCTTGCCAAACTTGCGACCCTTATTCGCACCACGCTTTTCCTTCTTTTGCGCCTTGGTCCATTTTTTGCCGGCCACCCGTGCCCCTTGTGTCAGAATCTACTACATTCACACGTGGTGCTCCGGTATGAGCTGTTGAACCTTCTGCTGCATCATCATCGACTAGAGGAAGGGCAGTAGGGGACAACAGGAATCTACAGGCAGTGAACCATTTCAAAGGCAGTGCGATGGCGGGTGCAAAAAACGTACTGTTGTTTTACGGGGGCAGTTCCTGGAGGAAGGGACATGCTAGTCGTCTTGCAATCGAAGACTAACTTTCAGGCTGTCGTCGTGAGAGACGGCGAGTGATATTAATTATGAACAGTCTATTTTCCCGCACATCAGGTATCTTATCACACCGCCACTGCAACATCACACAATAGGCAATATCCAAGAAACTGCGCTGTACGTAATTCTAGAACATGAGGAGGCATTGAGGTAGATTAAGTGGTTAATCAAACAAAAGCTTGATGAAGAGTTCAGGCGTTGCAGTGGCTTGAAAAAGGCCGGAGTCTATCCCTCAATAGGAGGATCCACGCCATCCTCATCCAGGAGCGATCAAGGGTGGTACCGCAATCCAATTTACATGCTTCAGTAACTCGCCAGAATATATCGAATAAGCATGGTTATTTGTCTGTGATCAATCGGCCCGTTCCGCACCGCGGCGACGATACAACCCTCGTCCTGGACGATGTTTGAGATCTGAGAGGTGAAGCTGCTGCCAGTGTCACCGAGTCGGACAATCTTTCTCAGAAAGCTGTCATTCGCTCTGGTTACTCATTGCATCATCAAGTACCTGTCACCGGAGGGTGAGATCAACTGCCGTTGCAAGAGGTGAATCTGCAACAAGAGCAAGTAGCCGTCCGAAATCGGTTTACTTAGAAATTTAGGGCTCAATATCGGCACGGGTTCGCAAAAATCGTTCACATGTCTCAGTATACGTACCAGCACGAACGACTTCCGTGACGAACCTTCGGCAGCGTTCATTTGTGTTAGGTATAATGTAGAGAGGTCTGCCAGATTTTGAAAGATCCTGATATGTCAAACGTGATTCAATATTCATACCTGAGCACCCCTGAGCACTCTTCATTTTTCTTTCCTGAATTGTCATCCACCCCAGCAATGCAAACCATATTGCTGTTAACGAGCGCGAGTCACTGGTCAGGTACAACAAGAGGGTAGTAAGTGATCTGAACAGGTAGCTTACAGCTCGAATACCCCTGAAATCTCGCTACGCTGCATGCCAGCGGAAGAGAATATCACGATCACATCGTCCGGAGCTCTATCGACTGCTTGATGCGCGTCCATGCGAATCATAACTCCATATAATATCTGGTCTGCCTGTTCGATACGTCCATAATCTATGCCATGTCAATAATCGGGAGAATACAAGCGTGCTGGTCCCTGGAAGAAAGCCTTAGAACCCCAGAGTGGGGTCCCAGTTTGCCCACTTCTCTTGAGTATAGATAAGGTCGATGAAATTCGGAGCAAAAGATTGGAGCATCACCAAAATTATGTTCATATCGTACCTGCATAGTCAAGTTGATAGGCATCGGAAGCGCCAAGACATGAGGTGCAGGCCCTCTTTCCAGACTTCTTCCTTCCAAGAGTACCCAACATAGGGTACGTGATTGAGGCTCGGTCAAGTCGACGTTGCACTAGCGACACCATTACGATGTACGCAGGTTGAAGAATCCAAAACAAGCTTCAGGAAGAATATTATCATCATTGAACCTAACAATTAGCTGCAGTATATTATGTCACATGCGCTAGACTTTGAATCGGATTGTACAAAGAACATTTCGGAAACATACCTAACCCATGATTGTCGGGCTAGGCCACGAAACTTTGGGTCAAGGCACGCTTCGAAGGAGTATGAAAATGCAACTAAATACATCTATATCGCAAGGGTGTAGGGATATTGAAAGTTCGAAAAGTAACGTCTCGAGTCCGCTGTTTGGGAGTCCGCTGTTTAGCCACCCATTAGAAATGGCCATGCACACCCTGCCACCCTCCATAAGCCGCGTTATTCGCAAACTGCTGCTGCTGTGCTACAAATGGTGGCGTAGCCGCAAATGGTGGCTGTGGCGAGTACTGTTGTTGAAATACTTGTGATTGCGGTTGGGCATACGTCAAGCCGGGGTCTCGCATATGACCAACCACTGGCTGAGGGGGTTGCCCGAATGATTGAGGGAAATAATTCTGCTGAGGCAGGGGTGCCGCAGCGGGTGCCCCGCCCAACATGTCGGTGCTCATCTGTGGAGGAAACGAGTTGATAGTATTAGAAGATGGATAGCCCGAAAATTGCTGTTGGAAAGAAGTCTGTGGACCTGTGATTGTGGTAGGACTAGCAGCTACGATATGCATGGGTGTAACTGAGGTGGGGCTCCTCATCGATGGCATTGACGAGGGCATCATGTAGGAACCCTGCAGAGCCGAGAACGGATTGGAAGAAGCATCGAAATTTGTCTGGGCGAGGGGCATAGCATGGGACTGGGAAGGCGGCGCCGGCGGCTGCGAGAAACCAGAGTTCTGTGATTGATATTGCAATGGAAGAGAATACGACTGCGAGGTGCTTTGCAGTGAGATTAAGTCATCCCAAACCTGGTTCCCTGCAGGCTTCAGGATCGGAGCAGAGGAGCCGGGTGTAGGCAACGGCTGGGAGACGGATCTCGTTGGTTGCGCGGGCGTAGATCCCAAAGGCAATGCACGGGAAAGTAAATTAAATGCTCCAGTGCCTCCACGAGAGACATTTTTGGCAGGAACTGGTGGAGGTGTAAGAGAGGCCTTGCGTTTAATTAATGCAGGGTCGGTTGCAGGGGTTGACCTTGGCCGTACAATCACAGTGTTGGAAGATAGACGAGCAGCGGGAATGGATTGGGAAGGTTTGCAGTTTAGGAACCATTTAAATTCGTATTTGGCTTCGACAGGATATCAGTCATGAAGACAATTTCACAGAACGCTCGCATACCTCGGATGAACTTCTCGATCTCGCTATCTCGTTCTGCTTCCATCATGTTGGTGGGTGGGGGGTGGCGAGCTTCGTCAGGGTTGTAAAGGGTGTTTGATTTAATATTTCCGTTTTGTTTCATGACCTGTGAATAAGAAGAGGATTTTCCAGAGCTTAATATCTGATATCAGGGGATACGGAGATGCAGCCTACTTCAACCTGTTCCTTGGTCCATGCGTCCAAAGTGATGCTCTTTCTGTGTAGAATTGCTGGTTAATAATTGAAAGTTGAATTGTACGTTTTTCCGACGCACACTTTCGTGATGTGGGTACCAAGCTTGCGATGAATGCTGGCGCAGTTGACACTGCATCTGATGAACGTCTGCAAGTACACAGCGGTATTTCGTGTAATACGTACCATATGAAGATGCCTAAACTGTAAGAAGCCCATCGCGGGGTTCGCGACTTACAATCAGCGCAAACGTCTTAAATAGTAGTGAGCTCATGACTGGCCCAACAATTTCTGGAAAGTAGCATTACCATTTCCTGGTTGCATTACTAACTCCAGCAAAGTACGCTGGTTTCGCTCGATTGCGATTTTAGAAATTCCCGAAGACATTACTGCAGTGAGAAGAGAAAAGTTGCTGGTGTCGACCTTGACACCTACTAGTTTAACGACACGTTCGACGGGAGAAACTGTTTTCGGATGTTATAAGATTTGTAATACCACTTCGCCTCGGCACTCAGAGTCAGATCTACATCTACATCATCTCAGAGACTCAGCGCTCAGGTCCTCAGTCACTGGGCCTCTGAATCATACTCACATCAATTATTCACTTGAGGAGAACGACCTATCCCCACACCTCTGTCATTTACACAGATGTGAAGTTCGCAATGTCTCCCTTGCTTTGATGAGGCTCACCTGTTCCACAGGGACCGAACTGACTTCTCAGAACAAAGCTCACTACAGTCCGATGGCAACAAGACTAGTGGGGCATTACGCAGCTTCTTCAGCTTTCCATTCTCTTCGGACGAAGTTTATCAGGTAGGTACCTCCTTGTTGAGACACATCTCTGTCTTCTTTCCCTAACATTACCTGGCAAGCAAGGTCTAGCGGACTTACATGCGCACGATGCACTGAGTGGGAGGACAGAGGGCGAGAAAGCTGAAGTCATCCTTCGGACGCAACTTTTTTACTTCAACAGAGTCACCGGCCAGGACGTGACCGCAGAGGATGTTCGGTTTCATCGGGATACTGCGAACTCCCAAAATTTCACTGAGAACATGGACATATCCCGTCCATCCTCGAAATATCAAGACGGAGAAACTCATCTCCTGACGTTCGCCGAGCTGACGTCATTGATAGAGCAAGGAAAGACAGACAGCATACCCAATAACAAAGTCATCCCTGACACGCTCAACGTAAGTCTATCGCATGATTAGACGTTACATACGTAGTCATCACGCCCTTTCAGGATGCACCTCCCAGTACTTCCATCGCTCCGATGCGGAAGAAGCCCTGGGAAGTCGACGATCAATTTTGACGTGTGAGATTTTCAATTGTGCCAATAACGAAAGCATGCGGTGGCAATGATTTTATTGAGCGCCGAAGCATATGTAGTGAGTGGTTCTTTTCTATTCGCAGTAGATTAATCCTTCAATGAAGGCTTCAGCTTCCATTGCCGACATGATTATGATACATCGTGATACATCTTCACTTGCTTGAACTTCAATATTCAAGATTCAATAGTGGTCTCAATTTGCGACGCATGTCCTCTATCAAGCAGTTGTAAACCTACTCCATGTTTGTCTTGTCACCAGATCATGGGTACATGGTCTGTTCAGACAAGATAACGTTACGTGTTTACATGGGATCCAGGTTTGCACGGACGTGAGTTTTTCCGGCAGGTGGAACACTAGTGTCGTTATTTATTCTTCGGTGCCACAACCGTCGGTCCTTACAAAGTCACTATTCTTGACAGCAGCATGTCAAGTAATGACAGCGTTTGCCAGTGCACCTTCTAATTCGCACAGATCCGACAGTCATGGATGGCACATTGCATATTGCACAAAGCTAAATAACATGATGGTCGATAGTATCCACCTGGATTGTCCCAACACTCCGTTAACCCTCCCTACACTCCGGAATACGGTAAGCTCTACTGGAATACTTGTGACAGGAGTATAATCCGCTGCAATCATACAGTGTCCCAAAATACACTTATCATTCCACCCTCTATACGTGTTGTGCCCTGAATGTCCCTGATATAGTTATCCTTCTCCACTCCTCGCCTAGTGCCGAGGATTTTGATGACGGCAAGCGGACTCTCCCTCGGGCACCAATGACCCGAGTTACTTCCCTCCTAGCTGTTCTGATATCCACTGCATCGACACGTGCTTGTCGACATGATGTCCTTGTACTTTTCGCAGAGCGGCTATGCCCTCCATAACCCAATTGTGGCTGCTCCATGAGGCATCCCCTCGAACGACAGGAATGGATGCGAGTGTGTTGTGGAGCAGATGTAAGTTCTCGGAGTCCACCAGTCCTATGGGTGCCCTCCCAAAATAACCATTCTCCCCATCCTTGAGTGTGACTGATTGTGGCGCTTCTAGGCTGTAGTCAGCAGCCGAGCCAGCGATTTGATAGACCAAGGAATGGCTAGATGGTGTGAATACGACGACGATTACCCATTTGGCTTTCGAGGATGATTGCCCAAAACGGGCGACTGCCATTTCGTAGAACGGGGGCATCGGGTGTGGGGACGGGTATGCAAGTAAGTGGGTTGGCAAATTTTTGGTGTAGTAACAAACGGCTAGTATCAGGGCTGGCGAGGAATAGGAAGAACGTTCCGTTCTGACCAAGTTACGGTTGATGAGAGAGAGAGAGAGGTGCAGCACAGTACTTGGAAGCTTTTATAACAATTCTTCAAGCTAACGTGTTCTATTGACAATCAAACCCATTCAAGTATGCAAGAATAAGATATCTCAGCACTACATGGAACATGGGCTCGCATCCAAGATTGGTTGCTTAATCTAACCCGAAAAAGTCTTATTGAAAGATTCCAGGGCACGAACACAAGGAGAATGCGATGGCACAGGAGGAATAAGTTTACCAAACCGAACCCTCAAGTGTCTTCGATCCGTCAGAGATGGCCCGAACCGAATCAAGCTGAAGTGAAAGTGCGGGAAGTACTAAAGGGATCTTCCTGCCCCTCTTCGAAGGAAGCTGTTTGTCCGATTCCAGCCTCCGGTGCTATATATTACCTCGGTTTATGAAATACAAAGCACACTCCCTAATGCAGGGTACTACTACATAGAACTCCTTGCGATCGTGTGTGCGAAGAGACTTGTGACAGCTCTCGTCTCTAGAACTCAAGCATATAAATAGCCTGAGGAGAGGTGTCAATGGTTAGGCCGTGAGGAAACTACTAAAAAGACAGCTTACCGCAGTCAGAACAAACGCATTCTCCCAGAGGGAAAAGTGCCGTGTAGATTTCTTAATCACGCATAAAATTCTGTAATTTAACCCTCCTTGAAAACATCAGCGGGTGATTAGATTTTCAGTCTGATGCGGCCTCAGCAAGACGACAACGGGAGGCACGGGAAACGAACGCATTCTAGGTCTAATGGTGGCGCATTTGACAAGTATCTCTTAACGACATGAACGTCGAACTGCGGATCTTTGTTGAGTGACCTAGCACCCCACAGTGGTACTTACGAAGTAATAGTCACGAGGAATGTTTGACTATAAATTTGAATAGACTTCAATTGGCACAGCATCAAATCAAAGTTTTATGCAAGTTTTGTATGATTGTTATGTGAGCAGCCGGTTTGTCTCACGGTCGCTCACCTATCACTCATCTCAAAACGACTTTTGGCGCTGAACTTTGTCTTCGACGTTCGTGAAGGTAGAAAAAAAATGGACACATAGTCCATCTAGACGCGCACACATTACATACAATGACCGATTCCGCCTCCCAGCTTGCAAGGTGCTGGCTGCTGTCTTCGAATTCTTTGATCCCTAACTGATCCTCAACTTAGTGAGGCAAAATCAACCCACCAAAGTCTGAAAGAGCTTCTCAAAACTCACCTTCCATGGGATAAAGAGGTTGAATTTCAAAGGAAGAGGTATTCACATCCAAAAATCCTTTTTCGACGGGATTCCCCTGACAGTGTCTATAGTCTGCGACGTTTGTATCTGCGTCTATTATTCGTCGAGCCATACGCAAAGGAGTCCAAGGATGCGGAGACTCATCTTTGGATGCAGACCTCTTATCAGTTTATTTCGAACTACAAGCAGAACGTTGCAACTTTAGATCGAACACTGCAATCTGCGCCCCGCCATCAGCCCAGGCAGGGTAATCATGGCCCGGTGGAGTATCGCAAACTGATGCAACGTTTCCGCCAGTTTCTTGCCGAAGAAGAGAAATTTTGGACACAACTAGTGGCTCGATACCAGCGATCCTTCGCACTTCACGAAGCACAGCATATACTCTCTGCATTAAACATTGCAATTCCAGATGACCTTGGTGCTTCCAATGGCTCCATTGGGGGACACGAAGGCGTTCAGAACTCCAGTTTCGGTCGCAACCAATTTCAATTCCCCCTTGAAGGCAATACGCCTTCTCCTACCAGTTCTGCCGAACGTGACACCAACCTTGCAATCCTCAGCAAGGCTATAGTATGTTTGGGTGATATGGCACGATATCGGGAGCTTTACAATGAGGGTGGAGGACGTCCTAGAGCGGGTCAAGAAGATGGCACAGGCGCCAGCCAGGAGGGGTGGCCGCAACAGGAGAGGCGGCACCCCAAGCTTTGACTCAATACCACGCGCCAGGAACTACGACAAAGCTGTCCAGTGCTACGAGCAAGCACGCCTTTTAGTGCCTTCGGAGGGCAATCCATCACATCAGCTGGCCATTCTCGCTTTCTATCAGGGTGACATGTTCAGTTCGCTTCTCCACTATTACAGGGCGCTTTGCGTCCGTCAGCCTTATGACACCGCATCCGAGAATGTCAAGAAAATTCTCAATAAATCGCTCGATCAGCAGGCCAAGAGGACAAGGGAAGGGGTGCAAGCGGCCCCCGAGATTGGCGATCTACCTCCACGTATGAGAGTCGAGTCCTTTAAGGAGAAAGTCGTGTTGTTGCATGCATTATGGCGATTAGGTTCAGATAAGTGAGTGACTGTATTTGATTGATAATTTTAGTTGTCGAGATGACATAATTCGGCGTCATTCTTTAGATCAAGGTTAAATCCTATTGCCCACGCAGCAGATGTCGTCAAGGATTTCGCCGCTCTTGTTTCAGAGCGCGTTCTTCCAATTGATGCTGTGACCAAGGTCATTGTTCTCTCTGAGGGAGCATTGTGGAAACATCGCATGATCCGGGACACGTCTCCACCTTCGAATAGGAGATCTGGGGGAATTCCTGACCCAGCTACCGTCGAATCCCAGATCTTGAAGCATGTTCTTGCAATTTATCAGTCTCTCCTGGAGATAGGCGCTGATGAACTTGCCCTTCCACCGGAAGACGCAGCTGAGAATGACCTTGCGCAACGGATCACCGCAGCATTCAGGCGCACTCTACCCGCGTTGCGTGTTGCGAGCAAGTGGTTGTTAGCAAATCTCAAATATGTGGCGCATGCTACACGCCCTGCGGGATCAAGCCAGGTCGAGGAAATTCAAGGCGTATTTGTTTCAGACATGCCAGTTTTTTGGCAGCATTACTCGCGTTTTTACAGCGCCCTCTACCGGCTATTCCCAATAGAGAAACTACCTCCGTTGCTCTCTCCACTGGATGAGGACGTGGACCTTAGAGGCTTTCTTCCACTGCGGAGCCTCATGATTGGCGATACTTCTACAATCGTGGGCACCGATGCGCGCAAAGGGAACGGAGTGACCGCTGTGGGACCGCAGGGCCGCGACAACGTTCACCCAAATGAAGAACAGCTAATGAGGATATCCGATTTACTCAAAGATGTTAAGAATCTCGCCGAATCACCAGTAAGAGCCGATCGTCCTGCTTTTGAATTAATCATATTTATCGTACCGTAGGATTCTCCGATCAAACTGCAGGGTGATACATTCAAGTCTCTGCTTGAAATTACTGCTGCAGCACCTGTGGCTCAGGTTCAGGCAATCGGTGCGGATCCTGTGAAGACGCCTATTACGCCTGTAGTCCATTCTCTTGATGTTTTTGACTTGATGCCACGGGAGGCCCTTCCGGAAGAGGATGCTATGACTGATACAGGGCGTACTGACAACGATGATCCAGTTGAAGATGCATTCAGAACCGTACTGAACGCCGAGACACATGATGAAGGTGATGAACTAGACGATGACGTCGTAGTTTGGGACCCAAGGTAACAGAGCGCCTCTTTCATTTCCATGCGTCTGATGTGATTTCTAGGGCTTCCACTTCGCCGCCGGGAGTGTTATCGGCTCTGCCGACGACACCCATATTGGCATCAAGCATGACCAACAACAACTTCATCAGCCCCAGTTCATCCATCGCTGTGTCTCCAGGTCGTATGGTCTCGGCATCGCCACCTTCTGCCTTCACAGGAATGACGGCTCAGGATTTATTGAACAGTTTCTCCAAAGTCGGTGGTGACATTGCACGATCTCCCCGCCACCAGTCTGTTGCACCTCCATCTCAATTTCTTTTTGGCTCTGGGCCCTCGAACGCTCCACCTTCGATATGGTCAACGACTCTTGATCAGAACCTGCCAAATCTCAATCCCAGGGCCGCATTGGTGACCAATCAGTCTCAGGCTTTGCCTACACATAGTGTCGAGCACAATTTATCGACGCCAAGCAACCGAGATATACACCCCTCTAACCGGCCTCCCCCTCTATCCTCTTTTGCACATTCACAATCCCCGTGGTCACCTTCCTTTGAATCTGCGCATGATCCATTAAATATTCACTCCGTCTCACGACCATTTGGTCTCGGGCAACATCGTTCGATATCACACTCGGCTAGTACGATTCAGAGTTCACCTTCATATCAGACTGCACATACCGCAGTGAGTCACCAACCCTTTGCGTACCCACAGGAACCACTGTACATGAACGCGGAGATCGCCACTGCTCCTCTTCCACCACCATCGGGGCTACACTTCCAACAGGGTGGTGCATTTAACCCTTCTGCGGTCCCTTTGCCGCAGCAGCAGTATCCTCGGCCGATGCAGCATTACTCGATTTCGTCTGTTTGGGGAAACATTGGGTGATGACCACTGTTAGGTTGTCGTCCTTGAACTGAGAAGCTGCCACATGCTCGCGGATACAGCAGATACGGCTTGTGCAGAACCCCCTGTGGCCTGAATTCGTTATCATCGAACACGAGCCGGACGGTGCGAGTCGCCGTTCCAGATCATAACGGAGCTGCACCTCCTGATTAAAGGGATCTTATTAACTGGTGCTTAAAGGCCAAAGGCGTGGCATTGAGAACAATCAGAAGTTTCCTCTCCATCTATTTCATGCCTACCAAACCTATTTCTTCTTCTTTCATAGTCGTGTTCCTTGTCGTTTTCGTTCTCTGATATCTGCTTCAGGTTTCTTCTTGTAGCATGTTCTGTTTCTGTCCTTAAGGCGATCAGACTTTGAGCCTGTTTTGATATTTGATATTGTCGTTATGTATACGTCCACTTGATAATTGTGCGTCGTGTGGCATGTATCATGAATTCATATTCTTCTCTGTCTCTTGCGCATCCTGGAGGACATCAATGTGACGTGTCGGTATGAATGCAAGTTGCGGGGAACATTGCTGTTAGGTACTTGGCGGTATGATGACTTGCCCCTGTTACACACTATCATATAATGGAGAAATGAAATCAGAAGGTATCATCAATTTCATTCGCCAATGTTTCTAGATTCATGCAAGAACGCGCAATCCGGGACAGTACAATCCGGGGGAACAAAAGATATCAGGGTACAACAGATATTAGCACTCTTTTCGTAAGAAGGTAAGTGGGCGAAATGCCCGGCCTATGGATGATATATCCTTTTCGGGGGCTGAAAGGAATGGAGTAGCTCTAGAGGCGTTCGCCACGGCCGATGACAGTCACCTGAACAGAATAAGCGTTAGTATCGTAACCGTTATCCGGGCAGACACCGGATCCAAGGCCCACCTTGAAGCCGATCGACCTGAGCTTGTCGGCATCCACAAGCAACCGCCCATCAAAGACAAATGCAGGCTTGTTCATACCCGCGTACACGGCTTGCCAATCAATTGTCTTGAATTCGGCCCACTCGGTGGCAATGACGACTGCCTCAGCATTTTTGCAGGCTTCCAATGCAGAAGAGCAGACGAAAACTTGGCGTTTGACTTTGCAAGCAGCGTAAGTGGCGGAGATGACATATACGAAATTGGCTTACTCGTCGCAAGTGACACGTCAGGGCTAGCCTCGTTGAGGTCTGCCCATATTTGGTCTTGCTTTACTTGGGGGTCATAGATGTTGACAAGGGCCTTTTCCTCCTGGAAGTCGCGGATAAGCGTGATGGCAGCTGACTCACGAGTGTCACCCGTGTCGGCCTTGAAGGCGAATCCAAGAACAGCAATGCGCTACTATAGGTTAAATTCGATTCGACTGATGCACGAAAAAGTTGTGTACCTTGCCAGTGATGGTGTTGAACAAGGTATCCACAACTCGCTTACTGAATCTCCTCTTCTGGTATTCATTCATCGTCACCACCTGCTTCCAGTACTCAGCTACTTCCTTCAAATTAAGACTCTCTGATAGGTAGACAAGATTGAGAATATCCTTCTGGAAACAGCTACCTCCGAAACCAACGGATGCACGAAGGAATTTCGGGCCGATGCGTGAGTCTTGTCCGATGGAGTGAGCGACCTCGGCGATGTTGGCGCCTGTGGCTTCGCAGATAGCGGACAGTGCGTTGATGGAGCTGATGCGCTGCGCAAGCATAGCGTTTGCAGCTAGCTTCGAGAGCTCAGAAGACCACAGGCCAACAGTCAAAATCCTTTCTTTTCTGTGTGGTCGGTCAGTACGTCATCAGCTCTGCACTGCCATGAATACACTCACGGTACCCAATTCCGATAAACCTCGCAGAGCGCCTCGCACGCTTCCTTACCCTCAGGGGTCTGCAAAGAGCCGATAAGCACGCGATCAGGAGCAAAGAGATCGTCGATGGCGGTCCCCTCAGCGAGGAACTCGGGGTTGGAGAGTATGTCGAAGCGTGCGTTAGGCTTGCTGTTGGCATCCAAGATAGTGCGCATGGATTCCGCGGTTCTGCAAGGTACGGTAGATTTCTCGACGACGATCTTTGATGAAGTAGCGGTAGCTGCAATGCGCCGAGTGGCGAGCTCGACGTAGCTAAGCTCCAGTTCATCAGCACACCATCACATGACGGGAGGATCGGAGAAATCGAAAACTCACTTCAAGTCTGCGGCAAAGCCAGCACCGACACCGCTCTTCTTGGTCGGAGTATTCACAGATACGAAAATGAGGTCTGCATCCTGGATGCCCTTATCGACATCGGTGCTGAAGAAGAGATTGCGTCCGCGAGCCTTGCGAACGACATCATCCAGACCAGGCTCATATATGGGCAGGTTGAAGTCCGGCGAGTTCCAGGCATCGATACGGGCTTGGTTCAAGTCAACAATGGTGACCCGGATGTGAGGGCATTTCAGTGCAATCACGGCGCAGGTAGGACCGCCTGTAAAGTACAAGTAAACTCGAGGAACCCAAGAGCGACCCTGTGAAGCAGCGACTCACCGACGTATCCAGCACCGACTAGACATAATAAATGATAAATCAGATAAATAGGAGATACCATCGTAGGACTTACTGCAGCAAATTTGCTTGACTCTAGGCATTGTGGTTGGGTCGAGACTCGAAGGAAGGATGGGGTGGAATGAGAGAGGTGTTATCGAGGTTCACTTATAAGAAGTAAAGCCTTGACCTTGAAGGGAGTGGCGTTACTACGCGGTGAAGCGAGTATGAAGAGCGGCCGTCGTCGACAGGACGTCACTCCACTACCACTACTAGTACCACCAACACTAGTACTATGATTGCCTCATTTCACTTCCTTATCAATCAAAACCGCTCTCATGATATAATGATTGAGTTGTTTTTTGTACGTCCACTCGACCCGTTAGACTCCTGCAGGCTGCAATAAGCAGGCAAAAGTTCATTCGACCGTGACAAACGGGGAAAAACCATCGTGGTGGAAATCCTCGAGGACTCTCGGAAGGCCAGGAACTCGGCGAAGTTCGCATTGCCTAGATCAGGTATATCTCTCGCTTCTATCTGCATCGTGGAAGTTCCACGCGCTATAATGATGTGGCTTAACCAGCTTCCGCTTGGTATTGATAGTACTGGTATGCTGCACAGGGTCGATCGCACTGTCTGCCTCGACTCTTAGTGTCGCGTAATATTACTGCCAGTCGAAGACTGGCGATAGCCAGCACCCTGACTGCATCAGGGGTCTAGACCTCTATCAACGGTGCGTGTCTGTACCTTTATGTCACCTTGACCTTCAACATGCCGAAATCTGGCCGCCATCTCAAACGCAAGGCATATCTCCTTTCAAGCCTTATCGATTGTGATTTCCGCTCCGTATAACTTGGGCTGTGAATGGTACTCTCTCGGTTCACACAAGCCTGTTATTGCGTAAATGTGAAGTTGTGACGCACGTTGCCCAGTTGGCCTTGCTGTTTAAACGCGGGAGTTTGAGGTAAGTACTTAGAGTCTCCGCATTGCTTGCCTGTCAAGAGAGCTCCCGCAACGAATTAATTTGCCACCGTAGACGATAACACAAGAGTGACAAAACAGTTTGAAAAATTGGGTTGTAAAAGGGTCGGAAACATTCGATACACAAGTACTTACACAGCAGTAGAAGAAGACGCCAGCTTGTGAAATTATGACAGATGAACATATAACTACACACCAATATGAATGAAAACAATCCTTTGCTCGAGCGACACTTTCTTTTTCACGGAGTCCGTAGCCTTGTTGAGAGCCGAGGCTGCCTTCGTACAGTCCATGACGCCCTTCTTCAAGTTCTTGAAAATATTCTCATAAAAAGCTTCGACAACGTGTTTTGTAACATCGTCATCGACCACCCAGTGTGCCAATGACACTCTTGAACCCGGAAAACTGCAGACCAGCTGTGAGGTGGCGTCGGGCGTCTTCACATCGTCAACGACGGTATGACACGCAGATAAGAACGCAAATTCGGCTTCCGGAGCGTTGTTCTCCATGATGTCGAGCAGTGTGAGAGGTTTTGCTTTCATGGCGAAACATGGATCGTAAGGCTGCTCGCAGTCCTGCTTGCCATGGCAAGAGTATCTTGACAATGGGTAACATGACTTCATATCCTCCGCAAGAGTGCTATAAGCTGTGCCCTCGACTCCGTTAGGCCCATAAAAGACGTCTGCCGTATCTCCCTGGTGAAGTCGTCTTCCAGCCTCGAGACCTGCAAGAGTGAGAGACGGGAAGGGAACATGATGGGGATCCCCTGATGTTGGGACAATGATGGCGTTACACGAGTATTCGCTCGCGATGAGAATCACGACTGGGCCATGACACGCTGCTGCTTGCAAGTCGTTGTACGAAGGTGGGAGCAAGAATCGCGAGAAACCTTGAAGATTGCGAATTCGAGCCACCGCAGCTTCCCACTGCATCGTGTGACTAAGTCTCCGGTATTCTGTCGCTGCCTGATCAGCTGCAGTCCGGTTTGCAGTTTCTGCAGAGCCCTGAGCGTCAGACAGGCGCTTGCCGAGCTCGAGAGTTTGTGAGCTAGCGGTAGACTTTCAGACTGAAGGTCGTCCAGCGGAATCCCGAGTCGAGAGGCAAGTGACTATTGTTGACCGCGACGCCGCTCCTCAAGTTCAACCACTTGTTGCAGACCATTACGACGAATAGCGCATGATGCCGCGTCTACTGGAAGTGATCGTGCACCATGAAAAGCAGTTGCAGCATTGCGCCGTAAGATAATATAATTAAGGATCGCGTCATCACATGGCTGTCCCAAGCCTCCTGGATTCGAATCGGAAATCCTTTAGTACGGTATTTTGATGTCAGTCTGAAGTTCTCCACTGCGAGTGACAGATCAGCAGGCTTATGCTGCACCCCGTAACGAGACAGATAGGCATGCTGCAGCCACATGCACCCGGAGCATCTTTCTGGGTGCAGGAGGCAAAACTGTCAATGATTCTTGGCAGAGATCAATCGCCTCCTCGACATTTTCATTCTTCCGAGTGTGCGTGCAACGAAAGCACAGTGCCCAGCTTAAATTGTGAAGAGTTGGATGGCGTTCTGGATCGTCAGGCTGCATTAACCGAAGTGGTTCACGGTACACATCAATGGCCTCATTGAGATCCTCGCTAGCATAGGTAAGCATAACATCGCTGCCTCGCGACGGAGACTGATAGCTCTGTTATGTCATTTATGTCACAGAAACAGTCGAAAAGGGCGGCCCTCAGGTTGTCCAATCTCGATGAAGATTGCGTCCAATAGGGCGCAAGCACAGCACTTCTTCGTATAGAGAGATGACCTCGTCAAGGTCATGAGGTTCGCCTTGGTGACCGAAGTGATGTCTGAGTGAAACGGGCAAGTTATGGAAATAGATATCGCGGCCAGAATATCCCTCGGCGATCAGAGAAGCCGCTTCAATACCAAGTTGTATGCTCTCGTCGATATCATTAATGCTTCCACATTGTGCAAAGCGTGTGTTGAGTGACCATGAAAGCTTGTTGAATGCTGTTGGACGGCGTTGATAGCCCAGAGGACAGAGTTCGAGTACCATCCGTCGAAGGTGGATGCCTGCGTCTATGGGAAGCTTGCTGCAATCGTAGATCACATAATCGACAGCACTGTCTATGCTGATGCGACGAAGGTAGCTGCCCGCTGGACAGAGCAGCAGTACGCTCCTTGATGTAGAGCGAGTTGAATACCGTAATGAGATAACGCATGATCGGGGTGGCCGTGCGGTTGCAATGCAATGCAATGGCGTCGCGAAATAGGGAGGTAGTTGATTCAATTTCTTGGGAATCCTTGCGGATAAAACCTTGGAGGCGGACCCACGCGAAGTTGGTGAGAGCAGCTGCACGGTCAGGATGGCCGACCGGACGCTGGCCCAGAACCCACTGAAAATGCTCTCGCTTCTCTCGTATTTGGCAAATATTGTGTGGCCTGCGTCGAGCAATCTCGCATTCAGCGATGGACGCTCTGTCAGCAGCAGCAGAAAACACGGGTACTAGGGTTGGCACATCGATCCGTGCGCCATCCTGATCTCCACAAGCATGTTCAACAGTAGCCTTCAGGATGAGAGAAGGGCGGACACCACGGACGGGCGGAAAGGAAGGATCTACGACGCGTTAGTACATGTGCATGAATGAAAAGCAATTCACTCACTGAAAGGCTCATTACCGTGATCGAGCAGCTCATCCCACGACGTGTCATTGCCTAGCATTCGATCGAGCTCAAAGGATGCCCGGATCTCTATTGATAATTTATGTGACGCAAGTGATGATCTACAAACCAGGACCAGTTCTCGATTCGGGTCCACAAGTCTGTGTGGAATGCTTTACATGTTCACGGTATCGCCCCACACTACGGATTTATCGCTCGAATGGCTGATTTCCAGCGTCGAGTCGAGTCGAGTTCGACGGATATGTAAATGCCTACGAGGGTGCGCTCGGAGGGGGGGACTTTGAGATTTTTTCCGCTGATGACTGTAGATAGAGCGTGAAGACCGCGAAACGAACAATAAGGTGGTATGGAGTGGCCCACCTTCGAGTTTGACAGATCGGCCTTCCAAGCTACCGGGCATGATGTCGCGATGAAGTAAATGACGAGCGACACGTTGGGACATCGAAGATTGAGTGATGGGCGGAATGGGTGGTAGGAAAAGAAAGGGTAGGGATATGGACTGGGGATGAAGAGGGAGAGGAAAAATGGATGAGAGTTCACGGCGTGCTGTACTTGTATATTTCCATGGTGTCGATGATAGACGCTAGTCATTATATTCCACTAAGCGATGAGACCAAAATATAAGACTAACGGCAGCAGGGGAGCCTGTCGTACAGAGCAGGCAGTGTCGTATGGACATCAGTGGAAGTGGCTCACCATGGCTTATATTGCTGGTAAGCAGTGTGGAGCAGACATACGAGTGTCAGAGTGCCTTGTGATGCTGACCCAGCCTTGCGACTCTTGTATCACTCATACCAGTCATTTAGCAAGGTAATAGATAGGATCCAGTGTATTTCGTAGTGCGTACATGCAAACCGCTGAAAACGAAAGAAGTCTACAACGTGCGGATGAGCCGAGCCGGGATATACGATACTGATGGAGCTGATACCATGAGAGAGAATTATCGAGCGTGTCATGGTCTGCATCAGTGTGATGGATCGAAGGTAAGATGAGGCGGCAGACGACGCAATAAGTGACGAAGAAGATTTGAGCGTGAATGCAGCTTGAAGCAAGAGTCAGAAGATGCAAAGAGGTGAGAAATGAAGATACCTGTATAGTAGTCAGCCTAGGCCTGGTTGCCGCAACGAGCCATCGTCTGTTCCTGAGACCTGAGGTACAGAAGCATTTGCCAGGCTGCATGCTGTCGCCCGGTACATTTGCTGGTAGGTCTTCTTGGGGCATGGTTGGACACGAAGGGCCACAAGCTCCAGTAGCAATTGGCTGTCGTGAAAATGAGGGACAGAGCCAACAATACGGGCAAGACCATTGGAAGGACGTTCGCATGGTTGGCCCACACTAAGCACTTATCGTTACCACCATTGATCAAGAGGGCGGGCTCAAAGAACTCTGGATTCTGTGATGGCGTTTCCGGTGTTTGCCGAGACTGTCTCTTTCCTTCTCTGGACCCCTGTATGTAACTTACCTGCATGATACCTTGGGCTTCGAACGTGCGCGTGAGCATCCGGACCCTCCAATCATCGACACACACCCTCAAACATGATTGGGAGAGAAAACCCCCTCATATCTAACGGGCCCAATACTCGATAGGCTTCTCATCCTACAGTAAATACTAAAGGCGACACTAGTTCTACCAGTTGCTGTTCACTGGCGTACTTCTGCGCACCTCACCCTGGGGGAATAATGCATTACCATTGTAATTACAAGATAAGGTATTGCATTAACAATTGTAATGGCTAATGAATTAATTTTTAATCTTAGTAAGAGGGGGTTAGAGGTTAGATTGTTAGATGTTAGAGGTTTGTTAGAGGTTAGATGCTAGATGTTAGAGGTTAGAGGGTTAGTGGTTAGTGGTTAGTGGTCAGTGGTTAGGTGGTTAGTGGTTAGTTAGGGTTAGCTAGGATTATATTCTGCCTGGTGCCTCGGAGGTTAGATGTTATGTAATGTTATGTAAGAGGTTGCTGATAGTTACAATGGTTAATGCAATACATTTGTCTTGTAACTATCATGCATTTAATGCATTATAACTACAGGATAGCCTCTTCTGCGAGTCCTCAATGTCCCACTAGTATCCAGGTATTCATCCTGTCACGTTTGCCTGCATCTCAGTTGCTTGCACCCTTACCATATTTCTCCTCCAGGAAGACTTGCATGTATCACCGAGAGGATCTACTTCGATCATGCCTTGCATCCGATGCCCGTCTTTTTTGCTCACTCCACCATAGCCCCTGCTCCAAGCGCCTGGGACACTGTACCATATCGACGGGCAATCATTTGAGGAACTCGTAGAATCACGCGATATCCTAGACGCCCTGTAACTATACTCTGATATGAAGACACATATCCTCTAACTCGAGCGGCATCTCCTTCCTAGCGGCATAGTATTTCTATTGGCATCAAAGGCCCGTCTCCAAAATAATTGGATATCTGTGTCTTCCCTTATATTCGTAGTAGATTCAGGGCAATGTTCATCACCAGGATGTTTCGCCGCAGTGGATTTCTCATGTTGCCTTCAGTAGCTGGTCTACGACTATGTGAAATGGTTATTGGTAGAAAAATATTTTTGATTTTTGGTTGATGTATGACGTGCAGTCTTTCATGGCCGGACACAAGGCAGAATCAATACAAGTGGAAATTTGTGGTGTTCGTACCTTGCCAGCAGAAAGGTCTTAGAAGATCGAGGAATAGAATGTTCGAGAGCTTGAGACCTTACCCATCTGAAACCGTATAATTAGTATTTCCTATTTACACCTGATATTTGTTATCACAGGCTTCATATGCTTCGACATTATTTAGAGTCGTGTTAGGAAGTACCCCGATCAAAACTAGAGAACCCAGACTGCCAGGTAGATCGGGTGTACTGGATGCACCTGGGAAAAGCGTACGGGTATGATAAAAATTGGTTGCATAGGAAGGAATGAAAATGCACCAATAAAAGAACGCCGATGGGGACACCCATTGAAGACAGAATAGTGTGGTGGTTAGAGCAGTACATTGCTCCTACTGACAAGCATTGGTCTGCAAACGACGGACCAAGGTTTAGCTGTGTAAAACTGTTGGAATCCGACGAGACGAAGGAAACGGAAGACTGGACTGTAGAAGATGAGAGTGAAACAGTACGGGCGCAACCAGTGAGTACGACGAGGCGACGCGTTGACGTCGGCCGAGGCTCGTCGATATTGGAATGTCTATCTCTAAGTAACAGACAATTTACTTATCATTTACTTATCTATCCTATCTGTACTATAAAGGACCTGAACGAGTCGTTAGAACATCTCAGGTCTTTTCATAGAGCCTGAGATGTAAGTCTCATATATTTTTCGCGTTATTCTAAAGAGCTAACATACCATTAGATATTTATTCTACTAGGTACTTTACCCGCTCTTACTAGAGGTCTTTTCATAGAGCCTGAGATATATTTATTCTACTAGCTCCCGCTTCGTGCGCCACTCGCCTGAACTCACTTTAGGTTATGAGCCCTGACACAGGCCATGGAATCTTCGCTCCCCAGCACCACTTCCGCGCTATTCAACATCCCCAAGCTAGCCGAAGACGGCAGCAATTGGATTACCTACAAGGAATGGATGTTGACCGCGATCAGTGCTAGAGGTATGATGCGACATGCAGACGGCCGTGCCACGAGACCAGTACAATATAGTATTGACCCAACTGACGAGCACCGTCAAGAAGCCAGATGGCTCGACGCCTATGCCAGCAGAGATCAAGGAGATAGAGAAGAAAATAGATGAATATTTGCAGAAGGACTCACTCGTGAAGCAGCAAATCTTCAGCATGATCACGGATTGTCTCTTACTGCGTGTTCAGAAGCTCGAAGATGCCTTCGAAGATTTGGAAGGAAATCTGCAATATCCATGAGGGTAAGACCTGAGTTGGTCCAGATTGACCTCTGCCGCAGGCTGCAGGACTTGAGGTGCGAAGAGAATGGCGACGTCAAAGCCCACTTCTTGGAACTCTTGAGACTGCGCGAATCCCTGGCAGGCATGGGCTCGGCAATTGAGGATCGTGATTTTCATGCGATCCTACTCGGCTCGCTCCCCGAATCCTATAGACCCCTCCTATCCTCCATTAATGCCGCTGCAAAGATCACGCAGAAGGCACTCACCCCCAATGAACTTATCACTGTCATCAGCGAGGAATACGAGCATCGTCTCCTCACGGACCGTTGTACCTCCAAGAAAGGGTCAAACGCGGCACTGATGGCCAAGAACGGACCTGGAAAGGGCCGTAAGCCCTCAGGAACGAACCAAGCCGGGCAGACGTAACGTGTTTCAACTGCGAACGCAAAGGACACTATAAAAGTGACTGTTGGAGACCTGGAGGGGGCAAAGAGGGCCAAGGGCCGAATCAGCAATGCCAGAAGAAAGGTAGCCGTTCGCCTAAGGAGGGAGCTAATGCAGCGACCTCCGAACCTACCCCACCAGAGAACTTCGCGTTTGCAACGTCCAACTTGGCTAGCATAGCCAAGGAACTGAACATCCCCGTAGAACTGATGCAGCGCCATCATTGATTCAGGCACCACATCTCACTTCTGCCCGGATCGGTCCAAGTTTGTCAACTATGTCCCCATAGAGGCGCAGGACGTGCATACGGCCGATGGATCCACCATTAGCGCTATAGGCAAGGGAGACGTCGTGTTGGACTTACCAAACGGCAAAGACCGCACTAGGGTCACTCTCAAGGACGCGTTGTACAGTCCCAAGATGGCCTTCACCCTCATCTCGACTAATAGGATCACTGCGGGAGGTTTAGCTGTCCACTTCGAGGACAAGATGTGCAAGATTTTGTCACCTGCCCCCAAGCGTAGTGTTATCACCACCATTCCCCAGATCGCGGGTCTCTATAGCATCGCTGGACAGCATCAGCACCACGCTAACATTGCACGAATGAAACTTACCTGTCTATGAGCTGCACCGAATGCTGGGACATGTCTCTCAAACCGCGGTTCTAGAGGCAGTAAAAAAGGGCCTGATCGATGGCGTCGACCTAGACCCAAACTCCAAGCTGGAGTTCTGCGACACGTGCGCTAAGGCTAAAGCGATGCGTAAGCCATTCCCGAAGGAATCTGAAAGTCGAGCGAAGATGTACAGGTGAGGTCATCTACACGGACCTATGGGGTCCAGCCAGAACTGAGAGCCTAGGTGGTAGCCTTTATTATATGACCTTTACCGATGACTTTACTCGGCAGACTAAAGTCAGCTTCCTCACGCACAAGAGCGACATGCTAGAGACGTTTAAGGCATATGAAGCCTGGTTGTTGCGACAATGCGATGGGATGTGTGTCAAGACCCTCAGGTCTGACCCGGGGGAGAATACTTGAGTCGAGAATTCGACAAGTACCTGAAGGAAGAGGGGATTCAGTGGCAGTTAACAGTGCATGACTCACCACAACAGAACGGAGTGGCTGAATGCCTCAACCGCACGCTTGTAGAGCTAGCGCGTGCTATGCTCCTTGCCCGTGATCTCCCGAACTTCCTCTGGACAGAGGCGGTTAACTACGCCACTTGGCTGAAGAATCGCTTACCTTCATGTGCTATTCCTGACCACACCCCTTTTGACTTGGTCCATGGACGACGTCCATCGCTCTCGCAGGCCCACGAATTCGGCTGCACCATGTTCGTTCACGTGACGACAGGAGGGAAACTGGATGCTAGGGCCGAGGAAGGACTGTTTGTCAGGGTGGATGAGGAGAGCAAGGCCTATCGAGTATACTGGCCAGGGAAGAGGCGAGTGTCGGTCGAGAGAAACATTAGTTTCAGCCCGGTGAGTGTGACTGTGGCAGCAGACGTACCAGACGAGGGGGAGTCCAGAACTGCTACCAGCAGCTCCTACCGACAGTAACGTCCAGAACGTCTGTGCCCCAACCACCCTCCACACCGCCCAAAGCGCCACGACAACTTGAACCGCCGCCAGCCCCCAGAGCGACCCGATCGCGACCTCCGCCTGGATACTACGCCACCCTGCACCAGGGGGAGAGTGCATCCTTGGTCTTCCACCCTGTAGAAGCAGACCTAGCGGACGAATTCGCCGCAGCCGCAGCAGAACCCGAACCGACTCTCCAACAAGCCCTCAATGGCCCAGACGCGGTCGAATGGCAAGAAGCGATAGACTATGAGATAAGTCAGTTGGAGAAGCTGGGAACATGGGAAATAGTAGACGCACCTCCCCGCGCTAACCTTATACCCTGCCATTACATCCTGGCGATGAAGAGAGGTCCCGGAGGCGAGAAGTTGAAGCTGCGAGCATGGTTGGTAGCTAACGGGCAGCGTCAGCAATATGGCGTTGATTATTTCGACACCTTTGCACCCACATCCAACATGTCAACAATCCGCGCCGTCCTTACAATGGCCGCCCAGCAGGATTGGGAAATCCACCAAGTTGATATAAAGAGTGCTTACCTCTACACGGACATTAAAGAGGAGATCTTCATGCGGGCGCCACCAGGGTACTTGAAGGACGGAGATGAGAGAAAGGTGTTGAAGTTGAAACGGAGTTTGCCAGGATTGAAGCAAGCCGGATTTGAATGGGCGGAAGAGTTAGCTGGGGTATTCGCGAAGATAGGATTCACACGCTCACAAGTCGACCAAGCTGTGTACTTCAAGTGTTCCCCGACCCAGCACATGGTCGTCACTGTATCGGTGGATGACATGGCGATCACGTCTAACCATCTCAGCCATATCGAGCACTTCAAAGCCCAACTCTGCAATCATTTCGAGATATCAGACCTGGGAGAACTTAATTGGCTTCTAGGACTTAAGGTCGAGCGTGACCGCGAGGCACGGAACATCACCCTTTCTCAACAAGCGTATATCAACACTATCCTTGAACGGTTCTACCTTACTGATGCGAAAACCGCACAAACGCCTATGGACGTAGGAACCGTCCTGTCAGCAGACCAGTCCCCCGCGACACACGCCGAACATGAAGCCATGCAAGACGTACCTTACCAGAGGGCCATAGGGTCCCTAATGTACGCTGCAACCAGTACTCGCCCCGATATCGCATTCTCAGTAGCTACGTTATCTCAATTCATGCGCAACCCCGGATGAGTGCACTGGGAAGCCAACAAACGCGTCTTTCAGTACCTTAAAGGTACAGCCGATCTTGGACTCACCTTAGGAGGCACAGATGCTGGGATCGAAGCGTACATTGACGCGGACTGGGCGTCCCAGCCGCACAGACACTTGATGTCGGGCTATGTTGTTATGCTAAACAGAGGACCCGTAGCATGGAGCGCGCACAAACAGCCGCTGATAGCGCTGTCAACCGCAGAAGCTGAGTATATTGCGCTCACAACAGTAGCACGAGAAGTGCTCTACTTACAGTTACTCCTTGACGAACTCTACGGACCAGTTGAACTTCCCACCCCCATATATTGTGATAACCAAGCTGCAATAGCTCTCGCGTCAAACAACAAGTTTCATTCGCGTACCAAGCATATCGACTTATGATACCACTTCGTCCATGCGCATGTCAAGAGCGGCACATTCGCACTCGAGTACTGCCCGACGGAAGATAACGTCACAGATGCCTTTACCAAAGCATTACCCCGTCCCCGCCTCCAGAAGCTACTGCGCTCGGATGAGCTTAGAGCCTTGCGCTCAAGGGGGAGTGTTGGAATCCGACGAGACGAAGGAAACGGAAGACGGACTGTAGAAGATGAGAGTGAAACAGTACGAGCACAACCAGTGAGTACGATGAGGCGACGCGTTGACGTCGGCCGAGGCTCGTCGATATTGGAATGTCTATCTCTAAGTAACGGACAACTTACTTATCATTTACTTATCTATCCTATCTGTACTATAAAGGACCGAACGAGTCGTTAGAACATCTCAGGTCTTTTCATAGAGCCTGAGATGTAAGTCTCATATATTTTTCGCGTTATTCTAAAGAGCTAACATACCATTAGATATTTATTCTACTAGGTACTTTACCCACTCTTACTAGAGGTCTTTTCATAGAGCCTGAGATATATTTATTCTACTAGCTCCCGCTTCGTGCGCCGCTCGCCTGAACTCACTTTAAAAACAAGCGAAAATGAATATAAAGTCAATGATCACTCACTGGTGTTTTCAACGTGCGTGTCAAGAGACAAAGTCCGAGAATGGGAGTGGAACCCAGTGCGGTGGTACTGGCATCAAGTGCACCAGGCGAAAAGTCAGCTGGAAAAGGGACTATTAGCAGCAAATGATGCACTATACAAAGGACTTGCCAATATGTTTAGTGAGGCTACCTACCCACAACCCAAGCCTATGCTGGAGGTCGATAAGTATCTGACGGCTGGAACAGGCATGAGACATGCGAGATGTTTGGGGTGCAGGTAGTGCTAGGGATCTGCACGGGTAAACCCCAGGGTAGTGGTGCTCTCACCTGCACCCGCACCCTGATGTATACCCATACCCTCAGCACGGGTATGGGTTTTATCACAGGTAAGAGGGAAATGTGTTGGCATTGGTATGACCATTCTTGCCATTATCTATTTTGCACCTTTGATGCCATACATTACACATACTTCTCGACTTCTTGCACCATACGAACTCTACTGGGTGTCGATCCTCTGTCTCTTAGCTAAGCCGTAACCAGTTCATATTTACATAGTCTCACATCCTCGATGACACCTCAGTATTGTTTCCAGACAACTACTGAGGTGTGTATACTCATCTCTCGTATCTTGTATTGCATTTCACTGATGTACACTAGCTTTGCTTAGGTACTTAATATAGTATTGTTTCCAGACAACTACTGAAGCTTTGCTTAGCATACAGGTTATGAGCCCTGGGCTCTAAATTGGCCTAGATATTGCACGAAGCAAAGAACTCAATACTTGCATTTATCTAATGGTTAAACGTCTCTCATATGCAATGGGAAAGTTCAATCACATTGCCGAAACTGACCAGCTCTGACAACCATCCTAGTTGGCTGTTAGGTACCATGCCGACTCAGGAAGCAGAGGGGTCAGGGCTTGGCTTCAGCTCTTGCACTGCACCCTTAGCCGAGTATGTGCCCTGAATTTGGAGCGGGTCCGACATTGTCCGACAGGTAGGACGAGTGGACCACTTTGGTCCAGCTTTGAGGGTCAGGGAGTAAGAGCTACTAGCAGCAGGGCCGACTAGGAGTGGAGCGGAGAAGGCGGGGAGTGATGCAGAGGGTGGATAGGAGCAGGGGGAGTGTTTGGTAGGGGTGGGGAAGGTGGAGGATAATGTGGAGGGGCAAGGGAGAATATTTGATAGGGGCGGAGTATAAGGGAAAGACTTAGAGCACAGGCTCTAAGTCGGAGCGGAGGGTTGGAGGGTTGGAGGTGACAACAAGTTGAGACTTGTGTCCAGAGGAGGCAAGGTCCTACTGAGAATTCTCACAAGATGTAACTGCAAGAAGACAAGTAATATTAAGACTGAGGAAAATATCTAAGTACATGATATGTTATATACTACTATGTATGAGGCAGTGACCAGGATAACTATGTTGTAAAGCTATGTACCAAGGATATAGTTTGTAAGTATTTTACACAGGCAAAGACATAAGTCGGAGCGGATATCAATATGTACGCGTCAGGATCAGCGATCGGGCGGTAATAGGAATTACCGGTGATCCGGAAGTAAGGGTCTATGTACTGAAGGGGAAAGTATATATCTAAAAGGGGAAAGAGATCCAGTTGAATGGAGAGGTTATGGAAGGGGACCGGTTGAGCGGTTGAGTGGAAGCGTAGGGCGGAATGTGGACTTGTGATTGGACGGAGCGGAGGATGGATGGAGCGGAGGGGGTCGGAAAGCGGAGCAGATATCAATACTGGAGCGGTCAGATCAGGTATATGACATGGCAATGAGCTGTAGAATTGGCCTTAGCAGGAGAGGGATTATGGAGCCATTGTAGCACTGGCACTGATCCCAATGATGTTGCAGAATTTCGCCAGTCTCATGCCCACACCTGCAGCTGCAGGTCAACCTACTGCTGCAGAGCTTGTGCTCATGAAAGAGTGGATAAAGGAAGATGCTCAGATGAAAGTGATTATCGGAAGGAGACTCTCACCCATCATTCAAAACATCCTTGGGGAGAAGCTAACAGCTCGTCAGCAGTGGGAGATGCTATCCAAACGCTTCATCCCATCTCGATGTCACTTCCCAATACAAACTTCAATCCCAACTCTTCTCCAAAAGACTGAAAGACCCAGACAATGCTTCACACTATCTTGGTGTGTTTGAGAATGGGCGTCACAGGTTCGCAGAAATGGGCATCACCTTCACAGACAGTGAGAGCATTTTTATGCTTCTCAACAGTCTTCCTGAAACGCCCCAGTGGGTCATTTTTCACAGTCTTACCATGGTGAAAACATCGTCAGCCACAGCAACATCCTCTACTCCAGTTGCAACAACATCCTCTAATCCAGTTGCAGCACTTACCTTTGAGGAAGTGGCCACATCATTCACTGAAGAAGCGAATCATCAGTGCGGGAAACAAAGAATCAATGCTCGCCCAGGGTCAGAATATGCCAACACCACTGTCTCACACAACCAAACTGAACACAAGACGAATGCAGCTACCGGAGTGCGTATTCATAAGCACAACCCCAAGGGGGTGCCCTGTGAAAATGCCGCATGTGTTGGCCTTCCCTGCTCGTTAATGCACAATATTGAACATTGCATGCAACCTGGCAGAGGAATGGAGGGGAAAGCACCATAGTGAGGTGAACAAGGAGGAAAACTGGAAAGACATAGCTGCAGCAGCTACTGACTCCAAGACTACCCCTGCACCTCCCTCTTCATCCACTGAAACATCAGCACTCACTGCCTCATCATCTCACATGCGAGACTGGTCCTGCACCATTGCCGAAGAACTTGATACCGAGTCATTGTTGAAGGATGAAGACATTACTTGCATCACTAGCCAGATGCTATCCACCATTCTAGATTCGGGCACCACATCAACACTCATAACGAATCAAAGCTATTTCTGGACTTACGATTCGAGTGCGAAGGTCACTGTGAAGACAGCAAACCATGGGAAGTTAGCCACTTCTGGATAGAGCGACTGTGTGGCCGAACTCACCAGTCAATAACTGTAGTCCAATGTCTTCGCCTCAGTGGGTGTCTTCATGCCCCAGGGGCATTGATCAATCTGCTGTCAGTGGGGCATATGCTTAAGAAAGGATGGGCATGCAACTTCTTACCTTTCCCACCCCACTGTCAAATCGTCTATCATGGAGATTGCCTCAGTGATGTTCCCATGATGGGAAATCTCGTATTCCTGGATCTTCGGTTCATTCCACCTTCCTCTCCATCACCACATCTTCGAGATCTCAGCATTTGCCAAGGTTCCCTTATCTTGGGACTTGTGGTATGCATGACTGGGACATCCCAGAGGTGAGGCTGTGAAATGTCTGCCTCTTTTCTCAAGTGGTGCCAAGGTTGACACCACACTCCCTCTCCATACTTGTGAGCCGTGCATCATGGCGAAACATCCTCGCAAGCCTTATCCACCCTCCAAGATGCCGAGAGCACTCACCATTCTCGACCTTGTCCATTCTGACTTATGCAGTCCCTTCCCTGTTGAAACCCCACACACAAAACATCACTTCATCATTTTTCTTGATGATCACATGAATCTCCTCAACTTACAACTTCTCACGAGCAAAGACCAAGCTCTAGAGGCATGGGAGTTAATTTGTAAGCATTGGGAGAACCAGTCAGGGTGGCGTGTTAAAGTATTTCACTCAGACAATGGAGGAGAATTTATCGGTGGGGCCTTCACTCAGGCATTAGCATTGGCAGGCATTGCTCAACAACTCTCTGCACCCTACGCACACCCACAGAACGGAAAGGCCGAACGTGCAATTTGCACCATTGAAGGAAGGCTTTTTGCCATGCTTGAGACTGCCAACCTGCTGGTGACCTTATGGGGTGAGGCTGCACTTACAGCCTGTTACCTTTGGAACTGCAGTGAAACCTCTACCCTTCCTTCTGGCATCACTCCTTATGAAGTCCTCAACGGCCGTAAGCCCAACTTATCTCACTTGTGTGTCTTTGGTGCTAAGTGTTTCACTCAGATTCCCACTGAGCTGCAGCCAAAGATCGGACCACATTCCCATCTTGCCATATTCATGGGATATCCAGATGGCGTTAAAGGGTACCGTCTACATGACAGAGAGACTGGCACATTCTTTACCATGCGGGATGTCATCTTTGATGAAAATCTCCCTTCCATTGCTCATCACTCTGACTCTGATGGTGAGGAGGATGAACCTACCGTCATCAATGTTCCTTCTTTCTCTATTCCATCACCTTCTTCATCCATGCCTTCCTCCATTCCAGCCACCACTCCTGCGGCTGCACTGCGCCGTTCATCTCGTGCACGAGTTCATACCCCAGCTGGCCAGACTTATGCTGATGAGCTTGCAGCCTCCAAAGCTTGTCTGGTGGCTCTTCGCCATGCCCGAGCAGATCGCGCTGCTGAGAATTTGCTTTGTGAGGGGGTGATTGCAGACACTGTTGAGAGACCGGAAGGCATCCCAGAGGATATCACAGACATCAAGTCCAACACAGATGTCACGGAGGTCATGGCAAATGCATGCATTGAGGAACACTCTCACATCGCCATTCGAAGCAACTGAAAGTGTAACCCCTCCAATCCAGACTATGATATGGCGATCCCACCTGCTACATATGACAAGGCCATGCAATGTTCAGACCACGCACATTGGCTTGCAGCCATGAAAGCCAAACTTGCGATGATGAAGGACATGAGCGTCTACAAGCTAGTAAAACTGCCCCAGGGACACAAAGCCATAGGCAATCATTGGGTCCTCAAATTCAAAGAGGACAACAAAGGCGGTCCAGTCCAGAAGGCGTGCTTAGTAGCACAAGGTTTTTCACAGATCCCTGGAGTCGACTATGGATCCACCTTCGCACCAGTGATCAAAATGGCTTCTGTTCGCTTCATCGCAGCCTTAGCATGTCAAAACGACTGGGAACTAGACACATTTGATGCACGACATGCTTTTCTCTGGGGAGTTTTAAAGGAGTAGATATATATGCATCAGCCAAAGGGATTTGAGGAAGGTGACTGGGCCATGCTCATCTGGCTCATGCTTAGGACGATCTATGGCTTGAAGCAATCGGCCATGGAATGGTATAAACAGGTCAGGGCAATCATGATAGAACTCAGCTTTACTCGTTGCACTTTTGACCATGCCATTTTCATATATGATAAGTCTACCCCCTCTGCCGGTTACATCCTCTGCATCATCAGTTGGCACATCGATGATGGCATGGGCACTTTGAACTTGAAGACTTTTCTTGCATACGTCACGGGTCGCATCACTCAACACTTTGGAATCAAGGACTTGGGACCCATCAGTAAATTCCTTGGCATTCAGTTTGAGCGTTCTCGCTCCTCTCGCCAACTATGGATGCATCAAGGCGACTATATCACACACCTCCTAGATGAATACAACCTCCTTGATTGCAACCCAGTTCAACTCCCCCTTGACTCCAAGCATCCTTTCAGCCTTGCAACTGACGTTTATGATGACATTGCAAACCTCCCCACTCGCTACTGGAAAATTGTCAGTGAACTGTTGTATCTATCTGTCTGTACAAGGGCCGAAATTTCCTTCGCTGTAAACACCCTCGCCCAACACTGTGCCAGTCCTGCCCCCCACTTCTATGCAGTGGCTAAACACCTCCTTCGCTACCTCAGTGGAACACTGAACTATCATGCTCACTATGGGGGTGATCACGCAGACGAAAAACTCCATGGGTATTGCGATGCCGACTGGGCAGGCTCACCTGATGATTGCCTCTCCATCTCCGGGTACGCCTGGTTCTTCATGGGAGGTCTCATTGAGCATGTCTCTAAGAAGCAGACCACGCACACGCTCTCCTCCATGGAAGCTGAATATATGGCCGTCACTCATGCACTCCAGGAGGGCATTTGGCTGAAATCATTGTTTACTGCCCTCCATGTACCAATGCCCCTTCCCATTGTCCTCTACATTGATAATACCGGGGCCATCGTGTTGTCCAAGGAAGCCATATTCCACATACGTTCCAAACATATCGACATTCATTACTATTTCATCCGCGAGTACATCGAGAACGGTGTGTTCTTACCCAACTGGCTGCCGTCTCACAAAAATGTCGCAGATATCCTGACAAAGGCCTTGCCTCATCCACTGTTCGTGAAGCACGCAGAGGGACTATAACTAGTGTCACACGAGTAGCATCTCGGCGCAGGGGTGTGTTGGCATTGGTATGACCATTCTTGCCGTTATCTATTTTGCACCTTTGATGCCATACATTACACATACTTCTCGACTTCTTGCACCATATGAACTCTACCGGGTGTCGATCCTCCATCTCTTAGCTAAGCCATAACCATTCATATTTACATAGTCTTGCATCCTCGATGACACCTCAGTATTGTTTCCAGACAACTACTGAGGTGTGTATACTCATCTCTCGTATCTTGTATTGCATTTCACTGATGTACACTAGCTTTGCTTAGGTACTTAATATAGTATTGTTTCCAGACAACTACTGAGCTTTGCTTAGTGTACAAAATGCACCGCAGGTACAACCTGTCATGGATATACCCCGCGGGTACACAGTGACATATGGCAGGATACAAAAAAATTGCTATACATGTAGGAATAGTAAGCTATATACTTATGAGACCTGAATTCTATCCCACCCATCCTCAAGCTCTTCCTCATCACCTTCAGCATCAGGCAGGGAGCTGACTTTGACAATGTCTTCGGTCTTGATGAGGTTGAGCTGGCTCCAATAGTTAAGGCACAATAGTGCGCGAGTCGACTGCACAGTGAGGCAAGAATGAACATGAGATAGTAAGAGGCGACCGCGACTGAACAAAAGCTCAACGTCAACTGAAGTAGCTACAAAACAATGTCAGAAGCTCTGGACAATTGGTGATGAGAAAAAAATTGGACTCACCAGGAATTGTAAGATAATCCAGTGCCATCCATGACAGATGTGGATAAGTATCATGGTGCTCATACCACCAGGTGATTGGATCAATAACATGTTCAATGTCCGTGCCGAGATAGCGGTCCAATTCATTGGTTAAGTTGGCCTTTGGTGCCGCAAGTGCTGGAATATTGTCGAAAATGTTCTAGAATCTAGTCAGTCAATGAAAGGTAGAGATTCTTAAAACAAACAAACCATCTGTGAGTCATCGACAGTTGGTCCAGTATCCATCAATGTGTCATCGTGGATGATCTCCAACTCTAGATAGGTATGGTTGAATTCTGTGTGCACCAGAGTTTCTGCTGTCTCAATCCAGTCCTCCTCCCAATGAGTGGCCTTGAAGTAGGATAGCTTGTGACGGGGGTGTAGCACTATGTAGAAAAACAAAATGGTCAGTGGTTTCGAACAAGAAACAATTAAAACATCACTCACCCATAGCAATCTGATATACTTCAGATTTGTCTGTCATTTGATAGTAGTGAAAGTTGAGGGTCAGCTTGGCTAGTCGTACGGCTGCTGCGAATGGATGGCAGGTACTTCTTGCTGCGGGAATACATTGTAAGTCGCTCATTGATTAAGTCCATTGCAGGAATGACTGTAGCAAGGTTGGGGGTCAAGCACGAGAAAAACAAAGTTGTGTCTTTTAGAATCTGGTACCTGCTTAGCCAAGCAAATGAACTCAAACAAAGACACACCTTCAGTACATTGCACAATTGCTTGGCTATCTCCCAGTCACAGTCTGTGAGCTCAAACTTGCGCAAACCTAGCTCTTGGCGCTGTGTCACGGTGTCAATAGCCTTCTGATGTCCAAGAGAATACTCGAGCATGTCAAAAGTCGAGTTCCACTGGGTCGACATATCTCGCGGCATATTAGTCTTTGTCATGTGCAAATCGCCAAGGATCTCATGCCAGGCAGGGAGCAGGATTGTTGTGGAATGTATGAGCTTATAGCCAAGCTTGCGCAGCTGGATGGATTCTTTAGTTTAAAGGTGCACATGTATGTTTTTGTATACTTACCTTCAGGAGTACCAATTTGACTGGTCGTATATTTTTTTGCAGTTCATTGTGCCTGTCTGCTGGCAATGATTCAACATCATCAACCCAGCCTTCATTGTTATCTGTCAATTCATTGTCCGAGTTTGTGAAACTGATTACGTCTTCCTCGTTCTCGTCATCTTTCCTCAGCGCATCAATTTCATTTGCTACCTCCACATCCTTTCCATCCAAGGCTTCGTTGGCTTCTTTCTTTGCCAGCGTCAAACTCACTGAATGAGGGACTTCACTACGAGGTTGACAGGTGTGCAGAAAACACCATGTATGACTTGCACTCCCCACGAACTTGGGGACCAATGTGGCAAGATCCTCAATCATAACATTGTTATTGGATGTGTTGTTGCATGTAACACTCAGGATCTATGGCTCATGACATTAGCTGGTAAGTTTCATTATTTTTAGACCGCTACCTTTTCTGATATCCCAAATTCCTTTAGCATGCTTGCAAACACAGTTGTGAGCTCCTCAGCCAGTATGTGACTGTGTGCATTAACATGTCAATATATGCACAGTCTGAGTAAGTCATTTCTGTACCGTTGTGACCTCAACAATATCTAATGGGAAGCTTAGTGGGACACTGTCATAGACCGGATCTGAGCACCTCAATACCACCTGTGAACATCCCCACCCCTGGTCTGACCCCCTGTTCCCCATCCGCTCCATTCCTCCTTCCCTGACAATGCATGAAGTGCATCTCAGCAGGATTAGCCCTATGTCATGAATGTTACCAACTGCATCTAAATTTCGATTATCAAACCCTAAGACACCTTATCCGATAAGATTAGATTAGATAGATCCCTGATAAGATAAGATGGATAACCGATTAAAGATCACTATCTTTACATCACATCTATACTATATCGACGTCATCCATCCTTATCCGTAACCCTAGACATACGAACTCATCACATCCTTAGAAGTCCTACGATTAGGCAACGGGTTACATCATAAGCATCTACATGCCTCTATGATCGAACCATAACCGAAGAGTACTTTACGAGCTATCTCTCAAAGGGTCATCACCTCTTCACATCGCAGACCTTCACATCTTCACATATGACATGTTAAGAGTTACCTCTGTCATTAACCGAACCCCTTACATAAGAACCTGTTGCACAGTCACAGCAAAACCCTGAAACCCTATCACAGAAGTACCGCTCATAGAGAAGCATACCCATTACCGAAGACCCTGGAGAACCCTTAGATCCGATCATACACGATACATCTCCAGATCCAGATCCTATCTAGATCCTTAGATCTAGATCCTCAGATTCCATCTCAAATCGAGATCCTTAATTACCGCTCGAGACTTCTTGTCACAGAACTCTCTCACACCCTTCTTAATCTCCGTCTACCCTGAATAAAAGCAGTCCCTGAGAACCCTGCTTAATTACCGATACCCCTAGCCCTATGAACCCTTTACCCTTTCCTTCTTGTAGTTGATTGGTTGATAAGACGCCCTATACCCTAGGTGCAATGTTATGACCGTATATAGTTATATCACATACCTTTCATACTCAGACAGCTCCGCCCCAATAGTAGTATATAGTCTAGGTAGTAGTCAGTAGTACTCCTTAGACTTAACCTCCTCGTTTCTACGTCATCGTAGGGCCTAGACGTTCCCTCTCAATATTACCCTTGCCTTATCCTCTTCAGACTGAGTCCTGTGGTGTGATCCATACTCCAGACACCTACTAGTTAGGTTAAGGGACGCTGGTCATAACACCCTACTACCTCCGCCCAACCCTGTTCCGCTCTTCTGACACTACCCCTATGTCCTCCGACACCATACCCCTTCCATCCGACCCTATCTGGGGTTCTGCTCCTCCGCCCTATCGATCCACCCAATCCTACTCCTACTCCCTCCACTTTTCCAACCCACTCGGATCCTTCAATTCTGCTCGTATTGCCCTACCTGACTATTAGTCCGCCCGACCACCTCACCGGTCCACTCCCAGACTAGGAACCACTCAACTGGTCCTATCTCCATTTAGTATTGTAGTTCCACTTTTTGGATCACCGGTAATGCCTATACCCTAGTGATTTCTGATCTGTCACATACATACTTTTCTCCAAGCCTTATTCTCGTATGTTTCAGTCATCCTGTTGTAATCCTGTACACTCAGCACATAGCCTCCTGCTATGCTATGCTACTTAGAGTATATAACACTATGTACATCTGTCTGTAGATACACAGTCTGAATATCACCTTTTCTAAGCCCTGCTCTTCTGCTCTTCGACTTGGGCCTGATCCTAGTCAACTCCTGTTAGCCGACCTAGGGGATTGACTCCCTAGGTCAGCCACCCCTCCAATCCTCCGTTCCTCCGTTCCTCCGTTCCTCCGTTCCTCCGTTCCTCCGTTCCTCCGTTCCCTCCGTTCCTCCGTTCCTCCGTTCCTCCGTTCCTCCCGTTCCTCCGTTCCTCCGTTCCTCCGTTCCTCCGTTCCTCCGTTCCTCCGTTCCTCCGTTCCTCCGTTCCTCCGTTCCTCCGGTCCTCCGTCCTCCGTTCCCGTTCCTCCGTTCCTCCGTTCCTCCGTTCCTCCGTTCCTCCGTTCCTCCGTTCCTCCGTTCCTCCGTTCCTCCGTTCCTCCGTTCCTCCGTTCCTCCGTTCCTCCGTTCCTCCGTTCCTCCGTTCCTCCGTTCCGCCGTTCCTCCGTTCCTCCGTTCCTCCGTTCCTCCGTTCCACTCTGCTTCAGACTTCATCCGAGCAGTCCCTTCCGCTCTGCTTCTACTGTTGGTTCCGACCACAGTAGTCCCCCACCTCCCTCTTGTTGGGTAGAACACCCCTGCCCGACTTTCCCACGCTCACCTAGTAGTCCGTCGGTCCTCCTTCAGAGGACCCCCATTCCGATGTCCTGTCAGAACTCATAGAACTCGTGTCGGACTACATTCCGAAATTAGGGCATGTACTCAGGTAAGGGGCGCAGCATACAAGCTGAAGCCAAGCCCCTCAGACTCCACTTTACCTCTGAGCACAGTCTTAACAGACACCTTGGTGCTCCAGGTGGACTGAGAATGCCACGAATGCATGGTAGTTCATTGATGTTCATCCGTCAGTGGTAAAGTTCATTTTACCGTCATATTCCTTGTCAGTTGGGTTAGCCTTAGTATGATCAAGTGTGAAGAAACTAACCTGCAACATTTTAGCAATTTGTTGGCATGTACACACGAATACGAGTTTGACATCACGTGCAACAGTTGTGGGGGAAGGTATGTAGTACTCTGGCCTTCCGGTCTTCATCAACAACTGAAATGCTCTGTCTTTCACAATCTCCAATGGCCACGGGCTTTCTGACACCCAGCAGACTATTTCGGCTCTGCAACATTGTCAGTTTCCTGATGGTTTTTATCACAAGCTCAATTACATACTTTGTCTTGGTGCATGTATGCTGACGGTGAGCATATGTAACCTTCCCCTTCCCCTTATGTTCAAAAGACTCTGTGATTGACCCATCTCGTAGGATACTGGTAATGATCTTTGTCTGGACCTCATTTGCATCTTTTGCATCATCAGCGGCAGTCAGTACAGCATTCCCCCAGCAGGACTTAACATGTTTCCTCATGTTGCCTGTCGACTGCACATCTTTTTTGTTGAGGAACCATTGAATGGTTGTTTTGCATCCGCGTGCACCACATTTAAATTCATGTGTGCAGCGCCCATTAATTTCAACAATGCGGGGAGTAGGCTCAAAGAAGGCATACACAGGTGAGATCCATCCTTTCATTAGTCGTTCTATACTTTTGTTAACAATGTGATTTAAATTAATGATTCATCTTACTTAGCTCGTCTTCTGGAGTCTCGACATCTGGACTTGATTCCCATTCTGGTGTCATTTTCATCTTCACTTGTGTCCTCAACCATGGTTGCATTCTGATGCACTTCTGCTTCTTCAATTTGAACAACAGCGCGATGTGCCTGCACTGGAGGCTTTGGTATCACCGCAGAAGGTCGAGGCACCATGTTGTTTGACTGTATATCTTCGGCAGGCCCATTCAATTGGGTAGGTTTGACCCTTTTTGATTGCCTGGGTGCCACGCCTGTCTGATCCGCATCAGTCTTCCTTTTCTTTGATGAGTCAGTGAGCTTCTCCTTGATAGCTGCCTTGGCCTTTTCAGTCAGCTTGGAAACTCGGCGGGCAGTTTGCGAGAACATATTTAGTTGCATGATGAGGATGTATCAGAGTGTGTTGAAGATGTTGTGGTTTGTATTGAGAATGTCATAGTGTTTAAGGTTTAGTTTCACAGACTGTACCAGTGTGCATTGCGGAGTTTAAGTTTAGGTTTAGTACTAGCAACATAATTTCATGTGTCAACCTGAGCCGAGGGTACAGGTGGTGCAAGGTCAGACCCCCACCTGCACCCCAGGGATACCCCCACCCACCACCCATGTGGGTTTTCAAAACCCGTGCATATGCCTAAATACAGGTATGCATGACAGCAACAAGAAAATGAGAGGTGTAATTGCAAGTCAATATCAAAAAAATGCAGTCCATTCAAAGCTGTGATGCAATGCTAGCAAGAGAAAATATGATGACAGGAATGTGATGCGAAGTGCTAAAAATTGAACTAGTATACCAGATGGACACTTTGCGAGAAGTCAGCAACACACAAAGGATCAGAACAAATAGTACATACATATTCCACCATTTGAGCAATGAATCCACCCACATCTGGTCAAAAAGTTCTCAGATAGCTCGATCGGATGGTGCAGTAATTCAAATGATGAATGATGAGAGAGAGAGAAAGAAAGATGTGGAGAGACAAAGGAGGCAGAATTTTGCGAAAGTCCATTGTTTAGACTTGTTGATGTCAGAGCTTCAAACACTGCAACTGCCATCAACCGACACAGCCTTGCGCACAATTTAGCATTCACCAATTTTTCTGGTGAACCAGACGGCAAGGGAATACCATGGAGCTTTGTAATTTTGAATTAGAACTACATACATGCACTACTACTAAGATACTGAGAGAATATCAGGCAGTGGTCAGGCTGAGAGCAGCATATCAGAGTACAATCATAATGACAGGAGTATATCATTGAATAGCAGATACTGTTATGGGAAAGCCCGGCTTTCCAACAGTGCACTTGATAGGGTCAATCCTGTGTCCGCTTCATGGAGCACCGAGACGATGGAAGACTGAATGGAGGCTGTCCATCCAGAATGACTGACTAAAGGTTCAAAGAAGAAGCTAGAGTTGTATATCACAAGTGAAGATCAAGTTAGAGAAATACATGGTCTAACTACTTGGTATATATAGGTATCATCCTATAAGTTCAGGGTAGGCTTGGGTAACCAGAAAGCATCCCAACTAGGTAAGCGTCTATGTGAGTCATAAGGACTCAGAGATAAGAGTACCGGTTCAACGGTAAGGGTCCAAGGTATGGTACCGGCACAGCGGTAGGTGTCCAAGTCAGATAACACTATCTGTCATGATAAGCGATAGGATAAACAATAGTCAGTACCAGTGTATCGGTAGGGGTGATAGGGGAGAAGCACGCGGCTTCTATTGATCCCGGTCTAGGTTGGTTCCAGAGCTATCTTGCTCCGACAGCTGTCATGCCGTGCTCTGCAGTTTAGTCACGTGCTGGTGATGTCATCTGTCACGTGTTGTAACACGGTTGTGACGGCGACATTTGGTGGAGATGATAGGGGTCTGAGGGTCCCTGTAACAGATACACACAACAATGGTATACTACTAGCTACTTGACATCACAATGATTGAGTCCTTCTTTGACCTTTGCAACAGCCATCATCCATGATCAAAAATATTTGTCACCATCAGCCTAATCAGGGAATACCTGATTTTTGAAGTTTTGGTGATGACACATGCAGCCCACATGTCACGAATTCCAAATACAAATCATTTTTCGTTTCTCGGCTTTCCTTCAGCTACTTCTAGTTACTGAACCGGTCACGTGACTTCACTTCCCGTCACATCTTCACCTCTTCACATATCACCTGTTGTTTCTCTGATTGGTTCCCCAACTCCACAGGCTAGAACAATCTCGCTTCCAGAAGAAGTACCGGTCGGATCTTGGGCTTCTATTTAGTCACTGTCTGACTTATCGCTTATATATCATGATGTCATGCTCAGTCATCTGCAGTATCATATGACTCTTTTCTCATTGGCTGATTTCTTTTATACTCAGATATCTCCTATTCAATGTTATGTATATAAGTAGGTTAGTTAGCATAAGTACTCCTTAGACTTAACCTCTTCGTTTCCACACTGGTGGTAGACCTAGACATTCACGCTCAATACTATCTTGTTCATCATCATCTGTTAGGTACTGTGCCAGCTCAAGAGGCAGAGGGGTCAGGGCTTGGCTTCAGCTCTTGTGCTGCGCCCTTAGCTGAGTACGTGCCCCGAATTTGGAGTGGGTCTGACGTTGTCCGACGATAGGACGAGTGGACCACTTAGGTCCACTTTGAGGGTCGGGAGGTAAGAGCTACTAGCGGTGGACCGACTAGGAGTGGGGCGGAGAAGGCGGAGGATAATGGGGAGGGTGGAAAGGGGCTGGGGGAATGCTTGATAGGAGCAGAGGAGGTGGAGGATAATGTGGAGGGCGGAAAGGAGCAGGGGGAATACTTGATAGGGGCGGAGAAGTAAAGAGAAGACTTAGAACACGGCTCTAAGTTGGAGCAGAGGGTCGGAGGTGACAACAAGGTGAAACTTGTGTCCAGAGGAGGCAAGGTCCTACTGAGAAATCTCACAAGTAGTAACTGCAAGAAGACAAGTAATATTAAGACTGGGGAAAATATCTAAGTATAGGATATGTTATATACCTCTATGTATGAGGCAGTGATCAGGATAACTATGTTGCAAAGCTATGTACCAAGGATATAATTTGTAAGTACTTACACAGGCGAAGACATAAGTCGGAGCGGATATCAGTATGTACACGTCGGATCAGTGATTGAGCGGTAATAGGAATTGCCGGTGATCCCTCATGCTTTCCCTGCTTTCCTACCACCTCCACTCTGTCTGCCTTCCACTCGTCCCAGTCGGCTCCCACATCCGCTCCTATGGCTCCGCTCAACCGCCTTGTTGGTTACCATCCGCATTGTTTCCACTCTACTGTAAACTCCTTCCCCATTTAGATATATACTTTCCCCATTTGCACATAACCCTTACTTCCCAGATCACCAGTACTTTCTATAACCACTCAACTAACTGATCCAATGCATACATATTGATATCCACCTGTCATATCCCATACCTCCGGATCCAGAATTCCGGATCTACTCTATTAAAGTCCGGTTCTCCATCCTGCTATTCCGCCCGGCGCTCCACCTTCATCTCCGCACTCACCCCTAACTCCTTTTTGATTAGCTATTGCTCTGGTTACCGGTTATGTCCTATTCCGCTATGCTTACTGATCCGTCCATTCTTACTTCATTTCCGACTTCACTGCTTTGATCCGTTACACTTAGTAATAGACTTTCCACATGCTTCATACATAGCCCTTACCTTTGCTGACTGATTTACTTACATGATACCTACAGTATATAAACCCCTGTAATACTCCGGCACTCCTTAGTTCGAATATCATCTTAGTTCTGCTCATTCCTGCAATCTCCGGACTTGAGTCTCACCTCTTGTCCACCTCCGAGTCTTAGGGGTTAAACCTTAGGACTAATCCTCCAGCTCTACCTTGGGGTAGTCTAACCTCTGTTCTGTTTCTACTCCGGATTTCCATAGTAGCCTTACTCCGTCCCCACATAGTCTCCCGGAGTTCTGCCGAACTCCACTGACATTTGTCCTCTGGAACTCCCTGGACTTCCCCTCTGCCCACCAGAAATTAAGGGCACGTACTCGGGTAAGGGGTGCAGTGCACGAGCTGAAGCCAAAGCCCTTTGAGTAACCTTCCCCTTGAGCACGACCTTAACACCACCCCGACTTACATCAGGAAAACCACCAGTTCCTTTTCTAACTTAATTTGTCACTTAATGACGTGAAAAGTACCATTAAGTCATTTGAGTGAAAAGGCATGAACCACTTAATTAAGCCCACTCCATCTCTGAATTTTCGCTTATTTCACACTTATTTCACTTAAAAAACCAGATAAAGCAGCACAAGCCTTTCATAAAAATGGGGGCATACACGAGAAAGCATAAAATTAAGGAGACTCTCTAATGTAAAAAGTTGAGAGCCAGCTGGGGGTACAGGAAAAATGGCGGACATGTGGGGGAAAAAACAGTGGCGAAAATGATGATACGACAGCGGGATTCCACCAGCGGTGTAGAAGAGACAACATCCTACAATGATGAATGTCAGTTGGATGAAACCAGAATGACAAGTACTTACAAAGCATAGCGCGCTTATTGTCCTCCGACTTGTTGTCATTAAGTGAGTCCTGCAGTGATTCAATGGCATCATTTAAGGCAGTACAAGCACGTGCCATCTGTACTGTGGTCTCTACATACCCAGCAGGCTTGCTCGAGATAGATTTGATGAATGATGTGGTGACTTTGGCCCAGCGAGCTGCTGAAAACAAAAACAGGGCATTGATCATCTTCCTAGTGACCTTGTTGAGGACTTTCAGTAGTTTGATGACAAGTTTGCCTCTTGCACTGGATGCCAAGATATCTTTGACTTTCAAATTCTTGTTTGCGAACATTCCCAGGGCGCGCTCAATCTAAAAAAACAATAAATGCGAATTAAACCATCGTAAAATCAAACTTACGGCTGCAGCACAGATAGCAATAATGCCCAACATCTTGGTGGCACCTGTCGCAAGTGTGTGTGTGTCGAGGTCGGGAACCTCAACATACCCACTGATGGTGTTAAGATGCGCTGTGCCCAACAGCTGTAATACAAAGGGAGAATGGTATGTTGTGAGGGGACTTGGCTTGTCAGGGTCCTCAAATAGGAATGCATAGTCTGCAAGAAGGTAGGCGGCAAGTTGAACAGAATCACAGTCAGAGTTTCATGACAAAAAGTCCACAATAATGACCAGGCCTGTCGAGCTGAAGTTGCTGTGCCATTCAGAAATTCATTGCGCAGTCTAATTACGAGTACAGTCAGTAAAGCTCAATATAAAATAGTGAACTTACGAGGGAATGAATCACGCCGCCATGAACAATAGTGATGTTGAGCTCCTTGTATACTGCGTTAAAAATTAGCGCAGGCCACTGACAGCATCCTGAGGGCCCATCTTAGTCACAATCAAGTTTGTGATGTATAAATTTATAGGTGAGTGGATGGTCTGAACTTGTATTATTCATACTTGCTGATATTTGCGACTTGATTATTGGTGTTTCCCGACAATTTCTTTTTTCAGACAACAAGCACTGCCACTTTCCCATAGTGTGGTCCTTCTGGATCACCACAAACCGCAAGCACACATACCACTACTAGGAACCCTGCCGATGAATGATCCAGCCAGAACTCATCACCGACTCCACCCATTCACTCATCAGAACTCAGCACTGACACCCCCCGAAAACACAACCCAGATGAGGCTCGTGTAGTACTTACTATTAGACTGAATACAACTTGAACTTTTGCCACTTTTTGAATGGTCACAACTTGTGAATTTGAGCACTCCCTGAATTCACTTTTCTGTAGTACTTATTAGACTGAATACAACTTTTGCCACTTTTTGAATGGTCGCAACTAGCGAATTGAGCACTCGCTGAATTCACTTTTCAGAAAGTCTATTAAGTGTAAAAAGTGATGTTCTAAGTTTCATCCCTCAGAAATTAAGTGACATTAAGTAAAATAAGTCAAAAAAGCAGCTGGTGGTTTTCCTGATGTATGTTTTTCACCTGTGTCTACTTACAAATTATGCTTGGTACATAGCCTCGTACCAAGGACTAACTAGTCACTGCCTCCTACATAGAAGTATATAAAAACATATCCTGTATTTAGCTACTCCCCAGTCTTGATATTACTTGTCTTCCCACTGTCTCTACTAGTGGGAATTCTCCATAGGACTTTGCTCCCTCTCCAGACACAAGTTTACCTTGTTGTCACCTCCAACCCTCCGCTCTAAGTACTTACTCTTACCTCTCCAACCCCATCAATCTATCCCCTTACTCCCCTCCGTCCCAATAAACTTCCTCTGCCTTCCCTGCTCCACTCCTAGTTGGATTACCACTAGTAATACTTACCTCCCAACCCACCAAGTGGACCAAAGCGGCCTGCCCATCCTATTGTCAGACATTGTCAGATCTGCTCCAAATTCAGGGCATGTACTCAGCTAAGGGCACAGTGCAAGAGCTGAAGCCAAGCCCCGACCCCTCTGCTTCTCCATCCGAGCACGGTCTCTAACAATACCCATCCTTCCCTTGTTTGGCAACATGTCAAACCTTTTCATTGGCCAATCGCACACCATGGCCACCATGTGCCCTTTTTTATTTATTTATTACCTCATTGGGCAAGGCCAACTTGGCAATCACAGTGTGTCATGGTCACCTGCATGATCCCGCCCACTGCACCCATAATAAGTGAACAGCTGAACTTACCAGCTCCTAATATTGGGGGTAGTCAAGCTTCGCTGAATGTGTTGCTGGCTCCTAATACTTGGGAGTCACAGCTCACCTTGCCACCCAGTTCGAGTGCATGTTTTGGGCCGAAAAACCCTCCGGGTTTTTCCCCAAAAACTTTCACTAACCTCTGGTTGCACTGGTCACGAGTGCACGCCACTTTCTTCTCGTGTGGCACTTACTACTTAGCGCCAACACGCATAGATCACAATCACACGATACATCACCCTCTGAATTGTCCGCCCAGTGCGGTGCCGAACTCTCCGGCTCACTGGTGGATTGCATGGGAATGCACTACTCGCAGGCTATGTAGCTTCTAGTTATCGCATCACTGCTTATCTTTACGAAGTCAGGATTCGTTCGGCTTGCACAGACTTTTGGAGAACGAATTGGAGAATGGTTTGAGGCTCGAACCGAGCAAGCTGCCTAATTTTAGGACAGTCACCGTGCATAACTCTTCTGTGTCATCGTCTTGTGAGAAGCCGCTGTATTCGGAGGGAAATAATCATTCCAGGTAAACGACATAGGAAGAAGATAGTCCTTGATTAGTGAAATTATTACTGTGATAAAATGTTCGGAATACGTAAAGGGTAAATATTGCAGACAAATAAAAAAAGTCCATCGTCGAAAACACGACGCGCAACAAGCACATCAAGGGCGACAAAGCTTGAAACAACAGGAGAAACAGTCTTCCACGACTGAACGCAAGAAAGAATCAAGGAACGGAAGTATAGATGTGCGAATCCATGCACTAGTTTTTCATCCTGCGGCGCGTTAACGCAGCACAAGGATTTTCGGATTTTCTCGAGCAAGGGTCGAAAGGGCGAGAGGAAAAAGGGACCCATGCCAAAGGATGCCGAGGTCGAAGAAGGGGTGAGAGGCGTAAAACGAGCGACCTGGCGAGAACAAAACAGCAACCACTTTAAAGAAAACTCACAACTCAACTCCGAAACAGGTGGTGAATGGGGCCCAGAATGTGGATGACAAAGAACGCCCCAGGCGAAATGTGGAAGACAGTATCCGCTGAAGTGATGTCGCCTCGAAGAACCAGTAGCACCCAGCGCTAGGGACGAGTAGGCGAATCAAGATATGCGAGAAAAAGGAATATGAAAACGATGTGCAGACGGGAGAGCAGGCAACAGAGTAGAAGTGAAGCAGGGTATATGAAAAAGCAGAACAAGCACCGATTGCAGATTCGAGAAATCCAAGGGGAATAGCTGACCGGGGTGGCAGAGGGATCCAGGACAGCAACCAGCAGCGAAATAGGGGAAGGGATCGGGAGTACGGTGACAGCGCCTATGCAGTGAGGTCAATGGTCTTGCGTTCATCCCCGACCATCACATTGGCAGCAGGGATGGGGTGCCAGAAGCGACTTATCCATCGCTTGAAGCCCAAGTTTCGGGACGGAGACCCAATTCCCTTCGGTGACTGATGCGTGGGAGATGCGACAAGGGTCGCGTCAGGGGAGGCGGTGGCGGGAGAAGGCGATGGAGTGAACCGTAAATTCCTCGGCGTCGGACGACGCCTCTCTCTTTGGTCGACACCGCGGATGAAGGACTCGAGGCGCCGCAGAGGAACTGTACCAGAATACTTGTCGCGCGGCGGGACATCTTCGCCCAGAGGAGCGTTACGACGCATGTAGTGGCGGAAGGACCAGTTCGTTGAAGTATGGGAATTATCGGCAGCCCCAGAAGCCCAGTTGACCCGTGCATCGTCATCGGTCACCAGCGTAGAGGCAGTCGTTGTACGAGCGGGACGAGCGGCATCCTGCTCCTTCTTTTCCGAAGCTGGTCGGCGGGAGAAGAGCTTGACGACAATTTTCTGAAGACCTTGAATACCACTTTTAGCCTTGACTCTCCACAAGGCTTGCGCATGCCGGCGCTCGCGCTTCAGCGCCGGAGAAATGAAGTTGAAGTTGGGCAGCGGGTCGTTCGATGGCTCGCATTGGCCGAGCGAGATCGGAACTGTGGATGGGGAGTCTTGCTCTTCAACTACGGGGATGCAAAGCGGAGGAAGGGTCCGTTTCTCGACTTTCTTCCAATCACTAAAACCGTTTTAGCACGAGAAACGAACAATTAGAACAGACTCGTACATCGACGCGAAGAATGAGTGATGAAGCATAGCCTCATACGGTGGCCTACTCTTGACGTCCTTCTGAAGCATCTGTGAAGACATCAATAAGCCTGACTGAACAAACACGCGAGTAATACTTACGCTATGCAAGAGATCCCGTGCCTCGGAATGGAAGTCTTTAACGAAGAAAGGCTCAAATTCAATAATACCGTCAGCTATATGAAGACCATCAATCGTGGACCAAGGAGTCTAGACAACAAAGTGAGCAACAATCCATCGAAGAGTCTAAGCCGCTTACCCTCCCGGCGAGCATCTCGTACAGCATGACACCTACCGCCCAGAAATCAATTGCAAAACCGTACTTGTCGCCCATGATAATCTCCGGCGCCATATATTCTGCGGTGCCACAGAGCGAACTTGCAAGATAGGGAGCTTGCGAAAGGCTGGTGAAAGTGCCCGTGGGGTTGTAAGGAGAAAACGATTTTGGATTGTCTAGCGTGAAGACCTTGGCCAACCCCAGGTCTGCGATTACCAGGTGACCATGGGAGTCGATAAGGATGTTGGAAGGTTTAAGATCTCTGTGGATAATGCCTTGACAATGGAGATGATAAACACCGATGAGCTAATTTGGTTAGAACATATATCACAATCATAAGGAGAACACTCACAAGCTCCGCGGTGTAGAACCGTGCTTGATCAACTGGAAGAACCCGGCACGGATAAGTGCGAATAACGTCATGGAGGTCCCCTCCTGGATAGAACGCCTGTCATGGAGCATAAGCCAATTCAACCACAACACGTGTGATTACTCACAAGAGCTAGATAGAGGCACTGCTCGTCTTGGAAGCCCGCCTCGACTTGCATACAATGACGATCGCCTATGACCCGCTTCAGGGCATCCAACTCAACTCGAAATTGCTGAAGATCGCATAGAGCCGCGCCGCGCCTCCTAATTACTTTCAACGCCATGGTCTTGTTGGTAATCTTGTCTTCAACGCGGTAAACGACGCCGTTGGCACCAGCGCCGAGCCTCGCACGAACGATGAAGTCGCTGAGGCTGGTTTCATTCTTGAAATGGGATCGCGGTGTAACCGCATTTGCAGAGCGCGTTGAAGAGTTAAGGACCGTTGTTCCAGAAATATTCCGGTGTGACAGCACCACTGAATAGGCCTGATCAGGAGCATGGATAGGGCTCAAGATATCCATCGCCTATGCACCCTGTAAATATGTATCACTGAACATGATGAATTTTCACGTACTTTCTGGTCTCTCGCGAAGAACGCTTCGATGAAGTCCAAAACAAACACCCTTTTCCTGATGTCGAGTACGTCCGGATCGTGGTACGCATCGACAAGGCCTTGAAGCGCCTCCATCTCTCCAACGGCAGAATCGGGCATGCCGGAAAGGACAGGCGGAAGGATACCGGTCGCAGAAATCATAATACTGGCACTAGAGGGCCACGCGACGATGGCAGCAGCGCGACCACCAGACAGCGCAGGAGTAGAAACAGACACGTCATACTTAGGCACCGGAACGCGGTTGACCTTGTTGAAGGCAAAAGAGTCCTTGCTTGACTTGATGCTAGTCCACACCTTGGACAGGGACTTGGCCTTGAAGGTGTCAGAATGATTGGCGAGAACAGATATAAAGAGCACTTACTGGCTTGGTGAAGAGGCGTTCGCCGGCTCGGCCTTCGTAGAATACTTGAAGAGCAACCATAATGACAACTTGATATAGATAAAGAGCGTCAAGTGTGGAAAGAATGTCGGGGATGCAGCAGATGATAGAAAGAGCGGATAATAATTTTCAGACACAAAAGCGGTCTTTTATGCTTCTTGTCTGCCCCAGGCTGAATTGCGACGAGTAACATCTGGGAGCCACAGTCGAGACAGGAATTTGGATTCTGACTGATCGGCTGGACTCGAAGTTGGTTTATGGAATGAAACAAAAACATGAATTCAGGATACTCACCACTTCGGTATATGGTGTCATTGAAGACGCATGTAGGATCGGTCCAAGACGTGCACTTGAAAATTCTGCTCTAGACTGCGCGTCCCACAGGGAATAATAACATAGAACATTCAATGCAGAGCAAAGGGGATGAGTAACTTGGACGAACGCGCTCGCAGGTTCAGTCAGAGTCGTCCCAGCAGCTCGAAGATCTCGCCGAGATCCCTGGACCACTATAGGAAGTATAAATCAACTTGAAGGACCGACCAGAGCAGTGCAGTAGGGATGCTGCACCATCGTCTCGGGACAATATGCGCATGAGACACGACTGCCTGGTCGAAGTTCAGTCGATCAGTATTCCCGAAAATTTTGGGGATGACTTACCTGCCACTACCAGTAACCAAGTATGTAGATCATTCATAGTACGACAGCAATACGAGAGTAATCGCGACCAAGGACATTTGCCAGGTGCAAACGGTCACATCCATTCACGAACAACGCTAATGCAACTATTTAGTAGCACTTCGATAATCCAGCGTCTGCAGGAAATGCTGGAACCTTCCAAACTATCGAGACAAAGTTACAAGCGGACGCCGAGCGACGAGAACACATTGTATATCTGCTTACATAACGATCATCGAAACTTTTTTGCAGTCATCAAAGTCCCATTGCTCTCAAAGACCAAAGCTTCAAAAATCCTCAGCAATGGTGACCCTAGTCTCGCTACCTTCCCTGCCTCCATCTTGGACCCCGCCCTCCGAATCAGCCTCCTCCATTTCCCGTAAGTGTCTCGCCATGATCATACCGGCTTTGTCCACTGATACCATATCCTCACCCACGCAGCCTTTGTCCAGCGCAAGCTCATCCCTGCAGGCGCTGCCTACCTTGCCCACGTAAAACGTGCACTTAACAACTTCACCTTTGACGAGTATGACCAGCAGCTCGAAGAGGAACGGAAGCGCCTCGAGGAGCTTAACGCAGATGGCCTGAATGGGGAAGACGACCTTGGTGTAGGAGAGGAGGAGGAAGCTCCCGAACTTCTTCTGCTTGACCCCAAGGAGTGGAAGGTACGCATAATAGCTCGTTTTACTGTGATCTAAACTCTGAACATCATTCGCAGAAACAAGATCATTATCAGGTCCTTGGATTGTCACATCTGCGATTCAAGGCGACCCCTGCGCAAATAAAAATTGCCCGTACGTGAGGGACTGCTGGTATCTTCATAGTTTCTGACGTACTGCTACTCCCTAGATCGCAAGAAAGTACTAAAGCACCATCCAGACAAGAAAGCAGGCGCATCGCACACCACAAACGACGACGCATTCTTCAAATGCATCCAAAAAGCCAACGAGGTTCTCACAAATGCTGAACGGCGGCGCCAATTCGACTCTGTCGATCCCATCTGCCTATCCCTCGAAGAGGATGATCCATCTGCGTCCGACTTCAAAGGCCGAGAACAAGACACTACGCTCTTTTTCGAAACATTCGCGCCTATCTTTGAGAGGGAGGCACGATTCAGCAAGAAAACGCCCGTGCCAATGTTGGGCGAGAACGAGGACTCAAAGGAGCACGTCCATGCTTTCTATGATTTCTGGTACAACTTTGACAGCTGGCGATCATTTGAATACCTAGACAAGGAGGTAAACGAAGGAAGCGATAAGTAAGTGATAGGAACCCTGAGATTGTGCCTGTCCGGCTCACGCACTTTCCGCAGTCGTGATGACAAAAGGTACACTGAGAAAAAGAACAAAACTGAACGCGCTCGTCGAAAGAAAGAGGACATTACCCGTCTGCGCAATCTCGTGGATCTTACACTTAATCTTGATCCTCGAATCAAGCGAATCAAGCAGGAGGAAAAGGAGGCTCGAGAAGCAAAGAAGAAGAACAAGGGCGGAATGAGCGCTGCAGAGCAAAAGGCCAAAGCGGAAGAAGATAAGCGTAAAGCTGAGGAAGAGGCTAAGATGAAGGAGGAAGAAGACAAGGTGGCACGGGCAGAGGCCAAGAAAGCAAAAGCTGCGGCAGCAAATGCAGCCAAAAAGGCAAGAAGACAACAGCGCGCCGCGGATACCGATGAGGCTGCGCCGTCGTAAAATTATCCAGCCAGTTGTCTCGTACTGATACCATGCGCATTCGTACTCTCACCATTCTCGGGATGTCATAAGTTTTCAAATCACACTTTGGCAATTCTGCATGTACTAAAGGTACCATTCTTTTCTGATAACGGGCTTCAAAAGTGTGATGTACCTTGTAGGATGGGAGTTCACGAAGTGAAAAGAAGACACTGTCGTCGAATTCCAGGTGTCATAGTTTTCTATCCCAGCTCGCTAGAACGTCTGGAGCCGCCACCCTGGCACGCCCCCAGAGTACAACAAGGGGGGACGTTGGTGCAAGACAGATGGGAACCTTGGAGAATGGCAGATCAGTGATAGATTGGAATCTCGCGGACGGGGTGACGGTGACGGTGACGTCAGCCAAGTATCGGACCACCGTCACGAAGATTCATGAGGAGAAAGATGCGATGTCGAGTCGTGATTGACATGATTGAAGGTGACCGATCAGAATTGATGAATTGGGTCGCCTATCTCCGAGTTGCGCAGACCACAGTAAGATACGAGGAGGTCATTTGAAGTTGTATATCATCATAGAAGGTTTGCTATGAGGGGCCGCGCGCGCGATTACGACCCCAGTGTTCCAGGAGATTATTCTTGAAAGTGGCGATTCCAAGTAAGGTGTGAACTATAGTCGACATTTAAAACGCGGACACGCGGGAAAACCACGGAACACGAGTCTCAGCGGTTGCCAGTGAAAACCCAAAATACAGTGAAACTCAGCAACAACCGGACCTTTAGCAGAAAGAGCTCAATCAGCGGATGGGGCATGCTAGTGCTTGTTTGGTCGTTTATTATTCTTTGTTTGGATTTGGTGGCATAGAAGAGATGCGAGGAGGTCGATTAAAGGGATGGATAACCCGGGCCTGTCAACGCTCGTCAACAGTCTTTTTCTTCTTATTTTATGGTCCTTAAAGACCTTCTTGTCTTCGTACCAATGTCTCTCATATCCTGCTAACCTACACTTCACGTCGCGGGCGGTGAACCACCACCATTGGTCCGGGACGTCCCTTGATTTTTTTCTTACCAATCGCTACAAACATGGTAGGATGCCCTCAACCAATCGTGTTTATCATTATGTCTTCTAATCCATTCAACTTTCAGGTTCTCCTCAGTGATAAGAAATACGCGTGGTACGTCTTTCATTTCGTCCTAGCACCCTAACGTATCCTCAGATTAATCACTCTGCAGTGAAACATGCATAAAAGGGCATCGCTCATCTGCATGTAAACACACCGATCGTCCCCTTTTCGAAATTAAGAAAAAAGGTCGTCCAGTCACTCAGTGTGAGCACTGTAGAGAATTACGCAAAACAAAACAAGTACACGTCAAATGTTCATGTGGATCTCAAGATCAAGGCGCCCCTGGCGCCCACGAGGCGTCCCACAGCAAGAAGGGTACGCCACATCCGTCACTGAATTTAATCTGTCTTATCTTTAAGGCCCCTTGTTTTACTTTAGGGACACCGAAGTTGCCGGTTACTGCTGCGTTTCCTCATGGCCTTCCTGAGGCCCTTGAAACGCTAGCTACTTTGCTGCCGTCATCGGACGACTCAGACCATAGCGGTAGGCCCGAAGCGCCATATTTTCCTCGCCATCATTTCAGTATTGACTTTCTATAAGGTGAAACCTCTCCAACTGGCTGTAGATGTAGCTCCAGTGGCTCGTGCAACTGCTGTGTCCCTCGCAAGCCTGCCACCCGTCGTCGCTTCTCTGGCGCAGAGCCTCCTAAACGAGACAAACATCATTTAGACGCCTCAAAACACAATCATGACACCACATCTCCTCCTCTTTCATCTCATGTCTTAGCGCGCATTGCTGAGCTTCGTCCAGTACTTCCAAGACCGACTCACAGGCAACTCCCTCTTGATGGCTCTTTGCATGATCCATCTTCAAGCGTTCCTCACGGTCATAGCATCCGCCATCACAATTACGACTACAGCCCTTACGGTCGCGCTTACGGGTATACTCACTCAGATCACCTTCACGATCAAACAGGGTCGCCGTTGAATGGTGATCCCCACACGTTTGCTGGGCGTCCTGTTTCATCCCCACAGCCAACTCTGGGAAGTCAGCCGGTACCAGATGCCTGGTCGTCTGTTGGGGCCTTCCCCTCTGTATGTGCCTGTGGTGACTCGTGCATGTGTCCTGGATGTACCTTGCATAACAATCCATCAATCACTGGAGCTGCCTATGCCTCATGCACCAACCCGTCCACCTGCGCCTTCTGCCTCGATTGCACCATATTGTCCATCCCAGCAGGCATCCCACCCCCTAACATTGACTCTTCCTCTGATCCTTCGCAATCACAAGAATTCGATGAATGGCTCAGACAAGTCGCACTAAGCCCTGGCGCCTCAAATCCGCAGCCGAACTTCAACCCGTATGAATTGTCCGTGCCGCAAACCCAACCCTATCAAACCGGAAGACCGCGGATGCCTGAGAATCCGTCGAATCCGTCCCGATCGGTAGAGCGTTGCGGTGGGCAGTGTAAATGCCCTCGGAATTCTTGTACCTGCCTTCCGGATTGTTGTGGATGCTGTCAGGGGTGCCAGTGTGATAACCACTGTAATGATGGACTGTCTCGAACGACGTTTGCGGTATCTGGTGAACGGGGTTCGTGTTGCAGAAAGGCTGAGTCAAATACGAGCACTCCTTCAGCCGGGAGGCGCCTCCCTGATTTTATGGCTATGACGAATATGCGCGACCAGTTGTCTGCGTCTGGGGTGGGCGCTGGTAGTCAAGGGTACTATGGTCAGCAGGGAGCATTCCTGGATTACTCCGAGACTCCAAGTCGTTCATCCTCTGGCTCGTCCCTGTCGAGTCGTATGCCTTCGAGACCTCCGTCCGGACCGGTGAGTACCGGAGGTCTCCTGGTCACAAACTTCGACTGATCTGCAGTGTTTATATCGTCTAGGGTTCTAGGCTGATGGGGCAGAGTAGCCCTTCCAGTAGTAGATCGCCGCAGTCGCACGCTGGTTCGGGGAGTACCCGCGGTTTCACCGCCTATGCGGAATCTGAAAGGGCTCGTGGAGCTGCGCCGTACTCGAACTATAACCCATCGCTGGACGCAATGCGCTTCGACTAGGAAAGTCTTCCGCGGAGTGAATTTTTATGTATTTGATGTCGCTGTCTTCCTTTTACTTTTACGTTGTACTCATCTGCTTCTTGTGGCTCGCTGCTCACTGACGGACATGCAGTGGCCGTGATTGCCCCCTTATCTTTTTTTACTTTTCATATGATTTTTTGGTCTTTCTTGACGCAATGTTTTCAATGTCTTGCTCGGTGAACGCGACAGAGACTCATCTAGAACGTCTACAGAGCTTTTTTTACCATATGTGACATTCTTGTACGTTGCTACCCCCGCAGATATTATAATTATTCATCATTAGCAAGCTTGTACGACGGCGTTCACTCAGTGTCCCCAGATGAATATTATGTTAATTGAAGTCATAAAACATCCATTGGGTCTTCCTGAGGATAGGTCAAGTTTTCTTTGTCCTGATTAGCATCACTCTCCGCTTCTGAAGACCGCAACTGCTCCGATAAAACACGATTGTGGTTCTCTACGTCAATCTGCGAAAAATCGGGTGAGTGTTTTGACATGTACAAACAATGCTGGGCATACCTTGATCGGCGGAGGCCACTGGAGATCCAGTAGCTCTGCGCCTTCTGGTAGGGCCCTCGAATACAAAAGGAGGTATGGTCCTGCACCGAGATGCAGGCCTACCGAATCCTCCAGCACATTGTCCTCGGACACCTTTTGGGCGTGTGAGCTTCACGGCAGACACGTCATCGAGGCCTCACATACCTGAGTAATGGATGTATCCTCTATCCTCCACCACGCACCCTTCTCTTGCACATAAGAATAGAGGTGCTTCCTTCCGTACAAACCATTGTGGACTAGTACAACGCGGAGATCATACTACAGACGGATTAATGAATCATTCTGGCCGAGGTTCGGACGTGATTCGGTAACTTACTCTGGCGCGCTGGAGCTCAGGGCAATCTAGGAGCGTTGCTGCTCGGTCACGCATCTTCGCAATATTGAAATTCGCGGCTGTGAAGGGTGGGGATGATAGTCAATGGCTCGCCAAGTAGAAGTACGTGCGCCCTACCTTCGATTTCCTTCTCTATCTGAGCGAGGACGCTCTTTAGTTTGTTAGCCGTGATCTGGGCGACTCGAGCACGTTCGTCGTCGTCCTTTGCATCTGCCACATTCTCGTAATAGTATATCGATGAACGCAGGTCTGTTAGCGTGTCTTTGTCCTGCGAATCAGTTTAGATTAGCGCAGGGGACGATAAGCAAGGGGCAAAGCACAAACATTGAAGTGAGTCAAGGACTTGTTATGCAACACTAGCTTTTGAATGTCTGCATGAAGTTCCCGCTGCTGTTGCCACTTGCTCTCTGCAAGCTCAACGTTTTCCTTCAAAAACTGGTCGAGATAGATGTGCTTCGGGTATTTAAATGGCTTGCGCTCGCCGATGACAGTGCCCGAGCGCATGAGATGAAACGCAATCATCTCCGAGGACTCGAAAATAACCTGGCGTTGCTTGGTATCATCCTTTCGAGTAAGCTGCGCAGAAAGGCGACCGACAAGGTCATTCGTATCGCTCGGTCCAAGTGCTTCGACACGGACAATGGATGCATCTTGCAGGAGCTCCCCGGGCTCCTCGTCGAAATTGCTGTTCCCATATTGGAACTTGCATGATGCGCTGTCTAGGCATCATATATCAGTGAGACACAGAAGAGCAGTCGATGTCATGTAGTACTTTGCCTGTCCAGTGCGAATAAATTCACGGGAAAACACTTTGTCGAGGGCACCTGCTACCTTTTCGAAGAATCCTGGTTCTCCATTGATTATGACGCATACAACCAGCTCAAAGGAACGCACGATAAGATAGCTCGCCCGGCGGTTGTGCCGGGTTCGACCAGGGCTCAGGCTTAAACCCCTCGAGCACCTCATGAGCGTCCAAATCCTACAAGCTTTGCAAGATCCATATTGGTGAATGTCTCGACGAGCTTCCACATGAGGAGCTCTTAGGCACCGTCAGCAAATGCTATCGAGTAACAGTAAAACACATTTACCTGGCCCATCTGTTGGGGGTTCAGCTTCCGTTGCGCCTTCGGGAAGAGCCGGTCTCCAATTAGCAACGCGTTCACGAATCTGCGGAACATAGAAGAGCGCCTGCAGAATCAGAGCTGCGTAGACCATCGTGTGTTTCGTTGGACGTAAAGTCACAGGCCTGCAGGGATGTCTTTAGTAGAGGGAGATGAATAAATTAGAGACGTACCAGCCTTCCTTCCGCCATTGCTGATCAAGGGGTAAAGGCTGGTATTCGTCGCCAGTATCAGCCTGCTCAAAGCTAGCTTGTATAGCGCGGTCCAGGTCGTCTGCGGCAGCATCACTCTGCTGAATACAGCATCAATGCCAAAAAAAGCAACATGAAGCACGGACTGGCCTACATTGGAAGGCACCATCGCCCAATTAGAATCAGGAGGCCGCTCGCTCGGTCCAAACTTCGGAGCCTCTTGGGAGGCGGTCTCGAGCGACGCTTTCAAAGCGCGAGATAACTCGTCGCTGTGGTCGTCGTCACCCGTGAGGTCGATATTGATTGGTGAGTTCGGGCGAACAGCAGAAGGAGGTAAGGGTCTGGGCTGGTTTATCTCCATCTGTGAGTGCGACGTCCACAGTGACGACTGCGTCTCCTCTCCCCTGTCGCCCTCGATCATGGCAGAGGCAGCCTTCTCAACATCGCCATCGAATTTTCGTAGAACGCGCCTAGCCACATCATGATCCACGCCTCCGTCCATCAAGGTGATTAAAAGGTCAATGTTATTGGACTCTTTCGTATCATCGTGATGGTGCATACTTGGCCAACTTGCGAATGGATAGGTCACCAGCAGAGTGAAATGTGCGTTAGTAGAATCCTGCCTGCAGTAGTCAATTGCAAGCCTTTGGCTCCGCAGTGTTGATGGTGGATATCTGAATCCATATCAGGCACCTACTAAGGCGCCCATGTTTTGCAGATTCTTCAAGCTTCAAGGCTATGGAACATGAGTTATATATGCATCGGCCATTCAAATCACATATTTACGTGTCAAAGGCTCTAAAGAACTCTAAGGTATCTCTCGGCATACATTTATGGAAACAAAGCGTAGCGAAGTAAGGATATAACACATAAAAGACGTAGAGCTATAAAGAATCCTCTCGAAGCGGATGATACAGACAGGTGAGGAGGATGGCAGAAAGGATACAATAACTGAATGGCGACGGCGGCGAAAAAAAACACCAAGGGTATGTGAGATAGGATGTAATACATTAGGTAGTGAGAGAAGAGGCGCAGTCCGAAAAAAGAATGTCTACTTAGTACTATGTACTTGGTGTCCGTTTGAGTAAGTGGCACAATCTACGTGATTGAATTAAGATGCAGCAGAATTATCTGCCCGAGAGTGTCAGGACATCGCTCTTCTTCCATGACGCAGAAAGCTCACTGTAGATACCACCACTATACTGCCCGCTCATGAACATGCTGTCCTGCTGTTGCGGCGGGTGTGGCTGCGGCTGCGACTGCGGTTGGCTATAAGTCATCCCCATCTGCGGGAACGATGTATAGTCGTTCCAAAACTCTGGATACCGCCCTGTCCCAGCGTGTTCATATGAACCAGATCCGCTCCCATGCACAGCCAGCCGCGATTGTCCTTGATGCGAAGTTGACGACGAGTTCCCCACCCGACGCTCATTAATCAAGCCTGTGCTATACATTTGCGGAAGCACAGACGTAGAAAGTGTGCCCGGAAACGGGAGGTACGATGATCCATCAGATGACCACGGATAATACGATGAGGACTGCGAAGTTGGCATAGGTGTCCCCGCAAAGTCACCATGATGCCCCGCAGCAGTCTGCTGGGCATGACCAACATCATGTGACGTTCCGCTGAACTGAGTCGATCGCCAGGTGTTGGCATATCCTTGCCCCGACGCTGGGGCGTGAGGTGAGTTGCTTGGCGCTAGGACCTGCAGCTGCGAACGCTCGTAGGCATCCTCTGAGTCCACTGAATGCTCGGCTGTCCGCTTCTGGCGCGCCTGAGAAGTAAATGAAAGGCGCGCTTGACTAGAATTCAAGGGATTTGCCATGACGTTTGAGCCTCGAAGAAGCTCATGTGCGCGTGCTGCGGAGGGCCAGACAATTTCCATGTCTTGCAGCGCATCCATGCACTTGAACAGACCTATCCGGGATTGAGGGTCATTCGGATAGATGGACACTGAATATAGAATGAGTGCACGATCATCAAAGAAAACCAAACGACGACCTACAGCTCGTGACATGCATGATACCCGCCGTGAAGATGTAGAAACAAAGAAAAACGGGTGCGCGTTGCAGGGAATATTTTCCCCGATAAGACGATACTGAAGTCATTTCACGTAAGGAATCATTCAGAGGAAATAAAATAAAATAAATACCGATAGAGGAGATGTGATTTGCAGCACCCACGCAGAGCTCATAATGTTTCTTGCTCGTCGCACACGCTTCTGTATCGTCCATACTATCCGATTTCCTGCAGAAGTATTGACATCACAGCAGCGGAGGAATTTCAGAGTACTCACCTTTTACTTAGAAGATACACATTCCTTATGCTAGACGCCAAGTTATTTCCAAAGAAATAACAGACAAACGAGAGTGCACTCACAATGGGCGATGTAACAGCAATGTCGTACACCAATATTGCATGTGCAGCGTCAAAATATGCGGTGGAGCATTTACGTCCTGCTTCAATTGCAAATGCTCGGGCAGGTCGAGATACCACTTGTTCAGCAGTTCCTCAAGTTGTATTGATTCATTATACCGAGAATTCACCGGATGGATGGCATAGATCGATTGTACAATCTTAGAAAGGATGGTTGCTGAAACGTAAACTCAGCTTTGGGCACTAGATGCGTGGTCAAATGAAGGTGCTCACTGAGAGACGCAGTCGCATTAAAGCAAGACAGTACTGCGTCCGGTTATCGAACGCTTCATCTCTGAACTAGGCGGATATCCATGTCCGCGGGTGTCCGGCGGCAACGATTCATGAGGCGTCCACAACTCCAACTCCTCCACCTGAATTAAAAAAATACCTGTCATCACACGGCATCAGAAACAATTTACGGCACTCCGTACCTCGTCGTCGCTCGGCAAGAGTGTGTCGTAATCCCGCTCGAAGATGGCAAGTGGCCTTCCGATGTACGTACTCACGTACCCATCGAGTACGACACATCCCCACCATATCCGCCGCCGCTCCTGTAGCTCCCGTGGGCCGAACAAACGGCCAACATCCGCACGAGCCCACCCATCGGCTGCGCGATGCATGCCGAGGTCCTGCGCCATACGTACCGCCATGCCTGTGTACACCCAGGCTTGTGCCATGGCACCAATGCCAAGTTCTCGGTACCCGAGTAATAGGAGAGCCTGCACTGTACTTGGCAACGAAGATGCATAGCTGCTGTCGAGAAGTGTCTTGGCGACATTAAAGTACTGATCGCCTGCAGTCCACATAGGAGTTGGGTCTCTGGGCGACACTGGCGACAACGAAGGAGGAGAGGAGGGAGGGAGGGAGGAAGATGGTGAATAGCGTTCCGCAATGGAAAACATGCTAAGGAGTAAAAGCGGAGAAACATGGCGGCGGGCACGGTGGAAGGGCGATGGAGATTTCGAACCCTGACCATCTGACGTAGGTGATGGCGTGTTGGCTGCAGATGATTCCTGATGTCTGACATAGATATTAGTGGCAGTCGGTAAAAAAAAAATGTGAGGTAGCACCCACTCCTTGAAAGCCTCCCAGAAAGCCTCCTTGTGCAATACCGGGAATGTCGAATGTACATAAGTAAAATATATCTGTAATAAATGTTCCTGAACAGCTGGATCAGGCATGACGTTGCTTAGATCTCTATCCATGATAGATAGACCCGCCAAGGAAGTATTGGTCGTGGTCGGGCTTGCGGCAGAATTCGTCAGCGCATTAACGCTGGGAATTACGGGCGAAGTCGAATCTCCGGCGGATGAAGGGAGTGGTGGCCAGACACGGGCCTTGGGGAAGCGCCTGTGACATGTGAGATATTCGCGCGGTATACCGGCGGATAAGCAGCTCACCAAATGCCGCCTTCATTCCGAGCCTCCTCCTTCGCATTATACCCCAATAGGTAAAGACCACTTGCCTTTCCGTGATACCGGACTTGTTCGTCCTCGTTCAAGGAGAGCTGACCTACAGCATCCGCAACATCGTCTTCGTCCTCAGAGTCTGTACTGGTCGGTGCATATGTTTGCGAGTGCTCAGAGAGATCCGGGGATGATGAAGAGCCAAGCCGCAGGCGTTGACGGCGTCCGTTGTCGTCGAGTGAGAGAGGTGGTGAGGTTCTAGGTTGCGAAAGTCGGATCGTGTTCGAGTTATTGAGGGAAATGGCACCAAGTGCAGGTGGGCGAGAGCGTGATGAAGACGGTTGGGAGAGCGATAGGGATGAAGAGAGAAGAGATACAACCCGATCCTGCCATTCATTCGAAGGGCTGTAGAAGAAATTTGATTCGACGCTGTTGAAAAACGAAGAATTAAACTTACTGTGTAGACTGTAAGTCAATACCACTACCCTCCTGTTGTAGTGGCAGCATTAGGGCGTGGTTTAGCGCTGCCGCCTTTTCGTCCTTTGACACCGTAGGAGGAGGCATCAACACGATTGAGGATCTCACGAGCAAGAGCGTCCTGATTGAAATTTTATTAGTACGTGTATTCAATCAGATATGTACGTCGTCAGCCAACAAAGATAAGAATGATTGCGTGGTGACATGAAAAATAAACAGCTTGAAATAACCAAAGCGCTTGTGAACATGTCGAAAGTGCAAAATTCATGCATGCAAAACCAGTACATAAAGAACACTGACCTGTCTCAGAGTATGCAACACATCATCCAGCCCTGCAGCGCCGTCTCTTGCTGGACGTCCCCTATCTGCTTCGCCATCACTGCACAAATTCAGTTAACATTAAAATAATAAAATGACCCAAACGCACTTTTCGCCACGCACTGCCTCAACGGCGAGGAGAACGCCTAGAAGTGCTTCTGTTTGGTGCAGCCGAGCTTCGATGGCGTCAATGTACCCCTTAGGGGGGCCGCGCTTGCGCGAGGGTCCGAGGAATGTACACGCTGCAGATTGACGGACGTAATCAAGTCAGGAAATGACGGGAGCGAGACATCGGGACATCGTGAGTATGAAGCATAAAGATATTGATGCGCGCCGAAAAGTGATAACCGACGAGGTAATATGTAGAAGATCGTCAAGATGCGATGGTACAGATACAGGGTGTTGTTGGTGTTCCGGAACGCCAGTCACACGTGGCAGGATGTAAATATCAAAGGCGGCGGTTGCGAAGGCCACAAAAGGGAATTCATGACGGTTTGAGTGGTTTGAAGAAGGTAAGTAACGAAAGGCGACCGCATCAGGGTAGCGTCAGGTGGCGTTGATATGCATGGACACCGAGGGGCCGGTTGAAGTGACAAAAAAGGGGAGAGCGGGGCGATGAGGAAGAAAGAACGAGAAAATATGATCAGCAAGTTGGCAATTATGTGGAATTAGGGAGACTTACGCGTCCCGAGCATGATACAGCTCTTGCAGGCCTCACCATCTCCTGCACGCTCGCACTTGCATTTGCTCTTACGGCATTGATCGCAAGCTGAGATATGACAAGGCACGAATTAGATAGATATATGAAACGAGTAGGGACATACCTTTGCTACTCCTCCTTCTAACGACTCTATCTGAGTGGCCAGATGAGGTAGTAGGCAAGCCAGAGGAGCCTGGAAGATCTGCCAATTCGTCGCCATCGTCGTATTCGTCTGGGAATGACAGTCCATTTAAGTCGAGGGGGGGATTACCTGAACGTTTACCAAGCCATGAGTCGTCTGGGTGTGACATGTTTCCGAAGCGGTACGGACGGCCTGGTATTGTATTAGATGTTGTAGTAAAATTAGGGCCAAGATGCGCGGTAGTGGGGGTTGACGCTGATGAGGGAAAGTGGAAAGAAAATGCGTGGGGTGGTGAGGGTGAAAGATCAAGATAAGGTGAAGACGAGACCTCCGATTTTACAGACTGAGAACGTGTAGAGTTACTCCCTGCACTAGTAGGCGGATCAAGACCGTAACGAGGAATGGGTGAGTCTAGTACATAATATGCATTAGCTGGGATGGCCATGGCAGAAAGGGAAAGAGAAAGAGAAAGATGGGGCAGGTGTAGGTCTGAAGGAGGTCAGACTTGAAATTCAGGTCCTGTATTTCATAGATTTCTCGATCACCGTGCCAAGAAAATAAGTAACAAGTTGATCTACAACTTTGGAGGGCTCGCTCATGTAAATCTATGAGCTGTGTCACATTCGGGGCAAGTACGACGGCCGGACTTCAACCCTGAAGTACTTTCTCCTCGGAACGGAAATCATCGACCCTTGAAGCCCATCCCCGCTTTTTACAAAATCAATTGATCACTCACCGATTAATCACTGCCCCAATGTACGTTATTTGCGAGAGTCGTGGCCCAGAGAAGGTCGACCTTTGGATCTTCAGTCTTCTAAACTCCAAGGTAGGTAGTAGCATCTCTTCCTCACAACATGCGAATTTCCTACTTATTACAGTGAAATCCAGCCCCCCTTACTCCCTCTTCGCGAGTTTCCCACTGACATGACGCATGGGTAGTCGCATACTCATCCGCTATTATTAGATTTAACGAATATTCGGTACCATCCGTTGAATATTATGTGGAGAAATTAATTGTCTCTAGAGTTCACCTCCCAAGTCGCGAACTGACCGGCATACCCTCACCGCTCTTAGATACCCTCGACCAAGTAATGCGTACTATCGGATCGTTCCAACCTCCGACGCTCTCCAACAGCGCATTCAACAAACACATCAATTTCTTGTGGAGAGGTGCCAAACTATTGCCGGCTAGCACCGTTTTGTACGACTCTTTAAGGAATTGTACCCCATCGCTCACTACTAGGCGTCTCACGAAATTAATTTCTTGGCTACCACGCGACTCTTCGCAACTTGAAGCTTCGCACCGCCTCCGAGGCTCCGCAATTTTCGCACTTCAACTTGAACAGGAGTATTCCGAGGATATATCATCTTATATCAACAAAGATATCGACTGTGATATCTTACTAGATTAACTACTGGAGACTACGATATTATTTGCTCTACTTCAAACTTCTATCCTATTTTAGCCATTCAGAAGTTTGTTGACACCTCCGTGTCTTAGTATTCCTCTTCCATTCTGCAGTTTTACAATGTCATTACAGGCGACGTCGGTAAGGATATGAAATTCACTAGATCAGACTCGATGATCAGAGGCCCACTTCTTTGCACATGCAAAAGCTTCCGGGTGAGAAGACCTACGAAGACGTCCCCACGTGAACCGTCTCCGTCTCTCCTACCAGATTCTCCTATCAGTAGCTATCCTGCTTTACGTTGCGTCGTTGTTCCTCTTTGGCGATCGGTGCAACTAAGTCTTACGGTACCGTATACCGTCGGGATGTCCAGGCACACTTCACCTATTTGATTTTTGTTCGAAGTTTCTATTTCTGTCCTCGATCGACCACGTGGCTGGTTCGGGATCTGCGTCGCTCCGAGATCTGTTTCCAGCCGTTTCCATCCCTGGCATCAATCGATGCGTCTGATGGTCTTCAATCTCGTCGTCGCAGATAATGTGACAGCCCTGCTGCAGCACGTTGCGGCCCACACTAGACATGAACCATCCACGCCTAACCATCTGTGCTGATGTTCATGGCATGTTGCAAAACAACAGAGCAGTTGCATTACATGTAATTAAATTTCCAGCTCCGAGTCGAAGCATAGGTAAGTATGCAGATCTAAAGGTCAAGGAGATCAGTCACCAGGGTCATTTTTATGGCATCGTTGAGGAGTGTCGAATTCGAATCGCCCATATTAGCTCATACCTGTGCTATCTTTATTGTATCATAAAATCATAGGCCGGACAGACGCACGTCGTAAAGTCTCTCATTCATATTAGTCCACACTCTTGGCGCCCGCCATGCCCGTGCTATCAACATATCTTATTATCGAGCTCGGGAACGAAGGTCAAGAAGTCAGCGTACCGTCGAGTAATACTGTCATAGTCGTGGCGTTTTGGGACAAACACCACAGTCCTGTACTAGCTTGCAGATCCCGCCTCAAGCGGATTGTAGGTCTACTTGGAGCTTGGACGGCATTGCCATGCCATCGAGGGAAACACGTGAAAAGAAGTCGAAGTCGAAGTCGAAGTCGAAGGTCAATACATCAAGGCAATTATTGATCGAGACGAGGTTCTTCGAGTTCCGAACGAGCTACATAATCAGGGCTAGTCTCGTCCATGTGGTGCGTATCAGGGTCTATCATGGTCAGAAACAATCCACAGAGTAGGATTACGGAGTACTCCAGTACCTGGAACTTGGATACCAATCCCAACCCCTCCCACAAAAGCAACACAACACAATACGACTGAGGTGACCGTGTGATTGTGGACAGCGCAAAGTTCCCGAACAAAATAGGACTTGCAAATCCGCCACGGGATCTGTACGACAATTCGCGGTACCTCTCTTCTCTTCGTGGCTTAGATTCTGCCCCCTTCATGACGTCGTGATGATGTATCCTATTCTGATAAGTATGATAAAACCTGAAACAAGGTCCTGCGGAAACGGTGCGATAATAATGTCCGCTAAACGGCTGTAGCTGGAGGGCACTCATGCCCGCCAACTGTGTATGGCAAACATTCCCGCATGATTGCAAAAGGAAAGCATTCCCGCGAACCACGCGTGATTAGAGAAGCTCGACATTTGATCGGAGAGATTGATAATATCATATAGCTCGGTCCTACCCGACGAGTTCCTGGACGATCTCGTAAATGGGGAAGAGAAACAAGAAAGCTTCCTCGGAGAATCGGACTCTTGCAATGGGATGCGCTGTCGAAGCGACTAACGCGGAAGAACACAATAAGCTTACATAATCCCTGGCTCGTGCGCACGTTTGCTGAACGCTGCCTTTGGGATTGAGCAGATGCATTCAGCGACAATATAACGTGTTTGCATCCGGTGATCGCTCAGGTATATATGTGCAGAAGCTCATCATGAGTGACTCAAGGGGAAACTTTAGCAAATATGACTCACCCAATTCGACCACGGTTGGACCTCGGAAACATAGTAGATCGCAACCTTTTGGGTGACTCGAGGAGCTCACCCAAATCGACTGCCGCCGGAAAGATATCCCCGTCATCAATAGATGCTGATCTCGCGAAAAATTTAGGGGACTGCAGAGGTTCAAAACAAAAGCACCGCGTCAGCACTGGCTGGTAGGTGAATGCGACATTGTCGGGGTGTACACAGCACAGATAAGGTGCTGGTCGTGGCTCTGTTGTTTGGAGTATGTATATAACGAAGCGCTTAGGCGTGCATTGACCTTAGTTTGATCAATGATCAAAAGACAAAACAAAGACTAACAAAAAGTGGGTGCTGAGCCCACTTGGCAGACCGGTTTTGATCAGAATCTCGGAGACGAAAACGCCAATGACTGTCATTCAAGACGGTGGAAAATGAAAGAATGAGATAGAGATTAGTAGAAACACCGGGAAACTACTGGTGGCTGAGTTTTGTCACGGGTCTGTCCACATTTCATCATCGTCCAATGGCCCCTACATTACAGCTTAGCTCCAACTGTCCAATCGACTACGGTTGACTCCACCTATAAACTCCTTCTACTAATCTGAAGCTTATCGTCCTAATAAACCATACATCATGTTTGGCTGCTGTGTTGCTGGTCGTCTGCTGCAAACTGACCTGCGGCAGGTTGATGAGACGCACGCGCTCTTTGAGATCCCAGCTGCTGAGAAGGTCAATCATGTGTGCGTGTTTTTACTTGGTACAGGTCAGTGTGCATACTCCCTCCATCGCTCCTTCAAACGCGTGCATATGCGCTGCTACACATCTTTGATGCCAAGTTCTATCACATTCTCATGCTGACCTATGCTCTAGTTCCATTCCCTGATGGTTTTGGCGCAACTGTCCATTTTTTCTGGCCTGGAAAAGGTTCACAAGTACTTGGAATGTGCGCTCACTTCTCATAAATTCACTGCAAAGATCGCCGACCTTACTTGCGAATGGCAGGCTCTCAAATGACAAACCATCAGCCATATTTCGTCTTCGGTCTGCCTTCTCTTCCACCTCAGCACCTCCGTCAGGTATATCCACCCCATCTGCGTTCACATCCCCATCTTTGTCTTCTGCACCCGGTCAAGTCACCGCCGTACTCGGATTCGCATTAGAACCTCTTGAAGCCATAGCTGCACAACTTGCATCTCTCCCCCAAGTTCAAGCACAGAGTGCCATGAACATCACCCCCGGTTCAACACCAATGTCATCACTGGCGTCAATACCCAAGCCTGCAGATCCATCTGCACTTGCGGAAAAAATAGCAAAACACCTGTTCAACTATATAGCGGGCTTCGTCCCAGCAGGAACAAACGTAGGCCCTGACAGTACTGTTCCGATGGGTATCATTGCTCGATGGTACGAAACCTTTATGGGGAAGGTGAGGGCAGGCGGTGTCGGGTTTTTGGATCGTAGTGAATAGCTTCAGCCGTCAATGGATATATGACTTTTGATGGATTATCATGACGTCGATTCATTTTGTGAGAGAATCGAGCGATCGCTGCCTGCTAACTAGTACCAGGAAAACGAACATTTGCATCGGCGAGTTAGTGCGTGGTGGAGCCCGACTGATGACGATGTGCGGTGATAAGCTAATCGGAAGTTCACTATTCTTCAGCCTTAGGGGTCTGATCATGATGCATACGCTTTGGAATTCTAGTCTCCCCAAGCCAGACTAGACTCGTGACCAATCTGAAGCCCAGACCTTGAAAGAAGGAAGACAGTTCTTCCTTCGGATTCGTTATTCCGATCGCTCAGGAAGCTCCTGTAGTCGCATCCTCTCAATGTGTGGTGTATGCGAGTTGATCGGGCATTAATAATAGGAGTCGGACCTTTTCAAAGCACTCCAGCAACGCTTCAGAGTCTCTAGCGTGTAGCACTCAATTTATATCATATGTCCGTGCAGCTTGGCAGTCCTGTTGTCCAATAGACTCATACCCAATCTGAATTTGAGATGGTGAGATTTATTTTGATGCGGCTACACTACTCGAGCATCCGTGGTAGTATACGCCAGGCTGGTCTTGTTCAAGTCAAATCGCCGAGTCGCATGGCGGTCAGATTCCAGGTCAACTTCAAAGAGTCTCTGTGAACACGTACACGAATATCACACCGTGGGTTGTAAGTGAACCGTGTCAATTACAGTTGTAATGAAACATATTGATATTGATGCTATCCTATTTGCTGCATTGTCCGCGTCAGATGCAACACTCAGATCTGTGGTATCACAGGTGGAATAGTACCCGAAACTCGCCCAGCACGTTCAAGGGCTCCATCCTGTAGCTCATACGCGGGTCGATACCGCGGTGAATAGCTGACACCATTTGCACCCCTACTGCCATTAACCTCGGCATGGCATTGAGTGTTCGGATCGTTCGCCAGAACTAGGAAAGGTCCCAATGTTTCACTAGAGCCACTAGATGGCTCTGTTTCCCTCAAAGTGAGGGCAGGTTCGGCAAAGCATGTCTGGCTGGGGTTATTGGCAATAATGGTAAAAGGACCAAGGCTGCCGTTCATGAACGACTTCGGTGGAGGTGGTTCAACGAGACACATGGTATTTGGATCATTCGCCACAACCGTGAGCGAAGAAGGGAAAAGGTCGGATGAATCAGAATCCGTGACAAGTAGGGCTGGATTCGGGAATGTGTTATATGTAGACCCCAGGGACGTGTAACTGCGCGGGCGTCAAGCAAAGACTGTATGATACGGATATTACTCACCCTTCAGTCATACAACGTGCAATATGGAATCTTGAGTTTCCTTAAGAATGTCCAGACATCTGAGTACGCCCAATTGATGATCGGGTTTACCCGCTCAAAAGCGGGCCATCCGGGATCCGTCATATTTCTGTGCGATAGGGTTGCTACTCGAGCCGTGAGTACTTGCATGGTACAATAACAGCGACGCTCACCTCCATGGGGGTCCGATCGTCGCGTGCCTACTAGTATTGCTTGAATAGCCGGAAAACGTAGTTTGTACAACTCCAGGGCTCGCCGCATCCCCTCCCCTCCTCTAGCCGTTCCGACAGGCCGAGTCTGGAGTCTACTTCCTATATAGCTATCGCTTTCCTTGAGCGATGTTGGGGTCGACACGCCGGGCGTCACGCTTTCCACGGGTAACTGGATGTCCGAAGATGGGTTGCATGTGAAAAGATCAAGGAGGTAGTCTTGCGCAGCAACGTTGACAAATTCCTCCAGTGCGTGGAACGGTGATGGTACCGGAATGTTTAATGCGGATATAGGCTTTGGGGTGGAGGAGACCTTTCTGGTGAGAACAGCAGCATACAGATGCAGTAGGACGGTGCCTACAAGGCAAAGACATCAGTAGAAGTACATCTCAGGGGGTGCGATGCACGCACAATCCTTCCCGCCGTTGAAACTCAGAGATACACGGTCTTGCCTATCAAGTAAAATCTCAGCACGATGAAGCAAGGAAAAAACTAGGGCTCACCCATATTGATCCAGACACTGCTCGATGGCCTGCAAGGCCTCTCTCACCAGGGGTGCTATAGCTTCCTCTGACTCGGCAAGATTGTAAACGTCACTAGCTATCTTCTGAAAGTCCATATTGCCCGAATGATCTTGAGGATACTGAAGGGGCGACCCAACGAAGGTCTAGCGTGGAGAATCTAGAGAAGATGTTTGCCAGTAAATACGGCTGAGAGCTTTCATACAGTAACGGTGGGTACGAGAAACGGTGGGTACGAGATAAGTATTGTGGGAACGCAGTTCGGTGAACTTGCAATCTGATATCATCTCATCATCTCATATAAATACACCACTTCTTATAGCACTGCACAGTCCTATCCAAGTCTACGATCACAACAATGGCAGCCGTGGTACTCGTCACTGGAGGCACCGGGCTCGTTGGGAAAGGTATCGAGTATGTTATCGAGCACGAACCAGAAGGCTCGCGCTTTGGAAAGCTTCCAGGAGAGAAATGGATCTTTGCTAGCTCTCGCGATGCCGATCTAAGGTACTGTCATACGATTCTTGTCCCGATAGAAAATATCAATATGTAGTGCAGAAACCCAGAAGAGACTCTGAAGTTGTTCGAGAAGTATCAACCCACTCATGTCATCCATCTGGCTGCTCTCGGTACGTAGTTCGGGTCAGGATGAACCCATCTGATCAATGTCCATATTATCGTTAGTGGGTGGTCTCTTCGCAAACAGAGAACGGAAGGTAAGAATAAAGATCCTCTATCGTGTGCGATCTGACCTCTTGCAGATGACTTTCCTCCGCGACAATATGCTGATTAATGACAACGTACTCCATACTGCTCATATCAAAGGGACAAAGAAAGTCATCTCTTGTCTTTCGACGTGTGTCTTCCCGGACAAAGTCGAATATCCACTCACTGAGGAGAAGGTTCACCTCGGACCACCACATTCGAGTAACTTCGGATATGCGCATGCGAAGAGGATGGTAGATGTCCAGAACCAGTACGCCACGATTCCCTTAGGGTACCTTTTACTGCGGCTTATATCCACTGCATAGTGCTTACAAGGAGGAATTCGGTTGCAACTTCACGTCTGCCATTCCAACCAACGTGTTTGGACCCCACGATAACTTGTACGCTTAACTAATACGAAGGTGATAGCATCCTAACTGATCCTTCTGAAGCGATCTGAAGCATGCACATGTGATGCCGGCACTGATCCACAAATGCTACTTAGCACAAAGTCCATTTTCCCCTCGTTGCAAATGTTCTGCACGCTAATACACTTCCAACGCAGAAAACAACACGCCATTCAAAGTGATGGGTGACGGCTCGCCCCTCCGTCAATTCATCTACTCCCGTGACCTCGCAAAACTATTCATCTGGCAAATGCGCGAGTACGAGTCCGTCGAACCTATCATCTTTTCAGGTTGGCTTTCGTGTCTCTACTTATGTGCAGTTTACTGACGCTCCCAGTGGACGAGAATGACGAAATCAGCATTCGCGATCTCGTGAACTCTATCGTCAAAGTCATGAATTACCCTCGCAAGCCTGAGGTGCGCGCTCCTTCACACCGCTTATGAAGTACCTGAGCTCAGATATCATGTAGTTCGAGAACGAACTTAATGACAACGGACAAGATCGCAAACCCGCGTCGAATGAGAAACTCATGAGCCTAATTGGCTCTGACTTCAAGTTCACGCCATTCGAACAAGGTTCGTCGTCCTCATTTACTCAATGCAGTCGCTGACAATTGACTATGTCGTACAGCTCTTGAGGAGACGGTCTCCTGGTTCCTTCAGAACTACGTTAACGCGAGAACTGGCCAATCTCATGTTTAGACAGAGTGGAGGAAACAGATTATCATTCTAGTGATGCATGTAGAAGACAGTTGCGTTTCACTATCTGCCTGTTCTCCACTCCTTGCATGTATAAGCAGGAGTACCACTGCTGACCGAGAAGGAGTGACAGCTGTACCTTATATATATCAGTCCGACTATAAAGCATTTTGATCAGTACTATAACGATCATTCAAATCAATCGGACATACGAAGAATTTCTGGTGACGCTGCGCCCCAGCACTCTCGATCGACTCGATCTCCTCAGCTGTCAACTCCGGAACGTTGGCTGTGTCAAGATACTCTCTCATCCTTTCCGCCTTGCTCGAAGTGCTGATCGACTACGTGAACCTCCGCAACAGAGCACACTCGAACGAACGAAACTTACGTGATGACCAAAATGCCATACTGCTGCAACCACTTGTTGAGCACATGACCTATTGACACGGGCTGTCCTCGAGTGGACTCAAGGCGTGCCCGGATTTTCTCGATGACGGGGTCCAGCGGCCCTCCTGGTGCGCGGAAGAGGGGCGATAGTCCACCATACGAGGACGTGATAATACCGTGTTCTTTATGCAACGCGATCACAGGCTGTAAGGACTTCCACACATACGGGTGGATCTCGATCTTTCAAGGGAGAGGGGGGATCGTCAGAACACTGACACCAACGTGTTCATCGCATTCTGCTCACCTGGTTGACCGCAGGCGGAAACTCAGCGCCCTCCAAGATCTCCTGGAAGTGTGCAACTTCGAAATTAGACACCCCGATGGACTTCGCCAGTCCTTCCTTCTTGCACTCCTCCATCGACTTCCACACCTCCTTCAACCGGCCCGCATGGTCGCCGGGCACGTGCACGAGGTACAGATCCACGTACTCCAAGCCCAGTTTCTTCAACGACACATGCAGCGCGGTCTTGGCTGTCTGGCCGGGCTGCAATTTGTGGAGCTTAGTGGTAACGAAAAGCGTGGAGCGCGGCGCGCCGGAGCCCTTGATGGCAGCACCCAAGCTTTCTTCGTTCTCGTACATCTGGGCACCGTCGAGGTGCGTGAAACCGTTGGATATGGCGGTTTCGACAGAGCTCTGTGCGTCTTGCTGGTACAGCGCCGTGCCGGTGCCAAACCCGATCCAAGGGACTTGGTTGCCGTCATTAAGAGTGAGTGTAGCTATCGCCATGACTTGGATATCCGTGTGAAGTGAAACAAAGTTGACGAGGAGATCTGGGAAAGACCACGCAGTACTTATATCTGCAGGAAGGAGCCGTATTTAACGATTACAAATGTATGGGACTCCGCTGAACATGAGCGGAGGTCCACAGCAAGGTCACCAGGTCAGTGTGGTACCCAGGCTGTATCTCCTATCTTATAGATTGCCAAGTTTTCTGGAGTGCGCCGTCGGCGTGATGCACAAAACTATCTTTATACCTCGAACAAGATTGGACTGCGATGGTGCTATGATGATAACAGTTCGCAAGATTTAAAAGCCCTTGTCAATAAAGGTGGTTGTACAACTGCGAATTCATGGTTTTTACACAACGCAGGAGTTGGAGGTAGAGTCTTCCAATTACATGCTCGTTGAGAGAGCTGAGCTACTGTGCCAATGAATAGACAACGACACAATAGGATTTAGCAAAGAATACCAAAGAAGCTGAACCTAATCAAATGCACAGCAGTGAAAAGGAAGCCAAGGGCGCTAACTTGTAAAACTGTACCAGTCGAAAGTAACACGAGCTGGAATCACATACCAACCCGATTATTTGATCGAGCGGCACCTCCCTCTTGACGGTGGACTATCTTTGAACACGTCTTCGTAGAAGGTTGTTACAACATGGCGTGCGGGATCGCCATCAGGCGCCCGCGGAGTACCAATGGTGCTCTGGAACCCGAGAACTGAAAACTGCCGCAAGGTTGATGACTACATTGGGAGTCTGATAATGGCCGACGGCGGCATGACCAATAAGAATTTAACTTGGGGAATGAAATTCAATGATGTTCCCCATGACACCAAGCGGCGTAAGAGGTTTATCTTCCATGGCGAAACGTGAATTGTAATTGCTTGCGCCTGTAATGATAAGCGAGGATCAGGTGCGCTCAGGTGTTGCGCCGCAAAGCTCCGATTGAAACGCTTCTATCCAGAAAGAGTGGTGGGTTGACGGTCGCTACGAAAGACAGAACGACACCTTCTGAGAGCCGAGAGCTTCAGCCTGTAAGAGGCGGCATAAATACCCGTTTCCGTCATCTGCCTTCGACAGAGCTCCATGGAGATGGATGAATAAGAAGGCTATGATAGGACGAATTCAGATATCTCGAGAGCTGTGACAATTAGGGAGGGGAAGAGAGTCAAGAGACCATGGTGAGGCTGCTATTTCGGGTAGTACTAGTAGCTGAGATGCGATCAGATTCGGAACAGTACTTATGTTCGCGTCATTGATTACTGCATATCTGTATCTGTGGGGGTAACTCGCACCGAGAGGGAGAGGAGTTGTGCATAAACATTTTTATCACGATCCGCAAGCTGGCATAAATGAAGAGACGAGAGCTGTAGGTGGTGTAGGATTTTTGGAGAGAAAAGGAGTAAACGGATGGATCTCCGACTCCTGGTCTTTTTCATGATTTAGTATGTATCCAAATAAAAATGACCGAGTAAGATTGTAGTAGGTGGAGCTTGTAGGAGGAGACGCAAGGTTGAAGCTGACGTAATTGACAGGCTGAACCGAAAGTTGTAACGCCAGCGATGGGTCCACTGTCAACGAATTTGCACTGAGTCGTCACAATAGCGTACATGCGTAGATACGTGCACGCTACCGCCCGGTATGCAAACAGTTCAAGTCTGGGTATCTTCATTTCTTGCCTCTTTCTCATTCAAATATTCTAACGATGAAGTTTTGCACATTATAGATCCATTAATCCAATTCCGTTCATTTTCGCAGGTTCTCCCTTCCCTGAATTTTGACGCAGCAGCAGTGTCAACTATCAATTGCAGTGAATTACATCGAAACATTCATCTGTCTTCAACCCCTCCAAGTAATCGAGGCCTCAGGGAACGGCTGGTGGCACTCTGCTCCAGCACTCTCAATCATCCCCATCTCCTCAGATATCAAACCCGGAACGTTGCCTGTATCAAGATACTCTCTCACCCTCTCCACCTTGGTCGAAGTGCTGATCGATACCCGTGAGTCCTTCCACAACGCAGCGCACCAACGAACGAAACGAAGCGAAACTTGCGTGACAACATATCGTTCTGCTGCAACCGCTTGTTGAGCACCTGGCTGCTTGCCACTAGCTTTCTCCGCGTGGACTCGAGGCGTGTCCGAATTTTCTTGATTACAGGATCCAGCGGTCTTCCTGGTGCGTGGAAGAGGGGTGATAGTCCACCATATGAAGACGTGATAATACCGTGTAAAGAGCGCAGCACCCCGGAAGTCTTAACGATAGTGCCTAGGCTGTCTTCATTCTCGTACAACTGGGCACACTCCAAGTGTGTGAAACCGTTCGCAATGGCGGATTCGACAGTGTCCTTGGCATCTTGCTGGAAGATCGCCGTGCCAGTGCCAAATGCGATCCAGGGGACTTGGTTGCCGTCGTTGAGAGTGAATGTGGATATCGTCATTCTGTGACGTGGAACGGTTAACGAGCAGATTGGAGGAAAAATGTGGCGTAGCATTGTACTTATACCTCAAGTTGTGATGAGGTGGCGATCTTAATGTCATTGATTAATCGGTATTGTCGCTCAGTATTGACACGTCCTTCTAGATCTGGAGCGGGATTTCGTCGAATACATGCACAAAACCATAGAAGGGTTCCAATTGCGATTGTGCCGTGTTCAGCCCATACGATGTGTACGTGGTTGTGCAGCTGCAATTTATGACTTTTTTGGCCCCGCCATTCTCGTTGGTTCTGGTTTCACGGTTTGCTTACTACATAGTATTTACTCTCATACACCGTGTTTACAATCGTTCTAGTGATAATTTGCACACTGCAGTCCACTCAAATCCTAAAAACAGTTGTGTTTCACTTTCACTTTCACTTTCACTTTCACTTTCACTTTGTAGACTGCTGACCGTGTGGGCGTGACGGCAAGTTGACATCTCTCAAAATGCTTGACGAATTACGCTAACAGTGCCGCCCAGGGCAGCGCACAGGACAAAATTAGTTGTTCCGCCAGAACATTTGTCACCATGAGTGAAACAGTCCGCCCGCCCCCTTGCTTGTCCGCCGCTGTTGTTCAAAACACATAGCCACTGTCCTCATCACGATGTCGTATCACCCGCGGTTATCTAGATCCTCGTTCCGCTATTCCACTTTCAATACTTTCTGCTACAACCCTTCTCTCCGTTCTTCTGCATTCGCACGTCCTTGACGCACCGTAAAATCGCGCATGCACACATCCTCCATTTTCGAATCCGACGTGCTGGGGCGCTTCGTCGTGATGCGCAGGCTTTTTCTTTTATCGAAACGGAAGCGATAAATAATCGCCCTTTATGTGCATGACGCACAGATACCTATCGATGTCATTATCCTCATCCCCCCCCGCTATCATTTTTTTATTCCGGGATTAACCTCCAGCCCGAAGCATGTGGACTCGGAGGCAAGCGATGATTCAACGACCATCTTGACCAACACCAATGTAGGAGCATACTTACACTTACATTCCAGTGCTACGGTTTCTTGTAGGTGTGATTGTGTTTGGCTCCAGTGATTGATTCTGACCTTCCTACGTCTAACTTCCAATCGGGACCAAATTACCGATCCCTTCTGACCGAGGAAGATTCGACCTCTGAGCACTAGTCGACCCTAGAACACACCATCTCTACCCAAGGCTCACATGGTCTTCATCATCTCCAATCGTAAAACTCACACGCAGCCTTCACCCCTCTCCGATCCCACCGCCTGCATCTTGCTTTAGCCCTTCCTCAACTTGAGCGAAATGTTCCTTAATATTCTCAGAAAGGGGCGATTGCGGACTACTTGTGCCTGGGCTTCCCATGGGTTAGTTTTCGTCCATATTGAATGGTGTCCATGCCGTCGAGCGCGGGGGAAAGAAGTTGATATGAAGAGCCACTGATTCAAGAGATCAGATAAGTAGTCCTTGTTGAGAAATGCGGTTCAAGTTCGCGACTCACGAAACCTGCGTGGCACGGTTAATTCGCAAGTCTAGAGAGCAGAGCCACGATCAGAAGAGAGTATGGAAACGTAATCAATTCAAATGTTCAGCAGTTCATAGCGAATGAAATCTTCGAGCACATGTGAGGGCGACTGAAGGTGCTGTAGCAGAAGAGAAAGAATCAAGTCACAATGCATGCATGTGCGGCATTTTATTAGAATGCGAATAGATCTCCATCTGCTTTCGATAATAGTACATGCTCGAGGCGCACTGAGAGATTATCGCAAAGACAATGCAGCCTTCTGTTCGCGGCACCTGTGCCAAGACGTGCCGTGTGCGAAACAGCTTAAATCAAGCTGCGAGGCTTCATTGTGTATCACCACCGTGTTACTCGGGAAATGCATAGCTGGATAGAAATGGGTTTGGATTCAAAAGAGAAGCCATCCTTCGGGCCCTTCGACCCATCCGTCCTTGGTCAGGGCAGGAAGGGCTGGGGCGTGAAAATGTCGGAGAACGGAGGAGGGGGAACAAAGAGCGTGAGTCTAGTTGGGTGAGAAACATATTACAGGTACTTCGAAGGGTTGGTATCGGTTGAGAATTTCTATATCCCATACCCGGGTGGCTTATCGGATGAGCCAGACACGATGTGCTTGCAATCGGGCAAGATGGCGACAGATAGAATACTGCCAGTGTGCCTAGGGAGAGAGGCTAATAGTTCACCAGTCTCTATCTCCCACACACGGACTGTTCTATCAGACGAACCAGAAACAATGAGCTTGCTGTCGGGCGACATTGCGATAAATGAAACTTCTCCTTCATGCCCTGGGAGCGAGGCACCCAATGTTTGGCGAGTTGCCATATCCCACACTCGGATCGTTTTGTCGCGGGAACCAGACACAATGCGTTTGCCATCGGGCGAGACCACGACAGAGTAAATAGCGCCAGTGTGCCCTCGGAGGGGGGCACCAAATGCCTCGCCAGTCTGCGCATCCCACACTTGTACCGTGCGGGCAGATGCACTAGACACAATGTGTTTCGCATCCGGCGAGATCGCAACGGGCACAACGGATGAAAATATGTCAGTGCACACTCGAAGACGAGGACCCGATGTCTCGCCCATCACCGTGTCCCACGTCCTGATTGTCTGCTCCCCTACTGAGCTAGCGGACACTAGTACTATGCTGATGTCCATCTGGTGAGATGGCAACACGGCGACCATAGTTAGTGCCGAGTCTGAGAGGGATACTCAATCTCTCTCCAGTCTTTATATTGGTCGTCCAGTCGCCTGTCGGTCTCCGCATCCTACACCCGAACTATCAAGTCATCCAAACCAGCTACAATGCGTGTCTCACCGCGTGGGATTGCGATAGAGTGAACCCTGGTACTGTTCCTGAGAGGGGCACCCAATGCGTGCCCGTCTCTATATCCCACACCTGGATCGTTCCGTCCTTAAACCACAGACAATCCGTTTTCCAGTCTGAGGACATTGCAAGCGAGATAACCGGGGAATGTCCATTTAGTGTCTTTTATATCTGAGGCCCTTTCCAACATGGCCAACAACAATGCGTGGGTGTATGGGAACTTTGTGGCGAACTTGCTAGATAGAATCAACTGGGTTGGAGAGAACGACAGAGCGGACAAGTATAAATGCGGAATGTTGTGTAAAATGGTGGCTGCAAAGGTTCGAACGAAGCGCAGGGTGTCCCTGGTAGCGCCGCCGATATGTGTGTACTCGACATGCCCCTACGATCGCCCCATTACTCGTAAGAACCATTGGTTGTAAGAATGAGCTCAAACCACGCACCATAACCTAGTCTGCGAGGCATGAGAGGCACTCCACCGAGCCACCGAGGCTTTTCATCAGAGACAGTGCTTCCAACCACCAAAAGAGACGCCCTCCGTCGAAAAAGGTTCAATTCCCTTAGCGAGTGATGATTCGAAGGACAGCGCGCCCACGTGAGTCACTCAGAATCGACATGAGTATTATAACTCAGTCGGAATGGACTCTTTTACTCGTTTCTCCAAGTCAGGGACATCAGAATTGGGCAGGTAAGAATTTTCCAAGGAGCAGATGTTGAAGCGAAGTCCGCTCTCCGTGACCCGAAGTGCCGCAAAGGTAAGGTCGTTTTGTATCGATGAAGTACCAACGAAGAAGTCACGACTGCGCGATTTATCTGTAAGAAACTCGTAGAATGATGCGTGGAATGGACGTATGGTGGTCTGAGAATCCGTAGTGCCGGTGACAAGCGAGCCCATTGGCCCAATCGCCCAAACCACTTTTTAACGGTCATCCTCACGAGGAAAATGTAGTCGCATCGTGATCAACGCAGTCATGGAAAGCGGTTCCGATGATGCAATGATTTACCCCATCACAGAGCAAACATGGTGATTGCTTCCTCGTCATCTGGCATAATTTCCGCTAAGATGAAGCCGATACATATCATCCAACAGATGTGTTCCAGATTTAGATGTCCTGGAGGTCACAGCTTTGAAACCCTTCATCGGATCCACGCCCACTTTGTTCATACCCTTAATATACTCACACGCAAGAAGAGCCCATTCAAACAGGCTGTCAGATTTCTGAGCCAGCGTCTTGAAGTGCCCATCGTCGAATGCGGTGCGCGTGCTCTTCAACATGGAGGAGATATAAAGTTCGATATCATGTTGTGCGGACACAACCGGGATTTCATCTATGGAAATATGACGAAGATGTGGCGCATTTCGCAAGGTATCCCCGATATCTTCGAGTGGACGGGAGTGAGAATGATACAGAAGTTTGTCGGAAGTTGGGATATTGTGGGAGAGGAAGTGTCCGAGTTGCCAGCAAGCAGATGAAGAATTTGTTTCCGGGATTTGGCGTCACCACTCTCATCCAACACATCAATAACTACCAGGATGGGCGTAGTGCGTTAACGTGGTTTGAATCTTGGCTAACGCCTCCTCCTCCGTCATGAAAGCATGGACTTCCGATACCTTCGTGAAAAAACAGCAGCATCCCGGTCTGCCTGATCGATAGTTATCTGTCACCAGAGATTCTTAGTAACATGCAAAGGTGAGGATATGGAAGTAAGCGCACCTTTGACGCACAAGTGAAGATACTCAATGCCACTTTTGCATAAGGATGGACCTATCCACAAAGATCAGTCACGTACAAAATAGACAATAGACGCGTACATCGGCAAGCACGTTAGCAATGGGGTTGAAGACCTTCAATGGTTCAAGATCGCGGAGAACGTATCGATGGTATCCGAGGGAATTGACAGTAGGTTGTTGGTGGCTGAAGCAGTATTTTCGACCATTTCTGGGACATTCTTCATGCCTGCCACACCTTTGGTAGCATCGGCGATTCGTTCGTCGACAAACTTTGGGTCCAGCTGTTCGGTCTGAATACGGACGTTAGTACATGATCGAAAGAGACGGATAAGAATATTCCAAACTATGATAATCGAATTCATCTTCGGAATGCTTGAATTGGAAGATTTGGTTCGGGAGTGGGAGTGGGAGCAGTGAGGATCCTGCGGCAGTTATAGCAATCGTCGCACACGGAACGTGCCAAGAGTTGCACACACCTGAGTCGTCTGAGCGGGTAGGAGATCATGCACATGTGCCCTGGAAGTTGCAGCCATGTGTTCAGGGTTCGGAGACTGTCGAGCGCTTCGAGAGGAACGCCTGCCCCAGAACTTGAGAACCAACCCCGAGAGTCCTCTGCGACTCGGAGGTCCATCCCTCGAAAGCGGGAGAGAGGATGGCTGGAACGACATCGTTACACACAACCGTAGATGTAGGTGCAATGTTCCATACCTGAATTTCGCTGACTCCCCTCTCCAGTCTCTAGGTGCAAAAGGGACGAGGATGGCAGTGAAGGCAGCAGGGTCGACAGATCCGGCTGCTGCATGTCTGCACAGAAGCCTGAGGAAATTTAAATAACGAACATGCGTTTGGAACTTGAAGCTCCCATAATGATCGCAACAGTCACTGGACCGGATTGAATCACATGGATGCATGGTATGGTGGAACCTTATCGATTATCGAAGAAGAGCTGCTCACGAGTCACAGACTTGGAAGGACGAAGTTCATATTCATTGATTCATCACTAGCTATCATGATCGCTGGTTTATGATCAAGTTTGTCATCTATGCGTTTCGATACTATGTGACCGATCAAGAAAGAAGATAGTGATATTGGCAACTGGGTACAGGGCGATTGATAATGAGAAGCTATGAAAAGGTAGTAACGAGAGTTTGGGCGAAAGCCCGCAGGGCTTTCCGGTCCAAAACACCAGCCCGAACCTGGGAGAAAAAGGTGAGCTGTGAGTCCCAAATGATTAGGAGGTTGACGACGCAAACAGCGAAGTTTGTGACCCAGTGTGTAAGGAGGAGGACTCACTCCGGGTTTCCGAGATTATCTCACCGGTGGCATTGTGATGCGAGTGAATGGCTCGAGGGAGGGGTTTGCTTGAATATACGGCGCTAGAATCCTGGCGTGGTCGCGTAGGTATCGCGTGAACGCGTCGCTTGACCAGCGTCCCATAGATTTGACGACGTCGAATGGGACGCCGCAAAGGAGATATTCCAGGGTGCCTCCAATGCGGATGCTGTGGCCCTTAAGATTGGGTAAGTTGGCGACGGCGGAAATGTTCGAGATGCGTTTGATGAGCTCGGTTTTTGATAGTGCACGTATGCCTTTCTCGGGATGCTTCCAGGCGAATAGGTGATCTGTGTTTTCCGCTGGGTTGACGAGAAAGTGGTTTTTTAAGGCTTCTTTCGGGTCTGAAAGTCCCTCTTGCTCTGCCCAGTAGGCGTCTTCCCCTTCTCTTGGGGATGCTTTCGTGCTGGGCAGATGGAATTTGGTTATAGCGAAACCGTTTCTGTCTCGCCCTTCTGATACGTCTCCTCGAGTGATGTGTCTGTGTGGATTGAAGTCTTTCATTGCGGAAACCGTGAATTCTCCTAGGCGAGCGATTGAGTAAAAGGATGTGGTTATGCAGGCAAATATGGCGGCGTCTTTGGGATCTTTGAGGTTCAAGTGATTGCGGATATTGATGATGATGGTGGGGGTGAACGGGGTGCGTTTAGCGCGCTTGGAGGTAGCGGGAGCGAATTTGGCTGCGCCGTCTAGGATAGATTTCAATTCACTGGGTGGTATGAGCCAGTGGCGGCCGTGCAGCGTATGCCAGGCTTTGAGTCCTGTTGCATAGTTACTGAGCGCGGATCCCGAATATGATCCTGCGCAGCTAGATAAAAAGGCTAGGAGTAAAGAACGGGAAATGGGGCATCTCTGATTTTCTGTTATTTGATGTACGTCGCAGTATACGTGGAATACTAGCAATCCGGCGCCGTACGTCTCTTTTGTGGTGCTAGCCCAGGAGGCTCCCATGACTTCTAGTACTCGGTTTAGCTGTGTATCTGAGATGGAGAATTCAAGAGGGTCATTGGTGGTTGCCGTTCTGCGAGTGTCTTCGCCAGAGGGTGTCCATAGACTTGACCTGTCTCGAGCTAGACAGTGCGGGCGGAGGGGTGAGGGTGTGGGCGTGAGATTAGGTTTGTATGGTTGCGGGTTTGAAGGAGCGGTGGTGATGGTGTTGGCTAGCGTGGCGTCGAAACGTTGGCGTTCAGTCGCTAGGGTTGGTGTGGTTCCGGAGGGAGTTGAGGAGGGTCTCTTCTTCTTCTTCTTCTCGGAACCTCTGTAGGCGATCTGCGCTTTGTTGTCTGAGCATAGCTCGGTTGATGACTTTGGTGGCTGGAGGGGGGTAACACCCGTTGTGCAGGAGGCGGAGTTCAGTAGCTGTTGGGGGTTCGGTGAGCCCCTTCAGTGAATTCACCCGTCTCAGACGGGCAGCCGGGCGTGACAATGTACCAATAGAGACGGGCCACCCAGTGCCGGCCCATGGCAATAATTGTACCGTGTTAGACGAGTGGGCCGAGGGGGTGGAGTGTCCAAGGCAAATGGATGGGCCGGGTGTATATAGTATAGATGGTAGTATAGCAATGTACTATATAGGAAATTATGAATAGTAGTAGTGAATCCAGTGTGTGATAGATGAGTGGGCCGGAGGAATGGAGTGCAATATAGACGAGTGGGCCGGGGAACTGGGGTGTGATGGAGACGAGTGGGCCGGTAAATGAGGTGCAATGGAGACGAGTGGGCCGGTACATAAGGTGCAATGAAGACGAGGGGGCCGGAGAATAGGGTGCAATTGAGACGAGTGGGCCGGTATAGCAGGTGCAATGGAGACGGGTGGGCCGGTATAGCAGGTGCAATGGAGATGGGTGGGCCGGTAAATATGGTGCAATTAAGACGAGTGGGCCAGTATAGCAGGTGCAATGGAGACGGGTGGGCCGGTATAGCAGGTGCAATGGAGATGGGTGGGCCGGTAAATATGGTGCAATTAAGACGAGTGGGCCGGTATAGCAGGTGCAATGGAGACGGGTGGGCCGGTATAGCAGGTGCAATGGAGACAGGTGGGCTGGTAAAGGAGGTGCAATGAGGACGAGTCGGCCAGTGTTATTGGGTGCAATGAAGACGAGTTGGCCGGTGATATGGGGTGCAATGAAGACGAGTGGGCCAGTGATATGGGGTGCAATGAAGACGGGTGGGCCGGCATTATAGGGTGCAATGGAGATGGGTGGGCCGGTGATATAGGGTGCAATGAAGACGAGTGGGCCGGTGATATGGGGTGCAATGAAGACGGGTGGGCCGGCATGATAGGGTGCAATGGAGACGGGTGGGCCGGTATTATGGGGTGCAACAACGACCGGTATTTATGTAACCGGTTGCTTGTGGTAACATAGCACTCAATCCGGCGATTCCACCGGTGGTCTGATCATGTAAAATGGTTAAGATTTGACAAAGTTATGAGCCCTACAAGGGAAAGCCATAAATTTAGAGGATATTATGATATATTGTATCTAGACCATTGCAACCGGTATTTTTTTGACCGGTATTTACATGACCAGTTGCTTGTGGTAACATAGCACTCAATCTGGTGATTCCACCGGTGGTCTGACCATGTAACATAGTTAAGATTTGACAAAGTTAGAAGCCTTACAAGAGAAAGTCACAAAGTCAGAGGATATATCATATCTAGACCATTGTGACCGGGATTTTTCAACCGGTAGTTATGTGACCAGTTGCTTGTGGTGACATAGCACTCAGTCCGGTGATTCCACCGGTGGCCTGACCATGTAAAATGGTTAAGATTTGACAAAGTTATGAGTCTTACAACAAGAGAAAGTGACAATTTCAGAGGATATATCATGTCTAGACCATTGTGTCCGGTATTTATGTGACCGGTTGTTTATAGTAAAACATAGCACTCAATCTGGTGATTCCACTGGTGGTCTGACCATGTAAAATGGTTAAGATTTGACAAAGTTATGAGCCCTACAAGAGAAAGCCATAAATTTAGAGGATATTATGATGTATTGTATCTAGACCATTGCAACCGGTATTTTTTGACCGGTATTTACGTGACCGGTTGCTTGTGGTAATGTAGCACTCAATCCGGTGATTCCATCGGTGGTCTGACCATGTAAAATGGTTAAGATTTGACAAAGTTATGAGCCTTACAACAAGAGAAAGTGACAATTTCAGAGGATATATCATGTCTAGACCATTGTGACCGGTATTTATGTGACCGGTTGTTTCTAGTAACAGTACTCAATCCGGTGATTTCACCGGTGGTCTGATCATGTAAAATGGTTAATATTTGACAAAGTTATGAGTGCTACAAGAAAAAGTCACAAATTCACTGGCAGAGGATATATGATATCTAGACCATTGTGACCAGGATTTTTCAACCGAAGTTATGTGACCAGGTTGCTTGTGGTAGCATAGCACTCAATCCGGTGATTCCACCGGTGGTCTGATCATGTAAAATGGTCAAGATTTGACAAAGTTATGAGTGCTACAAGAAAAAGTCACAAAGTCAGAGGATATATGATATCTAGACCATTGTGACCGGGATTTTTTCAACCGGAAGTTATGTGACCGGTTGCTTGTGGTAACATAGCACTCAATCCGGTGATTCCACCGGTGGTCTGATCATGTAAAATGGTCAAGATTTGACAAAGTCATGAGCCCTACAAGAGAAAGTCATGAATTTAGAGGATATATGATATCTAGACCATTGTGACCGGTATTTTTTGACCGGTAGTTATGTGACCGGTTGCTTGTGGTAACATAGCACTCAATCCGGTGATTTTACCGGTGGTCTGATCATGTAAAATGGTCAAGATTTGACAAAGTTATGAGCCTTACAAGAGAAAGCCACACATTCAGAGGATATTATGATATATTGTATCTAGACCATTGTAACTGGTATTTTTTGACCGGTATTTATGTGACCGGTTGCTTGTGGTAACATAGCACTCAATCCGGTGATTCCACCGGTGGTCTGATCATGCAAAATCATTAAGATCTGACAAACTTATGAGCCTTACAAGATAAAGCCACAGATTTAGAGGATGTTATATCTAGACCATTGTGACCGGTATTTTTGTGAACAGTTGCTTGCAGTAATATAGTACTCAATCTGGTGATTCCACCGGTAGTCTGATCATGTAAAATGGTTAAGATTTGATAAAGTTCTGAGCCTTATAAGACCAAGTCATAAATTCAAAGGATACAGTGTTGTATCAGCTTATATCTGGACCATTGTAATCAGTATTTTTGCAACCGGTTGCTTGTGGTAATGTAGCACTCAATCAGGGGATTCCATTTTGCCCCTTTGATAGGAGAGTGTTCTAGCACTGTCAAAACA